AATGAAGCGAGCACAGAGGATTATAATAAGATTGTGCTTCCTTGTCTTTTGATCTCAGGGCAGTGATCACTGTGTGACAACTTAATATCCTGCTTGCAATGAATGCACTGTCAGATCAGCAGTCTCTTCTTGGATGTCGGCTTGTTGTGTTAATTTCACACGCCTATCGACATAAAAAGTTGGTGATCTTTGATAGTGATTAGGATAAAAGTTCCATGATGTCACTTATATCCATCTCAGGAGCTGCAATGTAAATTGGATAGATGTGCTGTAAAGGGAAAGAATGAGATCACAGCAGTGTCTGTGTGGATGTGCACTGGTCTGACTGCACAGAAACACAAAGTGCTGCCTGAGTCTCTCCCTGACCCACACTGGCTGCCAGTAAGCAGGCAGCTGACAGCTGGCCCGTTGCCACGTGAAACCCAAATGCCTGGGCAACGTGCAGCTCGCCGCATACGCAGAGAAGGGTTGAAACGGTCTCAGATCTGTAACTGGGAGCAGAGCAGCCACTTGTGGACAAGCTGGGCCATTCATTCATTCATTCAAACAGAACCAACCAAGCTCTTTCAGATATTGAGACTTTATATTGAGACTTCATAATTAGCACTGGGACTGATAGAAGCAAATAGACTGAATTTATTTTCATTAAATATGCATGTTTCTGGTTAATCTTCAAATAACTAGAGCCTTTTTTCTAAATAAAAGTTAAACAAAAATACTATTGGTCCTTTCCTGCTTTATATCTGATAGACCAGTCCTCGGAGCCCATCTCTCAAACAATGATGATTTCTTCCAGTTTCATGACTAACGTTGATTCTGAGCCATAAAATATAGGAAAAAGCAATACTTGTTACGTAGTAATGAGCCATGTTATAGTTTTGAAGCACGCCTGTTGGCAGAAGCAGAAATTAACCAGAAATTGAATGTGGTTGATGAGTGAAGGGTGATAATCGTGTCAAACATCTTTTTAGTGACGACAGTTGTGCTGCTGGGTGTGTGTCATGTCTGCCAGTCATGCTAACATAGAATTAAGTCGATGTTCTTCCAAAAAACATCTACAGTGGCCTGCAAAACCACAAACATAAAGATTTCAATGTGGATCAAATAGATCACAAAGTTTGTGAAAGCAAAGCTGTACATGATTTTCTTAGTTTTGAAAAACCGGAGGAGAACCCCCTTTTTACTTCCATCACAGTAGTAAGTCTTTTGGAATATTGTACAAGCTTGGCACATAGAGCCTGAAAGTTTTGCCCATTTGTCAGAATAGGTGGAGAGGGTCTGCGAACAGCTCAGGTGTACCTTGTATTTGGCTCCATCCACTTTTCCATCAGCATTGTTTAAATCTTCTGTCCCTGCTGAAAAAAGCACTGGGGATGAGGGAAAACTGAGAGCGAAGAGCAATGTTTAGTGCCATACAAAACGTTTTGCTTTTGGGCTGAAAAGTGAAAATGTACAAGTTAACGCTCGAACCTTCTCTACAACCTAACCTGTTTGGTTTGCTTATTTGACTTCATGATGTTATTAAAGACCTGTCTTAATTTTAACAATTATACTGAGAGTAGATTGCACGCAAGTCAGCTCGAAGTGGGTCATAAGGAAATTTAAAGCAATGTAATGCTCTCAGAAAGCCCCATTCTTTTATTATTCATATTAAACAATTTAAAGAGAATGACAAAACAATGTATCAATTTTCTTTCACTTCACAGTTTGTTACTTTGTTGTGTATTTAAAAAAAAATATCCTAAATATAATTGTTATGCTTGTGATCAAAGCAGAAGTTCAAGTTGTATTAGTACTTTTGCAACCCACTGTATGAACTGTGTCCACTACAGGAAGTCGTTGCTGTTAGTGTTACACAATGTCGCCTTGTCAAGATGTCTGTCTATGTATCTAAAGCCTAGATCTGTACACACATTGTCACATATGCTTTTAATTTAGTGACACATCTTCACTGCAGCTGGATCAACACACCATACGGGTCAGCGGGACTCATTACATAAGGCATATAGGCAAATACAAACACATAGATGGACTATTGGAGAACCGAGGACACAAGCCGGAGGTTACTGTGTGTGTTACTATGCACGGTCAGGTAAAAGGAGGAGGGAAAAGACGTCACAGTGAGCAGACAGAGCAACGGATAAGTGCTTGTTAAGTAATACCTCAAAGACTTTCCACATTTGTCTAGAATTACTGGAAATCTCAGCTTCTGGTGATGATTCATACAGTTTGAGAAGAGCTTTCATCATATTCACAAAAAAGGGATATTCTACTGCTGGGGTTATACAAAGTTATAGAAGCCATTTAAGATAATGTAATGGCAGTTCACTATTCATATTTGTCGTCATCATATTTGTGGTAATTTCTGATACGTTTTTAGAGCGGCAATGGCCTATGAGCTCTGTTGATATTTATAGACAGGACCTTTTTGTTTTCCGTTATGCCTATAAGATAAGATATGCTTTATTTATCTCACGGGGGAGACATTTACATGTCACATTTGGCATGGAAAGGAACACTCAGATTGTGCAAAAAGAGAGGAAATGTGCTAACATGTTAAATACTGGATATATTATGTACAATAAAAATTGGCAATTTAAAGTGGCAATCAGAGATAGTGTCAATAGTTCTTTCAGTCTTACAGTGACTTAAAGTGACTTGTTGTGTATAAAGTACACTGTTCAAAATAAAATGTATTTGTAACTGTTTCATTTAACTGAAAACATGAAGAAGTGCCAGAATTCAAATAAAGATTCCCCTTTTGTCTACCTAAAAAAACTATCAGCATACTCTATGCTGGTAATCTAAATGATGAAACAATACAGCATTGTGAAATACTAAACATAAGCTTTCTAGTTCTACAATAACCCTATTTGCCGCATTTTTGGCTTTGCTTCATAACCGTGGAATATGAGAAACTGAAGTATGCAAAGTCTGTTATAAGTATGCATTGAACTCATCAACTTTGAAAATGAAATCCTCCAGGCAGTGCGTGTTTGAGGTAGATCAGCACGTTGCACATAGCCCGACTTGCATTGTGACCATGGGGGGTATTTGAGAAGGGGGATAAGGGGGAGGAAGGAAGGTCTTGAGCAGATGAGCCGAACTGAATGAGGACTTTTCGATCATGCTTTTTTGGGATGTGGGCACAAAGAAGAGCGTTGCAAGCCTTCCTCTGCAGCAGCGAAGCCTACGTGAGCATCGGCAGGAACGCTCCAGCTCATCTCCAAACCCCTCCCGTCCTCGTTCCTATACTCCTTTTGTCTCCTTTTTTGCATTTTCACCTTGACGAGAAAGACAACTAGCGTATCTCTTCTCCCACATCTTGTAAACAAATGACCTGGACAGTGGATTTGGCAGGCGTGAATGTAACCGAGAATACTGAAAGAGAAATGAAGGGAAGGCTTAGCTCCTCTTTCACACACTGGTTCAGATTTGGATCTAGCCTGGAATGACCTCAAAGACTTATAAGTCTCGATGTCACTTTGCATTTCTCTAGTCTGTGCTTGTGACTGGTGGAATGGTATCAGACCGCAGACAAACTGGCCAAGGTCAGAGGAGATGTAACCAGGAGGAAAATACAATGACATTTATTCCAAGTGCAGACCCAAGGACAAAACAAAGTAAAATATACACAGTTGCGCATTTCAGAACGTAAAAGGTGATGTCAGGGGGGTGTGAATCATAATAGAGAGATAGTAGCACTGTGGACTGGGTGACCTTGTGATCTTCAGCAGGTGCATTTTTTGGCATAGGCCGATAAAAAGGAAGAAACAAGTGCAGTGCTGACATCTAGTGGTTCAAAATATAAAGTGAATCAATCTCTATGCATTTCACACTGACCTAGGTGTTTTGACCAAAATAGTCAGGCACCCCTCATTCTTTCAGACTGAGCAACCCGGGCTGGCGTGTAAAAACAACCTCAAACCCGTCCACGTGTCCCCACGTTTTTTTGCAGTGTGAACATACTGACCAACTGAAGCAGGAATTTAAAAAACTAAGGAAACAAATTAAAACATGCAGTCACACAGGGAAAAGACTTCACATGATGAAAGTGTAACAAGCTGTGCGGCCGTGTACAGATCTTGCCTCCAAAGTGCCATGATGCAAGTCTCTGATTCTGGGTCCTTGCACTATGATTTGAGGAGATTTATTTATAAAGTCGTCTAAAATCACTGTGCTTATATCATTGTGCAACCTTGCCAGTTGTTAGCACTCGTGCTTGGCGGCATTTCACAGCACGATTGCTAACCTTTCTTTGTTCTTTGGTTGTCTGGTTTCCCCTACCACTAAAAAAACATGTACTATTGTTCAGGGTGAATGAGTGTGAATGTGACTGTGGGAATACAGATGGAAATAGCCTGAGGCTACAATCTGGTGTATTTGCAGTTATTCTGTTAATTAATACACCATGACCCACTCAAGTTAAGTTGGAAGTTTCAAAACTTGCAGTTTTCACAAAAGGGGTTGGTCTGCTGAGTGCCGACTCAACAAGCTCAAATACTGCAGTATGAAAACGCCTTCTAAAACTTGAAGTTACTTTGACATTTTAGGGTCCTTTAGCAATAGTACAATATGCTAGTAGAACTGTATATAGAGGTGCACCATGTCAATTTCCCCCTGAAGAAATAATAATCTTTTAATCTGTCAAATATTTTAATAAACTGTCCTTGTTAACACAATCTGTGCCGGATTGAAAGGTTCAGGAATGCGCCACTTACACAGTTTTCCATATTAAAAAAAGAGAATCAAAACTGTAAATTAAAAAAGATTTATTTATAGAAAATAAAACAGGAAACAATTTACAAAGATTTTAAAAACAATTTATAAAATAAAATGATACAAAATGAAGCATGTTCCAAACAAGTGATAAAATAATGAGTAGAATGCCTGATGAAATATGACTTCTATCATTTAATAGAATTGATATCGTATCCCTGATTGTTTTTTTTATATTTCTCCATAAGGTTTTTAAAACCAAAATGAATAAAAGGTAAATACTAGAGTAAAACTGGTATGTCATTTCCAACATCGCGTCCAGAGGCTGCAGCCTGAGCCCCTCTGAAGTAGAGGCGAGAGTTGAGTTTGGCAGGAGCAGAGATGTGCCACATGACCACACCAGTGGGATTCACAGACACCACAAACTCAGTGGAATCCTTCAGCTCCAGCGTCTTGTATGTGTAGACATCAGTGACCTGCAGGACAGAGCAGTTCAATATACAGCACATAATCAAAAATAACTATTGTAATCCAAACCTTATAACTTCCTGCAGTGTAATTAAGTTTACTGAGCGACGTCTTGTAGCGATAAGGCATGTCAGTGCGGTGACTGAAAAATAGCAAGGCGCTGGTATTTTTGGAAAGAGGTCGCCAGAAGATTTGGATGCCACTCTTTTCCTAGTACAAAAACACACATTTATGATCCAATCTAGAGGATCAGTCAGGATTTTTTCATACTAAAATAATGGATTTGCAGAAAACAAAAAAGGAACATACCTTTAGGATGCGTCTTCCTTGGATGCCCAGTGGGTCTTGGTTGATGCTAATGATCATTTTGTTCTGGAGGATGACCCTCGCGCCGCTGCTGAGGGTACGCAGGTCATTGGACATGAACAAAGGAGCAGCCATTATCGCCCACAAAGCCATCTGCGAGCGAGACTGTTCCATACTGAGGCCAAAGTCTCCAATAATCAGCTGTGAAGAACAATTCTACTTAATAAAAACATCTCAACATGCCTTTTATTTATATACGTTTAGCGACAGAATAAAATCAGACCATATCAGGGTCATTCCACCTCCCAGGACCTGCAGCAGGTATTAAAGCATCCTGGTTTTCAAAGAACCAGTCCACAATCGACCACACACTGGACCAAGAATCCTGAATGTCACCATAGTTACGCCATAAGTTGCAGATCTCACCCAATTGCGTGTAGTTCACCTAAAATGAACATCAAGTCAAATAACTACAGTATTGTGACAGATAGATAGATACATGAGGAATAGCAGCTTTCAATAGCAGCAGTGATTAAGAAACTTCCAGTAATAGATTCAGTATTAGAAGTCAATCCAGATACTGACCCTTTAGTGGATAACAAGGTAAGTTTCTCACACGCCTAAAACCAGTGCATCATTGTGGACAATTGTGAATATTTTAGAGCTGCTAACCTTGGGAGGCAAACCACCCTGATAAGCTGGCCAACTGCAGGAGTAGCCAATGGGTCGACCAGTTGCATTCAGTGCTTTGGACATGAGGGGATAACCTATAGGAAGTTAGGTTTAGGGTTTACATTTACAAATCATAATACAAACATAAAATAAGCAACAATAATATAAATACAAACTGCTCTTACCCTGCTCTTGTTCTGTAGCGTTGGAATAGCAGCCATCGTATTTGAACATGTCCACCTCCCAGTCAGCGAACGTCTGAGCGTCAAGTTCAATCTTGTCCAGCGGGCTGCCGGGATATCCTCCACAGGTGTAAGTCCCCATGTCTCCATAGATCCCCAACTTTAGGCCTCTTTCGTGCAAATACTGGGCCAACTTTTTAATACCTCCTGGAAACCTGAAGAAGTGAAAGTTGTAGTGAGTTTGTTGAAACTTAAGAAGGATGCCACACGTTATGATTTTCTGCCAATTGATTTTCGGCCTTTTTTAAAACACTACAAATGATATCCATACAGGTAAATATATAGATATTTTCCTTCCATATGAATATTGAAATAACAGTAAGCCACTAACACTATACTGGTAATTACCTCATCTAACACTGAAAAAAGGAGCATGGGAAATTTATCGTTTTTATTTGTTTTTATTGTATACATCTTAATGTTTTAACATTGTTAGACTTTACTCTTTGCACTCTGACTAAACTAAATAACGGTGTTCATTGTAGAATCAATAGAGTTCATTTGAGGGAGAAATCATTTTGTCAGAGTCCACACTTTTGGATCTATGCGTGATTCTTCAACAATGGAAAAATTTGGGTCTGCAGTTTTTGAAAAATCAAAATTCTATTTTTAAAATTATTGTTTAGTGTAGTGTTGTAGTTTAATGTCTAGTATCCCTTTCTGATAGTGGTTTTACGATTACCATTTTTTAAAAATCTATTTTATTATTACTATTATTATATATTGTGATGGAATATAATAATGTGATGGAAATGACAAAATGGCAAATTTACTGCAAAATTCCAAGTTTTTCTAGCATGCTAATCTCTAGTGTTAGCTTTAGCATTAAATATACACAAAATAAAACAACTGAAACATTATTTTTTCAATATGAGTAAATGCAAAAGAAATATAACGTATTTGGAAATGACAGCCAAAAATATTTCCTCGACTTTTATCTTGGACCTGGGTCTGCTACAAGGCTAATGATGCTTTTCTGATTCAAAACAATTTTTTATTAATACAAATATAGTAGATTTGTGTAAGCTCTCAGTCGTACAGGGATTAGTCAAAGCAAAGCATCTGTACTTAGTGCAGGTTAGAAAGTACAGATGCTAAGAAACCTTCCTTTGCTTTAAAAATATAGTATTTATTCTAAACAGTTGTCTCGCAGCTCATCTTGTGGCGTACTAAATTTGGAATAAGGAAAAACTCTGAAATTTGTTTTAATTTATATCTATCCGGGACAAGGATTTGTCCATAGTTGAATAATCACCCCATATGAAGTTGTGAACATGCCATTGCTTTTACGGAAGTTCATTTTCTGCTGATTCTGCTTTTGAAATGTTTGAAGTCCATATTCATGACTGTCACGTTGGCCTTTTATTACTTAAGGGCTTGTAGAAATCTAAAAGCACATACAGATTTGTACTATATTGCAGTTTACCTTTTCGGATCAGCCTGAAGTCGGCCATCTTTGTCTCTCTGCTTTGAAGACCAGCAATCATCGATATTAACATAAACATATCCCAGGTCCCTCCAGCCGTCTTCTGAGAGTCTGTCTGCCATGTCCATAAAGAGTTTCTCACTAAAACAGAAAAGGTCATAGTGTATTCATCTTCAAACAACATTTAAAACACGGATAGGACTGCAAGCCGGGATCCATCAATTTGAAGGCCATAAATTCTTACCTGATGCAGTTATTTGGATCATTCTCGCAGTCTATGTCACAGCGAAACCGTTCCCAAGCCAACCAGCCCATGGGTGGAGTCAACATGAGGCCATTGTCAAGGCATGATGCACACAGGGGCAGTGCCAAAATGATTACAAGCCTATACATTTCTTAGGGAGTGAAAAAGAAAACATGTGATGATTTCCTTTGTATACGACTTACGGTCAAACAAAACATTTACTGCATGATTTATGATGGTTTTAATATTTAGCTAACTGTAACTATCCACAACCTGCTCGGTGAGTTTACACATAAAGTCAGTCATGTGACTGTCTTATTACACAGCTCAATTACAAATGATTGAAAAGCTAACCGTCTTTGTATGCAGATTCAAGAGGTTTATTTTACCAAGTAAATTTACAAATAATTAAAAAATAAAAAATGTAGCTGAAATAAATGCATGTTTAACGTGCTTTGACATGTGGACTGACAGCCACTGACAAGTGGCATTCTTGGGACATCACAATATTCCAAAGAGCCTGTAGTTTAGAATAGTGGTGTGCTGCAATATCGTTCTGGGTGACTTTCACAAGTCAGACTTCTATGCTTTGTTTAAAGCAAATGTCTCTAATTCCAGCTGGTGCCAAACCACATTAAGGAAACAACAACAAGAAGAAAACAACGTATTCTTTGTCAGTATATAAACTATGATTTGATCATTTTCTCATAAAGGTTCAAACCATAGTTTATATATTGTCAAAATGACAAAACATTGCTCAAAAATGTTGTGATATTGGCCAGTGAAAGAACTCTGACTTCTGAGAAAACATTTCTTTCAAAAATGGCTTCTTTCCCATTCTTGTATTGGCACCTACCTTCCAAATGAAATGGAATTCTACGACATGAACACAAGCTCTTGGTCTTGTTCAGTACAAAACCAAAGCGTTTGGACGTATTCAAGGAAAACAAACAGCGTCATACTCACTCGGAGCTGGGACGTCCATGCGGCAGCAGAACTCTCCTCTACACAGAGTCTAATCTATGGCACAGTGCAGTTTATGCATAGACTGTAAATGTGATGTTTATGGCAGGTAGTCAGTGCTCATATGATCTGCAAAATAGCGCCGCTGTTTATACGGAAGTGTTGATCACATGACGAGACTGTCAGCTGACCGCAGCGGAGCGGAAGTTTCAACTTGTTTATTCTTTCAAAAACATTTAGTTACGTCTCATCTCACAGTTTAGAGACTGCACTTTTAACATTAAACACGTCTTTCTTGATACTTGCGAGAAGAATGTAAGATATGTTATGCCACTTATATTTTCAAAAGGGAAAAGCACACATTTTCGCTGACCACACATTTCTTTTGTTGACTTCTCTGCTTTCTCTGTCCTCTACATAATGTGCTCTACAAACCCAGGCTCGAATTTGATGTCTCTGCTAAAAACCGAGGTTAAATAAATTTAATAAACACTGTTACATAGTAGTAACAGCATGTCTGATTAAATTGTAATATTTTGTGAATGAACATTATTAGAATAGGCTGTTTACTCTCAAATGTTTTATTTGTATGAACAGGAAAAGGTGGAGCCTGAAGCTGAGGTTAAGAGGTGCAGCGTGGGGCAATGGAGGAACCAGTGGGTGAGTTAGACACAGGCTTGTATGTTAATATCTAAGTTTGTCTTTTGCTATTGGATATACTACCACTATTACATCTTGCATGTCATCATGGACATGTTGTAGATATGTAACAACCATCATTTAGACTTTTTCATGTTTTAAATTGTATTTCCTGGTTTTACGTTTCATGATAGAGTTGTCAAACCACTTTCGTTTTCTCTTAAAGTGACAGCAGTAACTTAACACGTGTAGAGATGTCAGATGTGTTACTTTATTGCATGCAAAAACATGCATGAACAGCCAAGTCATTCACTTGATTCAAAACCGTATTATATTTCACTGTTTTTTCTCCAGGTGTCTCTGATTTGCTGGGGGCTGTTGCCAGGGGCACAGCTGCAGGCTTTGTCTTTGCAGAGGCTGCGTTATTTTCTCTGGAGCCTGTCCTCAGCCAGGACCCCACAATTCTCCCTATTGCAGTTCAAGCAGCCAGTCGAGCTGGATCTACGGGCGTAGCAGTCATTACTTCTTGCCTAGTATGCACCTCAATGCTAATTTCCCTCGGATGTGGCTTCCTACTTGCCGCCATTATGACAAAACTCCTAAAACATATTGGATGTGATACGCCATGGCTTACTGCACTGGTAGCACCAGTCTCACTCATCTTTGGAGCTGCCATTACTGGGGTATCATGGGGTTTGCTTCCTCTGGGGGTCTTCATCATTGCTCAGTTGATTATATTGGCAGCAGTGTTCTTCCGCTCAAATGTCAATCAATTGACACAAGCATTATCAATGATATTTGTCACTCTCTATGTTACTGTCTATTATGGGAGAATGGGAATAATACTTGGATTTTTTTTAACAGGAGTAACCATCTCTTTACTTTGTGCTCTTCGGAAAGCCCTGACTGAAAAAATGACGGCAAAACCCAAATGTGTGACTGAATGCAAATTACTGGAGCGAGTGTTTTTTTACTCAGTTGTTGTGGGAATACTTGGGTTTGGTGTGGGAGTTGGTGTAGGTGAGGTGGGGGAAAGCGCTGAAACAGAAATGGTAAATATTTTACAGTCAGTCCTTTGGGTGGCCTTTCTGTCAGCAGGCATTTTAGGAGCAGGCCTGGGGGCAGTGGTCATGGCTGATGTGGGCACAGAAATGGCAGGAAAACTATCAATTGTAACGTCTATTGTGTCAACAATTGCACTAAGACTGATCATGAATAGTTCGGCAAATTTAGGGGCCAGAGGTAGTACTGGTGGAGTATTAGGAGTCACCGTAGTTGCAGCACTATCACTTTCAGCTGCTAGTGTTGCGGCTAAAGATGTCTATAATTCAAAACATTCTTTTTTAACGACAATTTCTTCAGTTGGCGTTGGAGTAATTGCAGCCTCTATAGTACTAAACTCTCCTTTTCTGGGGCTCTCAGAACTCACGACGATTACCCTTGTTTCCATGGGGGCATATGTACTAGGAGCCCCCAAAAGTCCATTCAATACCAAGATGAAACTCCGCCAGGGACTTCTCACAGGCCCGGAGTTATTTCAAGAACTTGGCATAGAAACTGTCACCGCGGCAGCAGCGCCCATTGGGGCTGGGGCGCTGGGGGTGGCAGCGCTCGGTACAGCAGCTCTGGGGATGCTCGGCACAGTGGGAGTGTTCCTGGCCTTAGCCCTCGCTTTGGGAAGCACTCTGTCTGGTATGATGGGGAGATCGCTTCCTGTACGTGCAGAGTGAATGTGTCCCACTTACATTCTGACTGTTGATTTTCTAGGTGCATAAAAACAGTGAAAGTGTCTGTCCCTAAATCTGTGGAAATGCGTATGTGAGCTAAAATAGTGAGCTTTGGAAGAAGACTTTGTATTTAAAGCTGGAATACCTAACATTTATTTTTCATAAATATCGGTACATATGGATTGTCATATGGATCTTTTAATTTTTGCATACTTGCCCTGTGAATCATAATTTTGACGCTTTTGGCTGAGAGCTATCTTTTATATCTGAAAAAGCTGAAAAATGTGACAGAGGCCAAATATACATGCCTTTTGAAAATTAGTGAGAGAACAAAAACTATATGGATGTTATTACGTAGTTCAATTTGTTGTGGTTTTAAAGTTAAGTATTCCAGCTTTAGGAAAACTCATTGGTGTCATTGCTGGTATGTTGTCTCCGATACCAGGGTTTTTCTATATTATTTCACTGTTATCACTTTGGGCATATGTTGTGACTTTGAAAACACTATTAATTATTCAAGAGCTCCTTTATTCATCCCACAGTGGGGAAACTTCAGATATAATAAATTACCTTTTAACTTAAATCACACAAGCTCACAGTCAAACCAGGTCTGGGCTATACTGTACACATCCCATGAACAACCTTAATAATAATTATTGTTATTATTATTTCAAATGATTCTTCTTGTATCTGTTCTTGTTTTGCTTCTGTTTAATTGTTTTACACTGTATATGTTCTTGTTTTGCTTCTGTTTAATTGTTTTTCACTGTATATGTTCTTGTTTTGCTTCTGTTTAATTGTTTTACACTGTATATGTTCTTGTTTTGCTTCTGTTTAATTGTTTTACACTGGGAAAAAAAAACATAAAAATGTTTTAATTGTTAGTATGTATTCTTACAACCTCCAAGTTGCTACAAACTGACAAATAAACAGATGCAATTTTTGTAAACACACTCTGAACACTGCTGTAGAATGACAAAAAAAATCTGGAACAAGTCAGCATGTAAATAAAAGTTGTTTTAAGCGTATCTGTGCCTCATTGCAATGTCTTCTTTAGAATAAGTGACTTTTAAGAGTGCTAAGTGGCTCTCCTCTCACCCCCTCCTGACTTGGTTTGCCTCTTTTCCCTATGTGGCTGCAAGGTGCCAGTTACTTTGGTTTCATCTTAGCAACAGTAACAGCAGAGACAGCCCAGGGTGGGAGGAGAAGAACCATAACATCAGAAGACATTAGATAATCATCATGATCAGACGTGTGTACATATTCTGACAGACAAGAGTTATGGCTATAGCATGATAAGAATCAAGCAAGAATGGATCTACAATTGGATAAAGTTTTTATGGGATTGGAAGAGCGCCTTGGATATGGCACACCAACATTTAATTGTTTTTGTTCTTCATAAATCAAATGGATTTTTGAAGATGATTGTGAATATCATGGACTATTTTGTCTTGTAAAAGAAGAAAAAAAACATATATTTGGAGGGTTACGCTTTCAAAGTGTTGTAATGCAGTATTAACCAACCTGAGGATTACTTACTTGAAAATGGCAGTAGATGTTGTCCACACCGCGCACAGGGGCCAGTCTGTGGAGTTCTCTGCGGAGTATTCGGTGCAGATTCCCGGAGATGCTGAAGTGCGTCAGGGCCGGGGTGGATGCTGCCGCTGCGTCCCCCGCTCCCTGCGCCTCACCTTCAGCCCAGACTCACTGGAGAAACTTTACCAGAGCTACTTCCGCCGGCAGAGGCAGAAGAGTCTACTTGTGATGGTGATGTTTGCCGCGCTCTTCAACAGCTTCATCATTATCATGTGCGCTGTGGTTTATACACAAGACAAAGTGGCGATGATCGTGGTGGCGGCGGTGGGTTTGGCCGCGGACATAGTTCTGTACATCTTGTGTTACTTTCAGAAACTCCCCACATCTGCAGTTCTACGTGGGGCCGTGCCATACACCCTGTGGCTTATGATCAGTGTGCACGTCCTGTGTTACCTGGGCCTGAACTACCAGGGCGTCCCTCATGCCAGTAACTCTGTGGGATGGCAGGCCTTTTTCGTCTTCTCCTCTTTCCTCACGCTCCCGCTGAAGCTGGTGCCGCTGCTGCTGCTGAGCGCCATCTCCTGTGGGGTACACGTACTGGTGCAAGGGGTCACTGTGACCCAGAGGTACAACGAGCAGCTGCAGGGGCCACTGCTGGTCAGACAGGTACCACTGTGCAGCCAACGCGACCTTCATAGTCGCACTGGGGTCAGGATCACTTTAGCCTGCTTCCGCCCCCTGGGTTACATTTGGTGAAGTGTTGGCATACAGAGTCATGTCCAAACTCAGGCCCGCGGGCCAATTGCAGTCCTGGCCCAAATTATCAATTGAGATTGTAACGATTTAACTTTCATTTAACTGGCATTTGTTTGCGGCACAAAATTCCATATGGCGCTAATTAGGGCTGGGCGGTATAAACGGTATAAGCGGTATGCGGTATAAATTTGGCCCACGGTAGAGATTTTTGTTATACCGGCATATTGCGATAGGTCATTATGTCATCAAATTGCGCAGGCTCTGACGCCAGCAGAAAGGACCAAAACAAACCGGCATTCAGCAGCATTAGCCTAGCACATTAGCCTAGCACATTAGCCTTGCAGACACCACTGGAAACAACAGCACGGCTTTCACACCGTGTTTCTGTCTCTGTATTGTTGTCACAGCGGCCCCAGCGGAGGTAAATACACACACAGTAATCACAGTTTACATGTCTACCTTTCGGCCAATGAGTGTCAAAGGGGCGTAGGCTCGAAGCGCCATCGTGAGCCGAAATAGATCCATGCGTGTGCCGTGTCCGCATCATCTCAGAAGTTTTGTAAAGTTAGCGTCCGATTCAGACTTCCGCGGTCAATAGATCACGAAAGCTACTTTGTTAAACAAAATTAATTGTGCCAAAATGAGCATTTACATCAATTGTTCAAATCAAATGCGCTGTTTTAATGCAGATAAATCCATTGAATCATCCAGTTCACAGCAAGCGCTTAGGGAGCGTCAACAAATGGCAAGACTAGCTTTGTAAACGAACAATAGCTTTTACTGAAGCCATGCATACGCACTAAACTCTGACACTATAAATAATGACCATGTCTAACTGCTACAGATATTATATATTTTAATATTATTTAAAATTGCTTTCACAGTTAATGGTCTTTACTGTAACATACATAAATAATGTATGTTACAGCATTTGTCTCTGACCTGATTTTCAAACTCTTCAAAAATATATATCAGATTCTAATGTATAGATAAGTAACAATCTTGACTATTTTATGCAAGAACCTGCTAAACCTATATTGAAATTCACACACCAAATTATACCGTGATGTATAGAGGGATCCTACGGTCACGTGACTAGCAGCCACGGCAGCCATACTGGAGGACAACCTCGGCGAGTAACAGCCCTGCTAGCTATCTATAACTGGACGTTCAAAACTAGAACTCTCTCGAACTACATGAAAACTGAACAGAGAATTTGAAACTTCTGCAGTTAGTGACCCAAATATATACTCAACCTAAATTCATGAATCAGATCCTCTGAAAATGCATCCTAAAATGTATTCGTTACATCCAGGTTTACCGCGGTCGCATATTGTCGCATTAAAACAGTGTTTTTTCATGAAAACGTGAACAGAAAATTCTGAAAACCTCTGTGCACGTGTATTAAGAATGTATATGTATAATGTATTCTCCGATTAACATTTAATGTGTTTATTGTTACACCATGGATCTATGTGTGGCTACACTGCAGTGGAAATAATGAGATTACATTCAAATCAATGGAGCTTTCTGCGTCTACTGTGAGGAGCCGTATATTTTATTAATAAATACTAGTACGGGGCACCCTGGAGCACGGCTCAGTCGTTCATATGTCTGCTGGCCTTCGGTAAGTCAGATACCCTGTGAACCGGGTGAGGTCCTGTGTGAGACCAAATATATAACAGCTATGCTACAAGCTAAGCTACAGTCTATGGAGCAACCCCACGTTGCAGTCAGACAGATATGTTTTATCCTTAAACTTCTGTTTGTTTCGGAATAACACTAAATCCGCCATCAAATTGATTTCACTTAGCAGAAATGAAATGATCCATATTCGGGCGCTCTGGGGGCTATTAGTTTTTTGTTGTTGCGTATGGTTGTGCCATTTCTCTCTCGTTTCTTTGAGATTTCTTCTGTTTTTGAGCCGTGTGAAGTAAGGACGGCTGGCAGTCGGTAACACAACTTATTTTCCCTGTCTCTCCTTTTGCTGCAGCCAAAAACGGCAAAAATGTTGAACATGTGTATGCGGTCCCGGGTGCACGCCACTATCATACAGCGTTTGCTTGTCCTCCAGTATGGCGGATGCCCCGCGAGTTCGAGGCATCGTGACGTCACGTGAGATATCTCTATACCGTCTACCGTCTGTGACCCAAATCATACCGCGATATGAATTTTAGGCCATATCGCCCACCCCTAGCGCTAATGTATCTGATGAAAGTGAGGTAAGATAAGAAATCCTTTATTCGTCCCACAGTAGTACATACAGGACAATAGTAAGAGCACACAAAATATACAAAAATAGTAAGTAGCTGGTATGTTTCTTAGCTAGCTGTAAATGGTTCAATACCAGTCTTTCAATAAGTATATATCGATAAGCATTTGTCATTCAGCCAACCAATGTGAATCAATATGGATATGACGTCATACCTCATTTTAACGCTCAGTACGGTCTGAACCCTGTGAAAACAGTCTTACAATCCCGGTTTGTGTCCCCCTGGACAAGTCTGGGGAACTAATGTGGCCCTCTTATTAAAAGGTTTTGACAGCCCTGAATAGGTGATGGCCACGAGCAGAGGCGTCCCTTGCCATTACGCAAGGCAGGCAGCTGCCTGGGGCCCTTCAAGGGCCGACTGATTTGACACAAGCGGTCGACTTGTACAGGCTACAACAGCTACCCAGTGACGAGTTGCCGGATAAAAACTTCTCGTCTGATGCAAAACTTTCCACGTTCTTTATTAACAATTAAAATCTCTGCCTGAAGACAAATAAATTTAGAATGTCATAATGGTCTAGTGGTTAAGTTATAGTGCATGCGCCGCAACGACCCGGGTTCGAATTCGAGTGAGGCCAACATTTTGGATGAAACTATATATATACCTTATATTCTATGACAGATTGCTCAAGAACGGTAAAAGGTAAAACAAAAAAGCAGTTTTTTGCAGATTAAAGCTAAAAGCCTAATCTTTCATTTAGCTCTCTGTGTTTATAAACACTGATCGCCAAATGAAAGATTAGATTTTGTAGGATTACAAAATCTGGTTATGTGGTCGGTATCGGGGCCCCCAAGAACTTTGTTGCCTGGGGCCCCGGGGTACCCTTGGAACGCCACTGGCTAAGTTACTAGGCCAAGTTACAGGTTAGATCTGTGGAGAGGCAGATGTACATGTTTCTAGCTGCTAGTCGAGATATGTTTATGTTGGTACATGTTCTGAGAAACAGGCTATGATATGGAATGTGTCACACATTTGTGTGCAGGCAGTCAGTATTATGTTACTGAATACACACACATATTGCTACAATGTATGTGGCAACACCCAATATTACAGCTGTTATTTAATTGTACAATATGTTTTACTTTACCAACAGTGAACTGTACTTTTATCCCTACAGCTTCTGGCTGATGTGATGCTGTACCTGTGTGCCGCCACAGTGGGAGTGATGTCATACTACATGGCAGATAGGAAGTACAGAACAGCTTTTCTGGAGGCACGCCAATCACTGGAGGTCAAACTCACCCTGGAGGACCAGAGCACTCAGCAGGTGACACTTCATCATTATGTCTCCCCCACTATCTCCTAATGAGAACTCAGTTTGCTTTCATTAAACACTAATAGGAAAGTTTGTTGTTGTTAGCAGTGTCACCCTCAGGGACTTTTTTCCGATTATAGTCAGGACAGTTCAATCTCTGTTCCTTACTTAGGGATACAACCGTGCCATATTAGATACAGGGCACAATTAACAAAGCGAGTCATGAAGACTCTCATATCTTTTTCGCTATATTAATACAAAAACTAATTATGAACTTGATTTCTTTCACCTATTAATTTGATTGATTCACATTTTCATTCAAGTTTTAACTCCAAATCCTACATTTGTTTACCGACCAGTACCTGTGGACCTCTCCAATAATCACAGTATTAATTGTCAGTATTTCAAACATTCTTTACCCCATTTCTATTTTACAACACAATGTTAGTATATATTGTTATTGCTACACTTTTCTAGTACTTCTGTTTCATATTGAATTATTATATTGTAATCATTATAAGTAACTACATATACAGTCTGAACTGTGCACATCACTTCATTACAGCACCAATGGGGATACAACCCACACATGAACTGACATTGTTGTTCCCATCGTTCAGTTCCTGCTTTTCTCATGCTTCACCAGGCGTATATATCTGACACCTGTGTGGCTTTGTGCCTCTTACAGGAGGAGTTATTATTATCTATTCTGCCCAAACATATTGCTGATGAGATGCTAACAGGCATGAAGAACCAGGCCGATCAGAAGGACGTGCAGCGACAGCAGCAGTTCAACACTATGTACATGTATCGGCATGAAAATGTCAGGTAAGACCCACGTTTTTCTAAAGCTATTCTCTCATTCTCTCATTATTAGGGGGTGTAACATTTGTCAGTTTTGTGTATCTTTCAGTATCCTGTTTGCTGATATTGTCGGCTTCACTCAGCTGTCCTCTACCTGCAGCGCTCAGGAACTTGTTAAGCTTCTAAATGAACTGTTTGCTCGCTTTGACAAACTGGCTGAAGTAAGTTTCTCACGTAAGGGCTTGTGTGTGTGTGTGTACGTGTGTGTGGATAGGGGAGAGTATTTATTAGTCTAGATTCTCCTTTGGGTTGTTAATTAGAATGGGTGTAATACATTATCTACAGCTATAATAGTTGATTAAAGATTTTTTGTTTCTGAAAAGTATTGAATTTATAACTTTTATAACGTTTCTTTCATTATTCTTAGCCATGGATCCTGTGAATAATAATAGATAGAGCATGTCTCGCACCTGTCTTTCAGTTTTATGCCTCACATACATTATTTACGTTTTCCTTTATTTGATACATAATACCAGAGAGACAATGGGGGAAATAAAGTCCAGGCATTCCAAACTACATAACTGCACTCCTTGCGCATTCTACAGGAACATCACCAATTGAGGATTAAGATTCTTGGTGACTGTTATTACTGCATCTGTGGTCTTCCAGACTTCAGAGATGACCATGCTGCCTGCTCTATTAATATGGGCCTTTCTATGGTGGAAGCAATATCGTGAGTACTGCAGAGGTCCATGCTGCTTTTTGACATTGCACACAGATAAACATGTACAGTACGTTCTTTAGGTATGTGCGAGAAAAGACTAAAACCGATGTGGACATGCGAGTTGGAGTCCACACCGGCACTGTGCTGGGTGGGGTTTTGGGGCAGAAGCGTTGGCAGTTTGATGTCTGGTCCACTGACGTCACTGTGGCCAATAAGATGGAGTCAGGGGGTATTCCTGGGTAAGTAAACTTGATTGTTGATATAGTTTTAAACCAGGCATGTCCAAACTCAGGCCCGTGGGCCACATGGAACCCTTATGTGGTACTTTTTGTTGTTTTTTTTACTTACTTTTGGATTTATTCTCCTTGAGGCCTTTATTAGGTTATATTCAGCTGTTATATTTTTGGGTCCTTCCTTGTTTTAATAGCGTCATCTAGCCAACTTCAGCTCCACCAAGAAGTCATGCTAAACCTCATTGTAAAGCTCAGAACCTTTGGAATCGCTATGACACTAGTGTGAATCAATCAATCAGATCAGCCCAAATTTTGTCAAAACAGTTTTGTTTTGTCAGCCCCTGGACAAGTCAAAAAATTTGAACACCTCTGTTTTAAACCCTTTATTTCAATCATTGTGCGGATCAGGTTTATGGTTATTTTGATTTTGTGAGATGTATTTACTGCTGAGCTGTCATATTGTGCCATCTTGTGTGTGTGTTTTAGTTTACTGATCGTTAACAAGGGACTTCTCACTTCTCACCATTATATTGCCTTTCAAAATAACCTTAAACTCGATAGCACATCCAAAAGTATACATGATTGTATCTGATTATAAAGGAAGTCTTTGAACAATATATTATATTTGAGATGGATTTGTCTGAATAATCATTTGAACTATCCATAAATTCATTTCATTTCATTTCATTTATTCATTTATTTCAAACCTGCAGGTGTATACAAACGGCAAAACAAAAATACAAAGTCTGCTTGGTTTGAAAGGGGGATGATGGAAGCTTACGCTTATATAACCTCCCCCACAAACACTCCACTCACACAGATCATTTTCACAAATGATTACAACACAAGACATTGAACTTTCAACACAACACAAACACACACCAACCCCACACCCCTTTCCCACAATCACAATCACATAAAGATACCATGTTCTCTCACCCAGGTACTTTTCCATCACCAAACTTGTAAAATATCTTTTGAAATGTGTCAAACTTAAACAGTTTTTCAAGTTCTCAGTGAGTCCATTCCACAAACTCACCCCTCTTACAGAAATACACATAGATTTAAGCGTTGCTCTGACTCGTGGTTGGTGTAATCTATGGACACTTCTAAAACTAACTTGGAGCTGGGTGTCTCTATCTTAAAAAAAGATTTTGGATATATGCTGGAATCATTAACATATGCATTTATGCCAATGTTGTTCACCCCTAATGTGTGTTGAAAACAGGAGAGTACATATATCACAGAGCACAAGGGACTGTTTGCAAGGAGAGTTTGATTTGCAGCTTGGAAATGGTGGGGACAGGTGTGAGTATCTGTTGGAAAAAGGAATCGAAACTTACCTGGTTGTTGTGCCAAAGGACAGATCAAATGGGCTGAATGGAAACGTAAGTGCTAAAACTATTATTATTATTTTTAAATTGAACCAATTCTTTTATGCATTTTGTTGTTGTTTCAGAAACCAACAACACTATCAAACCAAAATTCTAACCAGTTGATTAATACTACATCAAGCAATGGGGCTACATCATCCCCACAGGCAACACCAGAAGTGAGACAACATGCTCTCGATTGACTTGATATTACAACATTTGTCATTTTTATATCCTTAAATGTTAACACTATTATATTGACAACATCTCAGAGGGTCAAATTTGTTGAGGAGCAAGTGATTAACAGCCGCCTACAGCAGGAGCTCCTGGAAAGGGAGACACAGCAAATGTAAGAATAGCTTCTACTCATATATATGTTGTAACATGATGCTTCTATGCCCACACTGTCCTATATTCTGGTTGTATCTTGAAAAGAATGAAAGAAAACAAGATCAACCCTTTGTCATTGACTTTTATGGATGGGAAGCTGGAGGAGCACTATTCTTCTGAGAAAGAAAAAAGAACTGGGGCGGCTTTTTCCTGCTGTGCCATAGTGCTTTTCTTCATCACAGCCATGCAGGTTTTCATAGACCCACTGTGAGTTTGCATGGTTTTTATGGAGCTATTATAAATGCCTATCATGCTATATCCTCTCTTCTTTCAGATTGGGTGTAAACTATATCACTTTTGCAGTTGGAGAGGTTTTACTGCTTATCCTCACTGTCTGCTCCCTTGCTGCTGTGTTTCCCCGGGTAAGAGCAAAAAACAAACAAAACAAAAGAGAACGAATAAAAATATGCCTACAGATTTAAATAAATGTAATACGACTGGCATTGACGGAATGACGGCACCACTTTATATTGAACCTAATCATGGGTAATTATTATGCTATCACAGATTTTCTCAGAGAGGCTGGTGTCTTTTTCTTTGTGGATTGGTCAAACACGCTGGGCCAGGAACACATGGGCTATGGCAGCTATCTTTGTTCTGACCATGACTGTGATTGCTGATATGGTAAGGTTTGGATAGAGTTGCAGATACCGTATCGAGGTTTGAGTTTTTAAAAGTGGACTAATACCTACAAATTTCTCATTGTTTATGAAATTTTATCCACAATAAGTATGTTTCCACATTGTCCTCATCAAGCAATTAATGTATTCTAAGTGTTTGACTACTTGTTCCCAGTGGGGTCCATTAGCTGCCTCTGTCACAGCCTGCTGGCTCATTTGTCATCTTCTCATAGGAGCAGCCTGTTACGCACAAGACTACTTGTTAGCGCTTGTATCAGATGCAAAATTAGCTTTTATGTCTGTTTCATCTGAAATGTTCAATGTCAGTTTCAGTTTCTAAAGGTGCTATGTCACTTTTCAGGTGTAGGGTCCTGTCCAGTAGTATTCTCTGAAATGTATTGGCATTCAACATACAGAGTAGACTCAAAGAATTAAACATATGTATTTGTTATTTATACTTAAAACAATGACATTTTGTTTGGAGCACGGTCATTTGATGAGGGCTGAGAGGGAAGCGACCATATATGGGAGAGAGGTCTTTTCTCCTTCAACTGAGTGATGTAGATAGGGCTGATGAGAATGGTCCGGATTCCCTCTGCAGTACATGACATTTTTATTTGGTGTAATTCCATACTGTTGAAAATAAAGCAGTAGCATCTTACATGGGATGAGGTGAGCCTCCACCTGAAAAGTTTCAGAGTGCATCACTAGGAGAAATTCACCATTACCAAATGCTATTATTACTAACCTATTGATCTCCTTTTATATGTTTTAGCTCAGTTGTGCCCCTCCATCACTCCAGCTTCTTAACAGCTCTACTGGTTACATGTTGGAGGACAGAGACTGTGCCAAAAATCCCAAACACTACAGCTTCATGGCCGTTATGTCACTTATCTCCACGGCGATGTTAGTGCAGGTCAGTCACGTGATGAAACTTGGCCTCATGGTGCTTGTGGTTACAGCTACAGGAGCGGTGAATATCTACAGTTGGAACAACCTGTATGAACTTTATGACTTGATGCAGTTTGAAAGTTACAGGTAGGGAATAGGCTGCAAATTACTTTTAGCTTTTTAACTTTCTAAATATAATATAGAACTACTGCAATTTGTGTGTGTCTCATAGAATGTCTATTGTGCCGACCAAGTACCTCATGACTATGATGATTATAGTTATGATGATTGCCTTCTACTTTTTTGCTCGTCACGTAAGTCCGTACCCTTTATCTATCATCTCTTTTTGGCATATTTGACCAATGGGATTATTTGCTTATAAAAATAGTTAGAGCATCAGTCAAGGAAGCTGTTCCTGTGGAAAGTTAGTGTTCATGAGCAGAAAGAAAAAGTTTTTGAAATGAGACGTTGGAATGAAGCGCTGGTCACCAACATGCTGCCAGAGCACGTAGCCAAACACTTCCTTGGCACTAAGAAGAGAGATGAGGTATGTATAGCAGAGATTAGTTTTGTTTCATATTGTAATGTACAATGTGGCTCTCTGCTTTACTCAACAGTGTCACCTTGTGGTTACATTTGTACTTGCATGTACTTAAATTCTTTATGTACATTTAGTATATTTAAGATTGTGTATCTAAAGCTTTATTATCTATATGTAGGAATTGTATAGCCAGTCTTACGAAGAAGTCGGTGTGATGTTTGCTTCTATCCCCAACTTTTCCGACTTCTATACAGAAGAGAGCATTAACAATGGAGGCCTTGAGTGCCTTCGGATTCTCAATGAGATCATTTCAGACTTTGACAGTGTAAGTTTGCTTCTTTGTATTGCATGTGCTCACAGAATTTCTATTGCAAACTTGATGTTTAACCTGATGCAAACCTGTGTTGTTCTAGTTGTTAGACCGAGACGAATTTCGGTATATAACTAAGATCAAGACCATAGGAAGCACCTACATGGCAGCTTCAGGTCTCACTACAGAAAGTATTTCAAATGGACAAAGCAATCTCAAGGTGTGTAAATCTCTGAATAAATGGTATTTTATCATTGATCTAAGAATGAAATACAAACACTTAAAGCAATTATTTCATAGATTGAAGAGGCCTCCTTGATTCAGCGCTGGCAACACCTCGCTGACTTGGCTGAATTTGCCCTGGCAATGAAAGTCACACTCAATAACCTTAACAAACAGTCCTTTAACAACTTCATGCTTCGAATAGGTTAATTTATGTCATTCTGAAGCAAAAGCTTATCTTGCTCATTAAGTCCAATCCGTCTCTTCACCTGTTATAGGCCTCAATAAAGGTGGAGTGCTGGCTGGTGTGATTGGGGCACGTAAACCTCACTATGACATCTGGGGTAACACAGTGAACGTGGCCAGCAGAATGGAGTCCACCGGAGTGATGGGAAACATCCAGGTATTACAACATAGAACAATTAAAGATTCAGTTTTTTTGCAATTTGTAGTAAAACCACATTGGGGTACCTGTGAAAGAGTACCTCAGTGTGCCCCAATAGTGGCACAGAGCCATGTCTCGGCACCATGAAATAATAATTTTATAGTTTTATGTCATTGTTTACATGTTTACTAGTGTGTTCTTCACTCAGGTTGTGGAAGATTGCTTTACAATACTCAAAGAGTATGATTTTCGGTTTATACGAAGAGGATCCATTTATGTCAAAGGAAAAGGTGAACTACTTACTTATTTCATGAAAGGTCGAGAGAAGCCTGCGCAAACCAATGCTCCAATCTCTACTGCTCTTCCTCACCAAGTGATAGATGTTTCTTAATGTCTCTTTAATTTGTATGTTTCAAAATCTGAAAATTTTACATGATTCAAAATACATTCCATTTTCTATAGTCAGCTAAATTGAGCATAAAATGCAATAAACTGGTCATTGTGATGGTGGTTGTTTTTACCTGGTGTTAGTTGCTTTGTGTTCTGTGATGTGAAATGTGAAACAAAAGGCAGAGCCCTGAACATGTATTATGGAGGAAGAGAACTGAAAATATATCTTTAAGTAAAGTAGCCACTGAGCTCTTGATCTTATGTGACAATTCTTGGGTTTTAATCATAGACTGTTTTAATAGGATAATATTGTTTTTTATTTTATCTATTTGAGATTCTACACCAATTGTGTAGCGCTAAACTATTTAAAATATCATACAAATTAAGACGTATACGAGGGTTAAGAAGACTAATATGAAATACACCTAACTAACAAAATCACCGCATACGGATTATAACTTTACCCGGAAGCTTGGTAGTGTAGGAATTTCCGGTGACGTCAGTGCGTCAGGACTCCATTAGAGCTGCAGCTGTTTTCAGAAACAACAACAAAAACGGGCAATAACTGACAGTTCTGTGAGCCCGACACACGAGCCCTCAATCTGGAAGCTGCTAGACCTTTTCCCACCCCGAGCTCCGTCGGCTGCTAACCACGGCCGCTCTCGGTGAGGAAACTCTGGCCTCCGCTTCCTCCTCCTCCGACTCGGACACCGGTGGAGCGTCGCCGCCCCCGCGGAAGAAGCACCGAGCCTCGGCGGCGGAGGGAGCAGGAGAGCCCGGGGCTTCAGCACTTGTAACAGGCCTCACTGGAGTTGTCTTAGGACTTGCTACCCACTCTCAAGCTACTTCAGCCATCCACTTTAATCGAAGTATTGTCAACAATCTTAGCAGCAGTATGCAGGCAAACGGGGCAGGACAAGGACAAGAATCCGGAGATCTTTCCTGCCTAAATACCGCACAAAATGGGGAGTCTTCGTCTGCTGGCCACTCCAATGGGCTCCTCTCCAGCACGGACAACGGGAACAGCGTCGGTACAAGCAATGGGGCTTCCACGGGACCTGGTTTGGGCTCTTTGGCAGGATCCACGACTTCAAATACAGAACTTAAAAAGAAGAAACGCTTGACACAGGCGGAGGAAGATGTCATTCGATTAATAGGGCAACATCTCCACGGATTAGGGCTAAAGTAAGTTTATTCTCAGTGTCAGTCGAGGAAACCTTCACCACCTTACACAATAGTGTCAGTAAACATGAGAATTCTAATCAAAAGAAGGTTATTTCGGTGGAAAGTTGAAAATGGCAGCTGGTAAAACGCTGTTAGTATGCTTGACAGACACAAACATGGGGGGATGGGGTAGTTTTAGCCTGTGAGCTCGGCTTTGGTAGAAAGAAGGGGTCCATCTTGCACAATAACACTTAGCCTAGGAGCTAACGGCACAAGTCTACGTTGGAGTGATTATTTCTATTTTTAAACAATTAGACGAAATAGTTTTTTTTAAATAAAATGCCCTATATTACAGTTATAATGTATTGTTGTTATGTCATAGCACAGAATTCATTGTTGGCATTATGTTATAAAGATTTTATCTTCATAAAACCATTACATCATCTAGTTAAAAGAACCTGGGTACAATACAGACGCACAATTATAAAATTATTAATAATTAAAAATGGGCGTAATGATGGACAATTTAAGCATGTCTAATACAGCCAGATATAATATCTGAACCCGCGTTATATGCGGATTGACAGCGTTCTGCTATGTGTTTGTTAGTTTTTCGTTTTGACAGCTTCAATCAATGTAAGGATTGTGCAGAACAAAGTGGGACGAACGTGGATATGTCGGCCATAGTGTTATAATAAGAAGCATGTTTATGAAAACCGACCTGGTTAGTTTAGGATTGCACTATATGCTTAGCCTCCGCCGTCATCTGAATCTGTTTGGGGGATGTATTTTGTCAGCAATGATCACTATCTGAAATGACAGTCATGTGTGTTTTTAAGAAAATAATGTCATGCAAAATGTATATAAGTGGTAGATTGTGAGCAGAATGTGTCAGTTTTATAGTGGCCGAGGAATGCGTCTTCTGCCAGCTGTTTTAGATTGAAATTCTGTATTTGAATCTAATTATAGCACAGTGGGCTTTTCAAGTAGCATACTCTTCTCCAAAGGGCCGTTGCTACTGCCTTAAAGCTAGACACTATGAAGACAGCTTAACACACTGCGAGCTGCATGTTTTGTACCATTTGGCCTTTTATGAAACATGGCCTCTGCATTTGTGCTGATGAAAAGGCAACTGAGACATTGCAGCTGGATAAGGGGCATACACAAAGGTGCTGCGCCATTCCATTGATACACAAGAATGATGTCATAATGCGAGAAGTGTCAGCTCTATCCTTGAAGATTATTCAGGCTTTATCCTTGGACCCTGTGTGTTTCTGTCACAATGAGTTTAACTCAGGGTCTTGAACAGAACAGATGGTTAGTTCATCCTTAACAGGTTAATGGTAGGTAAAGGGGAAGCCCAGATTATGATATGGGTATATTACAGATTTCGCTGCCAAAGGATTAGGACATCCTTGACCCTCACATGATTAATTTAACATATATGGTATTACTGACCTTTATCATATAGTAAATAAAAAAAGGTTTCATAAATAAACCATCATGTTGTATGTGTTTGCAGTCAGACAGTGGACCTGCTGATGCAGGAGTCAGGCTGCAGGCTCGAACATCCTTCTGCTACTAAATTCCGCAATCATGTCATGGAGGGGGAGTGGGACAAGGTGAGTGTTCAATTCTGTCTTTCATCTATGAACTCGTGCTACAGGACACTGGGACTCTACTATCAATCGAATCATGTGGAACAAGTGTGGTTGGTCAAATGCAGAGGATATATTAGAGCTGGGCGATATGGCAAAAAAGTAACATCTCAATTTTATTTCCTGCTTTGGACGATTTCGATTTAAAATCGATTTTCATCAAAGTTTGCCCTTAAAAATATTTTTTGATCTTTCCGCTCAATAATCAAGTTTCAAAACCATTTTTATTTTGTTTCCCTCAATACATATTATAAAAGTCTTGTACAGACTGTGCTGATATTGCAAGTATAGTTCATGTGCTGCTGGAATGCTCACAATGTCCTTCATTCGATTTCACGATTTTCACATTTTTCAATAATTCCATTTTTTCAAAAGCCGATTAATTGCCTAAATTCGATTTATTGCCCAGCCCTAGGATATATTAAAACTATTGTTGTCTTTAAAGTCATGACTGATTGTTAGTTTTGCCCACAGAGATGAAAGATTTACTAATTATACTTCATGACTCACTTTATCTCTTATACAGTGTATGGTTTTAGTTGACCTAATTGGTCTATTTGTATCTTTTACTTACTTTTTTTTTTTTAAAGGTAATCTCAATTACAGTTAAAGTTGTGGGATTGTACTGTGCTCTCTTTTGTGTTAGTCATGTCGTTCAAAAGTGCTGACTTAATCATCCGTGTCTCTTGTGTCCCCCTCTATCACCTCCCTTTGTTTTGTTGCAGGCTGAGAATGATCTCAATGAATTGCGAGCACTGATGCATTCTCCAAACGCTATTGTGGTAAGCTTTCTGTGTTATAGCTCAGATCCAAAGGTCAACTCTAGGATGATCTAGAACAGGGTGGGAAAGTATTTTGATTTTGGGGGGGATGGTGGTAGGAAATGAAAAAGACCACAAACAGACACCTGATGCTAATCACTCAGCCCTGCTCTTACATGACACTGAATTATGTTGAGCTCCTATTGCATGTTCTCTTAACTCTTAAATTGTGTTAATTTTCTTAATTTTATATGTTTCTACTGTTTTTTTAGTTTATTGTAAGCCCTTCAAATCAATCAATGGTGCATTAAACATGATAGTTTATGATTTTGTTATCTGTAAAGCAGTTTGATATGATTCCCCCATTGAAATCTTTGTGCTCATAATCTGGGTCTACTTTGCTTTCTTCTTTAGCGGATGAAGTTCTTGTTGCTGCAGCAGAAATACCTGGAGTATCTTGAAGATGGTAAAGTCCTTGAGGCTCTTCAGGTGCTCAGAGGAGAGCTGACACCGCTCAAATACAACACAGACCGCATCCACGTACTCAGCGGGTACAGTTACAGGCCTAATATCGTCTGCACAGTGGCTAGACTAACATCCTAGTTGTTCTAGAAAGAAACTGTTTCTTTTCACTAACCTACACAGATTAGGGCTGACCACTCATGGTAATGTTCTACAAATCCATGTCTTAATCGCAGATGGAAAATTGTTGTACTAAACTAGTGCAAGAATCTCAAGGCCTGTGTGATTGTGTGTTTGAATAATACCAATAGTTTACTTTGTATTTACACTTTTTGCGTTTGAGGAATACTTCTATGGTGCTGCTGGAGTAGCCACATATTCAGTACATATTTGAGGCTTTTTAATTTGTGCTGGACTTTCAGGAAAATGTATTTTGTTACACGCAAACGTATGCAATGTAGCAGCAGCATGTTATGTTTCCTATAATTTCTGTTAGTTGCCTTGTGTTATACATTTAATCAGTTTTTGTGCAAAATACACAAATACACTAAATGCTCTTTCTACACTGAATGCAAGCAGAGGCCAGAGCTTTTCTCACATTCATGCTAACACAAGGCTACCTGTCTGCTGTGTATTTTCGGTGCAGTCCCAAAGTAACCACTCCTCCAGCTTTGGGGTCACTGCCCCGAGTGCACCGATCACCGCAGGCACTTCTGTCACCTTTACCTTCCAGGCCCTCTCCAGCTCCTCTCTGAGCCCTTGGTATTTCTCAAGATTTTCGTGCTATTTTTTTCATGATGTCACTATTGCTTGGAATTGCCACGTCCACAACCACGGCTTTCTTCTGCCCTTTGTCCACCACCACAATGTCAGGTTGGTTCGCCATTACCATTCGGTCTGTCTGTATCTGGAAGTCCAGCAGGATCTTTGCACGCTCATTCTCCACCACCTTTGAAGGAGTTTCCCACTTAGACCTACGGGGTTACCAGCCCATACTCTCCACAGATGTTTCTGTACACTAGCCAGCCACTTGGTTATGGCATTCCATGTGGGCCTTCCCTGCCAGCGTCTTGCACACCTCAGTTATGTGTTGGATCGTCTCAGGTGCCTCTTTGCACAACCGACACCTTGGGTCTTGTCTGGTGTGGTATGTCTGGCCCTCTATCTCTCTGGAGCTCAGGGTCTGCTCCTGTGCAGCCATGATGAGTGCCTCTGTGCTGTCCTGTAGGCCAGCCCTTTCTAGCCATTGGTAGGACTTCTTGAGATCAGTCACTTCTGCTATGCTCCTGTGGTACATGCCGTGTAGGGGCTTGTCCTCCCATGATGGGTTCTCCTCCAGCACTGACTGAGACATTCGCTGAGTATGTCACCCATTTCAGCCTTCTCAATTTATGGAGTTTGGAAGTTCTGTCCTGGACTGTGGCTCTCACACTCACTAGTCCTCGGCCTCCTTTACGGGCTTACGTACAGTCTCATGGTACTGGATTTGGGATGGAACCAACCATGCATGGTGAGGAGCTTTCGAGTTTTAACATCTGTGGTCTGAATCTCTTCCTTTGGCCAGCTGATGATTCCTGCAGGGTATCTGATCACTGACAGGGCATAGCTGTTAGTTGCCTGGGCCTTGTTGTTTCCAGTGAGTCAGGATCTTAGGATCTGCTTTTCTCTCTGGAGGTATTTGGAAGTTGCCGCTTTTCTCGTTGCCTGTTCGAGGTTGCCATTTGCCTTTGATTTACCGAGATGCTTGTAGCTGTCCTCGACGTCTGCTATTGTTCCCTCTGGGAGTGAGATCCCTTCTGTGTGGACTACCTTGCCTCTCCGAGTCACCATCCTGCTACATTTCTCGAGTCCGAATGACATCCCAATGTCATGGCTGTAGATCCTGGTGGTATGATCAGAGAGTCAATGTCTGTCTCGCTTTTGGAGGTGACGTGTGTATGTGATCGGTGGACTCAGGGCAGTGACCCCGAAGCTGGAGGAGTTACAGCATATCCCTAGAACCACCTTGGAAATCTTGGTCCAGAAATGTTCAGTGCTCGGAACAGCAAAGATACTGCGCAGAACCCTCAAGGTCCCTGGCCTCTGTTAGATAACCCAAGCATAGAGAGGGATAATGACATATACTGTAATTTTGCTTTTACCTCACAACTGTCTGCCACTTTGTCTTTCATTAAAAGGCCAAACATATAAAATGATAAAAATGTTGGTTTTTCATCCTATTGAGATGACATCTAAGCACGTTCATGGGTTATGAATACCTATTTAAAGGCTTTGTTTAACCTTGAAATAATTGTTTTCTCATCAAAACCATACCTGTAAATTTTGTTAGTTTAAGGAATTTTCAGCACAAATTCATCCATACCCCTGCTCCCTTACAAATGCTTTGTTGTGAATTTATTTGAGCTGTTGTTGATCTGTTACATCAGTGCTTCCCAATGTGGGGTCCCTCAGATGCACTGTAAGAGGCCTTGTACGGTTGTCCACACAACTAGTAATCGGGCATTTGTTACTTTATTACTGCTTTCCACAACCTTAAACCATGTATGTATATGTGTTTCGGTATACAAGAGAAAATGATCACATTATTCATCAAATTAATTGATATTTGCTACAATGCTTAAGACACAAATTTATGTGTATGAAATAGTTTCAATCACCTAAGTAAAGGTACTCTGGATACAATCCTTTCTCATTTCCTCTGTAAACCGCAATGTTACTTATACTACTATAGACTACTTAGTCTTACTAGTTACTTATTAGTAGTTACTTTAGTAATATCTGTTTCCTTAATATTATTTGTAATTGGATCTTGCAGGTACCTCATGTGTAGTCATGCAGAAGATCTGAGGGCAAAGGCTGAATGGGAGGGTAAAGGGATTGCCTCACGTTCTCGACTTCTGGACAAATTACAAAGTAAGAAGTTTTGTATTAACTTGATTGTGGTCCAGAAAATGACCCCTACTTTTATATTTTCAGCATACCTTCCACCTTCTGTAATGCTGCCTCCCCGGAGGCTTCAAACGCTTCTGAAGCAGGCAGTAGAGCTCCAGAGAGACCGGTGTCTCTACCACAACACCAAGCTGGACAACAGTCTGGACTCGGTGTCTCTCCTTCTAGATCATGTTTGCAGCAGGTGGGCGGCCAAATCTTGAATCTTCATTAGTCTAATGGTTTCTTCACACCCAACTGATTTCACTTTTTGTGTAATAGGAAACAGTTCCCCTGTTACACTCAACAGATTCTTACAGAACACTGTAATGAAGTTTGGTTCTGCAAATTCTCTAACGATGGCACAAAACTCGCAACTGGCTCCAAAGACACCACGGTCATCATTTGGCAAGTGGACCCAGTACGTAAATGACTTTTCTTTTCTATTTTTTTTTTTTACTGCTGTGTTTTTTGTACATTGTAATGATGCATAGTTCTCTGAATGCTCCAAATAACCTCACATCTGGTTATTTATGTTTGGACTGAACTACTTTTGAGAGGATGCTTTTATTTCATTTACAATCACTGTAGAAAATTATTTTTTTCAATGTAGACTGAGCCATAACTTGCTGCGATGGTTCATGAAGTTATTTTATCAGATAAAACTTTAAGAATACTTTACAACAATACATTTTCACAATGTCAGCCTTTGTTTGTATTTTTAAACTTCATGAATGTATTTAGGAGAGCCATCAGCTGAAGCTTCTGCGGACTCTTGAAGGACATGCATATGGTGTGTCGTATTTAGCCTGGAGTCCAGACGACACGTACCTGATCGCCTGTGGACCCGACGACTGTTCAGAGCTATGGCTCTGGAATATTCAGGTGTGTCATATTGTTCTGATTCAGGGAAAATTTCCATTCATAAAGTGAAAGTTACTTTTGTGCTTTTAACATAGCCATTCTGTTTGTCCTGCTTTAATTGAGTGCCCAAATATCCAGCGCACAGTTCATACGTGTACTTCACTGAAGTCGCTATCCTTTCACTCCACACTCTGTGGTGACTGAAGCCCCTCCGACCACCACCATCTTCACTCAACACATTCATACTGCTGCATGTCTGCATGGGGGGGATCCAACCGGTGACCTCCTCATGTGAGGCTTCAGCGCACCCATTCAGCTATCGTGCCACAACAAATTCTTAGTCTTAAAAACTGTAAGAATTATGAGGTGGGGCCTTTGCAGACTTGAACATGAAGCTTATAGTTATATTTCCATTATTACATTGATGAAAAAACTGTAAAATAGAATGAATACATCACTACCAAACACCAGAACACAATGTCGAAGTCCATAGACGCATTGTCTGCCTGGATCTTGATAGTTTTGAGTCGTGATTGGAATGTACTCAATGACCTCGTCTCCTCTTCCTTTAATTCCCCTCCCCCATATTTACTTCACTTCTTCTGTTTTCCCCTCCCCCATCCACACGCTGTTCTGTTTTTCTCTTCATGTTGTTGACCTGTTTGATGACCAGACGGGGGAGCTGCGGACCAAGATGTCCCAGTCCCATGAAGACAGCCTGACTAGTGTAGCCTGGAACCCTGACGGCAAACGTTTTGTCACTGGAGGACAAAGGGGACAATTCTATCAGTGTGTAAGTGCAAGACTCATTAAGCGCTAACATGACTCCAAGATTATTGGAGGCTTCTTTTTAATAAAAAAATTATGCAACATTTGTTTTTTAAATGGCTCTTGATGGGGTATATACATTTTTACAGGATCTGGATGGTAACTTATTGGATTCGTGGGAGGGAGTAAGAGTGCAGTGCCTGTGGTGTCTAGGTGACGGCAGGACCGTGCTGGCCTCAGACACTCACCAACGAATCCGAGGGTACAACTTCGAGGACCTTACAGACAGAAATATGTAAGCAACAAAAAACTGGTCGAGTCCCTCATAGGGAAAAAGTTCTGTTTTAGTTTTATGAGCTTAATTTGCATTTATGGAACTAAACAAAACTAATAGACCAGTCAGAAGCTATGCTTGTTGAATTTTTCAACTCATGGATTATTTGTGTATCTTTACAGAGTGCAGGAGGACCACCCTATCATGTCTTTTACTGTTTCAAAGAATGGGCGATTAGCTTTGTTAAATGTAGCAACTCAGGTAATTGCTTGGCGTATTGTTTGTGTGTGTTATACAGATGATGTTTTGAGCACAAAATTATCATTATTGTCATATTTTTTAGGGAGTGCACCTGTGGGATCTGCAAGACCGGGTGCTTGTGAGAAAATACCAAGGTGTAACCCAGGGCTTCTACACCATCCACTCCTGTTTTGGAGGACACAATGAAGACTTCATAGCCAGTGGCAGTGAAGGTGTGTTTTATCAACCGTTATGTGTCTTTTTTTTGCATTCTTGCAATGACACTTTCCGCTTATTTTATTGTTCCTACTAGATCACAAAGTGTACATATGGCATAGACGTGGCGAACTGCCCATTGCAGAACTAACAGGCCACACACGTACCGTTAACTGTGTGAGCTGGAACCCTACAGTCCCCGGACTCATGGCTTCAGCCTCCGACGATGGTACAGTCCGCGTCTGGGGGCCCGCACCGGTTCTTGAAACACAGGAGACCGACGGACTCAACGGTAATTCTTATTTCTATCTCCACAGGGTCATTATTTTACATGTGTAACTTTGTTGGTTTGCTAAATATTTGAATAACTATCCACAGAACACTGCAGTAATATGGACAGTTGATGGTCACTAACATTGACGACATCTCTAACTACAGATTCAAGAATCCTACAATATAAAGGAAACATACCTGAACAAGTAAAATGTACCACCATCCCAAATCTAGCGAAGATTAAATGAAAGCAAACAAAAGGATACAACAGATTTCGGTAACCGAGGAGAGCCTACATCAAACAGCAGAGGTGACGTGTTCTTCTGATCTGGAGAAATGGAAAACCAGTAATCAGGCACTGGTGGTCCTTAAGTTATCACTTTTCCCTCGTCTTGTATGGCTGCAACCTTGTGAAACTTCCTGAAAAACTCACATCCACCTAGAACTTGGAGCACATGGAGTGATGCCTCCAGACACTGCAGGCCAGTCCTCCTCATCGGACTCTCCTGTCTGCCTGTGTGTCTTGCACGTACATGTATAATGTCTCCATTGACATGGGTGGGGTGTTTTGGAAGGAGTCGGGCAAAGGGGGTTATAGCAACTCTTCTATGTATGTTTTACTATTACCCCATTTTCTGTTTTTGATCTGTGGGAGGCATACTCTGTGAAAAACAAAACTAAAACATCGACCGACCAACTGACAACTACAAAATGGCTATGCTAAATGTTGGATTTTTAAAAAATAATACTCATTATAGCATTATTTTCATTTACCGATAAATGGTGAATCTTAGCTCAAGTAGTGCCCGTGGAGATTCTTTGTTTCTCATGATAAGGAACTTTTTATTCTCTTATTTAATTTCTAACAAGGACAGTGCTGTAATGTTACAACTGGCGTCCCCCAGTCCCTCTTTTGAGCTCGCTACCGCACAACTCCATTACATCAGCCAATGAGGACAAGGACAGAGTGATTGAATATAATTATATTGAAGAGGTGGACTTGCGGCCAAAGCATAATTTGATGTTTGTCCACAAAACACAAACTCTCAGAAGTAAAAGTGCAGCTTCCATTGCACTCCGCTTACTGCTGTCTCTTCTGTGTGTGTTGTGTGTGCGAATGTGTGTATGCGTGAGAGTGAGTGATGATGAGGGCTGTTGGCACGTTATGAGAGTTGACATTTGTGTCCATTGGCGTGTCTTGTACGTGTTTAGTCGACACCAGCATAAGAGTTTTGCTCCACCTTCTGTCTTATGCCCCTAATCCCATAGTAATATGAAAGAGGATTTTAAACTAATTCTAAGTTATCCAAAGCTCCGTAGGGACCTCTGTCTATGTAACAAAGAATACTTGAGAGCAATTTTGTAAAAGCAAACTTTTTTTTAATCTGGGATTTAATTTAATTTAATTTAATTTTTTTCCCTAACCACATGGCATTCAAATGGCACTGAGTTATTGGGATGGCATTATTGTGAGAACACAAAGTGGTGGTTTCCGAAAGCAGTTTGAGTGATTCATGTTTGAAAAAGCTGTGGCGTTTTGTGTTGTTTGCAAAGGGTCATTTCACATGATGATTTGAGGATTGTAATTATTGGATAAATAGTTAGTGCAGCCCTAGAAAGCAGACATACCAATAGCCGGAACCATAGTCTGAATCCACGACAGTTTGGGAGTGTCATTGCAATTCAAAAATACACACTGACTGCCTTTCTGTTCATGTGATTGAACACAAACCATTTTTATGTACGTCAGCCCCTCTGCACTTTGTGAACATTCACTCTTGCACCTACTGCAAAAATCAACCGTAAGGTACATTGCCTAGCAGACCTATGGTTTCCACGCTGGCCATTCTGATGGCTTAAAAGCTTGTATTGGCAAGACATAATATCACACATGTGTTCTGTAAAGGAGATGAGCCCTCACCATGCTTCTATGCACCAGGGCAGTAGCCAACATCCATGTGTACAAATCGGGCACCTCTGCCTCTTGGAACTTAGAGACATTTAGCAGGACACCCCTTGCTGTGCAGCCGTGTTTCTCGGTGGTCATTGAACCATTTAATGCTTTCTTCCTCCCTATTTCAGGGTATGTCATAACTATTTGCTACAGACTGATTAACAGTAAACTGTTAAAACTGTGCTTTTCTGTCTGTTTTTATTGAATTTTTGTTACTTTTTTTGACATTATATCATTTTTGGTTGACGTCTATCCCTGTATAATCATATTAAAATATAACCAGACATTTGGACTCTTCATTTATATTCTTTTGAAATCCTTTTTATTTCATTTATTTCTTTATGTTAACTTATGTCTTATCCTCTGCAATTAGTAACTAAATAAATATGCACAGTCATAACCATGCCAAAAGGTGTGCAGTGTGTTTTGAAAAAGTGTGTAAAGTACAATCAGGTCTAAACAATCCGCCTCGCGCCTTTAAGAGTTTCCATGTGAAGATGTACTTTTGCATGCCTGTGTCCCTGAATGAAATACTTTGGTGGATTTTTATTGACTGGCAGTTCCTGCTTTTTCAAAGCCAAAGCATTGAGGTAGAATGGTTTTTCCTATTGGCTACTTGTTTCACTCAGCAAATACAGTGTCTCCATGATGCCTGAAAAGCTGAATGGACTCCTTTCACATGCTCACAAACTGGCTACTTGTACAAAAGTCAACACGCTCTTTGGTTTGGCTCATTAGACATCTGCTGACAAAATGCTCTGTCTGTACCCAAGCTCTGGTGTTACAGATGTTCTTTTGACTTCTTATTTAAATGTCTTATTGTTTCTGAGGCTGTGATGCTGGGTAGGGGTGGTGGTGTTTGGGATTAAAAGGGCTGACTGTAGCAACTATACGTTTCTGGGGTGAGGGAAGTCCCTGTGTGGAATTTGCGTTCACAATGTGTTAATTACAAGTGATTGTACTGTTTTGTATTGTGTAGGAAGTGTTATGTATGCATATTTTCAATAAATCATTCAGGGTTTTAACAATGGTTCATGGACATTTCAGGAGATCAGAATTGCATTTTACATTTTATGATGCATTGTATTTCACCAAACCGAATCTTGCTTTCAAAACAACAGTATTGTTGTTGAGACTAGTTTGTGCAGGTTATAGAATTCAGAATACCTGCACTAAAATGCATTTTGTGTTTTAGTACATGGCCCACATGAAAGTACTGTACACTGAGTACTTGACAAAAATCCATATGCATTTTTGCATTATACACTGGGGTTTGAATGTAATACATTCTCTAATACTCTGCTTAGTTTCTGAGGTCTGACAAGATCAGGCTTTTCACAGGTGGCACCACATGAATAGTATTAATTTGTTTGGTTTTATAATATCTATTATAGAAGACTGGTGATGGGGACATTATTTTCTCAAGATTAAACAAAATAATGAATTCATTGCAGCCCAAAGAGAAAATATTATGCCTAATATTTTAATAATGATAATAATAATAATAATTGGCCTCCCCTTCTACATTTGTCCATTTTACCTTTGGTCCAGCTTTGGCTATCTTCCAAACTTGATTTATAAAAAGTAATCCTTTTATCAAAAGACCTGCACAATGTAAAGGATATAAGAAATAAAAAATAAAATGTGCATTCGAAGTGGCATAATTTAATGAGGTCTTCCTACTAACTTTACATCTGCTCAATCAGTCCAATTTTATAGAAAGCAGTCACACATCATGAATACAATGCCTCCCCTGTTTGGCGATGTAATAACTACAGATGCAAAAGGTGAGAACAACTTTCGCCCCGTTTCCCTTGACCTGAAATATGTTGAACGCCCCTGGTCTATGCCCATAATACTGTAGATCCATGTCCATGTCACATGTAGACAGAGCATCAGCATAAAGGCCTCTTTGTTTATGCCCCTTATTTCAATCTCTTCTATTTTTTTTCTTTTTGTGGAATTAAATCTTACCAAGTCGCAAACCTGGAACTGCTCTGTCTCATACAAGCATAATTAGATGAATATAGGCGGCACGGTGGCTGAGTGGATGTCACTCTCGCCTCTCAGCAAGAAGGTCCTGGGTTCGAATTCTGGTCGGAACAGGGTCTTTCTGAGTGGGGTTTGCATGTTCTCCCCCTGTCTGGGTAGGTTTCCTCAGGGTGCTCCGGTTTGCCCTACCACCAAAAACATGTTCACTAGTTCTGGCATGCGCCTCCTGTACTGGCGACCCCGATCCCATCTCTGTTGTTGAGTGAGAGACAAATGCGCACAATTGTTGTAAACCGCTTTGTGACTCTGGTCTGTGAAAGGCGGTATATAAATAAAGATTACTTACTTACTTACTTATAAAGACTGCACTTCAGGCTTTAGGGTAGGTGCAATAAAACACTGCACTTTAGGCTTTGGACAAGTGCAACATGAGATGAGATGAGATGATAGTTTATTATCTCACAATGGAGAAATTCAGTTCGATGAATAAACATCAACACTGGCTGCATACTATATTTCTGCGCTCCTTATGACAGTTTAACATAATAGTGCACTTTAGATTTTCCAAAGTGCAAGACTACGGGGTGCTCTGTTTTTCTATGTTCCTAGAGGTCTCTGATGGTGCTCCTACCTATGTCTATTTTTGGTCTCTTTAATGTTCAATGTTTATCGTCTAATGTGGTGTTTGCAAATGTATGTGGCGTGAGGCATGTGAACCCCTGTCCCAAGACAAATGTTTCCTACGGGAGACAATAAAGGAGCATCTTATCTTATAATTTGGATGCAACCTTTCCTTGGCTCGGTTGGGGGCGTGCCATTTGTCCAGACGCCTCGCCCAGCCCTCCCTCCCTCAGCTGCTCGGGCTTCACCAGTGTCTATGGACTAAACACAGCACTATCATCCGGCGAGAGGGGCACACAAGCAGCCCGGGCTCCTGTTGGCAGGCATGGCGGCTCCTTTGGCAAACTTCGATGAGGACTGGCAGGATTTTAACGAGTTTAAGCCGTCCCAGGAGTCCGAGCAACTCACCTCCAATGCGAGCGACTCCATCAGCACTACCGCCTCGGGCCTAGACGACTTCTCCGACCTGGACAACAGCTTCTGTGGGGAGATCTGCAGCTTCAAATCCATGGAGGATCTCGTCCATGACTTTGATGAGAAGCTGACTGTGTGTTTCCGAAATTTCAACTCTGCCACAGAAAACTTAGCGCCCGTTAAACCCATAACAGAGGACAACTATCTGAAGGATGACGAGTGAGTGTCAATACTTTAACATTATGCTAAGCTAGCTGTAACTTTTACGTCCCCGTCTACTAGCTAGCATAGTTGTATTAGCATGAGGCTAACCAAACCCATGGATGTGTGGCCAAATCTCACTTGTAGTCCTTTTTTAACAGTTGTTTTTATTATTTCAACATGTAGAAGTAGTTTTCAATATATCTTGATCAAATCTGCTATCGATGTGTAATAAGCATGTTGATAAGTATGCTACTTGTCAGCATATTTTTAATCTATGTTTTTATATGTTCTCATTGACAATATATACTTTCGAATTTGTTAGATCTTGCATTTAATTGAAGGGGGAGGTTTTGGTTTGTAGGTGGGGTCCTGCCACGTTCACAGAAATGTTGCATAGGAGTTTACACTGCAGAGATTTTAACCTGGTGTGTTAATATTTCTGAATCTGTCTACATAAGATGTTTTTGAGTGACCCGTATGTAAAACTTATTGCTAAACACATAATGTTGCAACTATTTTTGTTGTAATTACCTAATACCATTGCAGTACATTGCAGTGCTTGATTCGCCCTTCTTGCTTAATATGGTCTTTCCCATCTACTGTCTGTCTCTAGACCACACTGTCATGAAGATTTATCCAACATCAGGAATTGGACATTAGTCTAAAAGCTGAGGAAACAAAATAAAGTAATTGGAAAGCAGTCTGCAACCAAAGGAGGAGTCTTTTCTGGATCAGCACACTTAATTCTACTGCTTTGATAATTAATTTGTTCTTCTGAGGTAAAAATACAGCAGTGACAGGAAGAGCTTGAATGTTGGAATGCAAAAACTAAAATGGGTTTTAGATGAGACGATATGAACGGTTACATGAATGTGACATCCATGTAATCCTACCAATTCAACTGGTTTTTAATGCCTTTTCATCTTTAAATCTGCAAAAGCTTTAAGTGAAGCAACAACAAATTGTGTTTTTGACAGATGACAGTGTCAGCTTGCAGCACATGTGATATTATTTGCCAATTGTTGTTTCCCTTTTTAGCTCAGCTCCTCGCCCTCCTGCTCCCCAAGCCATGTGTGACCCCTTCAGGGAGAAACATGGAGGTTACATAAACATTTGTGTGTGTGTGTGAGATCAGGATGCAGAGTGGATGTGACACAAGGGCTAACAGCATCCCTCCTTGGCTCACTGAACAGCACGTGTAACATTGGGACTGTACTGAGGAGAGGCCATTTTTGTGGGAAGCCATCCTAAAAGTAGAGCATACAGGGCTGAAGTTGACCAAAGAAATTGTCAATTAAAGATGGGATGTGGCAAATTCTCCAGTTATGACTACATACCTAAACTACTTTTTCAATCAAATGAAAAAGTAACTATAAATAAAATATCTATAATTTTCGAAAATGATAATGATGAATTATATGAAATTTCAGGAAGACGGCCACTTCATCAGACAGGGGCTCCCTAGATTGTAGAACCTTTTTGACTTTTTTGATCTTTAAAATGAGGTTTGACATATGTCCATATATTTCCATATTCATTCACGTTGGACAGAGCTGGAGTTGGATCTCTCCTGCTACATTAGCGCCATATACAGAATTTTGTGACACTCAAAAACAAATGCAGGTATATAAAAGTAAAGTCAACAATGGCTGGATTCCAGAGGTTCTGAGATTTCCAACAAGGTACAGCCTGCCTAAAATGATGGAGCTGAAGTTTGCTGGATGACACTGTCAACTTGTGTTTATGATCTCAGAGACTACTTTGGGTTAGCAACAGAGGGCTGCAATTGGCCCGCAGGGCGGATCCAAATGAATCCAGCTCTGGGTTCTCTTTGGGGCCGTAGAAGAGCACACTGGTTGCATTTTTCAATTCATTTATTTTGGAACACATAGTAACTATTCATCAGACTTAATAATATTGTTTGAAAAATATGCACCATTTCAATATCAAGCTTATTGTTTAAGTTAAGTCAAACACATTACTGTAAAACAGTGATTAAATTGAAATCCAACATGTAAACAGTTAAAACCCTTGTCTTTTGTGGTTAGTTGTTTTTTTCCACATTATCGCCTGGATATTGTTATCTGAACGCTTACAATATATCAAAAGTCATGTTTGCCTTTATCAACCACCCTGCTGATCTTAGCTTATTAATAACGCACAAAGGACAGTACAAGCTAAAAAAAGCCATTGATGCTTTGTCACTGTAAAACCTGCCTTATCGTCCAAGACATTACGTCGCCTTCTCAGTATAATGACATTATCTGTCTGTGTACATTGATAACACTCAAACTCCTTCTCGTTTGTTCGTAGGGTGTGGAATGCTCTCACAGATAACTATGGAAATGTGATGCCAGTGGACTGGAAGACTTCGCACACTCGCTCCCTTCATCTCCCCACCCTCAACCTCATCGAGCCAGAGGTACGCACAAGGCCTTTCTCAACAAGAACAATGATTTGTGTTAAAGTCTATTTGTATGAGCAAAATTGAGATCTATGTAACCACATTCTTTCCGTTGTGAATGAACAGAAACTAGACAACCAGTCTCTGGACCTGTCTGATGATGAGGACCTGAGGGAACAGATGGACATGCATTCTATTATTGTCTCCACCATCAGCGATGAGCCGCTCTTCACTGCTGATCAGGTGCTTGTGGGGAAAACACATAGTCTTGTTTCGTAGTGAAGACATGAATGCAATAGAATATCAATTAAGATGTTTATTTTAAAACCGGTGCAACACAAGTTTACAGTTTTGAAAGGGGAGGATGAACATGTAAATGTCAGAACAACATTCAACACAAAGACAAGATCATTTGGAAGAAAATTATCAAATTGTTTCTTGTTTTTGTACCGCACTGGCCATTTATCTATTTATTTGAATGTGATGGTGTGTGTGTATGAACATATACTACTGTAAATACACCAGAATTACATCTAGGTGAGTTTTCATAGGGCCATACTGTTGAATATTCCCTTCAAAACGAACTTTACATAGAAGCGTACAAAAAGCTATTACTTCGCCTGGAAAGTTGAATAATGCACCTTTTTAGAATTGGCAGGTGCAAAGTGAATGCATTTTTCTGAAGCAGTGAGAAGAACTGCACCCACAACTTTTCTTTTAGTAAGTCGTTAAATTCATGCACTTGAACTAAAGTCCCTTGTTTTTTGTTCAGGTGATCGAGGAGATTGAGGAGATGATGCAGGAGTCTCCAGACCCGGAGGACGATGAGAGTCCGTCCCACTCCGACCTGTCCATGCTCTCACAGGACCTCCAGGGGCTGCGGAGGTCAGGCTCCAACACCAGCTACGAGGATCGTAAGTTACTTCTTTCATGATATTACAGTACAGTAAAAATGCAATTAATTCGGTTCCAATTTTCGGATCTCATGGTATTAATACATTCACATAAATGATTCATGTTTCTTGTAATGTGCAGTTATTGTAATGAACTATAATGTACTGAGTCTGATGGTTAAACCACCAGGGGAAAAGGCAAGCCCAACATCAGTGTGCAGAATAAAGCTAATAAAACATAATAGCATGGTTAAGTCCAGGGTTATCACATCTTTTCCTGAATATATTACCTCATTTGGAAGCGTTAAGTAACGGAAAAGCAAGTACAGAAAAAGGATCTTGATGCGGAAAATAATTTAACGGTACCCTCTAATGGAAGTAGTTAATTTGAGATTTGAATAGTGCCTCCAGTCAAATCCATCCCAAGCAAACTTTAAATATCCCTTCTCTCGCTCTTGACTTTTGTTTAATTTGGCACATTGTTTGTCGCAGTATTATACAACGCTATTATTAGATCCGGACCTGCTATTTCTTTGCTAAATGTCATTGTTCTTTTTCCACTCCACTGCGACCCCCCCTAAAGCAGTCAGTGAAGTGTAAAGACCTACAGGAGCCAGAACGTGATGAAGGCCGCACACATTTGCACATGACTAGACTTCTATTGTTATGTAACACAAATGAGCTGTAAGAACAGGCCGTGGAACCCTTATGTTACATAATCAAATGGAAATTGCTGTTGACATCAAGACAACTGGTTCCAAAAGGAGAATTCAATCAAGATCAAGTGTATTTTTTTTTCAGAATATTTCACCAATTGGGTTGAAATAGTTTGATATTATGGAGCAAATGGAAAAAAAAAATATTTCAACTGCTAAATTCTCAAGAGTTCCTGGTATTAATTTAAGCATGAAGCAAACTATGACTGTATTTTCTACGATAACGTTGGCCATTAGCAGTTAGCATAAACAATTGTTGTCTGTCATTCATTGCCCCCTCTTCCCACATGGTCAGGGTTACGACAGCTGTCTGTGTCTGAGCTGACTGAAACCCTGGAGGAGGTGGAGTCGACCATCCGCCGCTTCAGTGAAGAGCTGATCCATGCGCTGGCCCTTCGAGACGAGCTGGACTACGAGAAAGAGGTTTCAAGATGTTTTAAGCGTTGCATTGTTTTTAAAGGACAACTCACCCTCAAATCCACTTTTTTTTGCTGATAAACTGTATAAATGAGTGTCCAATAGTGTTGTCTACATATCCTGGTCATAATCTTGTCACTTTGGTGCAAATTAGTTGAAAGTTAGACTTTCTGCCTAAAACCGTCTGTGAGGCGCCATCTGCTGGCGACCTGTATTACTACATTTTAATTTTGAATCTGGCGCCAACACTGGCACAGAAGTTGGACCTGACGTCTGCAAGTTGGACCTGACGTCAGCAGCCCCCCGCCCAGAGCAATGTAAACGGCCCAGTCTCGTTCACGCCCCCTTTAGTCCTCCAGGCCACGCCCATTTAGAGGAAGATTTGAACAGGAAATGTGAGTGACGTAAGCTCCGAGGAGCGGGGGTGAGAACCACTTTAAAGTCCAGGGCTCCCTCCCTTTGGATAAAACTGCCAATATTATTTGTCAAGCCAATGGAGCTTAGCCAATAGTAAGAGGGGTGTGAGATTTCAACAACTTTTGGTGTTTGTGTGTAGTTCCTCAAAACAGGTTAAATGGGAACTTCAGTAAGATTAAGAGATCATTTGTTCATCCCACAGTGGGGAAATTTCATTTTTGCATTTTCCAGTTACAGAACAGTAGGAATTTGGGCTGCACAATATATCGAAAAAATATTTTTATTGCGATATTGGTACGCGCAATATCCATATCAGAAAGATGCGCAATAATTTTGTACAAAATGTTTTCCTTTATTAAAGACAACAAAACAGACACACATCAACATTCAACAAGAACAACAAACAAAAAAGTATATAAATATATGCATTTGAATGTCATTAATGTTGTGCTTATTTTTAGTTATTTGTCTCTTGCGTTTCAATGCAGATTGCAATTTTAGGTGAAAGACAAAAATATCGCAATAATATCGTTATCGAAATACAAAACACTCTTATCGAATATCGCTCTAATTTACAATATTGTGCAGCCCCAGTAGGAATGAGTACACAGCACAAGATACATGAACAATAACTCTATACTAAATAAAATAAAGTAAAAATCTGTATCCCTAGCATGAAGAAGAAACAAGTATAAAATCTGTATTTTTAGTATAAGAAAAAAAAATCGGATTTTAGCATAATAAAGAAGTGTAAAATCTAGTGCATATATAGTTGTATGTGTACATCTTTATATGTTAGCAGCATGAGGATATAATGGGGTAAGCCAAATATTCAAACATTAATCCATTTTACGTTTTTCATGACCAGGTAAAGAACACCTTCATTTCGTTGTTGATCGACGTCCAGAACCGGCAGAAGGAGCACCGGGACCTGCTGCGGAAGAGGAAGAAGGTCCGAAGCACAGTAACCACAGGGCCCAACGGACAGAGGAGATCCAGCTCTCACATCCCGGGCACGGTGAGAAAAACACCAACACTCGCAGCTTTCCCGAAGACGTAGATCAGCGCAGAGTAATGCACGACTGCATGCTTTCAGACTTTGGGGCCCGCCCTGGTGTGCACTATATATTTCACAAACACAGAAACGTTTCAATGTGTTTCTGCTCTTACCTCCTTTCACTTAGCTTCTCACCATAGAAGGACTCTCCAATGCTATTCAGAATGGCATTCGGCAAACTTTTGGCAACACAGGAGGGGACAAGCAGGTGCCCCTCTCTCTTCTCTGAATTCACCTTTCTCCATGTTTATTCTTTTCCACCACATTTAAAAATGTCTTTACGGATGCGTCTGATTTTGCTTTGAATCTCACTGCAATGTCTTTTTTTGTCAGTTTAATCCTCATCATATTTACTTTTATATTTGTGTGTTGGATTTTGGCTGTTTTTTGCATGAATTTAATTTTGAATTTTACTGACTCTCAAGATAAACTTTATACTTAAAATTGCTTTTTTTTTCTTTTAGTATTTGACAACAGTAATCCCTTATGAGAAGAAGGCGCCCTCTGTGGAAGACCTTCAAATTCTGACAAAAAGTGGGTACACTCAAGTTTTTACATTTATCATTCATGTTAATCCTATATTCTCATGCAATATGTTGTTTCAGTAACCAGTATTGTCTAGAAGTTTTTTCCCAGCAGTTTCATTTTAAATCCAGTATATTGAGGCAAGGGCCTCCAGTTACAAATTAACACATCGTTAGCAGCTATTTCTTTCAGTGTCACACAATACAATATGGCAGATATTATGCTGTAAAATTGTTTAATTGTCTTCTCTTTCATACTTTTTCATACTTAAGCGTATAGTTGAAAAGTAAATGTATAACATTGTAGATTTGTGTCCCCTTTAATATCTCCCCAGTTCTTCAAGCCATGAGAGACGACAGTGAGAAGGTTCCAGCCTTATTAACAGACTACATCCTCAAAGGTAAGTCCTGTTGTTGTGCAAACCTAAAATGGCGTCTTAAAGAAGTAATATTATGCATCATTGGATTGAACTTTAAAAATAATGAAACTATTTACTATGTTTTAGAATGTGAAATAATATCTGTAATATAAAATACATGTTAAAAAGGCTTTCTTCCTGTAACTCCTTATGCTACCACCAGAGGGAGCAGTTGAAGTTATTTTGTTTTTTAACACCTTTCCAAATTACCAAATGCAAACAGTGATTTGCAAAAAAATTAATTTCACTTGATAAATGGCTAACACTAATTTATGGGAAACTTTTATTTTAAGCGTGACATCATAGTGGTACAATGACATAATACTGTCACAGGACTGAGACGGGAGCTTTTAGATAGAAGAGGCAGATGTTTGTGCCAGAAGTGTTGGCACGGGTGGACCTATGAACAACTCCAGGTCTGTTCTCGATCAGGGAATAATGTAACCTTCATAAAAGCTCAAGTAAAGTCTATTTTGCATAATATGTCTCCTTTTAAAGTGAGCTCACACGTCTCTGCTGCTCACGCCTTTATGATCTGTAATGCGTGTGTTTCACATCTGATCTGTCCCTTGTCTCCTGTCTGTGCTGTCGTGTGCTAGCTCTGGTTTGAGAGCGGTGGAAACAGGTTTGTGAGGCACTTTTAACACTTCCTTTTCAGCCCCGTCTGAAAAAACCTGTCCCTGTCAATTTTCCTCAATAGAAACAGCTTCAGTCCTCACAGCAGGCGCCTTCATGCACTCTTCTCTCTCGCTCTGTCTTCCTAAAATATGTCAATCTTGTGGTACACTGTACAGACATGTGTCAATACTGAAATTTCCCCACTGAGGGACAAATCAAGGTTTGTCTAATTTTATAAATAACTTAATTCATAAGTCCAGCGATACTATTGAACACAAATACTATACTCTGGAGAAGGGGTCTCCAACCTCTTTTGATTGGAAAACTACTTTTATTTAGCAGTTGTAATAAACTCATAGTGTATAGAAACTACAGCAAGTCGTAGAGAGCACACATGCATAGTATACCGTTATACATTTATTGTGAATAGATTTATAAAGACTCAAAAGTGAATCAGTCAGGATCTTGTGTTAAATTCTTGAATCCTTTGGGGAGCTACCTAAAAGGGGGTGGCGAGCTACTACTAGGTCCTGAGCCACAGGTTGGAGACCCCTGCTCTGGAGTTACATTCCAGGCACAACAACAACAACAAAAACAAGGCTCTCTACAAATTGTAATTGACGCATGTTTGGACATTTTGTTCTATCTCCAGCTTGTAGCAGCACATCCTGGTTCACTCTTCACCTGTAGCTTGCTCAGTTCCTCATCTCCTCTGCAGTAGTGACTCTCGTTAGTTTTGTTAATAAATGAATAAACGGACTCTCCAATAACATCATGGTTTGTGTCTCCGCAGTTCTGTGTCCAACGTAAAACCTCCAAGTCGCCTCCTGCTCCCAGAGCGTCAAGAACATCACTTAGGGTTTTGGTATTCACATCAAGGACTTTTTCTTGTGGCATTTTAAACTATTTTTCCTGTAACTATTTAACATGATCCCTTTAACTTTTTAATGCCTGATTGCTATATTCTTATACAATCCGCAGTGCACAAAGATGCCAGTAATCAGTATTATCTGACAATGTTTTTTTTTTTTTTCTTACATCGTTTTAAATCCAATGTTATTTTAGGCTGAGAGGGAGGGGTCTGTTTCGAAACTTTTGCATCTTGGTAGATTTTTGCTTGACCCCGTCTTTGCGCGGTTGATTCAAACTGCCTGGATCGCCGACTGCACTGGCACGTGTTTGTTTGGAATGACCGAAGAACAAGCCCTTTTAAATTGTTGCATGTGGATTTACGAACGAAACTTGATCTTCGCTTTTTTCGATGGAATGTTCTTATGAAATATTTTGTACACAAATATGAAATTTCACAGTTTGTAGTTTGGAAAAGGGAAAGTAAACTGAAAGACTTGGGGAAATGGAGAAATTATATATTTTTCTGGAATTTGGTTTGCAGACATCTTTCAGTAACCGCTTTTTAAACTAGGTCACCTGTAAATGCCACCAAGAGATATTTTACACTCGCGCACACCCCCTTTTTACATGTGATACCTCATGTTAGTCTTAGATTGTAAAACCAACTCCTTTAATTGTCGTTAGCTTGTGCTTTCTATCAGATGAATACAGTGCACATTCATAGCTATTTGTTGATGTTTCGCTCATGCCGTGGAGCCTTTTGTTGTGTTTTTACACCATAGTTTTGTGTTGTTGCTGCATGAACTAGACTAGTTTACACTAACCTCGCTCAACAAAAACTTCACGCACTTACCATCATAGACGTAGGTATAAAATGCATGTCTAACGCAGGTGCTGCTCCTAAGCTCCAATCTAGAGTAGATCTCAGGTACCTCCGTCATCAAAATATAATTATTTTAGCGGAGAGAATATGCTCCACCTTTTGATATAGGCTCGAAGTAAGGTTGGCAGATTCTTAACTTAATCACTGTTCTCGTCTTAGTAAAGCGATAGCAGGGAGATTGAAGCGCTCCAAACTTGAATATTTTGCAATAACACTTGACGTAACATTAACACAAACCTGTTTTACAATCATGCATTTGTTTAACGGTGTAGAAAAAGGGAAAATGAAAATGCTGGATTGTTGATATAATGAACAGAGACACATCAGTATGGGTGCATTATTAGACTTGATGTAGCAGTTTTCTCTGATGTTGCCAGCGCCGAGCATTGAAAACTAGCATGAGCCGCATGCACTTTACAGTTAGAAATAAAGATTGCATTTTACTCACCAAAAAATCGGAGAAAAGCATGTTGAAATGTTTGTCAAAAATGATTGAAAAGGGAAAATATATTGATTCTGGATTTAAGCTAATGACACTATTTGAACATATCTCAATGCAGTCTGTTGAATGTCAAAGGTATTTAGCATGTAAGTTAGCAACAAGAGACAAGACAATTAACAGATTTATATTTGTATCATAACAAGCCAGGAGATGAGGCCTCCTTTGAAAAGCCTGATCATTTTGTACATTGAACAGACAACCTTTTGTTTTTAATACTTGTCGTTCCCCAGTGGATGGCGTTTATGTTTACTGTCTCATCTCGTGGTACCGCACTACATTAATTTATTATGTAAATGTTTGTTTTATAACCTTATTTTTGACTGTAAAGGTACCAGTTTTTGTGCCCACATTTCAGCTCATTGCAAATTAAAAAGAACTGTGAAGACCTTGCTTTAACTGAACTTTATTGTGTATCAAAAACGTTTAAATTAGTTTGCATGCAGTGGTATTAAATGTTAAAGTGTATATGAGAGTTGCATCTCTTCGGTCCAAGACTTTGTTGTAATTTTACATCAGCCAAGTGTTATAAAAAGTTGAGATGTTTAAACATATACAAGAAGTTCTAACATCATCAAAATGGATTTAGGCATAAAAAATTAGTTACCTGACATTTCAAGATAAAAGCTTTTTATCCCATTTCTACTAATATTTAGTAATATAATTACAGTAGCTCAGTTGGTACAGCATCTGCCTTTGAGCCTAAAAGTTGTGGTTTCGAGCCCACCACAAGACCTACTTAACAACTCCCACTGATGACTGCTGTCGTTGTGTCCTTGGGCAAGACACTTAACCCCACTTTGCCTGAAGCTCCCGGTGAAAGATCAGAGCTCCTGTGGACTCACCACCTGCAGGAGGATCAGTGAGGGGCTGGTGCTATGTGTACTGGGTGCAGCTCCAACTGCGACCCCCTCCGACCCAAAAATGGATTAAGGGGAAGAAGATGGATGAATGGATAGTAATATAATATTTTATAACTGGAAGACTGGGCAACACTTGGAGTCAAGTCTTTATTTAACTGCTTTGGTAAAATAAGTGGGCGAGAGGAAAGAGGCAAACACTGATCAATGGCACATCAGTGAGATTACACTTACACAAATGTTTGCCATCTGTTATTTAGAAGAGTGTAGATTGACAAGTACGAGTGGCATACAAAAAATAAATAATAGTACACAGTATGTAATTGAGATGGTTGTTCATGCTCATCTTGAAATCTGGGGTACCTAACTTTACAACCACAACAATGTAACTTTGGAATAAAGTCCAAGTTCCAGGCTCTAAAAATGGTTTTATCACTAGTTACCAAGTATTTTTCAGACAGAGAAAGAAACAAGTACGGACTACCCTCACTCAACCAATCAGCTCTCAGTCCAAAGGGTCAAAAATTGACTCACAAAAGTAAAAATAACATGTTTTCTTATAAGATTTAAGACCACATGTTGTGGTCTGATTCACACTTTACTTTTAAAATACTCAAACAACATGTATCATTTATGAAACGTTAGAAAAGTTAGGTACCCCAGCTTTAATTCCACCGTCACAATAAAAAACCACAACTTTTAAAAGACCTGTAGTTGTCAATGTCCCTTGAGTTCATAGGTTGGTATCAGTGAACATGGTGTGCTCCTTTTTCACTGTACTGAAGCCTTTGATGGAGTCCACAAATGTTTCATCGTCCATAAACTGAAAGAAACATAAATCAAAAGATGAATCCTGCACAACGATGTTTCCAACGTTTTGCATGCATTCGGCATACGTTTCTGGGGTCCCTCACCATCCCACTGTCATGGCCATTGATGTTGGGATCCCACACGTCGCTGTCTTCTGCCACAGACTTCCCATCCATCACTTGGCTCACGCTGCGCCTCAGAGAGTTCACGCTCAGGATGCCGAGTTCCGCCTGTGCAAGGTCCTCCTCACATTTACCTTCTGTCACCTCCTAGTGGACAAACTCGGGACTGTCAGCGTCACATATGTCACATTACATTATTCTGTTCTGATTTCTTGTACCTCTATCTTTAGGGTGAAGCCTTTGAGCGTTACACTGTTGGAGTAGGCGGTCGTGTCCGGCACTGTGTCAAACTGAAACAAGAAGAATATGTATATTAGTGCAACAGTTGTTTTTCTATATTTATGTCCTGCTCAGTCAGATGTGCATCTGATTTAAGTGTTTTCTTACCAACATGGAGTTGCTGGGTGGGTACACAGCCATCGGGCTTCTTTTTTCCATGGTTGTTGCCACCAGTGGGGGCCGCTCTCTACTAAAGGGAGGCTTATTAAGGGCCTGGTCAAACAATGTGAGAGTGTCAATTTTAAAGTCACATGAGTGATTGTAACATAGTTGAACACACCTTATTTAGCACAATAGCAATGATAATGGCCATCACCAAGAGGGCAATGGCTGCCATAACAACAATGAACCACAGCTCCTTATGGACCGGAGAGTCGGCCTGAGCTCTCTCCACTCCATGCTCCCCTCCTCCAGCCCCAGGAGGAGTGAGAGGAGCTCCATCTGTGGAACAAAAGAGAAAAAATACATGTAAAAAAAGTGAATTATGTTTTCTTAGTGTTTAAGGCTTAGAAGGTTCTTCTACTGAGACAATTGTCTTATTAGAACCGTCTAAGCCTTAAACAACTGAACAGCCATAATACCTAGACAATTTAAAATACAATAAACATTAAAAATACAATTTTGAAAAAATGTCTTTTATGGTAGTTTTGGATGAGGTTTTTTATCCTCTCTAATGAAATAGCTGCTCATGCTAGTTCTAGTTCCTGTACATTCCTAGGCTACCCTGCATGAACTGCATGTTATATCATTATTGTTTGTTTGATATTATGGCTTCACACAACCACTAACGATGAATGAAAAGAAAATGATACAAATGACATTTCTGCCTGGTAGGGTGTGTAAACTTTCAAGCCCAACAGTAACAACTACATTACATATAATAATCCTGCATATAAGGGCAACATTGTCTTTATCAACAATTCATCTTATCCATGTGGCCTTACACAGTGTTTTGGGATAACAATAGTGGAGCTAAAACTGACACAAAGCTACAGTATATCACACAGAGAAGGAAAGACCACTCACCAGTGCTGAGGTCCGTGGTTGGACCGGGGATGGGGGAGCAGGCAGCCCCTCGAGGTGTGATGCATGGATGAGAGGCCCCAGACTTGCACTACACACCTGTCACAGCATCAATATTTCACACCTAAGACTTTACCAATACATCAAAATGACCATCAGAACTAAAACACATACAATTCTCCAGCAGCTTGTTGTCGTTCAAAATATGTTCCTCAAAAGTGATTAAAAAAGGATCCCCCGCTCACTGTCAGGGGAATTATCTGGCCATCAAGCGACCCATGAGCCTTTGCCTGTCCTCGGCAGTGTCATGGTAACTGCCTGGTGTCCTATTTCACTTTACTTGGAAAGGCCCTATCATCGTTTTGCACACAAATTCATTGCACTTTTGCAGTAATTGTTGTACTTCAAATATTATCCCAGTTGTTTATTATGGACATAGTCAGTCTATAGTCTTCTGTAAGAAGGACAAATAAAATACTGAAGAAAGGCTTTCTCATAGCCAAATTAAATCTCTCATTTTAGCTTAAAGAGTTGTGCTTTTCCCAATACCGTTTTACGTATTCAGTCACTTATTGTTGTAAGTAATTGTATACAGCTGGTTCAACCTATTTTGCAATAGCTAAAAAAAGAGCTCTACCACAAGATGGCAGCAGACGGCAATAATACTAAAATAAAATGTTATAATTTAATGATAGAGATAGAAAAGCCTTTGTTTGAAACTACTGATAAAATAAGTAGCTTAAAGGTTGGATATTTTAGACTAGTAGTATAGGCATTTTGTACGGCCCTGCTAATCTAAATGGATAAAAATGGCTACAATAATTCAAGTAGGAAAAAAAACACAGAACACGTTACTATTTATACCATACATTAGTCTAATGACATGAAATAGATTAAGTTATGTAGAAATGTCGAAAAATAATAATATAAGTACCATGTTCAGGGAGTCAACAACAAAACCTCGTGGTCATTACTTCTTCCTTGCTTCCTCTTGTCTTATAATTTAGTCAACATTCATACCTTTCCTCGGCGAATCAGGTCCATGGATGAGTGTTCCAGAACCCCGATTTTACTGCTCATCTCCGCGGGGTCCTATCCATCACCTCCCGCCTCTCTGTGCCACAACATAGCCACATACTAACTCGCTTAAGGACACACAGAGGCGTTCCATCCATGATCCAAACGCACTTATCAAGACTGATCTATGGACTGGACTGACGCGGTTCTGTGGGGGGCATCAGGGCTTCTCCTTCTGCCTCTTTTCAATCAGATCCGCCCTTTCTCCTGCAGACATAAAAGACAAACACACACAAGGTAAACTGATATGCATATGTTATAAAAAATGTTGCGAATAGCTTCAAGTATGTCTAAAGGCCTCTCCATCTCACCCCAGCGCGGGACCTGCTCGGGACCTCAGGACCTTGGAAGTCTGTGGAAGTCCGCCATGTTTGAAGAAAGTTGGTGAAGAGACGTTCCTCTGAACATTCTAGAATATTCCGACTGCTTCCATTGGTAAATATCTTAACGAAGCTAGCTTGACGTTTTGGTAAGACAAAAGGAGAAAAAACAATTGTAGCAGCTACGGATGACGATTCAGCTAGCTTCAGGTAAGCTAGGCCTTTAGCTTTTAGCTCCACTTTTTTCTACATCTAAACTAACAATTATTATGTAAACTTTAAAATTTTCAAAGTTATGAGCACGTTTTTGCAGATTTACATTTTAGTAGTGCTTTTTGGGTTGATTCTTATGGAGGACCAAAAATGACTAAAGTATAAATAAATAAATAAATACAGGAATATATTAATAAATACATTCATTTTGGACAATAAAAACTAAATATTTACATTGATGTGTTAAATATTACTATGAAATCAAATAAATATACTTTTATTTAGGTTATTTATCAATATCTACATTTTGTCCTTTATTTATTTATCCATTTATTGCATATATTTATTTATGTATTTCTACATTTCTTCATTTATTTATTTATGTATTTCTACATTTCTTCATTTATTTATTTATGTATTTCTACATTTCTTCATTTATTTATTTATGTATTTCTACATTTCTTCATTTATTTATTTATGTATTTCTACATTTCTTCATTTATTTATTTATGTATTTCTACATTTCTTCATTTATTTATTTATGTATTTATGTGTCGCTACATTTCTTCATTTATCTATTTATGTATTTCTACATTTCTTCATTTATTTATTTATGTATTTCTACATTTCTTCATTTATTTATTTATGTATTTCTACATTTCTTCATTTATTTATTTATGTATTTCTGTGTTGCCGTATGCTAATTAGGTGGGCGGTGCTGAACTCAATGATTGGTGGGCAGTAGGGCAACCAGACAGAAGCAAAGTTAAGCCTAGCGTACATCGACAGAGAAACTGGGGACAACTAGTTGCAAGGCGGCTTTTGGCAACTGAGAGTAGATGATGGAGATGATCAGTTGCCAAAATCGGTCGATGTGAGCGCTCTTACAACTGGAGATGAGCAGTCGGTCTCCAGTTTCAGTCAGTTGCCCGTGTTCTACTTTTCGGCAACTAGTTGTCCTCAGTTTTTGAGACATGACCCGATGTGCGCGCTCCATGCGCCGCTCCAACTGTGTGTATTGCGTGTGTTGCGCGCCCGTAGTTGAGGCCAGTTGCTGTCGATGTACGCGCTGTTATTCCCGAGACTGGTCTGCTACTGGGAGTTGCCCGTTTTCGTCAGATTGTCGATGTGTGCGGGGCAGCAACTCATATGCGACGGATATAATCAGTTGCCAGTCTGATGTACGCTAGGCTTTAGCCTTCTCGGTTTGTGAGAGGATGTGAAGCTGCTGTATAGCTTGTTGAAGAGCGTCCAGCACAGTTGCATCAAAGTCTACCTCTGGGTCAGCACTGTGATGAACTAAAACATCTAATAGTCTTTCCAGCCGAAAGAGTAGATAGTCCTCAGGTGCATTATGCTCAACATCATTAACATCATTTGCTAATGCTCTTAATTGATGAGCAACGGCTCCTAAAAAACTTACATTCGAAACTGCCATCATACCACACAAAAGTGCACAGAGGATCTCTAGCTAGCGAACAGAGTACCGTAATGTGAGGCAGTAAATGATCGAGACCAGAGTTCACGCAATCCTAACCAATCCTGTTCTAGATTGAGTTCAGCACCGCCCACCTAATTAGCATACAGGAACACAGAAATACATAAATAAATAAATGAAGAAATGTAGAAATACATAAATAAATAAATGAAGAAATGTAGCGACACAGAAATACATAAATAAATAAATGAAGAAATGTAGAAATACATAAATAAATGAATGAAGAAATGTAGAAATACATAAATAAATAAATGAAGAAATGTAGAAATACATAAATAAATAAATGAAGAAATGTAGAAATACATAAATAAATATATGCAATAAATGGATAAATAAATAAAGGAAAAAATGTACATATTGATAAATAACCTAAATAAAAGTATATTTATTTGATTTCAGAGTAATATTTAGCATATCAATGTAAATATTTAGTTTTTATTGTCCAAAATGAATGTATTTATTAATATATTCCTGTATTTATTTATTTATTTATACTTTAGTCATTTTTGGTCCTCCATAGATTCTGTGGTTAGAAGTTATCAAAAATAATAATGCATCGGTTTTATACATAGATTATAAATTAACTGACGTAGTCACGCCTATCTCCGGCGTTCTATCTAATGGTGCTTTCAGACCGGATCATGCGTTGCGTTGGGTTTCAATGCAAAGTCTATGGTGGCGCGTGTTCGACCGTCACAACGCACGGACCTCTCGGCACGCACGAACGGACTGTTCAATAATGACGCACGGACTTGGCGGGAAAGTGAAAAGGGAGGAGCAGGAGCGAAAAATCAACGCCCACAGGAGATGGATTCTGCTCATCCTTTCCTTGTGGTGCTTTCAGACCGGATCATGCGTTGCGTCGGGTTTCAATGCAAAGTCTACGGTGACGCGCGTTCGGCCGTCGCAACGCACAAACCGCTCGGTTTGCACGAACGGACTGTTCAGTAGACACGCACGGAAAATTGACGCGAAAAATCGACGCCCACAGGAGACGGATTCTGCTCATCCTTTCCTTGGGACGTTCGTGCGACAACCAATCAAAGAGCAGCAAAGTGGTCACGGGGACATTAGCGGACTGAGCGAACAGACTGAAAATACTCGTAAACAGCCAAAACAGGACCCACACCAGACTTCACCAGAACTCAAACCAGGGTTGACAATGGGGGACTGTGTGCTTGTGAAAATATGCGTTGTCATGCTCCCATGACCTTATGCAACGGCTTCGAGTGTGTTCGCCAATGCGGAAATTCCGTTTAATAATATAAACGTATGGCGCACCTCCGTGAACACATACTACTGTTATATAAAGCCCGAGGAATGTCTGTGAGCAAAGACACACTGCAAAGCTGCATGTTGGAGAAGATCTGTACACAAGAAGCCGCTAGCATAGCTCTGTTAGCATCAGAGCCGGCCGGCTACTTCCGGTACTCCCGGCTCGCGTCAGGACGTTTTGGTGTGAAGACCCCTGCGTCTGAAAACTAGAGAATGCGCGTCTGGTGAGCGGGGCTTCAGCGTTTCAGCGTTGGCGGTGTGAAAGCCCCGTAATGGGCCAAAAACATGGATCTATTATAATAACTGCTCTACTGGAGATATCCAAAATGGCCGCGAGTGGTCCCACCCAGGTCGGCACTAGATCATATACGGAATCGGGACGAAACCGGAAGTAACAATCCTTTTTTCAAATTAGTTTTAGACTAAAAAGTCCTTAAGTGGTGACTGGTTAAGTTTTAGGCGTCTGATTAAGATGGTTAAGGTTAGGGTTAAGGGTGGGTTGGGGTTATTTTATGGGAATGGCTGGTTAAGTTTAGGCATGAATAGGTAGTTTGTTATATTTACTTCCGCTTCCGTCCCGATTCCTTATATGATCTAGTGCTGACCGTCCCGCCTACAAGAAAATTGTGAAAAAATGCATCTGCGCATGCGTCAGCCGGCGAGAGCTCCATTCATTTGAACGAGAGACTTCAAAAATTCACAGCAAGTAAACTAGAGTGGTCCAAAGAAATTCACCCCCCTCAGCATTGACACACATGTGGAATGGAGCTTTGGGCGAAGAGCCAGCTTTTGGTCCATCCTGTAAAGACGTTTTCGAGAGGTCTGCCAATGCTATATGTTAGCATTGGCTAATTCTTCATCTGGGTCCACCCCCATCGGCCCGGGGTGGTATTGCAAGCATGTCAGCGCACATCATTTTGGCCACTTTTTAGCCGGGACCCGCCCCCACTGGTTTTATATAGCGCTTTTTTGGACACTCAAAGACGCTTTACATGTCATTTTTCTTTCTCTCCATACAGGGTGGTGATAAACTACTATTGTATTATTATATAGCAAGCCTCCATCCTCTGTTAATATTCGGATTTTTCAAAACATATACATTTTCCTTTTAGAACCTAAGCGGCCTGCCTCTTCACAGCTCTATAGTAGCCTTTTTATGTTTTAAACATGATGAGTGGACAGTGGACATATCTCTGCTTCTGCATCAGCCTTCAGCACAATGATGATACACATCTGTCCCTGGAGCCGCTGACTTCATTACACTACACTTGTTAATTATAAAGCTCCATCCAGTTGAGGTCTGAAGGGCTTTAAAGCGTCATAATGGGCCATACTTGGAGTTGACTGTTCCCCGTCAGATTCAGACAGCACAAATCCACTCACTCGGATGTCATGAATAGTTTATGAATTTGTTTAGTTGCTGCAGAAAGATGACACATAGATGCAAGTTCCGCATCAAGGGATCATCTTTATTGCCCAAGAATCCACCTGAGAATGATAGCACAGCTCAGTCTAACAAAGCTTATTTGCATCTTTGAACATCTCTCTTGGCATAAGACATGACTTATATACAGCAAAAGGTACAGCTTACATAGGATATTACTGTCCTATTTAAACAATATACAGATAGTGTCACAGTACTCAAATAATAAACACACTTCTGAGTATAGAGATTTCGTTCCTTCATTTTAGATGTGCGTAAAAGACAATTTCCAGGTTTAAATATTCTTCACACAAGACACAGACATTGAAAGAGGGCCACCACCATTATCCCCAAACGTTATGGCTAAAAGGCAAAGTAGTGCACAAACTCCATCCTATACATAAAGTTATATCTGGACATCAATCTCCTCCTGACATTGTGTTAGTTATTTCTTATCAATCTACAACATATTAAGTACACTTCTATTCAATTTATACTCGATCTTATGATATGCTATAGATCAGTGCTATAGTGGCGTAGGCTACACTATCAGATTAGTTTACAATTAAAAAATATGTTATAAAATGATTTAATGAAATTGCTTTCTACTTTCCTTTATCAATGCCACAGCAACATAATAAGAAATAGAGGCTCTTTTAAATAAATACATGCTGTCACAGAGTCATTTTATGACATTACTTTCCCTGAACGCTTCTGCTAAAACCAAAGAGGCTTCATTGTTTTAGTGGATTACATTAGCTATTCCCTTTATTCATCTGCTGTTTCTGAAAGTGTCCTAGATGTTGCAACACACTGCAAGGTGAATATTTCACAGGCCATGGACGGATGCTGGTATTTTTAATAATCTATGCAGTGCAGTCTTTTATCTCTTGGACCAAACTTGCCTCTGAGGACACATTTATCTTGTCTGTACAAAAGTGACAAATAAAATAAAACCGTCTCTAAATGAGCTACAATGCATTAATATGTTTCAAGATGGAGAAAATAATACACATTTTTCAAGTATATAAGAGAAGTCTCTACTTTTGGCATAAAAATGATGTTGAAGGCGAGTCTTCTATTTTAAAGTCTTCAATTTCTCTCTGACTGAAATGCAGATCAGCAGAAAATGTGTATAATGTCTATATTAGCAATCTTCTTTCAGAAAAAGATACAAATGATATGATATTGGGACAAAAGAGCACAAAAATAATCCAGCAGCTTTCCATTTTGAGTTTCCATGTTCAAGATTTGAACTTTGAATGCAGGCAAAATGAGTGGTCCTTCAGCCGTCCATAGGGTTTGAGCTGAGGATGGTCTGTCTGAGTTTAGCCTTTTGCCTCCAGCAGCTCTAGGAACAGTTTGTGCATTGGCACACGCCCGTCCTGCTTAATGCTGCAGAAGTGCTGCACGGCTCGAGCCGAGGTCTGTCTCAGTAGGGGCAGCGTCATGATCAGTTTGCCCGCTCGCCGAGGGTCCTCGGGGTGACGCATGCTTTCATAGTCCTGGAGAGCTCCGTGGAGGACATCCTGGAGTCTCTGCACTGCCTCTGTGTCTTCAATCTGCATGGAGTCTGAGGAGAAAAAACGGTAACGCAAGGATTAGACCGAACCTAGTTATACTTAACCTTCATCTTTTTGTTCCTGAAAATGAATATTATATTGAATATAGGTAAGCTTATCCCTGTACTAAAGAGGACATTTGCTATAGAGTTAGGTGGATACTAGAGCTGCAATAAGAAACTTAAGCAACATCAGTATGTCTTGAACTAAATTACATGGATACATTCAATAGTTCACAACTCTGATCACCTGAATTGGCGAGTGCGATGGCCTTCAGAAGCACAAACTCCTCCTTCTCTATGCCCATGCTCTTGTACTTCTTGACCAGCTGCAGGATGGCGTTGTTGAGGTCCAGCAGTCCGGCCAGTTTGGACTGCTCCTCGTCCATGATGTAGTCCTCGGCGTACACCAGCCTGTCCTCAAGCGTCAGCGAGCGAAACACTACCCTCAGAATTAAGATTTCCATCCAGGCGCTCTGTAGCAGGCTCATCTGATCAGCCAAAGACAAGGAAGGGAAGCCTGTAGAGAGAAAAAGTAGATATTTAGAGACCAGCTGCTTCACTCATAAAGTACTCACTAAGTATAATTATGCTTGAAGATTGGAGGATTTCTTTAAATAGAATAAATTGTATTGTATTGTGTATATAGGTGGAGCAGGTGAAGCTCGCTGGATGATCTTGAAGGTTACTTTGCTGTCAATATTATACCTCATTGTACTTCTATCTCTGTACAATTAGAACCTCTCAAATCAGTTGTTGACTTTGTTAGACAATATCTACATTTTTGGTGATAGTGGCACAGCATTTTAAGCCTGACTCTGGCCAGACCGTTGTCGTTCGCTGAGCTTCACACAAGGCCCACATCCAGTCCAAATAGTTACAAAATTTGTTTATTCTTTTGTAATGTAGGACATGGAGGACTTTACAAGATTGTCATTGTTGGGGACAACAACAGATTAGAGAATCAAACAATTAGAGCACAGGAAATTCAATAACAAAACAAACCCATAGGAGCCATAGGGTGACCTTAAATGCTTATAAATGCTCTGATTAATCACTGTCCTTAGACCCACCTGCATCGGAAAAGGAAAAACTCAAAAAGTGAGAAACATCTTGGTGATTGGTTTGGCGATGTTTAGTATTATTTTCAGTCGGTGATAATACTGAAAAATTGTGCTAATCTTATGTTAGCTTCTTGATTAAATTCTAGCAGTAATGGATCAACATATAGGCCTGACATGCATGTTGTTTTTCTTAGAGGATTGTGACATTGTGTAAAGGGCAAATAAAGGAGAGGAGGAGGGAATAGGTTGTACATTTAATTAAGCTCATGGGGAAACACCCACTCTGATTAACAATTACACCCCACATGAGCACATTAAACCCCAGCTACATAAAGGCCTTCTCTCTCTCTGTAATTAAACAGATGATTTTACAGGGCTGAGGGGAATGGGGCGGGTTGTTTTTATTCTTGACACCATCAGTGATAGTTATCAGGATCCTCTGCTCTTTACGACAGCCACGGTCGGATGTGAGTGGCGCCGGTTTGCCCACCACCAACATAGCTTCCCGATTGATCTGTCTTTACAGGTTTTCATTAGCCGAAAGGGATCCGTATTGTGGCACTTGAACATCGATTCAGTTCAGAGGACATGAAGAGCCTGCTCAACATCAGAACTGTTTATTGTTGCAATATCTGTATCATGGCAATAGAAAGTGTTTCAGAATAATGCATCCGTTTTAGACGCTCAAAGACGCTTCACAGCATGTCCTTGGTCACACTGACAAGCGAACAGTATCATACTTGTCAATTTGGGTGGTGCATTGATTTTGTCTTTCGGAATACATTTCTCTACACTTCACTAAAACATAAACTAAAGAATGAAGACTTGTGAGTTGAAACAAATGTTAGAGCTACTGTATTGTAAAGGACAAGATTCTACAGTTTATTGTTTATTGTGATTATTGTTCACATCCGATCTGATTTTATTTTATTTTTGTCTGTACAGTTTTGTTGCCTTATTTGAAAGTGAAACTGACTACAGAGGCAGTATCCCCACAAAAAGGCCAAGCAGAATCCATAAGGCCCTATTCGACTGTTACATTTCCAATTGTGAGTTTGAAGTACAGCCTAATTCATATTCATCCTTTTCATCCATTTCTCATTTGACTGAAAAGAAGTGCGTTACAGCTGTCTTTTATGTTGAACCAGTCAAGAAGCGTGTTAGTTCTTCTGTATGAGCTGACAGTTGGTGGATACAAAGTAAAATAAAAACTTTAAAAGGGACATATTATGCAAAATCAACATTTTTAAGCTTTTAACCATGTTGGTGTAACTCTGGCCCTTATTTCCAAAAGTTCCTCTCTCAGTCCTCCATCCATCCATTTTCTTCCCCTTAATCCATTTCTGGGTCGGGGGGGGTGGCTGTCAGAGCTGCACCCAGTACACTCAGTACCAGCCCCTCACTGATCCTCCTGCAGGTGGTGAGTCCACAGGAGCTGAGATCTTTCAGTGGGGGCTTCAGGCAAAGTGGGGTTAAGTCTCTTGCCCAAGGACACAACAACAGCAGTCATCAGCGGGAGTCGTGAAGTAGGTCTTACGGTGGGCTCGAACCCACGACCTTCAGGCCCAAAGGCCAATGCTCTACCAACTGAGCTACTGTCGCCCCTATACTAATACAGGACTCTCTCAGTCCTCCATCCATCCATCCATTTTCTACCCTTTAATCCATTTCTGGGTCAGGGGGGTGGCAGTCAGAGATGCCACCCAAGTCTCATAGCACCAGCCCCTCACTGATCCTCTGCAGGTGGTGAGTCCACAGGAGGACGGCTGCTCTCTGAGTGTGAGCATAGCCTTGATCTTTCAGTGGGGGCTCTCAGTCCTGTATTAGTATAATGTCATAGTACCACTATGACATCATGCCCAGAGCATTTATCTGCCTTTTAAAACAAAGATAGTGCCCATAAATTAGTTTTGGCAATTTTTCAGGTGAAATCACATTCTCTACAATCTTGCATGGCTGTAATTTTCTAATTTGAAAAACAAACTCAACTCCTCCCTCTGGTGGTAGCATAGAGAGTTACAGGCATAATTATTTTTTTACCCTTCAGACTTGTTTCACCAAATATGTTCTACTTTAGATATTATTTCACATTCCAAAACATGCAAAAGTGAAAAGATTTCATGGTCTTTAAAAAAGCCTCCCGAAAGAGTTATGGAAATATGAAATATAATAACAGTGCGTTTTTCATCTATTATTGTGTAAGTCCAAGTGCCAGTTCACAGTGGACTCAAAAAGCCACAAGCAAAGGGGCAGTTGGTCTTTAGCCAGCTCATCTGCCAGTCTGCCCTTCAGACTCCAGCGCCCATCACTGTCAGTCGGCCTAATCGGAGCAGACGCAGAGGCGAGGGGAGCGGCCCGAACAGTAGCCTGCTCACCCTCACCTCCCCCTGGGCCAATAACTCAGATGGCCAGGGTCTCTTTGCCCAAGACCCCAGTCGTCTCAGCGCAGGAGGCGGTGCGGCCTGCCAATCATCCAGAGCTGATATGACACGGCCATTACGCTCCCAGGGCGGCACCATTTTGGTTTTTGTCACTGTCATTTTTTCAGACGGTCTTTATTGTTCCGTGCTGCCATTTTGCATTATCTTGTTGACAGATCACATTCTACATATGTAGGGAATTTCTGCAATTTATGATGAATCTATCAAAAGCTTGTGCTACTTTTTGATACATTTCCTCAAAAACAAAATATTTTAGGTATTTAAAACAGCAATCATTTGACGGTCCACAGTTTTAGTTGTACAGCTGTTTGTCTCTGTCCTTTTATATAACCTTTTCTTTTCTTTGTGTATTTTGCAGCCTCTGGTGAAAATCTGTTCCATCATACTGGCAAAAATGCTCATCTGTCTGACTGCTTATGACTACAACAGCGGACAGCAGGAGCCCGAGGGTGAGGTGCTACTGTGCTTTTTAGAACAAAAGAACGCTGATGAGAAACACGAGCGAGGAAAAAGAGGTGTGTTGGAGGAAATGCAGGGACAAATTAAGATACTGTTCTCACACCTCCACAGCTGCTGCGTTTGTTTTGTAAGCAATCCTGAGATCAGGCATAAACAAAAAACAGGTGTTTCCCATGTGATGTTTGGGGTGAGGATAAAGAACGATTATTTTAGGAGAAACATTTCCAGACTTGTTGTATATAATTGCATCAGTCCTTATATTGTACATCCTTGTGACAGTCAATTTACATTCAATTAGGATTATATACCTAATTGAAGGTTAATAATCACCTCTACAATGCATTCGCTTTCATATCCCTCACAAAATCTTAATTTGTCACTTATCCCATTCACAAGCTTTCCTTAGAATTTCTTTCAAATCTGGCCATAACATTTTCAGTTGAGATGACAGACAGACAGACAAACAAACCCTGCCAATTACTCTACCTCCTGATGAAGGTTCATGTATGTTTAATTTTACCATAATTTATCAATGGAACCATGTATTGTAAGTGATTTTTAGTAAAACACACTAGTCCAGGAGTTTAGACCACAAGGGCTATCTGAAGCAGTTTAAATGCAGTGGACAGGTACAATAAAATATTTATTTATTTAAACCTCAATTTATAGACCTCTAGTATTTTCTGGGGGTTTTTTTGCTACCATTTGACAACCTTTATCTCTGGTTCTTGGCGAGACCATCTTCAGTTAGAGCTGTCAACATAGCAGGCATGTCCGGCATGTTAATCCTGTAAGCCCTTACAATGTACTTCCCATCTTTTCCACTTGCTCATCCAAAAGCGGAAACCCAGGATGTTCTTTCTCATCCTCCTCATCAGCGGGATATCTACCTAAAGCAACTAACAAAATTAGATCTAACTTCAGGAGGCTCTAGTCGTCACGTGGCTGAGGGACAGAACATGTCGCCAGAGCCAGTATCAACAGGCGTCTTGGCATCTTCAGCCACAGCAATCCCTTAGCCTAGATCTCATTAGAGACGGGAAAGAAATAATGCAGCAAATATTGTGACAAGCTACTATTCAATTGTTTGTATTGCGGTGTCACTCTATAATATTTCACCCAGATGAGACTCAAATTAACTATTGTCTAACATCCAGGAATTATGATGTAAATAGATTTTCCAAGTTTGAAGCTTTGAACCTTTCAGCCCGTATAGCAATGCAGCCAATGTTTGTATTATTATATTATTAGTGCATCCCTCAAGGTTTTAAAAAATAAAAAAATTCCATTTTAGTATTTTGACCCCATCAAATACCACTAGGGATGGGAAGCATGTAGGGTTGGGCGATATTTTTTTTGTACCGGTATACCGGTATAAGTAAATTAAATGATAAGAAAATGCCTTATACCGGTGAAAACGATCATTTAACACTGAAAACGGCAAGCGGAAGACACGTTTGTGTGCGGCGCACTTTGATGACGCATCTGAACGGCACGTGTAGCAGAGCGGCGTGCAGGGACAACAACAACAGAGCAGAGAGCAAACATGGCTGAGGGCGGCGGTGAAGACCATGGTGAAGACATCCAGATTGTAGAAGACATTGTGCCAAAACGCGGAGCTACCTCAAACATATGGGAGTAGTTTGGGAACTAGATAAAAAGAAGCAATTGTGTGTAACTATCGACAGTGGATCTAATGTTGTGAAAGCAGCTGCCCTAAACAACTGGACTCGAGTGGCTTGCTTCGGACACTCTCTCTCTCTCTCTCTCATAGTCCCATTGGTAAGCTTTATTTACTGTTTACTGTCATTCATTTTACTTCAATGGATGTGTTTGTCTACATTGCAATATAATTACAAATAAGTTATAATTACATAATTATAGAAACGCAAAAGGATACAAAAAATATATACAGTATTTGATCATTTTGACTATATTGGGATTAGGAAACATAAGCCAAAGTGATCAAATAATTATTTGATAATGCTACACTTTTTATATTACAAAGGACAAACTTTTATATATTTTACAAATTACAAATGTTCACCTTTATTACCTGATGCCTGCAATTTTCAGTATGTACAAAACAGAATTCTCTACAATTCAGTTTTGTTAATATGTTTTATATACAATAGCTGTATTGCACATTTTGCTGCCAATAAATCAGTAAATGCACTTTGAGGCAAGTGTGTTTAAAATTATCAGTGCTAAGTTTTTATAGCTTTTATATGAGGCTTGTTAAAATTATCATATCGTCATATCGTGATACATACCAACAAAAATCGTGATACATGCTGAGGCCCATATCGCCCAACCCTAGAAGCATGTGTATAGTCAAAATAGATTGAATTTCACGAGTGCTTTGATCATCACGAGTCAACAATGCGTTAAAACACCTCATAAAAACATGTTCTGTCCAGTTTAAACAATAGTCAATCGTTTTGTTCCATCAGCTGTTGGTTTAGTCTTACATTACAACAGGAAAATATATATTTCCTTTTCAAATGTTTCTGGTGCGGTTTGTATACAGGCGTGCTTACTAGTCCAGCAAGTACTGTATTAATTAAATGGTGTTAGTGTTTTCCCAAAACATTTTTCCATTACATTTTTCCATAACCTTTAAGTGGCTTCATAATCTTGCATGTAAATAAGTAGATAATATTTATTTATATAGCGCCATTCACAGATAGAAGCACTTCCCTTTAAATAATATTAAGTTGCGACCCATCTTTTAGATATACAGTGCCTTGCGAAAGTATTCGGCCCCCTTGAACCTTTCAACATTTCGCCACATTTCAGGCTCCAAACAAAGATATAAAATTTTAATTTTTTGTCATGAATCAACAACAAGTGGGACACAATCGTGAAGTGGAACTAAATTTATTGGATAATTTAAACTTTTTTAACAAATAAAAAACTGAAAAGTGGGGCGTGCAATATTATTCGGCCCCTTTACTTTCAGTGCAGCAAACTCACTCCAGAAGTTCAGTGAGGATCTTTGAATGATCCAATGTTGTCCTAAATGACTGATGATGATAAATAGAATGCACCTGTGTGTAATCAAGTCTCCGAATAAATGCACCTGCTCTTTGATAGTTTCAGGGTTCTGTTTAAAGCGCAGAGAGAACCATGAAGACAAAGGAACACACCAGGCAGGTCCGAGATACTGTTGTGGAGAAGTTTAAAGCCGGATTTGGATACAAAAAGATTTCCCAAGCTTTAAACATCTCAAGGAGCACTGTGCAAGCAATTATATTGAAATGGAAGGAGTATCAGACCACTGCAAATTTACCAAGACCCGGCCGTCCCTCCAAACTTTCATCTCAAACAAGGAGAAGACTGATCAGAGATGCAGTCAAGAGGCCCATGATCACTCTGGATGAACTGCAGATAACTACAGCTGAGGTGGGAGAGTCTGTCCATAGGACAACAATCAGTCGTGCACTGCACAAATCTGGCCTTTATGGAAGAGTGGCAAGAAGAAAGCCATTTCTCAAAGATATCCATAAAAAGTCTTGTTTAAAGTTTGCCACAAGCCACCTGGGAGACACACCATACATGTGGAAGAAGGTGCTCTGGTCAGATGAAACCAAAATAGAACTTTTTGGCCACAATGCAAAACAATATGTTTGGCGTAAAAGCAACACAGCTCATCACCCTGAACACACCATCCCCACTGTCAAACATGGTGGTGGCAGCATCATGGTTTGGGCCTGCTTTTCTTCAGCAGGGACAGGGAAGATGGCTAAAATTGATGGGAAGATGGATGGAGCCAAATACAGGACCATTCTGGAAGAAAACCTGTTGGAGTCAGCAAAAGACCTGAGACTGGGACGGAGATTTATCTTCCAACAGGACAATGATCCAAAACATAAAGCCAAATCTACAATGGAAAGGTTCACAAATAGTTGTATCCAGGTGTTAGAATGGCCAAGTCAAAGTCCAGACCTGAATCCAATCGAGAATCTGTGGAAAGAGTTGAAGACTGCTGTTCACAAACGCTCTCCATCCGACCTCACTGAGCTCGAGCTGTTTTGCAAGGAAGAATGGGCAAGAATTCCAGCCTCTCGATGTGCAAAACTGATAGAGACATACCCCAAGCGACTAGCACCTGTAATTGCAGCAAAAGGTGGCGCTACAAAGTATTAGCGCAAGGGGGCCGAATAATATTGCACGCCCCACTTTTCAGTTTTTTTTCAAGATGGTGTCCCACTTGTTGTTGATTCTTGACAAAAAAAATAATTTTTATATCTTTATGTTTGAAGAATGAAATGTGGCGAAATGTTGAAAGGTTCAAGGGGGCCGAATACTTTCGCAAGGCACTGTAGTTCAATCAGTGAAGATAAATGATTGTCACATGTGGTTATGTAGATTAGGAGCGTACCTGGGATGTGTTTGGCCCAGCCGATATTAACCACTAGCTCTCGGTCGGCGAGGTCGCACAGAGTGGTCAGAGCTTTGATGTCGCTCTCCGGGACAGTAGGGTCGGGCATGGCAAAGATGCTCTCAGGCTCAGCCACCAGCAATAGAGATACCATCTTGTTTTCAGTCACACTGCCCACTGCAAAAAAGACATTAATATGGATAGTTCAGTCATTAAAATAAAGCATGTTTATTTTCCTCGTAGCAAAGAGGCATGATATTGCCATCTAAGAGCATGTCATGGTCCTAAACAACAGATTTCCCTGGACAATACTTTGATTTAGGGACACTATAAATTAGGGCTGGGCGATAAAACGATAACGATAAATATTGCGATAGATACGTGTTCAATATCAATAGAAAACGGGGTCGATAGAACGTTCGATGGTTTCACTTCACTCCGTTAGAAAAAACGGGAAGTAAAGCCAAGTCAGAAGCGCGCAACATTCTGATGGATGTAGGCAGAGGCTTCTCGACCTATCACAGCCGAGCATGAACCACAAAACTTTCTGGGAAAAGCAAAAACAACAACCGCACCATGCGTAGCATCGATGGATCATGGATCTATTATAATAGCCATGGATCTAAAGATCGTGTTTCAGTGCCCTGTCAATGGTTAAACACGTCTGTGCGAGGAACAGCATGTGCGGCGGGAGAGGCAGTGGGTACAGAGACTCGATGCATCCGGCAAAAGCAAGAGAATAACTTTTTCCGGAGCCGTCACAGGGACACAAGACACTCGAAAACAGCCAAAACGAGAACTAAACCAGGACTAAACCAGCATTAAACCAGGACTAACTCTGGGGTAGACTGCTTGTGAACATTTGCCTCCAGCCTCATTCCCCGTGACAGTAAACAAGGCTTCTAACGTGTGTTAGCCGACACGACAAATGTATTTATTTAGGTTTTAAAAAATAAATAAAATACAATCAATATATATCGTTATCGACTGATATGAATTACTTATATTGTGATATAGTTTTCAGCCATATCGCCCAGCCCGACTATGAATTGTGTTATTGATATAACTTTGCATTTGGTGACATATCAATACAGAAACTCCTGTGAACCATTTTTTATCTATTTCTTTGTTATAATTAAAAGCTAGACTCTGAAATAAATAAACGTATTTTGTCTCCTCACAATTGAAAATAAAATGTGCAGACAATAAATATTTGAGCCCCAAAATATATTGATATAGTAATCACCGTGACAGTCCTAAATTGAGCGGCTTTTGATTGTAACATGGGCTGGCTTAGATCTGTTTTAGTTATATTGTCTGCCCTGATCTAATCCAGGTTTAGTTTTAGATTCAGCCCTGGTTCGGTCCTTATTTTCATACATTTGTATTCGTGTAGCATCCTGGATAAGGAGTCCTCTTCATCTCCTTGCACTGTAGGGTTATGCTATATGGAAGTATATAGTCATAAACAGTATCGTTTCTACTAATGTTGATAGTGACAGTGTTTAGCAGCGTCTAATGTTTCTTACAGTTGTTGAACTATAAACATTTGAAATAGCAGCTCTCTCCGGAGGTGCGGCGTGTGTGCTTACGTGTTTTCTTTTGGGGAAAGGCGTTTTGTGGATGCAGGTACGGACTGTTCTCTGCGTCTATCCTCCGCTTGTACTTCTGACGACCTCCACGGACTCGATCCAAACGAACACCTTTGAAAACAATGAAGTGTACCGTAACCTTAAACGTCAGGAATAATCCAAATGACCAAAACATTTATATATATGTAATGTAAAATCCACTCTTAAGTAAAATAACAGGAGTTAGTTTAGTTACTTCTTCAACTAACTCCTATTTATCTAGATTCAAAGCCTCACTTTCAGACCAATAATGTCAGACGGATTAGATGGATTTCAGACCAAATCCATCTAAAACTGTTTATGGTTTTTTATCACAATGCATTACTTGTCCTCTGACAAATCTGCTCGGGGGAGAATAGGGGCAGCCAATCATCTCTCCGCCCCAAGCTTCAAATAATGAATAGTATGTAAAAGAATTAAGACTGCATGTAGTGGTATGATTTGTTCACAGAATTTAACTTTTGAGCAAAAAACCAAAACAAGTACTATTTATGAAAAAAGTACCCCAGCTATATTCATTCATTCATTCATTCATTCATTCATTCATGTTCAACCCCTTTATTAGTCAATTTCTGGGTCGGGGGGTGGCAATGAGAGCTGCCACCCAATGCTCAAAGCACCGGTCCCTCGCTGACCCTCTGCCGGTGGGGAGTCCATAGGAAGATGGCTGCTACGTCAGTGGTGCCCCAGCTATATATAAGTATTTATTTTATTTATTTATTTTATAACTTGTCTTATATTGAGTTTGGCCAAATAGAACCAGAAGGCCAGAATTTATATTGCATTGCTTTAAATAAAACAAGACATACTTGTTTCATTGGAAACATTTTTATATATATATATATATATATATATATGTTTTGCAGTGTTCTGTACTCGCTGTACTATTGAGCAAACTTCTATAGAAACCGCACATTTTGTTGTCTGCATGGCACTTAAATTTCTGCTTCCATCCTTTTGTTGAGAGGCGAAAACCACTCAGAAACTATTACACAAACCATTAGGACATATGATATAACTGAGCCCTCTAAAGCCGCCCTGGTTCTCAATCATGGTCACCTCGGCTTATACAGAATGTGGAGATGAGCTGCAGGAGACCAAAGCTATGCGGCCACGTCAACATCACACACCTGTAACACAACCCTCACAAACTTTGATGCAGCCGATGACAACTGCGCCTCCTAACAAGCTCCCAGAACAGCCAGATCTGAAGACATTTACGAGAGCACACGAGGGCATTCTCTCTGGAGGATATATGTCGATGTGTGTGGAGGAAACATGTCGCACTCAGAGGTCTTCCGTGGTTTCGAGTTACCTGAGTGTGTGGCGTAAATTGCTATAGCAAGTCGTTCAATAGATCTATAAGGGCACTTCAGTCTGAAAGTGGCTCTCCAATGGTATTATTTGCCCACTAGATACTCCCCCTGTAGCACTAATACACCACTGAATCTTTACATTAAGGCTGTTAGCATGTATGGCTGTTACATATGCAGTTAGTGTATTCAATTGTCTGTAAAGGGCACTCTTTCATGGAACAAAATGGACTCATTCAATATCACTGCTTGAATGCGGAGGAATTTTCTTACACTACTTGGAACATTTCTGTGTAAATGTACAGGTGAAACTATGAGAATTAGAATATCGTTCAAAAGTTTATTCTTTAATTCACTTTGAAATGGGAAACCAATATATTATACAGACAGAGTCATTGCCTGCTGATAGTCTTACAGTACTAGTAGTAATTTTCAAAACATTCAACATTTCTGAATTGAAATTGTCCACATTATAACATGACGTACAGACTTGATACAGCTCATATTGCAGGTAAGGAGTCTATCTATATTAGTTTCATATTGTAAGATTAATTAACCCAATTTTTGAACGATATTTTAATTTTCCAAGTTTAACCAGGCTGTACATCTTATGGCCCACAATCCTTTCATACTTACAACCTATTTAGACTCAAGCCATGCGGTTTGCTACTATATTACCTTTAGTCTAGAATTTTTCCTGGATATGTTCACTCCCAAGAATGCAGTCGGACATTAGAGAGATTGTCTAGGGTAAGCTAATTGTCCAATGACCTGCTAGTGATTGTAAAGAAGGCAAATAGTAATTATAGGATTAACCTCCTAGGTCATTGGCACGATGGGATGGGCACCACTGCGTCATTGTTGCATGCGGAGAAATGTGCTTTCAATCAAAGAAGTTGGAAGTGTGTGTGTGCGTGCATACGGGTGTATTTGTGTGCTGTAGATCTGGCATAAACACACATTGTGCTAAGTGTAACTCTTCACAGTGGAATGTGCTGACATCTAAAAGGCCAGGAATAGCAGAGACAGGATAACAAAACAGACACAGCCTTGTTAGTCCAAAATGGATGGATACGTCATGCCACAATCTATTTTCCTGTCTTTCATCACTCTATTCCTCTCCCTCTCCTGCTCATGAGACGGATTTACAAGTTCCTAAAACGCATGAGGCGGGATCAGCAACAGCCATTCTTCAGCTGATCCGGATGGAGCAGGGTTACAGTGGCCTGCTGCTCTTCTCTGCCCTTCTTCACTGCTTCTGTAAACCAGCTCGTGTTTATTTACTGTAAACACTCCCGCGCTTCTTACATTTTGTGACAAATGTACACGTGAGCGGCCTCCAGGTGCTTCTTCTGATGGTAACTCCGACAAATGTTGAGAGTTAGCTGAGGTCGTGGTATTTGCCATATGTGGAAAGGGTTTTCCATTTTCCATTCGAGTGTGTACCTTTGGACAATACTCTGAGAATGTGTGTAAGTGAGGGGTTTTGTAGGGGTTTCTGTCAGTTACTGGCCTCCTGCTGGTACCTAGATTCAGGACTAAGCATGGGGAGGAAGCATTTCAGATTCATGCTGCTAAAATCTGGAACAGTCTTCCTGAAAATGTTCAAATCTAGGTTAAAAATCCGTTCTGTTTATCTTTGCATACAACTGAAGGATTGTATCTTCACTCTTTTTAATGTACTTTGATTATTTATGTGTATGAACTGTGTTATCCAAATAAAATTACCTTGCCTTGCTTAAACATTAGATGGATAGATAATGTATTGATCCTAAAAGAAATATAAATCATAGTCTTGCGCATCACATTGTCGTGACATCATAAATATATCATAAATCTAACTAAATGACTAAACCATAGCAGACTTTTGCATTTGAAATGCAAAGCGTGAGCTGGAATTAGACCGTCGTTTTACCCTACTGATGTGTTGTTGCAATAGTAATTGAAAATGCAAAGGTCTGTACTTTTTTCTGGTGAGACAAAAGTAGTAACAACATGCAAAACACTCAACCCTGTAAATTTGAGGGACAAGAGGTTAGAGCTTTTATTTTGAATTTAACAACATTGTCTTTCTCATAATGAGCATCTGATGATTGTGCGACCTATGGTCTCAACTTAAAGTAAAGTAAAGGCTCACCTAGTTTTTTTTTTTTTTTGATGTTCACCACCATATAATACACTTTCACATAATATTAAAATAATAATCAAATCCATTATAATCTATACTATAGATACGGAAAGACAAAGTAAATTTACCCTACCATTTTTTTAATTATGCCATTATCATAATAACACTTTTTTTTCTTCGGATCTGTTGTGCAGCCATAATGAGAGATCAGGGCAGTAAGAATAGTATAAGAACTCAAAACAAGAAGCCAAACCACTGAATCAAAACTAAACAATAGGAAGCTTGCTTAAACTGAAATGTCTTTATATCGTTCTATTAAATAACACTCGGGACCACATTTTGACCACAAATGCCATTTTTGCCCCTAAACACGGCTTAATCAAATCCTGCCTGAGGTCTATATGTTTTTAGCCATGTCTTTAATATGTCTCTGGGCCGGCCGTGAAACCGCAGCGCTCCTCTGTCTTGGGCCCTTTACTGTCCCGATGGAGCGCGTTATGAGGGCCGCTTACGACCGGAGTTACGAGGGGCAGTTCGCATTTCACGGAGGTCCAGGAATCCCACTGCATCTGGAGGAATTTACGAGCGGGGAGGGAAATGGGCAGAAAGGGGTTGTAGCAGCGGGGCAGAGTGGGGTGTAGGGATGGTCCGCGTTAAACTGGGCTTATTCAGAGCGAGGGCACAGGGGGACTACAGCCGAGGTGTGACAGGAAAGGCGATCGGACAAAGTTGACACAATGGCAAAACTCTTGTGATAACAACTGGTGTCAAAAATTTACGTTGGGATTATTTTTGATTGATATTGTATGTCTGCCTTTATATCACCAGGTTGCAGATAACATTGGACATTGATTGAAACAAATTCTGATTCTTACCAATGAGGACCTAATAATCAGTTTTGCTTTATTCATTTTTCTCTTTTTAACGATTTATAGGCAAGGCAAGGGTATTTGTATAGCACAATTCATTCTCAGGGCAACTCAAAGTGCTGGACAAAACAAGATAGAAACAATCACACAAGGCATTAAATGCCTAAATAATCACCACACATTAAAAATATTTTCAAGAAAGATTTTAAGAAAATCCTTCAGTTCTATGCACAGATGAATAGAACTGTTTTTACCTTAGATTTAAACATTGTCAGATAATAAGCCTGTCTCACATTTTCAGGAAGACTAGCTGCATGAATCTGAATCATTATTTTTTTTTTTTACATTTGGTCAAGATATTTCTCATCCTACTTTCTGAAGTGTTTTTCTTTTTAAAAAAAAACCTCTTTTAAACAACAATATAAAACATACACACACTGGTCCGACCAAGACACACTGCGTTGCATTTTAGTCAGCAAACATAATTATCATTTTTATAAATGTATTAATAATTGACTGTGAACCCTGCCGCACAAAACCATGTGTGTGTCTGTAATCACTGCAGTATGGCATAAAACATTTATTGATATATGAATGTCTTTTATATATGGATCATACTTTTGTTTAAAATGAAATATGGATTTACAGACTCCGGGTCGAAAGTTTTAAAGTGATTGATTTAAGATATGATTTGATAGATTCCTGGATCACTCAAATTATCAATAACTATATATAAACCTCTAACTTCACAGTCCATGCTTGTAAACATACATAGTATAATGATATGAAGTTTATATAAAAAGTTGGACACTGTAATGGTATTTGCCCCTCCCTGTCACTCTTTAATCATCAACTGTTGGCCATAAGCAGCAGCAAGTGTCCCGTACAGTAGGAGGTCCCTAATGTTTTCCTTTTTGAGTCACTTCTAAATCTGGACAACAATATGTCAGCAGTAAGGCACCGAGACTGCAGACCAAGCACCTGACCGCACTTACAGACTCGGAGACGAATTCACAATGCATTAGCTGCGATTGTTCATTGCATTAATATTATTTCTATGCTAAATATACACTAAAGAAAGACTTATTTGATAGGCGGTGTCTTCCCCACTGAGATCCATTGTTAGATTAAACCGTCAAAGGTTTTAAATTTCATTGCTACTATTAAGCATAACATAAAGGAATTAGAGTCAGGGTGTGAGTAATACACTGAAATCAAATCCGAGGATTGTTTTTAGGAATGACCACATTAAAAAGGGGTTTGTGTTGGTTTTTAGGCCTGTGGTGATATAGAACTGGCATTATATACGGCCATCTGTTATTGATTTGGATGAAAAGATCGGATTATTTGATAATAACTGACCTTCTCTCAGCATGCCCACGGACAGACACTTGACAAACCGACAGGCCTGGCAGGACTTCCTTCTTCTCTTGGTGATTTCACATTCATTGGATGCTGGGCAGCTGTATTCGATGTTACCTAAACCAGAGGAAGATAGTTATGGGGAGATATAGGCAGTAGTCCACATGCCAAGATTGTTTTTACTGTAATGAGAGTTTAGGAGTTTGAGAGGAGCATAATGTGGCATGTTAGTCTGGTGGCGTGTGGCCAGGGGCAGGAGCTCTAAGCTGCCGCCCGACATTAGTAACAGGACGTGTCTGATGAGCCAGACTCCAGATCTGACAGACGTTCATCCGTTTGCCCTTTGAACCCAGCAGAGCGGCCAAGACACTGGACGCAAACCTGGAACATGCACCACTAGAGCTCGGTGCTATCCGCTTTAACCTAAACATGTTGACTGTAGACACAATGCTGTATTTTAAAATCTTATCAGCTGTTTGCAAACAATTCTTTATTTAAAGTCTGAGCCAGTTTAAGAGGCTGGAGGCGGAAGCAGTAAGATAACACATCAGGGTTTGTTTTGACCAAAACAAATGCTCATCACACCATGTTGCTTGTTAAACAGGTTTATATGATGCAGGAAGGCATTATCGGGCTATGCACCATAAACTGTCACCAAGTATAACCCTGTGCTGGGCTGTGTGCAGTTACCTTGGATGGTCCTCTTGAAAAAGGCCTTACAGGCTTCACAGGAGGCCACCCCATAGTGGTATCCTGAGGCGATGTCTCCGCACACCAGGCACACGCGCTTGGCTACAGTGCCTAGCATAAACTCACACTTCACCGGGCCTTCGTCCTCTACAAACCTCCTGCACACAAATTGTCATGAGTCAAAAATTCAGTCAAACTGTGTGCTGCAGATAGAACGCACTGACCTGTTTGTATCTGCAATGCTGGCAGCACTGGGGCCGTAAAGACTGGGTGAGTCCAGGCCATTGCTGTGAGGGTGGCTCTTGAGGGGCCCAAAACTGGAGCTTGTGTCCGAGGAGGAGCTGGCGGGACTGGGCTGAGCCGGGCTGACGTCGCCCTGAGAGCTGGGGCTGGAGGGCTCACGCTTTATGGACGTGGGACAGGTCGGGTCCAAGCCCCGCAGCGACATCCTGCCCAGGAGACTGCAGACAAACAAGCTCAGTTAACCCAGTTCTCTTTGCTTTCTATCTTGAAACAATCATTTTAATAGAACTAAGAAAGCTACTTGTTAATGTCTTTTACACTCTGGGAAATCCATCCCATTCTTATCTAAACCAGCCGTTTGTGATTTACCACATATGCAAAACCATTATCTATTACTCTTTGTTTTCAGAGGCAGAGTCTGCTTAGGCAAAAGTATGGAAATCTCCAAACCAACATTCTCTTTCATTATCATACTGTATTCAATTGTCTCGTATATATAAGGAATCTTTTACTATTATTTTCTTTTACACCTTCTGTTTGCACAAAGTCTACCTGAATGAATCATTAAATATACATTGATGTATTTTATTGCTGCATTCATGTTTCATCAAAAGATCATGCAAAACCAGCTGAGGTGTAGTCGCCCGACAGACATGTGATCTGGCTTCCCTCTCACTAACACTTTAGTCAGGCGTGTGTGTGCATGTAAAAATAAAATTCATAGACAGGCTCCCAGTTTTCGACATGTTCTCTGGTTTCACATGAAGTGGCCATGCCGGACACTTACAGACATATTTCAGAGCAAGTGTCTTCATAAACACCCTCACACGTATTGCTGTTCAACTCAGTGTCGCCAAAGTCTTTTCAAATCGTCTGACAACTCTCTTTGTGGCTCACATGGCACAAACACATGCAGAAAGGAACCAACTGTGTCCTGCCTGATGGATGTTCTTTTTCCGGTCATGCAAAAATCAAATGTCCCTCATCCACAAGTGATTTGACAGTCAAAAACGTGGCTCATTTTACCACCCCCAGAGTAAACCACTGCCACGGCTAATGACCCCTCTATGAGCCCGCAGGGACCGGAGCTCAGGTACAGTAAGACAGAAGCGACCGGAGACAGAAGTGTGTTTTCAGGATGAACTGTTGTCATATCATCATATCTCGGTGTCGCCCAACATTACGCCACATTACTGTTCTGGGCACGGCACGTCATGTCCAGCTCAAGTGACTTCATTAGGCTTTGCTCTTTCAACACATTTACAGAAGTCAGTGATGTATTGAGGACGTCTATAAATGCTTCTTTCAACTCCTGTATTAACTATTGACTTATTACTTTGACATATCGTACATTTTGTTTTCGAAATATTGGGAATGTTATAAGGGGCCGTATGTATCAGAATCAGATAAATTTTTATTGCCATGTAAGTAAGGAAGTCACACACTAGGAAATTGCTTTGGCTCTCCGTGAAAACAAGTAAAAAGTAGAGAAAGAATATAAGGCACAATAAAACATTTCTAAAGTATGATATTTTCTAAAATATAAAAAATCTCAGTGGTTTACTAATGTCATTACACTTGTCGCAGACTGTCTGTCTGCGACTGGCATCCGTATTCATACTGGCACTGAATACGGATGCAAACCACCTGCTGGAATTTAGCCAGAAATGTTGTCGTCATATAAAAAACAAGTTAGCATATGACGATTTGTTTTTGCGCCTGGTTTCTGTTTATTATGTGCGTTGATAAATTTAATGTTTTACTTTTTTTATTTTATTTGCTGTGTACATCTTTTTTTATGTTCCAAATCTATAGCTACATTTCACCTAACACTGAAAACCCAAATGAAAAGCTAGGTCTGCTCTCTGATTGAATAATATGCTTAAGCTGTAAACATATTTGTAATGGACATTATATACACTGCATTTTTTATAATAACTCCACTTCAAACTTTTGTTCAGAAAAGGTCAAATATGAATTGTACATGTCGATCAACATTTGATTAAAATTAAAGTATCACATACTGTGCATTTAAAGTCCTCCCATCTGGTCAATGTGCTACCATGGCATGTTTTACCTCATTTTAAAGACAATAAATGACCACAAAATTTTTCTCTCTAAACAATTAACCCAAAACGTAATTAGTATTAATTATTTTATGAAAACCTGGAACTCAGTCAACAGCACCCTACCATATTTGCCCTTTGTCCAGTTCTGTTTCAATACAGACACAACTATTAGACACTACTATTTTATTCAGAATGAAGAATATCCAAAGCCATATTCAATAAAAATAAAAAAATGTTAAAAAATACCATTGTGTAAAGAATAAGACGCAGATGAGCTTCAGTAGAAGCAAAACTTCCACAACTATAAATCTGGACATCTTGGTGTGCCGTTTGTCTTCTCCCTTCTTCTTAACAAACCTTTTCCCATCAATAGCCATAAAGCCATTTTAAAAATTCTTTAGAAAAATGGCCCGCTACTGCATTAGCATTAGCACCAACCTATATGCAGCCTTTATTCAAAAAATGATAATTGTCCTTTAAAACCCGGCCAGTCAAACGATACGATAAACACAATAAAACAGTATATCTTAAGTTCTTTTTCCAATGGAAGAACAGAGAATATAATTTCATTTCACATTCATCCATTTATTCACACTATAGGTCTATAATCATTCTTTCAGTCAAATGGAATATTATAGCAGCCATAGCTCATGACTATTTTTGAGTCAATGAAGCAAAAAAAAAAAAAACATGTTTGAATTAAATTAATCAGAAATTAAAGCTTATTGCAATTTAAGATAATATGTTATGGCACAAATTAACCTGAACTGTATTTTTATTAGATTTTTGTGTCAATCCATAAATCACATATTGCAATAGGAATTTTTCTAATCAGTTTTATTCAGATTTATTTTTATTTTTTTAACTCGCCAGTTATATTCATTTAGTATGCTTGAAAATGTTAAATGCAATGCTCCCTTTATCAGATGTCTGAAACTTTAATAGAACAATTATTGAACTAATAAATTATATCAAATTGATTAAAATTTTTATTTTGTCCAAGTCCTCCTAGACGATCCTTCTTTTACAACTTTAAAAGCCCTTTTCCGCACATATTAGTTTCTATCTCATGCTATTACCTGTGTCTTTAATCCACTTTAGCCACTATAAAAACAATGGAGAGATGTAATTTGAGTTTCCTTTTAAAATGACTCACCAGTGCCGTTATTGGCTATCCATCACAGACATCCATATTTCTGTGTCAAGACACTGACAGCTGAGATATACTTTATGTTCTCCCATTATAATGCATCAGGAATGTAGGCAGGAGCTACTAGTGGCATTTAGCTCCTTTAATGAAATGGCAAGTGATCAAACATATTCTGACAGGTTGCTAATCTACAAAGACACAATGAATAAAAGTGTGTGTTGGTGCGGTGCGTGTGTGTGTGTGTGAGCCCTTTGTGGGTCAGTATCCAAAACAACTCCCAATTGCACCTTGGCAACAATGGCTAAAATGCAGCAGAAGGGAAAAGTGAGAGAGAGAAAAGGAGGAGACGAGACAGGAGGATGTTACAAGAAGCAGACGGACTGAACGTGTGAAAAGGGACAAAAAGGAGCCTCATTAACATGAAGGGTGTTGAGACACTTTGAAACAGTCATATACTGCACACAAAGACCACTCCAGTGAACAGAGCTGCCAACATCTTATAGGCTTCCAGGAGATACTATGTAACTGTTTGGATGGAAGGTTTTCCACCTGCTTGTCTCCATGGAGATATCATTCTTGTCCCACTGTACTGCATTAAGTTTATCTGTCTCCATGGAAGCGAGTAAAGATCTGCGGTCTTGACTCGTCAGACAGGGACCGCCAAAACAAGCACAAACCTTTGAAGCATCCAAATTTGTTACAATAACACTCACTATTGTGGTATCTGAACTAATTTATCCTCAAATTGTATTTTTTTTAGATATTGACGTTGAATCGGTCCTGGACCCAGTGGGGGGTAAACATGCAAACTACTCTAAGAAAGGTCCTGTGCCGTCCAGTAAGGTCGTTCTTACTCAGAAGTGCTAACCACTCAGCTGCTGTGTTGCCCATAATAATTACATTGCTTCTAAAAATCACCTTGCTTAAGTCCCATGACCTCCAGGGGGAAGATTTTTTTTCTCAACATAAATACCTTTAATTAGGACTGGTAGCAATATATATATATATATATATATATATATATATATATATATATATATCTTCTAATTTTGATCATACGACTGCAAGAAATATCTTTGAAAAAAGCATTGCAATGACAATTCACTATTTGTTTTAACGGTATCATAATTTAAATGAAAAATGGAAAAAAGATAAAATGCTTGAAATTAGACATCAGTTATCTTGATATAAAGATAATTTCACTTTTTAAACAATTTCTCAATACAACTAAATTTATTTTTGTTTACCCTAAATCACAACAGAATTTATCTTAGAGGACACAGTCAATTCGCCAACACAGATCAGAGAATCAAACTGCTCAAACACAGGAAATGCAATGATAAAAAACACATAGAGCCATTGGTCCGTTAAAGAGCGGATGACCTTACATGTCCTTACACCCTCCTGCATCAACAACAAATTAGCAAATCTAATTCCAAACACACGAATAGTCTGTTTGAATTGGTAAAGTATTTAGTGCCCATTTCACTATTACAGCTAGTTGCATGGAATCAATAATGCCCTGTTGTGGGACTTTCCAGGCTTTAGCAGACAAGGGCTATCCCCAAGAGTAAAGTGGTACAGGGTTTAGAAACATTACATCCGTATAACCCTAAAGAATATTCAGGTCAGTGGGATTTCTATACTTTTACCCATGAGCTACTTAATGATGAGCGAGGATCAGTGGCTACAGTAGCCTCAGCATAAGAGTCTTAAGTGAGACTGTCCCTCCTGTCACTGCTTCACTACACCATCGCGTGCCGGACATGAGATCAACCTCCGCCAGGCATCCAACCTTCATCCAATTGTCACCAGTAAAGCCTGAGTTGAAACAGAGTTGAAAAGTAGTTAATGAGGTTGAGAAAATCTTGTGAAGTGGTCATAAAGATTGTGTGTGTTGGCGAACGAACGACCCATTTCAAGGATGCACCTTATCACATGCTTTTGTTTGTGTGGCATTGTGACTTGTGGATGTAAAAACGCACCGAAACGCGGCTTTAATGCGGAAAAGCGGAAAATCAGAAAACAAACAGCGGGAGACAATGGCATTTGTGTTCATGCAGGCAATTTAGACAGAAGTGCAATTAACAATGAGAGGAGATCTTTTGCATTGTGTGGGAAGTACTTACTCAACGTCGGAGTGGTAAGTGAAGCACTCTGGGAGATACAAGTCGACTAGATCCATCAGAGCTCGCTCACCATACTCCGAAAGACAAAAAATTTCAATATTGTCCGGCTATAACTTTTATCTATAACTTGCCACTTACTAACTGGGCCTATACAGCGTTGAATCAGTGTGTTTTCATGGTCCCGTCTGTCTTCCTATCGGTCACACCTCTCTTTCCTCTCCTCGGGCTGACCCACTGGACACTTTGTCTTTGAAGAGTTGTGGCTTTAGCTGCTGGTGTGACAAGGGTCTCCAAGCAGACTCTGGCCTTCATGAATATCCTGGGCAGGCAGCCACACACTCACATTTGAATGGCCTTCCCCCTCAACAGGGAGATGAGGCTGGATTGGCTCAGCTCTGGGCCTATCAGCGCTGGCCTCTCCCTGGGGCAGGTGGATAGGATGTTGGCTGTCCTCTTCTGACAACTTTGGTAAGGGGCGTTCAAGGGGAATCCGTAATTAATGGTAACACATTGAGGCATTTAAGCTTTTTATTGAGAAAGGCAGAGGGGCTTGGCGTGGTTTTGGAATGTCTTTTAGCTGAATTTGAAAATGTGTTACCAAGCTTTAAGAGCCCTGGAGTAATTTATCTCATTATAGGCTGTGGCATTTTGCCTAATTTGCTTCTTTTCCCTAACAAGGCACGTGTGTACAAAATGTAAGCAGTCGTAAGTACTACTTGGCAGCGGGAAAAGATTAACTGGGGCACCAGACGTTCACGCTTAAAGGCATGCAATATCTACTGTTTGTATTTTTACCAGAGTTTTAGATATAGATAGAGTATAGAGTAGAGTAATTTGACGTCCAATTTGACTTAATATTTCCTTCTGTATGGTTTGAAATATAATACATTTATTTTAATTGTATATTTATATTTTTTATACATGTTATTTTTTCTACCTGTCTGTGTACTTGCTGCTTAAAGAAATAGTGTCATGCTTTCCTACTGTGAACGGAGTCACAGTTTCTCAGATCACACCAGTCGTTCAGCTTTGCATATTGAGATTAAGTTAAAAGGAAAGCAGGCGCTGGCCCTCAACCTTAAATGGAACAAAACTCAGAGAAAACGCACAGTTGTATCCTACTTTGTTTTTCACACGTTCAATAATCAATCATAGTACAATTATAAAGGATGCTTATACTGTAATTGTGATGCTGCGATGAATACAAAAAACTAATCTTGAGTAAAGAGTAAAAGTAATGAATAAACCAAAATAGTAGAAGCAGTAGTTAATAATCGCACAAGTCAGTCAATCAGTATCATTCCACAAATTGCTCATGTCACTTCTGCTGTGAGAGTGAACTTAAGCGGCCTTGTGCAACATGAGATAATCCATTTAAAACACAGACATCTTCCTTATCTGTTCCCACCTGTAATAATCCAGGACTCTGACATTCTGCTCTCATTATTTTTTATTATGAATCTTTTGCACTTATTGCTACACTGTGGGACCTTTCAGATTTCAAGGGCGTTATGATGGACTGGTTCTCAAACAGTAGTATGCTTGTCCATGTCTACTGGGGGTATTAGTCTCTTCAAACTAGTCTGTTTACTCCTGTATTTCACACAGTTGGGATAACATTTAATATGGACACACCATTTCCGCTAAAGGACTTCTTTTGGTTTCAGTTTGTTTTGCATTCCCAGCTAGTTCAGGTTGAGTTTGCATTGGTTTGAGCCTAATTTTGTTTTATTCCTAGTTTAGTGTGTTTGTGTTCTGTATATACGTAAGTGTGTGGGCATGTGTGTTTGTATATCTATGTATGTGTGTGTCTGTAAGTAAATGTACATGTAATAATTTTCTGTTTCTACATCCCAGCTATGGCAGTAGCTATAGTTTAGTATTGTTTGGAATCAGTCCAACATAAAGATTTCATTACATTTTCTCAAGTGGAGATGCTTGAGAGTCCTTGCTCGTATACAAACATCTGACACTGCGTGCCACGGACCTAGGACTGACCCTTCTCTCACAGCTCTCCACAGGAAAGACATCACCTGCCGTAATCTGCTGTTTGGATAAAGGCCAGACTGGAGTGCCTCTTATCTCATTACGCGCAGGTTTAAAGCTAGGACACCTAAACACTTAACCTCAAAATAATGGAACATGGACAATGGTCATAAATACCAACTATTATAATAGTATCAGGCACAAAACAATTTTATTCTATCACTAATTTTCACATGCATGTATTGTTGACCTCTATGTGACATTTGCAGTCAACATGTGAAAACTACTTTAGATCAGCTTTTTCAGAGAGGATCCACCTCGTAAGAGCCTCAGCTCGCAACCCAAAGTGTCAGAAAGTGAGCCACAAGGCTCTTTTTTACAAGTATGCGAAGGATATCCTTTACAATCCACACTAATATACTAATTGTAATACAATAAAGACAGCATGCTGTGTTCTGATTTGTTCAACATGTTTTACTGTTACGAGATTGTTCAAACAACATGTGTTATTCATGAAAAATAAAAGTGTTTTTGTTTTTGCATAAATAATACCTTATTAAAGAGCCTTTAGATGCAAAACTGAACTAATTAGACCAGAACTGATGTCTATGCTAATTATAACATATATTGGCTATCTTTTCTCACTTTTTCGCAAACAAAATCTTTTTGAACACCAGTGATGTACTAAACTATAATGAAATCTATAGATAGGTTTTAGTTATGCAGTTAGACCTTTTGTGGTTTGGAAATCAGCTTTAACTTTGAAGAAAAACACACATCCAGCTAATACTGGCTGATCTTCAATAGGCATTTCAGAAGACAACACTCATAACACACTTATAATCCAGCGTCAATAAAGTCCTCATTCTCACTCATTTAGGTGAAGGGGATGGACTTAGTCTTAAGTGGTTAAAATAAAAACAAAGTAAAGCTATTATTGTATCATTAAAAGACAGTTTGGCAGCTGTCATCTCGACACACTATTTGGGACAAGGAAATTGAAAGAAAAGGCGAGTCTAAGTAGATTAGCAAATTATATTATAGATACATTAAAAGTAATTTCTTATGAAGTGTGGTAAAACTTCTTGGGTTTTTATGTAAGAAACACAAGACTTCTACATACTGTATTATTTAATTCATTATTTTTATGGTCAAATTGAACCACGCTATAGAAATTATATTGTAAAATGTTGTTTCATAGCAACATGAAATGTAATTTCTTAAGTCGCATCCGAGAAATCGCATAGACACTGTCACTCAGAGATCTCACAAAAGCATAAATTATTAATAAATCTCCCATTTCTCCTTGCAAGCGGTTGGTAAGATGGTTCAAATGTGCTGATAGTTCAAATTTGGGGGTTTCCTTTGGGATCATGCACCTATATTTGCCCTTGGGAGCTACTCATTATACAATTTATCTGTCTGTCTGATTTGAAGCTTGTGATACTGTTGCTAATATTGAAATTGCACAAAAAAGCCCCAACAGAACAAAAACATTCCGAATATTTTGGTCAGACAAATGCTGTGACAGAGGCAAAAGAAAGTCTGTGATTAGGAATGGATGCTGGCTGTAACAGAGCTCCCAGCTGCCAGCTATTGACCCCAGATGCATATAGTTTTCTCTGAGGGAATAGGAAACTGCGGGCCAGCACCAGACACCAACAAAAATCAACTCTCATTTTCCCTCTCCTCCCTTGTCCCTATAAACTCATAGCCACCAAATGTGCAGCCTCTTGGGGACAGCTGTCAGATTGACTTTCCAAACTGGACAGTCATGGGGCTTCTTCCCCCTTCTTCTCTCTCTCAATACCACAACAAAGACACATTTGCATCCAGGCCCCAATCTAGTCAGTGTAATCGGCTTATGTTATGGCCGACTCATAGCCATCCATCAATTACGGCCACGCAGACTATTGACACGGAGTCTGCAAGCATTGTCTGGGCTGTCCCAAGCAGCGTCCCAAAAGCAATGCTGTATAGAAGGAGAGAAAAAGGAGTAAAAATGAGTTATACCAAAATAGAAAATCATTTCCTCCTCCTCCTTCTATGCCTTCCCACTTTGATGGCCTAAAATAGATGGATTGGATGGGAAATGATACATCTACTGACAGATTGAGTGACAGATGAGCACACACACAAGGATGTGTTTCACTTTATTGATTTGAAGACCGCACTGTATAGAGGCCAAAGGTTATACACACACACACACGCACACACACACACACACACGCAATGGAATGACACGTCCATAATCTTTGCCAGGACCGAAACCTTAGAAGGCCTTTGGGAGTAGCTTAAAGCATTGTAACCATAGAAATGTCACTAAGAGCTACTGGGGACCTGCTGCTGCTATTCTCAGTGGGTCAATGGACTTCAAATGGTTTTCACTTATCTCAGGGATCCAATGGGGCAACTGTGGGCAGGAAGTCAGGGACTGCTGGGAAAACATGCGGAAGCGTTCAGGCGAAGAGGATTTCATTACAGCTAAATTAGGCTCATTTTTTGCATAATTCAAAATAGAACTGTAGCAGTGATCAATACACGGACCTGACCACGGTGCCCTCTACTGGAGATATTGAGAACCAACTTTAGTCTCCATACACAAATAAAGCTGTGAAACCACTTTAAAAGGTCAGATATCTTTATAATGACTACACTAGGATTGAATCAGGAGAAAAAGTTCAAGCTTGTGAATAAAACAGGCTATCATAAAATGTTTTTAATGTATTTTTTTTTAGCTTCTGTCACATCTTAAGATCAGGTTTTTAGACAGATGAATTAAAAATGAGAGCTAACCACCTCTCAGCCAACAGCATAAAATTGTGACACACTTGGCTCTTTCTCAGTGTTCCAATAAGATGGAGACAGCCTGCTGTTGTTTGATTTGTTCACATTTTACTTTTACAAATATCTTTCTGTGGGGACAAACAAAATAATATTATTTGTTTAAAAAAAAAAAGGTTAAACAATGGAAACAAGGACTGGATTCAAACAGTATCATCTCTGGAAATGTATTGACCTTCATTTAACCAGAAATATTCCACTGGGATTTCATTCAGGTCATTGTAGAGAAAGAGGGAGGAAACTTTTGAACTTAGAAAAAATACTATTAGCCAACATAAAAGTGAGTGCGGTGGTAATAATATGTATTATTTAAAAAGCAGAATGAAATCACATGTACACTGTGTTCTATCTCTTCTGTTGAGACCAGAATGTACCATCACAGATTGAGAAACTTTTCAATGTTTTAAATTACGCATAATTCACAGCTGACACTAAATGAACAGATTACAGAATGTTTGTTTGTATTGTCCTTCTTACATCCCCCCCCCCCCTCAGCTCTGTGGAGCTTGTTATATGATTACAGCCATAAGCCCCCGCCACCCTTTCACAACAACACTCTGATGAGGATTAGAAGAGTAACAGTCCTAATGCCCTGCATAGAGATGATATGTAAACACTGAAAAATACAGTAAGATTCATTACAGTCTGTTTATGTAGTGTCCAGGATTTGTTTTTTTTTTTTATGAAACCACATTTACATCTCAACTCTGTATCCTGTTTTTACTCTATTTTTACCAAGTTCTAGGACAATAATTTATAATAATAATCAACTGTATGTTAAAGGTATGTTGGAGGATTTCCCCAAATTTTAGGAAAGAACCACCCTCTGCACTCTTTGGACAAAACATTCTGGTCTTATTTGATGACCAATAGTCTTGATGATTCACCCGGAAGTAGAAAATCCTCCTATATACATTCAAGTCCCAAAGTTGAATCACACTTGAATAATTATCCTAACTTTCCACAGTGTACGAGTAGACATAATCAGAGACTGCTTGGGTTTAGCGGCACACCACGTTTGCAATGCTCTTTCTCAACACTAGAGACCACCAAAAACTACACTGCTTTTGGGTAAAATGCTTTGCACCTGCATCTAAAAAGAAAATACATCAGAAATAAATATATATCAAAATATTAGTTGAAAATGGTTCAAGCCATTTAGACTTTTCCAATTACAATGTGTTTCTTAAATTCTACTTTGTAAAGGGACTTGTATAGTTTGCACTCTTTCTGGGCACTGATGGAATCCACCTGCTGGAGTTAAGCGAGAAACTGTGCATTTCGTTTGACTACTAATTTTAGTATCTTCTTCAATCCAACAAATGTTTGGTGATATTTTTAGTTAAGATAAAGCTCAAACTAGCTAAATTTCACAAAAGAAACTGGCAACCAAAATGAGAGCCTCTTTGATTCTGATTGGATAATCTGCTTGAAGACCTTGTCATGTCTATTGTAATAAATCCACTTTCGTTCAGAAAAGGTCAAACCTGATTTGTACATGGTGACCTATTATCTGGCAACACACACAAAAATATAGACATAAAAGATCTTATGAATATTCTGAAAGTATAATGGCTAATAATAAGTAATAATGCTTATAAAACAGTGGGATTGTACACATTATATATTATTAATATTATATTATTATGCATTGCCTTAGTCCAGTCCTGATTTTTTGCTTCCATTCACTCCATCAGTCTTCAGCCATGTCTCTGAAGCTCCACTCCGCGGTAAATGAAATAATCAAAGAGCATCAGACCTGCTCTCATGTGGACACTGGGATTCACGGGAGTCAGCAGCTGATTCAGGAGCCATTAAAACACTCCCATCGTCATCTCATCATATAATTTCAATCTCCACAGGTGGCAAATACAGGCCCTGGGGCGGAATGTTAGCACATCAGCAGACACACGCGTGCACTAAAGCATCTCTTCTGTCATCAGGGCTCTGCGTTGGGAAGTATTTTAACCTTTAAAGTCTACTTGTAACCACTTCGTCTGTGCTGGTATTCCTAAAATATCAATCAATCAGAATCTTTATTTATATATGAACATTTACAACACAGAAAGTGACCAGAGCTACACAGTAAGACTAAAGTGTTAAAACATGTTAATGAAATACTACAAGTAGATTTTTTTAAAATACCTGACAGTTTTGACAGCTGGCACCCAGTCTTCCTCAAAGATTTGTTGAATTATATAAAAAAAAACAATAATTTCATAATTTTCTTCCATCATTAAAAGCAGCCAATTGACTTTACTTGGAAGCAACAAAATAAACAAAATGTAAAATGTTATTAACACTAACAGTGGTGTTGGTAAAATGTCTAAACTGTATTATCATACTCCTACTGTTCTGTAACTTGTGACGCACTGGAATTTCCCCCATGTTGGACGAATTGAGAACCTTAATCTTAATACTTCCATAATTATATGTGTTATAAGGTCGAAAAAATAATCCCAGAGGAGACCTATGTGCATATAATATTAACACAACTGTTATGAATAGAGTTGTGTTGATTCAATGGATTTTTCCTTCCCACGGGTAACTCGCCACACAGGACAAGCTCTCAAATTGATTTGACTTCATAAATTAGTGAAATTAAACTTTTACAGATATGTGTATACATTTATGGTATATTTAATTCAATCTTAAAGTAAACACAAAAAGTCAACAGAATGACCTCAGCTGTCCCTCTATTGCACGCACACCACCTCCTGAACAGCTTTAGTTATTCATCCAAGCACAGTCCAGTGATTTTTTGGCCAAGGCAAGGTACACCAGTCAAAATGTAATTTTCTGCGAGATTACACATGATAATGAGACGCTTTGCCCGCTCCCTATAAATGATGACTTCCAATTATAGATGCATAAGTATTGATCCGTCAACAGAAGCAGAGAGAAAAGAGCCAGAAAAGGAAGGGCAGAGCATGATGGGATGTTGTGTATAGTTCGTTTTGTAATGAACATAAGAAACATGCAGATGTAAGTTGAGAGTTTAAAGTAGAGGTTTTGTTGTGAGTTTGTTGAACGCACTTACAGCAAGTCTTATCACCTGGACTTTTCTCTGCACCCACATGCATTTAAACACCACACTGGGCTGTTTCTAAGCAGAACAAATCTTTTGAAGCAATAACACATGGAATAGATTATAATAATGTCCCTGTTCGTTCTCATTTGACTCTAAGAAGGACGTTAACAATAGGCTTGTTAATAATATTACTCACTGTAGGTCTCGTGCGCTGGTCTGACGCTCCTCTGCGCTCCAGCTGCAGTCAGTCACTCTCAAGGACAAACGCGCTGCTCTCCTCCTCCAGTCTGAGCCCAGCGATGCAGCAGCCGCACACATGCCCAACACACATACACACACGCACACAGAGTTCACCTGTCTCTGCTTCACTGGGGAGTCCACGGAGACTGCGTTTAATCACAGAGCGGAAGAAAAGGCTTTGTAGCGGAGAATGGGAAAGATTCAGGTGGTCATTTAAATTAACCAGTCAGTGTAGTTTTCTTCAAAGAGGGAGGGACAGAGAGCACACGCAGCTTTCCCCAATTCCCAAAGATGTACAAGAGTAAAAAAATAAAACAAAACCCAACCAGAAAGCAAAGGGAGTCGTATTTCAGTGCTGTCGAGTCAGCATGTGGTGTTGATAGAGATACTACTATTTACAGAAGGAATAAAGGTGTTTATTCAGCACGTCTGTATACTATATTGTATACACTGAAACCATGGATGTAAGACTGGTTTGTGTAAATGATAGCTGAACTGATAAAAACTGCACTTTCATCATCTGCTCAAGGCTCTACTGCTGTGGAAAATGTGATGAAATACTAAAGATTAAACAGTAATACAAGAAACTGTATCCATGTTTGCAATATTAGTGTTAAAGTGATGCGATGCGTTATTAAAATCAATACAAACATTTGTAGTAATATTAGAGTGTAGATACAAATGAAGTCAAGTTAGGAAAATATCACATGATGGCAAGTTTACCCAGATTTCTCTAGATCGGACGTTTTGTAAGATAATATATACATCCATCCGTTTTTTTCCCCTTTATCCTTTTCTGGGTTGGAGGGTGGCACTCAGCTGCCACCTAATTCCTCACTGGTCCTCCTGCAGGTGGTGAGTCCACAGGAGGATGGCTGCTGTCGGTGAGAGCATGGCTTTAATCTTTCAGCAGGGGCTTCAGGCAAAGTGGGGTTAAGTGTCTTGCCCAAGGGCACAACAACAGCAGACATCAGTGGGAGTCGGTGGAGGTCTTGTGGTGGGCTCAAACCCACGACCTTCAGACTTAAAGGCCAATGTTCTACCAACTGAGCCACTGTCACTCCCAGATATTCAAATACTTGTGATATATTCAGTAAACAGGTCACACTGGCACAACAGAGTCTTAAAGAGTTTAATACTTCAGAGTCTACATCATTCGTCATTTGGCAGATAGCCCACATATTCTGTCTGTTAGGATTTGGATGTTTGGTTAACAACTTGGAACACACCATGTTACAGTCTTGAAATAAGACAAAGTGGATCTGTCTCCAACAGCATCGATACAACTGCACAGGTCTGTGTGCAACAGTATGAAAAGGAAGTGTTTTTTGAACCCTAAACCTAAGAAAGCATTATTTCACGTCATCTGCACCAGCTTTCCTCGTCTCTAAGTTTTCATAAGGTTTGTACTGTATGATGATAAAAACCATACATGAAGATGAAGCAAACATAAATTAACGGTAAAACAATGATGTCAGTCAAAGTACACAGACATTAACCATAAAATTCTAAAAACCATCATTTTTTTTAGGTATGGCTGACTCTGTCACCAATATCTAGCATTTGTGTGCAATTATAAATCTTTTACTTCTAACATAGAATGCAATGTCCTTCTTGGTGCATGCGGGACGCTACTCTTTGTATTGGCGTTTGACCATTGGCCTGAAGAGCAGGCTTTGCGGTCAAGTGCTGAGGCAGCGTGCAAGTACAACCCCACTAACAATGAAGCATCAGTGTCATTAGTTAGAACTCAGTCACTCAGAGTCGCTGTTTGTAAGTTCCCAATATGGGAAAGATTGGTGAGGACTCCACCTCAGTCCTGGATTCTTCTGAACTTTACAGATCGTGTCCCTGAGCCGGTCTGGTATATCTCCTGAGATGTCCTTTCTCTTGTCTCGGGTCAAATGGTTAGAACAAAGATGCTGTTCAGTTGAAGCCCAGCCCTGTGCCTTTGGGTCTCTGCGTGGCCCGGACAGGATCAGTCATACCCCGTCCTTCAGGACCAAGGCCCATCCCAGGGGACCAGCCCATACTTTGCAGCATTCTGTTCCCCATGTTTGACTCTGGGATGGGCGGAGCATTCTCCCCAACAATTCCTGGAATCAGAAACCAAGACACTTTTTTCATTTGTATTGAGCATAAGCACAGGAACTAGCATCCTACTGGTGCCCAGAGTCAGGACTGGACAAAGGGAGGCAACGATTCAGATTTATACAGCTAAAATATGGAACAGTCACACTGTAGCAATTTTATCTAAATTTGTCATGTCATTTTCACCTCCTTTTTTATTCAATTTCTGGGTTAGCAAGGTCTTAATTGTGATTATTTGTTTTTAATGCACAGTGGGATTTTAAATTGTATTTTTTTACGTTTATGATCATTTCAATGTTTATGATTTATGCCTGATGTGATATGGGTTGTGAGGCACTTTGTGTGAAATGCGCTCTACAAACAAAAGTTGATTGATAAGCTACTTTATGGTGATAAATGTCAAAAAAACATGAACAACAGTCCAGCACAATGGGCCTCATGTATGAAACTTGCGTGCGGAAAAATCAGGATGTAAATGAAGCGTACGCAAAAAATTTACACTTTTCCGCATTTATCAATCTGGACGGGAGCGTACAGTACGCACAAAATGTACACCAAGTCAATAGGTGGTGTATATGTGTACGCTCATTTCACCCTTCGTCACAACACGCATGAAATTCAAGATTTTGACAACAATAAACATATTCCCAATTATAAGCTGTGTTTTCATTGAGCATCATGTTTCTAAATTTGAATTTGCTCATCTGAAAAACTCTAATGGAAACAGACAAACTTTGAATAAATCACAGATCATGTTTCTGTTTCTATGATTTTAAATCTGACTTGTGTGTATTATTTTGATCTGTATGTTTTTAAAATGTGAAGCGCTTTGTGATTCTGGACTGTGAAAGGCTCTATACAAATACACTTTACGCGACAAGGATGTGTGACCCAGCTATTGCTTTGTAAATCTGTGGCAGGCTCTGCGTTGCGTAATTACGCACGGCTATCCGTTTTTCCTCATTCACATCTGGTAAAGCAATGTATCATTTCATTAGATTTGTGTAAGCCTCACACAGACACACACAAATGCACCGATGGATGGTATTGCTCACTCCAAATGTCTCAATGCCCTGTCCAGACTCACTGCTCTGTCCAGAGTGCGCACAGCGGGTCCGTGAGAGGTCGCGCCGCAAAACTCCTGTCATTCAGAAGTTTTGGCACCAGAGTTTCTTTGTAAAATCTGGATCGCAAAAGCTCTCTCAGTGTACAGTGCTTCAATGCGCACTTCTACCCCGAGCCAGGCTGCGTCCAAGACGCTGCAGACGCTTCATTGATGAGAGCCACCGCTGCAATATATATATGAACTCATTCATTCATTCTTTATCTATTCACTTCTACAATCCAAGAGAGATTTTTCTAATGTATCAAAACATTTTTGCAAATTTGTTCAAAACGCAGCTGAATATATAGCGTATATTTTTTTTTTTACATAAACATGAACAAAAAAACGTGCCTTTTGAGGCTTTCAAACAATCTTTTTGGCCAGCTTCCGTGCTGACCTGTCGCAAAAACGGGCATGAAACAGGCGATTGCTGCATAATTCTAGGCGTGACTTTCATAAATATGTTTGTTTTCAGCCGTGGCATTTATCAACACCCGGAGGTGCATACGCACAGATCTGGGTGTATCTCACACGTTCATAAATCCGACGTTGGATTTTGCGTAAATTGAATATACAGTGCCTTGCGAAAGTATTCGGCCCCCTTGAACCTTTCAACATTTCAGGCTTCAAACATAAAGATATAAAAATTTTATTTTTTGTCATGAATCAACAACAAGTGGGACACAATCGTGAAGTGGAATGAAATTTATTGGATAATTTAAACTTTTTTAACAAATAAAAAACTGAAAAGTGGGGCGTGCAATATTATTCGGCCCCTTTACTTTCAGTGCAGCAAACTCACTCCAGAAGTTCAGTGAGGATCTTTGAATGATCCAATGTTGTCCTAAATGACTGATGATGATAAATAGAATGCACCTGTGTGTAATCAAGTCTCCGTATAAATGCACCTGCTCTTTGATAGTCTCAGGGTTCTGTTTAAAGCGCAGAGAGAACCATGAAGACAAAGGAACACACCAGGCAGGTCCGAGATACTGTTGTGGAGAAGTTTAAAACCGGATTTGGATAAAAAAAGATTTCCCAAGCTTTAAACATCTCAAGGAGCACTGTGCAAGCAATTATATTGAAATGGAAGGAGTATCAGACCACTGCAAAGGTGGGGATGGTGTGTTCAGGTGGGGATGGTGTGTTCAGGGTGATGAGCTGTGTTGCTTTTACGCCAAACATATCATTTTGCATTGTGGCCAAAAAGTTCGATTTGGGTTTCATCTGACCAGAGCACCTTCTTCGACATGTTTGGTGTGTCTCCCAGGTGGCTTGTGGCAAACTTTAAACAAGACTTTTTATGGATATCTTTGAGAAATGGGCACTCTTCCATAAAGGCCAGATTTGTGCAGTGCACGACTGATTGTTGTCCTATGGACAGACTCTTCCACCTCAGCTGTAGTTATCTGCAGTTCATCCAGAGTGATCATGGGCCTCTTGACTGCATCTCTGATCAGTCTTCTCCTTGTTTGAGATGAAAGTTTGGAGGGACGGCCGGGTCTTGGTAGATTTGCACTTGCAGTGGTCTGATACTCACTCCTTCCATTTCAATATAATTGCTTGCACAGTGCTCCTTGAGATGTTTAAAGCTTGAGAAATCTTTTTGTATCCAAATCCGGCTTTAAACTTCTCCACAACAGTATCTCGGACCTGCCTGGTGTGTTCTTTTGTCTTTATGGTTCTCTCTGCGCTTTAAACAGAACCCTGAGACTATCAAGGAGCAGGTGCATTTATACGGAGACTTGATTACACACAGGTGCATTCTATTTATCATCATCAGTCATTTAGGACAACATTGGATCATTCAAAGATCCTCACTGAACTTCTGGAGTGAGTTTGCTGCACTGAAAGTAAAGGGGCCGAATAATATTGCACGCCCCACTTTTCAGTTTTTTATTTGTTAAAAAAGTTTAAATTATCCAATACATTTCGTTCCACTTCACGATTGTGTCCCATTTGTTGTTGATTCATGACAAATTTAATTTTTATATCTTTATGTTTGAAGCCTGAAATGTGGCGAAATGTTGAAAGGTTCAAGGGGGCCGAATACTTTCGCAAGGCACTGTACACCCAAAATGTACACCTTTTTCTACAGTAGTTTCATACATGAGGCCCAATGCTTGTATTGTCCATGTGAGACAAATAGAAAAGAGGACAGGCAGCTGGTGAACATGCGGTGTGCAAGAACAAAGAAAAACAGTCTAAAACACGGTAAAAGGCAGTTGGTAGTTTGTGCCAGATGGTGTGTTGGTTGAAGTAGGTGTGCGTCCAGTACCTGAGGGGCCTGTCAAACTGAGCGGCGCAGCTTTTCTCCTCCGCTTCACATCTCCTGTACATAGAGAGCCAAGGTGTCCACTCGTTTGCCTGTCATGATAGGAATTTATACTTCAGAGTAGGAAAAATAACAATAACAAAAATATTGTGAAGAGATCTGATGAAGATTTTGTAGCTATACCGTCTCCAGAATAAATAATTGGCATCTGAAACGCTTGTATAATCCTTCTCACCTGCTGGCTGTTTTCACTGAGCAGCTCCTGCGGTGTCCTCTGTCTGTGCGTGGGTCCCAATGCAACTGCAAAAACAAAAAACATGGCAATTAACAACAAAACAAACAAATTTTTTTTTTCGTCAGACGTTTGGCCTGAACAATTGTCTGCATTATGAACTTTGAATATTGCAGCTATTGACACTAGACTGAAGGAGTGGACATAGCCAGCTACGCTACCGGCAGTGTACCCAAAAGGAAGTGTGCGGGTGTGAATTTTGGCAGCAGAAAGGCTGGTTTCAGGATGAAATACAGTTTGAATAAAACTGTGATTCACAGTCTCTGCAACTGCAATTCATAATTGAGCCATAATTCTGATGTTAAAATTTCAATATTGGTCTTTGGAAATCAAGACAATGATATCCTGCCATCTGTCACTGTGATCTATGCTATTGACTCACCTGTGCGTGTTCTCTCCTTAGGCCTGGGGAAAACCATGGCCTGTAATCAAGGACATGGGTTACCATTCTGACTTGAATAGTGAGAACATCACATGTTACTTCTGAAAAGAGGAAAACACTAGACACTCACTCATGGGGGTCCTGTGTTTGTCTATTCAGTCTCTCATTGAAGCTTTGACTTGTGCCCTGCCCCTCTGAGCCCTGCGGGTTCCCATGGAGGCGGTTTAATCGAGCATGGAGGCCTGATGGAGTAAGATATAACCATAGATCAATAACAAAACATGTGACTCATGTTTGTTATAACTAGTGTAGGTGGGATGCATTATAAAATCCATGCAGGATGTCAATCATGAATGTAATACAGTACACGACTATTTAATGCCTCCTGCTGGTTAAAAAAGAACATTGCAAAAACACTCAACGTACTTGATTCTTGTAACATTAAAATATTTTAAAATGTGCTTATTTTTTTATCATGCATTATTTTCCAAACCATGTGCACATGCACACAAACAAATAGTTATGGTGCTAACTAACAAAGAAGCAAACCCCTGGTAGAGGTAAAGATACACTTTTTACATAATAAAGAAACAACATTTATCTACCCAGATGTTCGAGTACCTCTTTGATTTCCAGGACTCATGAGTGGAAAGGCTCCAGTGAGAATACTGTTAAAGACAGGGTCTGCAAGGTCCAGCTCCTCTGAAGGAGTCTCCCTCTCCCACCATGGGACCACTCCTGCCACCCCACACGCCCCACCAGGCACAGACCCAGTACCAGGCTCTCCCTCATAGAACCAGTCACTCTGCTCATCATCTCCTGTGAGAGAAATGTAGAGCAATGAAAATCTAATTGTATTGTATTGTGAACAATCAATCAATGGTACTTTTATCATATAAATACCTTGTCTCCCCTCATCATTAGTAAAGAGACCACCATCACTGCTGTTACTGACGCTGCTTGTTTCGCTGCAAAATAAAATACTGTCCTTACAATGTAGCTCATTGAGTAATATGTATATCAATGAATGCAGAAATGTTCATTATAAAAAAGGACAAAGAAAAGTTAACTAACCACCTGTCACTCATGTCCTCATCAGAGGCCTTCTGCTCCTCCAGATCCATCTTATCCTTGGATCCATCTGTTGGAGAGGAGATGTCCTCACTTTCCACCACAACCCCCTCGTCTTCCTGGCCTAACTTGTGCGCAGCAACTTTCCTCTTCTTCAGACGACTCTTGCCTGGCCCTGGACCAATCACAGAGACCCCACAGAGCTCCATGGGACTCCTTCCCTCACCTGCGCTCGGTCTTTGCGCCTTGACAGCAGGCCGTGCTTTAGGGACAGGGGGAGGTCCGAGGAGAGTAGGTGGTTCTGGTTCGGCCGGAGGATCCACTGCCATCCGCTTGACCTTCCTGCGCCTCCGTAGGCTGCGAGTTCCCTCAGCTGAACCCAGGACAGCCAAGTCGTCGGGCCACAGGTGCCTTTTGCTGCGCCCGGTTTCAGCTACAAGTGGTGTACGCCGTTTAGCACTGAGCTGTTCGTCTGAGTCGCTGTTATCACGAGCGTGACTGTTGGCAGCAGACACAGCTCCTGTACTGGCACGATAGTCCTGCAAAAACACATACATTTAAAGAGTTCTATACGGTTCTACAATAATTTCAAACTATCATTATTCAGCACACTCATCTGAAAATTCTTAAAGCTGCAGTACCTAACTTCAATACCACTAAAATAAACTGTATAATAACGTCCATGTAATAAGCCGACAACTCTTAAAACTGGTTCCATCGCTAGTTTGTAATGGATTTTTGCCCTCTGTCACATCTTTGTATCAGCCATCACTCAGCTTTAGTATGTATGTAGTATGTAAAAGATAAAATGGTTTTATAGATAAAAACAGCATCTTGTGGTTGGATTTTCTCACACAATGTTACTTAAACAAAATAGTCTATTAGACAAAACACCACTTTTCATCTACTTATCCCATATGGCTTAAATAAATTAATGATCTAGAAGGCATTAACACAAATGATAAATGTATTAAGACTCACCTTGTGCTCCTCCACACTGGACTCGGACCCCTCGCTCAGATGCCCGGTCTCCCAGGGCGGGTGTGGGTTGTCAGACCGGCGTTTTCTGCCTCTACGTTTGCGAGCTTGTCTCTTGAGCAGGCAGCCCACAGTCAGAGCATGGTCTCCTCCATCGCCACAGCCTCCCCGCGCCGCTTGCTCTGAGCTCTCCTCCAGCGCTGACACCAGATCATGGACAAGCTCGTCCATCGTTCGGCAAAAGTGCCTACAAAAACAGCAGAAACAACAAGATGCTTTTTAGACAAACAAGGCTGATCTAAGTTGCAGATCTCATGGCAATACATGAAACAAAGGATATAATGAAACTAAGTAGGTAAATAAAAGAAATAGGTTAATATGTGGAGATCGGCAATGGATCCACGCCTTACACAAACCTTCCAAAACAAAATGGTAAAGCAGTCTTGTGACTTGGTGTTCAAAATCAATACATTGTAATGTTAAATGAAACCATGTAGCATTATACAATACAGCCAGATAATAACAATTTAGAATCTGAAAGTTTGACATTTCGGGTTTTTCAAAAGCAAAATGAAAAATCCTCAAATTCTCTGACATAACAACGCTAACCTAGTTTATTGTATCCTACTGCTGCTGTAGCTAGCTTTCTCTGCTCAAGTAACACTAGCAGTCTTGTTCTGTTTACTATTATCAATATTGAATGAAACTTTGAAAAGACGACATCATGCAGTGAAAATGGCTGTTTTTGTGTATAATGGGACAAATTGAATTGACTTACTGGCAATAACAAACCTTTTATTTTCACACTAACAGCATATCCCGTTAGCGGTGCTAGCTTTAGCTTAGCAGCCGGCTGTTTCTTTTGACGTGTACCAAGTGTGAGTTGGTGTGATTTCAGAGAGCAGCACTCACCAGCCCGTTCCCGCTTTGCCGATGTGTTTTAGATTAGCTGCACGGAACATGAACGCCTTAAGTAACCAGGTATCTTCAGCCAGAAACAACGAACCACCAGAGATACAGCACAGACATCCTGACAAAGCTGCTGCTGCTGGATGAACGAGCGGACCGTGAAAGCACCACGGTATGATGCGTTCAAATTACTGTTTTCATAGTTTTTAATTTGTATTGAGTTAGTAGTAATTTACAACATGGTTTACACCTACACATGCTGCTCTGAGAAATACTTTATCATAATCTGTAACTTCGCCATTTGTGGACTGATTTATAAATGGCATACCTAAGTTTTAAATTATTATTTTATGTCTGAGTCTGAAAATACCCCAGACAAGGAGATTTTTGCACCTCAGTATTATATCAAACGTGCATTATTTGACGAGAGATTGGTGCTAAAAACAAATAAAGTACATTATGTTAGTTCGCCTTTGAACAGATATGGCCTGGTGGGCATGGTGATGTCTGAATGGTTAATTGTCAAACTGAATCACCAGATTTAATAATTTAAACTTGTGTTCTCCCCATATTATTACAAAGAAACAAACAAGTAATGTATGTATTTACTGAAAAAATACCAGGACCGTTGAGCGCGAAGACAATTTATTGCAAGTCACCATAAGGACACTAGGTGGCAGCAGCTTATCTTGCACTTTGGCTTGCCTACCACTATAGACTGCAATGGTCAATAATAGACCTGTTCTGAGTAACAAAGCACAGTTCACAAGTTCAAACACATCTGAGACAGAATATAAAGCTTTATGAAGGGCTACGGGCGTGGGAAGAAAGTTGAGTGACAACAGGTGCTGCAGCTTTCTCAGAAAGTGTGTGACGTAATAGAGATACAGTGACAGGTGCCTGAATGCATGTGTCAATTTAAACGCACAGAATACATCATATTAAAGCATAGGTTGGCATAATGTATGCATTTCCATGTACATTGCTGTGTCACACGCATAAATACTGTAAAAATCCCTTGTGACAGGTGTTCTTCCTCAAATGCCAAAGAAGTCACTGGGTCTGCCTGTTGACCACTCCAGGACAAGCTCAAGTTTCGGAGCTGGGCCCCAGGTAAATTTAGTAAGATACTGTCCACTTACAAGCAGCAGTCATACACTTGCCATGCACAAGGAGTTAGGACACACGTTTTGCAGTCCACTTGCTTTCTTGCTGTCAAATACAAGGGACGACTTTACAGCGAGGTGATCTCACCATGGATTCTTCAGCTGAGGAGGATGAAGATTTGTCTGAAGCCGCTGAACACTGTATCACAGAGACCACATGGAGCTGGGTAAAATTACCGTACATGTTAACAAACTCACAGCATGTGTCGAATGTGATGCATGGGAAACTAACACTACAACTTCAATGTGTGTCCTTAAACAAACTTTTATGTTATAAATGTATAAGTGGATGGTTATGTCACAGGCTGAGAGCTGGTGTATATTACAGTGGAACCCCTCTGATGGACAAACTGAATGTTGCCTGCAGAGACACAAAAATCCCCTGAGATTATGGGATAAGCAAGTCTATTATAGGTGTTATAGCATAGTAAGCCTTACAAAAGTAATAGACACAATGCATATTTGTGTCATAGTAATTGTCAGTAAATTAAAAACATTTTAAACTTTGAATATTTACTATGAAGGGATTGCAAACCGTTATTCTGCGTCTGCCACCTGTCTCGCTCCATGATAATTTGATTACTTTGTCAAATCTGTCCCAGTATCTATTTTACATTTATTCGATTTCAGTTTTCATTCAAAAATGTATTCTTTGGTTTATACGATTTAATAATTTGATAGGAACAGTGCATAACCTATTTAAATACTAAATAAATATGTATATTTAAATATGCCAAATCATAACAAAACTGCTCATTTCCATCTGTGTTTATAATGCCTTATTGGGATTCAAAGACAACATCCATGTCCATGTCACATATCTCATCAGATGGTGTTTTGACACATGGTGCATTCTGTAACTTCTGTGCAAAACAAACACACTTCGTTCTGATGGCAGAGGTCAGCTGGGGGATCATGTATCATCTGGACTTGAGCTTTTCCCCACTCCAAGTCTCAACGCCTTCTTCATCCAAAAACTCCATTATTTTGAGATGGTTTCACAACTTTCTGGGATGACGCCTGGGCCATCTTTTAGACACTAATGTAGAACCAATGTCAGGTACTACGCTGTCAAAGTCAATGTACTGGAACAAAACACTATTTTCTTGATAAATGATTAATATTCAGTGAACATGCAGAAACAAATGCATTGTTCACCAAACTGTTGTATACAAAGTTCATGTACATCAAATCATCCATTTACAGTTACTTATTACAATACTGACATCATTCAAACTCGAAAAGGAGTGGGAGGAATAAGAAAATCTTATAAATTCCCACCCCTGTGCACATTACACTTACACCCGTGGTCCGGAGCCAGTAGCAAAGTAATGCACAACTACACGACAACAAGCAGCACAGTGACCCCAGCCAGTCCCGTCACAGCAGGCACCAGAGCAGCAACAACCGTAACGCACCAAAGCCTCGAGCCTGCCCCACCGGTCTCAGGCCACGTTCAGCCGACTTCATTTATTTATTTGTTTATTTTTCTTCCATTTTCTTCTTTATTATTATTATTATTGTTTTTTTGCCATTATTATTATTATATATATATTTTTTTCCTTTTACCAGACAATTAAGAATTTTTACTTGGTCAAATTGATAGCATTAGTGTTCATATTCAAGCTATTAACAAATCATATCCATTCGTGGCAGTGTAGTGGGAGAAGATAGTGACAGCTGCATGAAAGCCCTACCACATCACCAGGCCGTCACCACACCAGTGCCCCTACGCATCCCCGGTCACCATGCTGTCATCGCACACCACCATGCCACCAGCTCCTTCAATGATCTTTCACAACACCATTTCATAGTTATTATCAGAAAAAGGACATTTAATATACAATATACATATTCCTGTATAAACAATACTGGCATATTCCATATGCTCGCAGACATACCTAAACTTACATATACAGTATACACACCGTACATATCCACAGTACATGCACATATGCTCTATAATTACATACATACATATCACAAATCCGCACAAATGCAGATAGCACCTACATATAGTGTAACTAAGTAGCTTTTGTATGACTTTTCCTAATGACTGATCAAATAAATTACTTTATCTGTTTTTTATATATGTATTGTTCAAGCTGATTATGGTAAGTCTATTCTCTAAACTAAGAGGAAGTGGAACCACATGTGGTTTGCCACATTCTTACACAATTCTGCACTGTTCAAAGTTGTTTATGTGAACTCCATAAAATGCATCTTTCCAATACATATATTTTTTAAAACTTATACTTTAATATAAAGGCCTAATGGTTTTGGATCACATCATCACTTTGCAGCGCACAGCTGATATAGTCACATGTCGTGTTCTTACTCAGCAACATGAAGTTTACAAAGCACACAAGAGATAATGATGTGCTATAATGTTCTCTGAAACAGCTGACAGGAGTGGAAAAACAAAGACACTCATTCATTCTCTTTTCCCCCAATGAGCAACCCCTCTGTCTGGAAAACCAATTACAGTAGAGCTTCATATCCACCAAAACTACTTCCCTTCAGCAATGAGGACGCACATGGACACGATGGAAAAATCAGCATTTAGCCCAAAACCCCTAGAATAAAAAGCACTCTGCAGCCATGGCTATAACTGTATACATTTATTAATTGTGCAGACTCTGATTGTGATTTGAAAGTGTGAAATAGTATACAAACACTTCATAGCTAATAGATCTGTAGACTTTTTCTGTTTCCGTTTCACTGAGAACACATAAGAGTTTCTCCACAGGTTCTGTAGACTGTGGTCTGTCTCCAGTTCAAACCCAGCGTCGCATGTGCTCAACGCTGCGCTCTGATTGGCTGCTCAGATCACCTCACTGAAACCCACACTGACTTCTTTAAACACATGCTGATGTTTCCCGCTCTCAGCTGGTTCATGTATTTCACGCTGGTCTTTGATACAGGGATTGGGATGGTGGCGTGATCTTGTGATCTGAGTTAAATGAAATGAAATGTAGTGCATTACTTTTCGCTGGTCGAGGAAGGCTAATGCTCATGTCATTACGCCTCATCAAACCATGGATATTGCTTTTCTTATAATTATAATCTTGTCACACAGACGAAAAGGAGCTGGAAGCAGAAAACAATCTTTTGTTACCTGCCCCTTTCTAAACCATGTAGAAAAAAATAAAAATACATTATAATACAAATATAAATACATATATTATTATTTATTTTCTCCATATTTGTTATAATTCATATTTTTCTTTTTTCTTTTTTTTTTTTAAATCTGAAACACGCCTATGTTGGAACCGACTGAGTTATAATTACCCCCAAACACTTTGCCACTGTGGCATTTGGCCGTGCGTAATAGCAAAGACAGAAAGCTCCTCCTTGGGCCAGAAGCAGGAGGCGGGGCCGTGTGCTCTCTCACTGAAGTGAAGTCATTCCTTCGGTTCCATAAACAGTGTATGAGGCACCGGAGCTGATAGATCCGAGGACTCTCTGAGGGCACGGGCAGCCACTCCGGGAGACAGCTTTATGACCATGTAAAGGGCGTCTCTGGCTCTGCAGGATCCACCAGCCTTTTAGTCTGTCATCATTCACAACTGAAGGTACAGGTGCTGATTCAGTCTGTGTGCTGGTCTATGTAAGTGTGTGGACGCAGCTCATCAGCGACTTTCACTGCTCAGTCTGAATTGCATGAACAAGTCGGTCAGATAGTAATGAGAGACTGACTAATGGCTATACTTTCATTTTTACTTCAGTTCATTTACCATTAAGGATTAAACGTGCTGATTGGCTGCTGGTATTTCTGTACATGGCAGTCCTGTATGCACTTTTATGGGCAGATATGTATATAATTATAGGCGACATTTACCCATGCTTGGTGTTGCTTTTAAGTTGGAAGACGTTGTACTGCATGAATGGCATGTTTTCAACCTAATCTTGAGCAGTCCAACCAGATTCCATCCTTTTGTCTTATATATATATATTTTTTTTTAAACAAGCCTTTCTACATAACACTCACAGCCCTAAACCCCTCTTGAGGTAAATGTGTTGTCTATAAATATGTTGTTCTGTTCATCTTTCTCTTTTGGCAACACTGACATCCTCTTCAGTCTATATTTAGCTCTCGCTTCTGGGCTGACATGGCAGATTTACTAACTTCAAAGTCTGGTTTGGGGAAAAAAACCAGAAACCCTTTATTTAATAATTTACTGCAGTGTTAGAGGTCGTAGAAGGAATTGGATTATGCATGCAGGGCTTTTCTCTCAGCTTCCGTTAGTAACCAGAGAGACCTTTTCTTGTGGCCAGCGATAGTGATGCATCTCTACCTGGTGCTGCAAACATTTAAGGGGCCCTTGAACAAATGAGACAAGGTCAGACTCCTTCTCTCTATTTTTTTTACACTACTGCAAGTAATTTATCATATTTTATGTACAAAACAATTCATATTGAAGAAGTGTGGTCCAAAAGGAGAACTTGGCATTTCCTGTGTTCTATGTTATAGGCCTCCATAGCAAAAAACATAATGTTTGAACTGCTTAGGCTGATTTGATAATCTAACTCCCATAGCATTTATAAAAGCTTATAATTAAATTATAACTAATTTAATATCAAGTATAACACACGCCACAGAAATGACATACATTCAAGCATAGAAATCTGGCCATAGGCTACAGAGCTGTTAACATGTCAAAGAAGGAGCAGAGAAAATATTTCCCATTTTACATACTTTTTTTTCTTATGCAATCTGCATTTCTCAATCGTAAACACCACTCCTTGAAGTTGGAGGCTGGTATGTTTGTGGCTTCTGTCTGTGTGCCATAAAATACATGAGAAGTTCACGTCTTTACAGTGGAGTCTGGAGGAACTCACTCCACCTGCTTTTTCAAGTAATTGTATAATAAATCATAGAAATGGTTTTAAATGTAAGGAAAACACTGTAATAGCCACGCCATATGAACATAATGTATTTCGTAAAATAAAAATAGACCACCAGATACTAATTGGTACTTTACTAAAACACAAACTGACAATTTGTTATATTTCTTGAGATTTTTCTAAAAGGATTTTGAAACAGTAGCCATCTGTCATGAATGTTGTTTATTCTAATACCGATGTTTATTTTTATTCTATGAATATTTTTCTTTTAAATGTTTGAGCCCTTTTTCCTGAAAAACTGGGAAAGAAAAGTTGTGGTTTCATAAAAAAGTACTAAAAGATTAAAACGTCCCAACAAGTATTAAGTCCATTCATTAGTATCAAAATCAAGTTTTAAGTTTTAGATTTGTGATAATACTATTTGCAAATGACTCAATCGCAATAAACGGTCAGAGTGGGATACTGGGAAAGCTGGAGTGTAAAAGCAAGCTACATTTTTAAGGCAAACTACTGTCATTTATACTCATTATTATCTTTAACATAAACCCATTTGAAAAGAGGTTTGGACAAGAGATGCCAAAATATTGTCTGCTGTGATTCCATTTTTACGCCATTATGTTTGTTTCATTCCCTCTCCTTCTTTGTCCCTTTGTTGAGACAGACCCGGCAGACGATGAACTACGTGGGGCAGTTGGCCGGTCAGGTCTTCGTGCAGGTGAAGGAGTTGTACCGCGGCCTCAATCCCGCCACACTGTCCGGCTGCATCGATGTGATCGTGGTCAGACAACCGGACGGCACGCTGCAATGCTCGCCATTTCACGTCCGCTTTGGGAAGATGGGGGTCCTTCGATCGCGGGAGAAAGTGGTAAGTGGTATAGTAGGCAGAGCTGTGTCTAACAAATAGGGCTAATCTAAAAAAATATTGATTATGTTTCGACCAATCTCAATTTTTTTGTTTCTTTTTCATGTTGTAACACTCACACGTATGTAAGAAATTACCAATCATATAATAATAACTGAGTTCGTGATTAAACAACGTGCTGTTCAGTAATCTGAAGTGTAATGCAAGAATCAAATAGCTAGATAGTTCCTCTTTTGCTCCAAATAATATTAGGATATCACAGTGATACAAAAAACAAAAATAAAAAAATCCACTATAGGTCCCCTTTAATGTCCCGAACAAATGGCACGGGCACGCTCCCAACCCGGCTGAAAAGTCTGTAGTTAATCCAAAATGCAAAGGAATCCTGGGATCTTCCGCAACCGAAAGCCACTTGTCCCGTACGTAAAGCAAAAAAAAGGAAGTTTATCTGGAGAGATACGCCTTCGTGCCGGCACAGATTAAAACACGCACGCGTAAAAAAAAAACAATAATGGGTAGATCTCACCGGTATAGACGACAGTTCTTGCTGGTCCACGTGTTTGGAGGAGGACAACCCTTCCAAATCCATGGAACAGTCCTTGGAAACACGTAAATTCCCACAGCAGACAGTCGCCTCTTCCCCTGTCTGCGCCTGGAGCAGGGACGCCACGGGCCGCGCGCACACACCTGCCTGCCTATATCTCAATCACCGGCCATGCGCGCTCCCTTGCTTGTAAACCCCGCATCTAATACATATAAACCGTCCACATACGTTTGTATACCCCACACACACATTCAGACCCAACATTATGTGGCCGTTGCTACAATGTATTCATTATTTATTTCAAGCTTATACACAGTAATCATTGATTGTTATTTGCAGTTACATGCATGATACAAACAACAACAACAATCCTTGATTAAGAAAAAAAACTTTTACCCCAAAATATTCAAGATTGTTCTATGTTCTTGTACTCCACTTTATCTTTCATTTCAATTAATTTGAAAATAACACTTACACAGCCAAAATACTTTTTTATTTTATTTTTTACATAACATAACAACAACTAATGAGGACTTGTACTGCCTGGCCACCTGACTTAATTTAGTAACTATAGTGCTATATTGAGCCAAACCCCAACAAGTGTTAATTAGTAGTGGATTAGTCTTAGTCTGGATGATATAGCAATTTCTGTAATAATATGCTTTTTTGGATAAATCCTTTCCCATTGGTCAGCTTCTGTAAGACTGAGAGTGAGTGACTGGTGAATTTTAATGCAAGTTAACAAGTGCACTTTGTGAATAAGATGACTTCATTCACCACTTCAAGGTCATAAAAAGATAATACTTTTATATGAATTCTAAAACTAAAACGAAAGCACAGAACGGCTCAGTGATTTATTTATTCAGTCGATGAGTCAAGTAAATATTAGTTTATGAATACATTTTAAACCAAATTAAGTTTTCTAAAATCTGCACTTATTAAGATTCAGTCCTAATGAATAAGTGCATTGTAACTGCAGGTGGACATAGAGATCAATGGAGAATCCGTGGCTCTTCACATGAAGCTGGGCGACAACGGAGAAGCCTTTTTTGTGGAAGAAATGGAAGACGATCAGGTAAATGAACATGAAACGATAAACTATTGCTGTTATTGTGTGGGGTAAAGTCCTCGAGGCGACTGCTGTTGAGATTTGGAGCTATACAAAAATACATGGAATTAATTATAAAAAGGTAACTGATGCTGTATATTATAGTATACAGTATGAGAAGCTTGATAACCTTTATTCTGTGGCATTTATGGAGAGTCTGTCTACATTATATTGTTCAATGAATTGCTCATAGACTTTAGACTGTATATGTAGTTCAGTGTAATGCATAACATCTCTGACAAAGTATAAAAATAAAAATGTAAGGCACTCTTAGTGGTCTAAGAGTGTATTACAATTGCAATCACACTTTTGTTGTCAGAATCTAGTCTGTGATGTACCATTAGCTCCTAAGCACTGATTACCGTCTGACAAACCATCTGCCAGGGTTTAGTTAGACATGCTACAAACTCTGTGTCTAACGTATGATGACTTATTTTTGGATTGGCTTTCATAAAAATATACATTTTTATTTTCATCTAACAAACTGGAAATTCAAATTCTGCTCTCTGATTAGATAATACAGTATTCTTTAAACCTGAATATTGTGGGCATCGTTGTTTTTGTTGTTGTTTTTTTTTGTACTTTATTGAACATTTTAACATTAATAGGCATACAACATTCAGTTACGTAAAAAAAACCCGGTGAGAATAAAGACAATGCAGCCGAATGTCAACTTGTGCCAAACACACCCCAACCTGTGCCATAGAATAAACCAATCAAAAAATAAAGTAGATTAAAAAATAAGCCACACAACACGGCATCATTGTTTTTCTAATGAAGAATAACTACAGTTAAAACTTTTGTTCAGAAAAGGCCATAATTTGTACATGATTTGGACACGTTTAAAAGATGTAGAAGCACTTTCAAATGAATACATTACATACGGCCCTTTTAAATCTCCTGAATAAATACATCACACTCACAAACCCTGCCCTCGACCACTAAAACAAATACATGCCACGTTAATGATTTATGATTTATTCTCTGTAACTGCACACACATGGGGAGATGGCGGTTTGAAAATAAAAAACCACAAGTATTGAGTTGTCATGTCCTTAATGACTCGACACACCCCTGTTCAGTCGCAGCGGTTCAAAGTAACAGGGCGACTGTTTGTGTGTTCGGAGTTGGCGCTGAAACTCCTCCCTTCGCTTTCAAGAGGACTGCATTCCTGTGTGTGAAACTAGTACACACAACTGTACCCAAACTGAGCCGTCCAAATGAATTCATTTTTGGTTGGACCTAAAATGATCCTATATTTTTGAATTTCACTTCACTTTAGGGTACACAACACATATTTTCACATATCAATATAACAGACAAATTACTAGTCCCTGGTTCGAAACGGGGTCAGATGAAGAGAAATTCTTTTTTTTTTTTTTTACACTGTTATAACAATATCATGCAGTAGAATTCCCAAACTAACAACTGAGCAGTACTTACAGTAAAACAACACATGACACTACCACAGATGATATACGACAGACAAGACAAAACACACACACACACACACACATACAGACACACACTCTTTGACAACACACAGGCACATCATGATTATCCTGACATAAATAGTCTTGTAAAAGGCCATTGTTTCCTTATATTCCAGTTACTCACCTTCTTACAGGAATGTGGCGATAACTGTGTATGTAATGAGCATGGCAATACAATACAGGTTCTTTTGAATAGCACCATTTACACACAACTCAAAGTGTGTTGCAAGGAAAGAAACATTCAAATAAACAAGGACCACAAAATTGTAATATTCGTGTTTTCGTTTAGTTTTAGTTTTAGTTTAGTTTTCCATACCTATGAGGAATAGCCCTGCGAGTCACTATTTACTATGTTTTGGGTTGAGAGCTGATTGACTGAGTGAGGGTTGTTCTGATGTTTACATTTTTTGTGGTTTGAAAATTAGGTTTATCAGCTTTAAAAAGATTTCTGGGTCATTGATGTCATGTTTTCTTACTATGTTGGCAACACAGTTCATGCTTGACATACAAAATATTTAGTTGAAAATTGTAAAATAATTGTATCCATTTAGAAACATGGGGTGGGAGTCTATACGTTCCTTCTCCATTTATAGCTAATCATTTATAAATATAATTCCAAATATATATGAATGTATTAATGAAACTATTTCTGCTTGAATGAATGAATAAAGTACTACTACTACTACTCCTACTACAGCGAAAAATGACCAAAACTGCAGAGGTCTCGGATCCGTGTCTTAGTAGAAGATAGTTTTATACTTAGTTCACATGGTTTTTACCAAGTGAATTTCAGATAGTTTCCCTCAGCTTCTGCCCTAACCCTATATCTTCGACCTTCAGAAAACCAAAACATCAAGTGGAAAACTACTGACTGCTGACTGTTGCAGCTGTTTTAACATAATTGTCTCATAAAAGACTCATAAAATGTCCATATACTTCTACTACTAATCTCAAAATCATCATGAGAACAAGGAACCAGTTAGAGTGGTCTTATTCCCATTTTCCATATTCTACAACATGTTCCATCTTTGTGCTTAAGTTATGGAGGTCTGAGCACTGCCACTGCTGAGGCTGATTTAAGATGTATTCTCTCTGGAGAGGTGTCGGATTCCTTCCCCTCTCTGGGAAAATGGGAACCAATGGGAGGGACTTGTCTGGGCGACTTTCTTGGCACAGACTTCCAAAAACGTGACTGCATTTTCTCTCTTAAATCACACGTTACTAGGCCAGATTTTCTCTCTTTATGTCTGCGCACACTCGTGACCGGGGGAGACCTCACATTTCCTAGAAGGAGCTGTGTCCTTTCACAGTAGCCAGGATAGGGGATCTGTTTTTTTGGGGGGGCGACTGTTTTTCCACTGGTTTCTCCCAAATTATTTGCCTAAACTTTTTGTAGGAGACTAAAAACATTTGCTTTACTCAAAAGTCTGAAAAACAACAGCTTAACGGCTCACATTTCCTTTGGTATGCATCCAAAACATCTGACCTAGGTTTAATCTATACTAGGAGAAGAATTCCATATGCTTGGGAATCTGCTTAGGCTGGTTTTTAATGGTTTCAATGGAGGTTGTGTCACTAGAAAGCAATTACTGACACAACAGTAGCAACAAAAAGTGTACTATATAATAAAATCCCATCTAACTAGTTCCTTGCTCTCCAAACAGTTTAGTTTTATCACTAGTTTTCACTTGCTTGTTTTTTTGCATTCATTGAAAAAGAGAAGACCAGCTCTCACTCAGCCAATCCGCACTCAGCATGTAAAAGAGAAATACAGCTTGTTGTGTCCTGTTATTATTATGATTTGCTGCAATTGCTTAGATTATGATTAAGATTCAGAGATCCTTTATTCGTCCCAAAGTGGGGAAATTTCAGTGTAACATCACCAGTTACAGAACAGTAGGAATGAGGAGTAAATGAACACAGCACAGGATAAGAAAAATGAACACAGATCTATACTACTCACTACACTAAATAACTCTCTACTAATAAAATAACATAAAATAAAATCCCTATATTTAGTATAATAAGTATTATAATTTAAAATCTCTGACTTTAGCATAATATAGAAGCAATCCTGTATATTGTAGTGCAGAAATATAAAGTTGTATGTATACATCTGTAACTGTTAGTAGCATGAGGGCCTGGAACACAGTGACAGTGGATTTCATAAGTACTACCACTGTACTTACTAATACTACAACATATACATGTAGTACTACAACTATTACTCCTATTGTCAAACTTTTGTACATTTCCCTCAACTCTGCCCTGGTTCCCAAATGCTCCTAAATGTACTGCATTTATTCTCTTTTTCAAAACAGGAAGTGGTCCCCTCCTATCTGGCCACTTCTCCCATTCTGGCCGATGGAGCGATGCTGATGAGTTCCGCCCTTTTGGGGAAGTGCTCGGGGCCCCAGGTGCAGACTCTAGGCCCCGCAGGGAGCCACGGAGAGCCGGGTAACGGGATGATGAAGAAGAGAAGGAAGAGGAGGAGGAAGGCCCGGGCTGACAGCGTGTGGAAAGAGGAGGTCGGGGAGTATTCTGGAGATGACATGTTCACCATCGACATCAGCTCGGACGAAGGAGAGATGGACAACAGCAGGTCAGAGCGAGTAAGATGGATGTGGACGTTTGTAAAATAATCAATCAACTTTTATTTCTATAGCGCCTTTCCTACACAAGGCAGCACAAAGCGCCTCACAATCCATATCACATCAGGCATAAATCCTAAACATTAAAATCTACATAGAAATATTATTAAAAACAAACATTAGGTTTACAAGAAACATCAAAAACAACAATAAAAAACCTCAAAACATTCAAATCACACACGGAATTAAAATCATAAGTAGCCACAGTGCATTAACCACAGTAAAGATACAGAACTATAAGACAACAAATGTGAAAAGTATGGTCAAATACAGCTGTAAAGTGCAGCCAAACTGTAGCAGATGGAAAAGATGTGTATAAAAGGTGCATGACCTGAATATTTATAAGGTAATCTAAATGTGAATTCCCAGCATTATTCTGACAGATAATTTCACTCTTCACAAGTAGTTAATTAAGAGAAGCAAACACACTTTTTGGCTTCTCCCTAACCCATGGAGGACAAACACATTTTCCTTGGCTTTGGATTGACATTAGGTGTAGCGGTTTCTTTGGCATCCCCTCTGTGCTTCTTGGTTAGCTCGCCTTCATTAGCATTGCTTTTTATTTCATCATGTCCAATAGTTCTGGCATGCGCCTCCTGGACTGGCGACCTCGCTCCCATCTCTGTGTGGAGTGAGAGGACAGTAGATATATGTGTTAGCAGTATAGAGCAAGTGGTGAAAAGGTGGTACTGCACCCTAAAATCCCTAGAAAGGTGTCGGCGCTCTTGAGCAAGTGGTGAAAGGTGTTACTGCACTTTGTTTTTCAAAGAGTTAGCTTCTGTTGGCCTGTGTGTGTGTGATAATGCTTTCACAGTTGTCTAAAGTGTTTTATGATCACGGTGTATTCTAAAACAAGCAGTTAGGTCAATAAACTAATTAATCTACAGATCCTCCCTGTTAACGACACGTGTGTGTGTCTGATAGTGATGAGCGGTTGGGAGGACGTACTAGCAAATCCGCACCTATTCATAGAACTTAAGTTACATTAGGTAACTATTAATTATATAATTTGATCCGTTGCACAAAGTGAAAACTAAGGGGTGTAAATCATCTTTTTAATGTGACGGTAATGGCTTTTATAAATACTTAAATATTTGCTTGAGGAGAATTGATTAAACCAATAACCAGCAAGGATTTTGAATGAATTTCTACCAATCATGAGGCTTCAGGGGTGAACATGGGCGTATCTAACCAGTGCCTGTCTTCACAAAGTTTCACTGTCAAGTAAATGACATTCAGTTTAAAACCTATTTAAAAATTGCATTAAAAATAGTTTTCAACTAAATGTTGTCATTTTTTTGAACCATTAAGTGATTTATACAAGCTGATTTATACAAGTGTTATAACACATACAAAGCTGCATCACTGCAAAATCAAATGGAAATGTGTAAACAAAAGTTTAAGGGGCATCAGCAGCTTTGTTTTGGTTGTTTTAATACATTAAACAAAAAATCGATCAAAATAATCCTTAATTATTTACAGCGCTACTTTTTGTTTCTACAGTTTATGAGTAAAACTAACTTCAGTGTTGCTTTCTATTAAACTGTTATTTTTTGACATTCCTTCGATAATCTTTGATAATACTCTTATAGTAGTACTCTTTAGTATAGTAAATGATCTACACAGTGTTTTTATAATCAGGGAAAATGATTGCGCTTCGACAACCTCAGCCCACGGCTGCTCTTTGTCAGTGACAAGTTGAAGCTTGATCGTGTGGTTTTAGGTACTCGTTTTATCAGAAAGGGAAACAAGTAAAAGCTAATTGTGCTGTTTTTAGGTGTTTGTCCCGGGACATTTCCAGAGACGAGAGCGCTGGAGGTGCAGTCGGCGGCTCATTCAAACAGAGCAGTATCTACCCTCACTCAGACGGAGACTGGAGCCCTCTGCAAAGGTATCATTCAACTGGACACAACAAAGAACATTGAATTATTACTAAATCAATGTTCTTTTCCTCAGTGCTGGGAGTTCACGACCCACTTCTCCTAAGAGCGACTCTGAACTCCTGAATAAACAAGTGGATGAAAACCCCACAATGCACTGGGCCTGGGGAGAACTGCCACAAGCTGCAAAGGTAAAAGACACATCCGATTACATATGAGATAAGAAATATTCAGGCTTTGGCTCTTTCAATAAGCTTTAAGTAATCAAAGTACCGTTATATCTTTTCAGATGAATCGTCTGAGAATATAAAGGACATGTTTTTTATGGATACCTGAAAGTCTAGCAGCAACTGAGTGGGAGTCAATGGGGAGAAAGGGAGGATAAAAAATCAATAAACAAGCTGCAGTTACAATACAATTACACATCCCTGATACAATTCCTACTGACTTAGTTTTGACCTCAAACACAAGACAATGAAACCTATATTTTTGTATCAGTAGACGACCTTCCAGCATGGATTCACTTGTTAGTTTTAAATACATTTCAAAACACCACAGATCAATGCAAACTTATCCAACCCATACATATTGTTTGCCCCTAAAATACATCATCATTATATACAATTATAATGTTTCCACATTATTAAACACATTTTCCAAAAGATGGTCATTACCTAGTTTTTTGCTATAAATATTTATTTTTATAAATTGCTATTTAAGGTTTTTAGGTGATTGTTAATAGATTGTTAATATTGGACCATGGGACACTATTAACTACAGCAGCCGTTCCCAAAGTCAGTAACACCGCGGCCCCTTTAAAAATCTGACGGGTCTGCGTGGCCCCCCGAAATACTAACCAAGAAGACAACTTTAAAAATAAGCTCTTCTCGTTATTTTATTTGGGGGAAATAGCCTCTGCTACAAACATGTAAATGACGCACCCCATTTTGTAATACAAAAATGATTACAATTTGATTATTCAAGTCAAATAATGAACACAAATATTTTAATATTACAAACAAATTATTATTAATTTAATATACAATAATTATATTATTATTTATTTTTTATTACCTCTTGCGGCCCCCTTGCAATATGCCGCGGACCCCACTTTGGGAGACACTGAACTACAGTAATATCTTATAACAATTATATATAAAATAGTCACTTCCCTTGGCATAACATTGACCAGAAGAGGTAAATGAAAAAATCAGAACGTGAGGTCTCGAGAGGAATGACGCCACTTTATTATAATAATATGAATAATAATGACATACATTTTAGATATGGGGTAGAAAATGGATGGATGGATGGATAATGACACACAAACGGGATCATAAGTTGTATCTCTACATAAATCTTTCTCTGTCTTCAGCCTTCTTTCCTGCCTGTGAAACCTGAGCCTCCTTTCAGGCCTGCGTCCATCCCTGTGTCCGAGAACACACACTTCAGAGTGATCAACCGCGAGTCCAACGACGGCGAAAAATGTGAACCGTGTGCTCAAAGACCAGAGCTGACCATGCTGATGCCCCAGGAGAGGACCCACCCGGCGGGGCCAGAGGAGGGCATGGACACTCAGTCTGAGGAGCTGCAGGGTATAGAGGTGGGCGTAAAGAGCCAAATCACCTAATATTGCAATAGTAGTTTAATAAGTACATCATATTCTGTATAGTCACAGAGAAAATACCATAAATACAGCCACAAAACTGTATTTATTTCTGCAATTAAAGTGACATATGCCAAGCCTTAGATGATTCATTGAAGTTAGATGATTATGGCTTATAGTTTTCAAAATATCCACATTTTCTGAGATGATTTATTTCCAGTGCTGTGAGCCGAAAAATATAAGGTTATTACGTATCTCATTTCGCGTGTCATTTATCATCTATTAGTTTTATATTGCACGTTTTTTTGTTTTCTTGTATTTATTTTTATTATTCATTTCCGTAGTCCTCTATCTCCTAAAGTTTCAGGTCTCCACCTTTTGTCTGTTTCACATCAAATTTCTAAAAACCTGTGGTGCCTAAAGGGTAAACAGTACACACACATGCAGCTAACATCCCTGCATTGTTATTGTTAGTTTTAATGTGCATCTTGAACCTATTTATCATTCATTTATTTTCAAGCACAATTTGTAACTTCACGGCTCTATTGTTTCCGGAATACTCCAAAATGTATATTGATTCTGGTCGATATTGCCCTCCTCGTCAGGCAAGTTCACCCAGCGCAGCGGCACCAACAATGATGGACCTAGATGAGACCGCTTCCAGAGTACCAGGCAAAACCGATTCTCCGTCCAAGAAAAAAGGTAGAGTACAATCTGATTTGTGATTTTCCACGAACAAAACAGGACTGAACAAAAAATTTTATTTTTTCAAATTCCAAATATTATTGGATAAGAATCAGAATTTTTTTATTGCCATAGCAAAATCCACAGAATTTGATTTGGTCCTATGGGACAAATTAACTAAGTAAAGTTTATTTGTACAGTATAGCGCCTTTCACATACCAGGATCACGAAGCGCTTCACATTTAAAACATACAGATAAGAATATTACTCAAACAAGTCAGATTAGACACAGAAGACCTTCCTAGTAAGAATAGCAAAAAGTTTCTATAAGTCTAACAGCTGAAATACACAGAAACTGTAACATATAGAATTATGTCTATTGTCGTATTGTTTGGGTGTGTACTTGTGCTGTTAAATGTGTGTGTGTTGGAGAACTAAATAAACATATTACTGCAACAACAACAAAAAGAATAGTCAAAAGCACAACATTTAAAATCAAGAAAATCTAAGGCATTAACAGGTCAACAATAATAGATTAGTCTGGCAAGTTACATAAAATTACAACTGATAATATGTCGTAATCAAGTAAATATTTATCGAAGCACCAACCACCGTTTCATTGACCTCAATCGATATTCACGGACATAAACTTTGATCCTGGCAGAAAAGCGAAGCCGCCATCTTGGGTCTGATGGGATCTACCTGGACGACATTACGGAGCTGGAGCCTGAAGTAGCAGCGCTGTATTTCCCCAAGAGGTAAGACCAGATTTTTAAGTCTGAACAAAACTGTGATGCACCTGGTTGAAGAAGTACAATAATAAAAAGAGCAAACAAACTTGGGTGACATAAATGCTTTTCAATGAAATAATGGTTAAAGGGGCACAAGACTGGGACTATCCTGGGGAAATAGGGAAGCCTGGACTGCCTAGATATTATCATTATAGTGAAAATATTGTTACTCTTGTCTATTTCAACATATCCTGTAATAACAAATCTATTAATACTACAATTATACAATGGCTGCTCTCATTTTTATCTATTACTTTGAAACTCATTATTGACAAACGTTGACATTCCCTTTAACATTTCACAGTTGAATACGTTGTTTAATGGCCTGGTCCTCTCTCCTCCAGTGATGGGGGAGCAGGAGTGCGAGGGGGCATGGTGGACCCAGGCTCCGGAGGGGACAGTGGAGTGGACACTTACTGTGACCAGATCGGTGACCTGCCCTCCATGGCCATCTCTCTGTGCGGAGGACTCTTGGACAACCGGGAAATCACAAACGGTATTCATTTTAGACTAATAAAATATACTTTCACATTTGCTGGTCTGGGTCACTTTAACTGATCCAGGTCTGGTTCATTTGGGGAAAAATGCTCACAGATCTGTTTCAAAATGATGTGGACTAGTGGACACACATTCACTTGTTTGGCTGTTTACAAATAAAGGAGCAGTAGGTACAAATCTGGCCAAAAGTGGTACTGCATCCTCTCCCACTCTCTCTGACTCGGGTTGGCAGATATGCAGACGAACCCAGCTGGGACCATAATATCTGAATAGACAGAATAAGAGTTTTGTCAACAACAAATATATATATATCAAACACCTTTTTTCACATAGGACCCGATAGAAATCCTCCTTTTATTCCTTGTTTTGTCATTAATGATTTGAGAATCATAACGAGACCTTTTTTAGTTCTGCGGCCACATCTTACTTTGCCAGTGACATTAGCTCGATGCGGTGAGTTCTGGCAACCCGGATCACTGACTTTCTGGAATGAAAACAATATCAAGATTTAGGGGCTGTAAAACTCATTTTGAAATTCATATATCTCGTCTAAACTACTGTCATCAGTTAAATAAGTATTTGAAAAGAGCATGTTTTATTGATGCCTTTTGACATATTAGGGCCATTTAATGATGACTTGACATGAAAATCTTACATATTGCTAATTCAAAGCCCAAAACAAAACATAATTGGTCAAATTAAAGTGAACTAAACCGACCGTGTCACCCAACTTTTTACGTGAAAAAGAAGGTTATATATTTGCGTATTTGACCACGTATTTGAAAATCTTCCAAACAATTGATCCTATCGCCTCCTAGGGACCACTCTGATGCACCACGCTGACCACTCTTGCAGCCACTAGGTCAAAACAAGTTCAAATGCAAAAATATAAACGTTTTTTTCTTCACATAAAAATGTCTTTACTTACAGAACAGTTTCACAGCAAGATCATCTCCTACCAACAATTTGCTCTGAACCCATCACTTATGGACGACCCCAATTTAGTCGTAAAAATCGGTTCAAAGTAAGAAAAAAACAATCCACTTGTTAATTTTTAAATGCTCATGAATCTGTAGCAATCTTGTTTTTTGTGTTTGTAGATTCTATAATTGGAGTACTGCGGCTCCTATTATGCTGGCGATGCAAGCCTTTCAGAAACCTCTGCCAAAGGTGAGATATGATACATTCAGGATCATTGAGGCTTGACCACGTGGGATTCAATACATCAGTCTGGCGCCCTCTTGTGCTTCAAATATGTACTACAGCTCATGAGTCAAATAGGCAAATTACTACTGTTGTAACTCCTGGCTTTGATAACATGTTCATACTTATTTTGTCTCTGCTCTGATCCCTTTTATGTGGCTGCTTTATTTTATCTCTTTCAGTTCCCTTGTTTGAGTTACATACTCGCAGCTATGAAGTTATTCTCTTGTTGTTTAAACGGCTTACTCAGCTTCAGCTCTGTACGTCAGCAGAAGTCTGCGCTTATTTTCAACCGTTTTGACTCAAAGAGAATATCTTATTGATGCGTGTACTTCAGTGTGGTCTATAACAATAATCAGACAATATTTGGAGCGTGAAAATGGTAGAAAATATATATGTGATGCCTTGAATTGAAGCCTGCTATAAAACTTTGAAACAGCTATAAAACTACAGCTTTAAAAATATAAGATTTGTAGGATTAAACCTGCTTTTTTATTGTTATTTACGATAAATTCAAATTCACAAAGACTCATCCTGTTGTCTTGGTTTGACCATGTTGATTTGCAAGATTTCCAAATAAAAATAAGATGGAAGGGAATCTATATGTTTAATATTGATTCAAACATTGCATGAGGTATCGATACATCTCCCACCTCCAGCCATTTCTTAGTTTCAAACATTGTCTTTCCCCCACTTTTTGTGAATTCATTGTTTCTTGGTTCGGTTCGATATTGGCGTGTCTTGTCTTTTGTTGTGGTTTGATTTCCATGTTTGGCCACCGACAGGCGACAGTCGAGAACATCATGAAGGAAAAGATGCCCAAGAAAGGAGGACGATGGTGGTTTTCCTGGAGGGGCCGAAACAGCAGCTCCAAATCTGTAATTATTATTTCTGTTTTATCTGTTGTGTTTTGTTTTCTCTGTTGTTGTGTTGCTGACACGTTGACTGGTCTCTCGTAGGAGTCTGGTGCCTGTGGTTCTGTGGATCATCCTGGTTCAATGACAAACAGGTCAGTAAAGTGTTCCGATAAGACGTTTCATCATTGTCAGTTATATGATTCTTAAATTATATTTTGCTTAAAGCTGAGGTACCTAACTTTCCTTTTTCAAGAATAATACATTGTTTGTCGCAAGCAAACGTCCCGTGAAAAGCCACAAAACAAATCAGATCATGTTATCCTGTTATCTTTTGCATATTTGTAAGAAAGATGATGCTTGGGGATGAGAGCTGATTGATAGTGGACATCTCGTTTTTTAACGTTTCTGTCTGAAAAAATCTGATCTATAGTTGGGACAAGGACCCCCCTTGAAAACGAGCTGCTTTATCTCCAAGGGCTTATCCTCCCAGTAAATAAATAAATACATCAAAACATGCTTGTGATTGCCTAAACCACAGGCAGTATATCCAGTAGATAGACATTTACAGTAGTAGACATTGCCACACCTCTAGCTCAATGAAACCCAATAGGTAAGTGCTCATGGACGAAGTTTGGCTATAACTCTCTCTGGCTCCTTACATTGAAAAGTAAACTCCGGAATCATTTGTGTTACACTCACCATTTTTTTTGCCTTAATAATCCATTGTTTAGCGCTTTCATCGATCCTAGTGTCTTTGAAAACCCAGATATGAGCACTAACAGCTTTAGCTTAGACCGGCGCCACTCCTGAAATGGTGCTTGGCCTTTGATACCTACAAAATTACATTTGGCTTTACATTCCCGCTTAAATAGCCAGTTCAAGCTCGCCCTATTCGGCCTTTTCTACTTTTAGGAAACGCTGTGGCTGACATTGTTCAGCATTCAATCAATCCACTCCTAATATAGTCTGTGGATACAACTTGTTCTTAGTTAGTTTTGGGAGCTAAGAAACAAGTTTAGGTGGGATTTCATTACATACCGGTAGTTAAATTGTCTTGTGGTTGGAAAGTTAGGTACACGAGGTTTAAGCAGAGACTGTCCAAGCTTTCAGATTAAAAAAGAAGGTGAAATTGATTGGATTGTATTTGCAAAACCAATGTGTTTTAATAAATGTGACACCCTTTAACTAGATTAACCCTGACCCATGTTTTCTCCAGAAGACATGGCACACTATTATAAATCTGTTTTGACTTTTGAAAGTTCTGCTACAAATATTACTGCAAATCATGCGTATAATATTCCAAAGCATTGTGTTTTATTTTTCCAATTTTCCCAGCCCTATTTCAAAACCTTTTTTTTTCAGGCTCAAAGAGGAATCATCTTCTAGTGATGATGACCAAAGAGTGTCGAGCTCCATCCAAACAGAATCAGGACATCCGTCGGTGGGTGTCTCCTACAAGAAAACTCTCAGGCTGACTTCAGAGCAGCTGGTAGGACATTCTGCATAAGTCGTGAAAGGCTAAGCTACTGTCTATAAATAATATGGCTCATAATGTCATGTCTTCCCCTCGCAGATGTCGCTCCAGCTGCTCGATGGTCCCAACGATGTGGTCTTCAGCGTGACCACTCAGTACCAGGGCACATGCCGGTGTCAGGGAACCATCTACCTCTGGAATTGGGACGACAAAATTATCATCTCAGACATCGACGGAACTATCACCAGGTTGGCCTTCAAAAATCTCAGCACAGAAATGTTTTGACCTACACTGGAAAAAAGTACAAGATAAAAGAAATGTCTCCCTTGGAATGGGAAAATCAAGCAATAGTTCTTGAAACGATACTAAATGGCTTTGTCCCATTGGTAAAGAAGTCAGAATGTACTCAAAAAAAGATAAAAGCCACTTGATTCATTCTTGATCATTTTTTGCAGTGTAATACAAATCCTCTGTTTTAAATTCATGTAACCGACCAAACTTTGAACTACGACTATTTCAGACATTTCTGACAATTATGACAATTTCAGGAAAATGAAGGTCCATATAAGGTCTGAATAAACATAGACACCTACCCTTTAGTATACACTGTACATGTTGAACTTAAATAGCTGCTACACACAAATGTATATGCATATGCCAAACCAGGACAAGTGGAGCAGTTTTACTTAATATTTATACGGACATGTCTTATTTAGTTTCTCTTTCATGTAAAATCGATCTGCCATTTGCACGGGAAGATTTAACATTTGGGTTTCATTGAGGCCTGATTAAATCATGCCTTTCGTAATAAATCCAACTCTACACCAAGTGGAAATGCACATAATCTGAACATTACTGTAGATTGGTATTCTCTCAAAGTCACTTTTTATTGTTTTATTGTGTTTTGTGCCAAACTTGAACCAAAAAACATTTATTTATCTTTAGGTCTGACACGTTGGGCCATATTCTGCCAACGCTTGGAAAAGACTGGACACATCAAGGCATTGCACGCCTGTATCACAAAGTCAGCCAGTAAGTGATTGCACTGCTACAGCTGAGGCTCTGAATAACTTTACTTCAGAATATTTGGACTTAACACATTTGAACTATTCATATTCATTTAATTAGATGGTTAAAAATAGCCAGTCCATTATGTATTTTGGACTTAGTGCAGGGTAAAAACTGTTTTATGGTGGCACGCTGAGTGGTTAGCCCTCTCTCGTCTCACAGTAATAAGGTCCTGGGTTTGACTCCCTGCCAATACGAGGCCTTTCTGTGTGGAGTTTGCACGTTCTTCCCATGTTAGTGTGGACAGTTTGATTCACTGACCAAACTGTTTTGAAAGCTCGGTTTAGATGGATTTTATTACCACTAAAGTCATGTACAGTAGAAAATCTCTGTAGGACTATCCTTGTGAAATAATGGTTAATAGATTCAATACAATAATATATGGTTCATTTATTAGTTTATTTTTGTAAATGCACCAGAATTAGTCAAGTAGGCTATTTTTCATCTGCAGGCCCTGGACAGGTGTAAATAGTCTCCCTAAAGATAGAATTTTAGTACTTCAAAAAGTAAAATTTACTTCAGCTAATACTAACGCCTATTTGAATATTACAACATTATTTTGTGCTTAAACAACCACTTATTCCTTAAAACCCTGTTGCCCCAAACAAGGGCATTTTATAATATATGTCTTTGAACAGTATTGTGTTAGCTTTCTAAGTGAACGTGTGGGCTATAAATAGATACTCATTGTCACTGTGTTACATTATTTTATAGAACCCATTGACTGCGTGTTCGTGACATAATAATTCCTCCTCAGAAATGGATACAAGTTCCTGTACTGCTCGGCCCGGGCCATCGGCATGGCGGACATGACGCGAGGTTACCTGAACTGGGTGAACGAGAGAGGGACCATGCTCCCGATGGGCCCCGTGCTTCTGAGCCCCAGCAGCCTGTTCTCAGCTCTGCACAGGTGGAAAGAGCCTCGATTATCGATTATAACATCTGATGTACGCATAAGACACTTTTCATCGACTGTATTTTTCTGTTTTATTCCCAGGGAGGTGATTGAGAAGAAACCTGAAAAGTTCAAAGTGGAGTGTCTCAATGATATAAAGAATCTTTTCTATCCAAACATTCAGCCCTTCTACGCAGCTTTCGGCAACAGACCTACGGTACGCGCAGAACATGCATCACCATTTAATGCAGTGTTTCCCAAGCAGTGGTGTGCGGAGCGGGTTGTTTGGCATTATTATCTTTAGATTTAGATTTTAAAAGAAAACGTTGAGATAGAAAAGTATTTGTATATTATAATGTTTTTGCTGTACACAATTTTAAGCAAGATTTGTGGCGTTTTTGATATAATTAATCAAGATTGAAAGAAATAATTGACATGAATGTGTACAACATTAAAGCTGGGGTACCTGACTTTTTCCTTTATACATAATGCATGTTGAGTCTTTTTTAGGGAAAATGTGTATTGTTCTTAATCTACTGTATAGGTTGTATGTATTCTTTTATCTACCATTATTGTATGAAATAATGATTTTTTTATTTGATTTTATATTTTTCCAGGATGTGTTTTCTTACAAAGAAGTTGGCGTCCCTCTGAACAGAATTTTTACAGTCAACCCTAAAGGTGAACTGGTGCAAGAACACGCCAAAACCAACATCTCGTCGTAAGTGGCCAGTTCCTTCACTCATAATAACGGCGTGACGACCTAAACCATAACGGCGTCCATGTTTGTGTTGCAGTTACGTGCGTCTGGGGGAGGTGGTGGATCACGTCTTTCCTCTGAAGGCACGATCCTCTTCTTCAGACTTTCCTTGTTCCGACACCTTCAGTCACTTCACGTTCTGGAGGGAGAATTTACCCGCCGTGGAAAATCCAGGGATCAGAGCCTCGCAGACAAACTCCAGCAGCTGACGGCCTGAGAACAGGGTCTGATGTTTATGTGAACTGAGCGGGGTGTTTATGTGAATGTAAAAGAACCAATGAGGATGTTAAAGCAGAAACACTGAAAAACGCACAAGAGAGAAGTGAGTGCACTTTGGTGAAATAGTCTATAGTTGTTGTTTCTTTAAACTAGTTACACAAATATAAGAATATATTTAGGCAGCTTTTTAAATTATCCTAGCATGAACATTGCTATTGATTAAGTTATATTGAAAGTTACAGAATTTACAACTTTATTTGCATTATATATTTTTGGATTTAGTCCATTTATATTGTAGTTTTTAAAGCAAGTGGCTTGTACACATGTGTCAAAATAAGTTTATTTTAGCGATAGCATTTGGAGAGCACTTATTACGAATGCATACTGAAAGGGGCGGCAGTGGCTCAGTTGGTAGAGCATTGGCCTTGGGGCCGGAAGGTCGTGGATTTGAGCCCACCGTAAGACCTACTTCACGTCTCCCACTGATGACTGCTGTCGTTGTGTCCTTGGGCAAGACACTTAACCCCACTTTGTCTGAAGCCCCCGTTGAAAGATCTCAGCTCCTGTGGACTCACCACCTGCAGGAGGATCAGTGAGGGTCTGGTGCTAAGTGTACTGGATGCAGCTCTGACATGGATTAAGGGGAAGAAAACGGATGGATGAATGGCATACTGAAAGGTACTTATGAAATGGACAGAGTATTTATTGTAGAGTTGCAGATGGTGAAGTGCAATGATATTAATGATGTTCCCATTGTTTATTGCAGATTATATTTTTCTATATACAAAGGTGCATGTTATTTTAGTGTTGACTTGTTTTGAATTGTCCTTCAATTTTACAATACCACAATTAATTACCTCATGTCAGAAAAAAAAGGATACATTGTAATGATTCTTTCTATGAAAGAGTTGCACAAATGTGGTTGCATTATATATTTTCAACAACTCACTATGACAATAAAAACTATTGTTTAAAACTGGTTATCATTCATTATTTCGATTATTACTAGAATTAGTGCAATGGCTGAAAGTGTGAGTGACTGCATACAATAATATAAATCAAATACTACAAAAAAGATCAAAACATAAAACAAAAGAAACCAAAAAAAAGGCAAATGTATATATACTGCAGAAATAAAAACGCTTTTAAAAGCTTAATAAACAAAATATGTTTTGTATTGAAATCAAACGTTAGAAGAACTTTAAAGTATTGCAAATACAACAAAAGAAGTGACAAGACCAAATTAATAAAAAATAAATCAATAATTCAAACATAAAATAAAATTACAAAAACTATAACTTGTATCAAATTTTTAAAAGCCGATATAAGAGACGATAAAACCAAACGAAACTAGGTAAAACCATGGATGTATTAATATCTTATTATCAGACACATTTCGATAACACTTGAACATGGATGAACACGTTGAAGATTTGAAACGCACTGAAAGATAGAAGAAGATGGAATAAAAACTACCAGCACAGATAAGAACAAGTGCATATGCATTAACTCAATACAAACAGTGTGCAAGTGTGTGAGTCCAGTCCTCATAGATCCATGGTCCGGTCTGGTCCAGTCCTGCACAGTGTGGGGGGTCGGGGTTACTTGGGGCCAGGCGCAGCAGCGGGAGGAGTCTAGTCCCGGGGATCAGCGGAGGACTGGGGCCCGGAGCACCGCTGTTCTGCACAAGAAAGTCAGAAAAGCACCTGTTTTTCCCTGGAGCTGTCTGCACCGAGTCACAAATGGCCCACACGGTAAGAAACCAGATAGTGGAGCTTGTAAGAAGATCACTGCAAACAACACACAACAACAGAAGTGTGTGATTCTATGAGACTTTGCTGCGGGTTTAGACCTTGACCTAGTTACGCTGCTTTTAGATAAAGAAGACTGTGACACGTTCTGCATACACAATGTTGCTCTCCCAAGTATTCATGACCCAAGATCTTATTCTAGTGTCATGTTTAGTGTAAATGTAGATTGTGAGCACTTGGTTCCTTTGTGTAACCCTTTCATTGTTTCCTCAACCATTTGGTAGATCACTTTTTGAGTCACTATATCTACTTTAAGCTTGAAATATAGCTCTTTAGGCACTTTTACCATCAAACTGCATTTAAACCATTTGGTAAAGGTCAATAATAATGATAATAATATATTTTTTTAAACTAGGGGTTCGAAAAAACAAGATAAAAACGTATTTGTGTCCTTACTGACGTTTTATTTGTCTGGAAAGCACTTTGTGACGGATATTTCTGTTTTTAAATTGTGCTATATAAATAAACTTTACCTTTACCTTGACCATTAGGTGTTCCTTAGAGAATCCAATAAAGAATAAAATAATATTGCTTTCTTCAAGGAGTGAACATTAAAGGGATAGTATTAGTTTTAAGAAATTCTATGCAGATTTGTTTTATATGCATGCCTTTTTAAAATAATTAATTCAGACACATAAAAAGGTCCATACGACACAAACACAAAGACAAATAGAGACGAACAAACAACACACAAACGTAGAATATTTGCACAATTTTGTAAAGACAGTTTCTCCAATGAGTTCAGCGTTTCATGAACTTATAGACAAAGTTATTGACAAAGTTTCACAGCATTCAGTGTGGGGACATCATTGCAAATGAGACAATTATACATATTTGTACTTTTATAACTTGTTTGCACCTAGTTTATTACTTCTTGTTACTTACTATAGCGATACAAATAATTCTGATTCTGATGTTTTATGTTTTTGCATTTTATTTCATTCAAATAACGAATCCCTCTCTCTCTTAAGTATCCGCGCTCTGCCAATGAGGAGTTGGTGGACATCTTGGAGGGGACGAGGCTGAGCGGTGACCTGAGCCACGCCCTGCGGACATTCAGCCCTCAGCCTTACAAAGACATGACCACCAGCTCAGCCTCAGACCTGAGCAAGAAAACACTGGACTCCCAATACCTGCAATATGTGTTCAAAGAGGTAACGTATACTCACATATGGCTGGTAACAATAGGTTAATCTATAAATCCTCCCTGTATTTTTGCAGACAAATAAGAAAATATGGGTTATGTGTTGGTATTATAATTATTTGTATTATCTTTGGTAGTAGATTAATGTCATTAAAGTGTGTAATTGTGGAATTTGTTTTCATCTGATGGCTATTTATGCTAAAGAAAGGCAAGTTTTTATTAGTCATTGAGAGTCTCACATATTCTGTTGGGATTGACAGGTGTAAGTCCCGCCTCCAGTGCATACACAAACCATGCAATATATTCTTCACACTTGAGGCTGTTTAATTATTGTACTTTAATAAAAAAAAAAACATTATCTAACGTATATAAGGCTAAATGGATACTTTGTCTGATTAAGCAGCTATAGATTAATTAATAAATGGTTTTAATAAACAGTAACCCGAAAACATTCCGCTCCACCTTTAGTTAGTTTAGTTAATTATGAATTCTTATACTTCCAGCAGAGGATCAGTACTTTATTCAGAACACACAATAACAGAATAACACAGAAACAGAGACAGAGATAGGCTTGGTTTAGCAGTCTTATGACAAAGTAAGAAACCGCGTACTCTTCTAAAAACAGTGATATATCCGTCTAAAATATCACAGAAACTAGACATATACACAAAATAAAACAGTTGTATGTGTTGCCAGATCTCTGCTGAGTCCAGTTTATCCATGGAGGAGGTTAAAGAGGATGCTCGCTTGCTTTTGGACGAGATGTCTCAAAATTTACAGCTGGGTTTTATCAGACTGATGGGTTACACTCTGACCAAAGTGCTTAAGAGACTGTACAGCAAGATATACGTCAACATGGAAGGACTTAACACGGTCGGACAATCTTCAATTCTCTTTTTTATCGGCAAATGCACGTTATTACTATATTTTTCTGATGTTACAGCTCCAACAGGCCGTCCGGGAGAATCCAGTAATCCTGATGCCCTCTCATAGAAGCTACATAGACTTCCTGATTATTTCATATGTGCTTTTTACATATGACATCCCAGTGCCTGTCATTGCTGCTGGACTTCGCAAGTATCTACACTAGCCCCACCCCACTCACTATATACATATTTTTTACATTAGGGCAGCGCGATTATTCAACGGAGAAATCAGCCAATCAAAAAAGACAGCGATTATTTTACTTCGTTGCCACCCAAAAAGGGGACTGACTATTTAGTGGATTTGGTGATTTGGATGTTTGTCGATGGAACAAGCGAGTTTCTTCTGTGTTTTTGTCGGACAGATGTTTAAAAAAAAAAAAAACTTTTCTCACCTTTTTGATAATCTATATAAGCCAAAACTGTCTACATGTTTTGCACAAATAAAGAAAATGCCAACTCAATGCAATTATTTAAATATGAAGAGGTCATTTGCACACAAAAACATGTGCCATTAGAAAAAATTGGGAAAGACAATTTTCTCATGACCAATTCGTTATTTTGAAAAGTCAGATATATTTTAAGTGCAGCAAAAAGGCCATTTCACCTTCTTGAGTAAAGCCTTTACATTTTACTGCCAAAAAAATAGAAAACTGCCACATATAATACAACTTTTTGACACAATTTCTAAACAGAAATCTCTATGAGTTTTGTATGAGTTGTATTTTGGTGAATGAGGACATTGCTTCATACTGTATGTAGCCTTTTAAAAACTCTCCGAATAAAATGAGACTTGTTAAACATACAGGATATCAAAAAAACACACTGCAATATTGGTCATAAGCATTGCCATTAAATATTTCGCCAAAACGGTAAAAAGGTGCAGCCCAAGCTAACCTCGACCTTTCCTTGGACTTTTAAGCTCTCGCTGGGATGAAGCTGGTGGGAGAAATACTGCGTCGGTCCGGTGCCTTCTTCATCAGACGTTCAATCGGTTCTGACAAGCTTTACTGGGCTGTTCTGTCTGAGTACGTGAAAACCATTGTCAGGGTAAGGCTCACGAAAGCAGAGAATGGATCCAAACTGGTATAACGTCTTTAAGAAAATGCATGTGCCCTTTGCAGACTGGATTTGCACCTCTGGAATTCTTTGTGGAAGGTTTGAGAAGTCGCACTTTGAAGTCTGTACCACCCAAACTTGGTAAGTATTTTCGCTGATAATGTTAGTGCTAGCTATTTTATCATACTATACATGTGTCTGCAGGTATGATGCACATGGTGTTGGAGCCCTATTTCAAAGGGGAGGTGTTTGACATCACTCTAGTTCCCATAAGCATCAGTTATGACAGAGTTCTGGAGGAATCTCTGCTCGCTCATGAGTTACTGGGCATCCCCAAACCCAAAGAGACCACAAGGGTATGTATCTATATGCTTTTTATTTGAGGCGTGCAAAGCTATCTGCGTTCATGTGATGCCAATGTGAAATGAAAGTGAAACCAAATTTGCCAATATCTTATAAATGTGATGCAGTGCTATAACAATGGCAAAAAAATTAAAACTATCCTAACTTTCATCTTCCACGCATCCCCGCTCATGGCGTATAGCAGTGGTTCCCAACTGGTGAGTCAAAACCCGAAAGTGGGTCATGGAATCATTTTTATTGGATCGCAATGGGCACTTTATTTTTTATTTTTTTACGTATCTACAACACTACAAAAAAAGTGCAATTTGCCCTCTATGAAAATAAAATTAGGAAATGTGTCCACAATGCCAGTTATCATACTTAAATTATGACGATATCAAAATCCACTGAAAATTCCATTACATTTGCCTGACATTTACTTTTGGCTCCATTGGTGGATTTCTGATAAAGATTAGATTTATTAAAAAGACCATTTATTCTACGGCCTGTGGGCTTCATTTTGTTCCATTCTATCTATTTTCTTGCTTATGAAATTATACTTTGTGAATTTTTTGTTCGAATTTTATAATTTTATATTTTTTATATACCAAATGAATGTGTTATTTGGGTTGTCAGGGATGAACCAGACAGAGACGGATCGTGGTGCGCCAAACTCTGGAAGTTGATTTAAGTTTTTCTCAAGTTCCAGTGGTTTCCATTGTTTCGGTGGCTGCTTGCATTATAAGGCATTATAAGTGTCGACACTGGTCCAGTTGAGAACCACTGGCTCATGGTAGATAGTAGATCATTTCCAGTTAATTTACTGCATTCATTTGACATTTTCGGCTATGAAAAGTGAAGAAACATAAACTTGAGGAAGACCCATTTGTACGAGCCTTGATTAAATGAATTTTTGTGTGAATTGTAGTGTTTTTGTAGCCATACCCCTGAAGTCAACCTCCTTTTGTAGCCAAACCCCTGAAGTCCACAGAGCCGTTTCTATGAAGTCGTTTTTAATCAATGTTGTTGTTGACAAAGAATATCGTCTATGAGCGTTACTAATATCTATAGATAAAAGCACAAACGCGTCCCTGTTCATTTAGATTTACCACATGCCATAGTGATTACAATCCCCTTTTCTACAGGGTCTATTCAAGGCCACCAAAGTGCTCCAAGAAGATTACGGCTGCATGCATGTGAACTTTGGTCGGCCTTTGTCGGTCAGAGAACTGTGCCAGGGCAAGATAAACCGCTGCCAGTACAACCTCACACCGAGGCATGTAAAAGCAAAATCCAAATAGTAATGTGTTCATTCTTACCATTTGATATATTGTTTCTTCAATATAGAGACTTGCCGCAGGTGCCCAGTGCAGACGTCCAGGCCTGTGTGAACTGGCTGGCCCACCTCATCGTCAGGATTCAGGAGGAAGGGTCTTGCATAAGCCCCTGGTCTCTTATGGCCTGTGTGTTACTCCAGTGTCCCACATCCACACTGAAGGACAGGGGCATGGCCTGGACTGAGCTCAAAGACTCAACTCTGTGGCTCAGAAAGTTGGCACTGCGATTTCGGGCTCATCTCCACTGGCCAGGTACGAATATCTCATCATTACTTCTGAATTTACCACAAAAAATATTTAAAAGTTGACGGATTCGGGTTCTGTATGAAGCTGCTGAATGGCCTAACTTTCACGTACCATGATTGTCCACTAGAGGGCGTTTGTACGTGCGCTGTTGACCTGTGGTACTGGCAGGATTTTTCTCATAAATAACCACGGATGTAGAGTATTAATTAACACCGACAGAAAGAGTCTGTAGAATGTTGTGAACTAATCAGACCATATGAAGGTTATTTTGTGTTTTTATTATCAACACTTTTTTAGCATTTTAATAGCATTTTTTTTATATAACTCAAATGCAAAAAAAAATGTTGATAATAAAAACACAAAATAACTTTCATAAGACCACACCATGCTCTCTTCATCTTCGAAAACTTGTCATCTTGTGAAAAAGAGTCACTATTTTGGGCTTAGAGCTGGGGCTGAATGAGGGTGGTCCTCATTTTTTCTTTTCTGTCTGGATAAAAACAGATAAAAAGCTATGCCAGGGATCAAAATACATAATACAGACTGAAGAAAAACCGTTTTAGAGCCAGCAGGAACTAGTTAGATAGATTTTATTACATTGTGGTGGTTTAAAAGTTAAGTACACCTGCTTTAATTTTGATGGGAGAGATTATCATAACGTATCATAAACATGGTCATTGACTGGTAACAAAATCCCTAAAAATATTAAAAGAAAGTCATAAGTTGCAGGTTTTTAAACTCACATTTTTCCAAAACAAATACAACAGTGTGATGTTTGCAGATGAAAAATTAAATACAGTAATAAGTCAGAAATATGGCGCATCTCTGTTCATTAAACAAATAGACATGAATTTCCAACAATAATGTAAGTAAGTAATTTAGCAAGTAATCTTTATTTATTTACCGCCTTTCACAGACCAGAGTCACAAAGCGCTGTACAGTTGTGAGCATTTTCCTCTCACTCCACACAGAGATGGGAGCGGGGTCCCCAGTACAGGAGGCGCAGGAGACCTATTGTACATGTTTTTAGTGGTAGGGGAAACCGAAGCACCCGGAGGCAGACATGGGGAGAACATGCAAACTCCACTCAGAAAGGCCCTGTTGTTTGTTGCATGTTTAACTCAATCTTAACCATGTCTTGTTGTGAGAATCCACTTAACAATGAAGAATTAAAACTAACCAGGCCAAAATGTGGATAGAGACACAATAAACGTACAGGTGTAGTATACAGGTGGTGCTTACTCTTGGATGGAGTGAGAGAAACATCAGACAGATTAAGTGAATGTGTTTTGGCACAAGCAGTGGATTAATGCTCCGTCTTAACCTGAGAGGACTCTTTACAGACACACAAGGCAGGTTTACAGATACCTCGACTGAAAACATGTTACAAACTTTCAAACTTTCCACTAAATGAACAAATCAGCGTCAGAAAATCTATTGCATGTAGTAAAGTGGAAAAAAATGTAAGACCGTCCAGCAATATCTAAGAAAGTTTTCTGATGGGATCTGCTACCTGCTTGTTGCCATGGAAATGTTTTTAATTGCTCAAAGCGAGTCCCCAATGTAGATGCAAAATGTAATGCCACACTGGTACAATCTGGGAAAAACATCATTTAGATGGACACAAGCAAAAAAAACTGAAGATTTTTGAAGTTTTCAGAAACACTATTACAGTAAATGTATGAGCTTTATGGTAAACAATAGATCAATAAAAATAAATAGAAATCATAGAATACAGTTTATAAGCATTGTTTAATGAAAACAAAATCACGTCTTGATTTCAAAGATTGATTAATAACAAAAAAATAGATACAAAATAATAGGAAGTTAGCATGGATTCCTCAACACAGAGAGAGTTGTTGGGACATAGGTGTATGGTCAGAGAGACTTGTATGTGTGTGTTTGTGGGAGGGTGGGTCTTGTTTATGGGTCTGTGTGTGTGTGTGTGTGTGTGCCTTGTGCCCAGTAACCGTCTGCTTCGTCCAACCCCTTTTCAAACTGTATTGCCGTTTTTGTATCCGATCACTATTGTTTTAGTAAAAATATAAGCTTAAAATAAACGGTTACTACGGTACCACTGCTAAAATGCTCATATATTTTTACAGAAAAAGCCTCAGACCAGGATGTGATGTCATCAATGGTGGCTCTTCATCGCTCCATCGTTGCCCATGAGGGAGACAGAGTGTGTTTGGTCCAGGAGGAGAGGCCTCGGAGGAAGTTTGAGCTCAGTGCAGAGGAGGAGGTGAACAGGACAGCGGCGACTGTGCTGATGTTAGCTTCATACAGAAATCAGACTCTGCACGTTTTCCTTCGCCCCGCCATGCTCGCCACCGCCGTCCAAGTCACAAACAGCACGCAGCCAGGTGAGAGTCCGTCCACTTACTGTATGTTGCAATCTGCTCAACCATTACTATGTGTGTGTATGTGTGTATCTTTCCTCAGATGAGCTGTTCACATTTTTCTGCTTCCTGAAAGACTTGTTCTCCTCTGAGTTCATATTTGTGCCTGGAGAATCCACTCAGGTATCTATTCAAATGTTGAATAGCATTGCATAAGAATTTAGCCCTTATAAATCCAATATATGGTGCTATGAGCATTGGGTGGCTGTTCTGATTGTCACCCTCACGACCCAGAATGAATGAATGAATGAATTCCAATGTATGGTATCTATTTTCTGGGGTACTTAAAGGTACAGTGGGGCAAAAAAGTATTTAGTCAGCCACCGATTGTGCAAGTTCTCCCACTTAAAATAATGACAGAGGTCTGTAATTTTCATCATAGGTACACTTCAACTGTGAGACAGAATGTGAAAAAAAATTCCAAGAATTCACATTGTAGTATTTTTAAAGAATTTATTTGTAAATTTATGGTGGAAAATAAGTATTTGGTCACTTCAAACAAGGAAGATCTCTGGCTCTCACAGACCTGTAACTTCTTCTTTAAGAAGCTCTTCTGTCCTCCACTTGTTACCTGTATTAATGGCACCTGTTTGAACTCTGTATAAAAGATAGCCCAAATGTAACCCACAGCAATATTTCAACCACTGATAATCTCACTCGATCTGGGGCTCCACGCAAGATCTTATCCCGTGGGGTGAAAATGATCATGAGAACGGTGAACAAATATCCCAGAAGCACACGGGGGGACCTGGTGAATGACCTGCAGAGAGCTGGGACCAAAGTAACAAAGGTTACCATCAGTAACACACTACGACGACAGGGAATCAAATCCTGCAGTGCCAGACGTGTCCCCCTGCTGAGGCCAGTGCATGTCCAGGCCCGTCTGAAGTTTGCCAGAGAGCACATGGATGATACAGCAGAGGATTGGGAGAATGTCATGTGGTCAGATGAAACCAAAGTAGAACTGTTTGGTATAAACTCAACTCGTCGTGTTTGGAGGAGGAAGAATACTGAGTTGCATTCCAAGAACACCATACCTACTGTGAAGCATGGGGGTGGAACCATCATGCTTTGGGGCTGTTTTTCTGCTAAGGGGACAGGACGACTGATCCGTGTTAAGGAAAGAATGAATGGGGCCATGTATCGTGAGATTTAGAGCCAAAACCTCCTTCCATTGAGTTGAATGTGTTATTGACCAAATACTTATTTTCCATCATAATTTACAAATAAATTCTTTAAAAATCCTACAATGTGAATTCCTGGATATTTTTTTCACATTCTGTCTCTCACAGTTGAAGTGTACCTATGATGAAATTACAGACCTCTGTCATTATTTTAAGTGGGAGAACTTGCACAATTGGTGGCTGACTAAATACTTTTTTGCCCCACTGTATATAGGAGGATTTTCTACTTCCAGGTGGATCATCACGACTATTGGTCCTCCCAATTGTCAATCATCCTGCCGATACATGCTCGTCAAAAAAGAACCAGAGAGTTGTATTCAAAAAGTGAAGAGGTCGGTTCTTTCCTTAAATTTGGGAAATCCTCCTATATACCTCTAACTTTCAAATCCCAAACATTTAACGTTATAATAAAATCCATCTAACTAGTTTTGGCTCTCCTCCTAAAGTATCAATACACCAGACAAGTATGCAAAAGGGAACATGTTTTCTATTAGCAATAAGATGTTTTGGACTGATTTGTTCACAGAATGTTGACATTTTCTTTCTATTGGAAGAAATAAAATAAGTTAGGAACCCCAGCTTTAATTGAACTTAGTGCAAAGTGTGAACCCTTAGACTACTGTAATTCTTAGTCATCAAGATTTACTGTATAGTCCGACGAATACCAATGTTAAAGACCTTATGACGGGTTTAAAAAAAAAAAAAATAGTGGATATCAAAATTGCATGACAATGTCAATTTGAAAGAGATTCCGGCAAAAAAAATCCTATATTTTATAAAAAGAACGTGTTTTTCATGAATTTAAGTTGTCTATGCTCTAACCTGTGTGTGACGTCATAGCGGGTTACGCCCATGCATTGAAAACCATGGATCTATGCCACAGGACTGCCTTTTCTCTCTTCTCTCCACTGATGCCCAACACAATACTGCCCTCTACAGGTGACAATTGCTCACTACACATAAATTGCCGTTTTGAGTGTGAAAAAGTGTCCGAGGTGGGATTTGAACCCAAGTATCTGGATTGACAGTCCATCGACACAACCACTGGACTATCTCAGTGACAACGAAATATTACCATCTAGTAGTTATCTTAGACTCGGTGTACACGGCCTTGTCATCTTGAATATCCGCGAAAAAAGAACAAATACCAAATTGTAAACAACTTACAGCGTTGAAACGTACCCGTTCTGACGTCACCAAGGGCTGTGAAGTTTTTTCGTTTCTAAGGGCGTTGCTATGGGGGTATTTCGATTTGGGGGGATCAGACAAAAAAAACAACAACTGATTTTGAAACCTTTAGTAGTTCTCTTCTAATATAAAATGGTATTAAAACTGTATTTCTAAATAAATCAAACCCGTCATAAGGTCTTTAATGAAAATACCATTTGGTGCCATTTTTTGGCATCTCCACTGGTGACACATGCCTCATGTTGAAATTAAGAATAAAACTAATTTAAAGGTGACGTCATCAACGCCAACTTCATGACTACTGCTGTGATTTAGGGCTACAAAATGAATAGGATTTTTAGACTAGCTGATTATGGGATATTGTACTACTATGTACAGTAAGCATTTTTCAACAATAATATATTTGAATTAGCATCACTATAACCAGTAAGATTTGAAAGGGGAGAATAGTTTAACCAATGACGAGGAGCCTCAAGGATTTAAATTAATTTCAACCAATCAGGAGGCTGCGGGGATGAGCCAGTCTAACCAGTGTTAGCCTTCAAAAACTTTCACTCTCTTTACAACATTTGAAAATACTAAAACAGTGCTTGTTACATGGGCAGTTCCTCCCCAATCACAACACTTTGGGAAACGGTGATTTTCTTTTTAATCACACATCAATAATTGTGTGTTGTGTGTAGGATTTCGAGGAGGCGTGTTTGTTGATGAAGGGCAGTGGAGCGGTTCATATGAGTCCAGAAGAAGTGACTGTGACAGAGGCGGGACAACAGATCGTGTCCTTTCTACACTCTCTTTTGCAACCTTTCATTCAGTCATATCAGGTAACAACCGATTTTATTGTGCTGGATTCAAAAATATTAAATTCAAATCCCTCCCTTTGTCCACAGGCAATACTTGAATTCTTCTCTGAAAATGAAACCAAGGACATGCCAGAAAAACAGTTGTATCCCACGATGCGAAGCTTTGTCATGAATCTCATCCTTTCAGGTACGAATTGAATGGATTTTGTACCACATTTATTTATATTTTTGCAGTGAACATGTGTGTATTTGCATGATGTGCAGGTGAACTCCAAACTTACGAAGCCCTGTCTTCTGACACGCATAAAAATGTCCTGTCTGCATTGTGCACTTTAAGGGTTATGACCAAATTGAGGGAGTAAGTAATTGGACTTCCAGAATTTCACAAATCAACACCTTTTGAATTGTGATTTTAATCTAAGAGTTTGTTTTCAGGTCAAAAGAGAATAAATATCAAGTGGACACAGCAGCTGTAAAAAGAATCAGTGACATTCTTTGTAAGTCATTGTTGGAGCTTGAATGTGCAACATGTTGATTATATACAAAGTTCAGGGACTCCCTAAATCTTGGTATTTCGTCCCTGAGCAAACAAACCTTCCTCTAACTTAAAGAGCTTACATTTTGAGTTATCTAACCTTCACCAAAAAACAACAGAATCCATCCATCCATCCATTTTCTTCCGCTTCATCCGTTGCCGGGTCGCGGACATAAGAATCAACTCCATAAAATCCATGTCACTTGGTCTTTATTATTGGCCTCTTCAAATACGGTTTTCCCAAATGAAAAGTGAAAAATAGAGGAACACCCACTGTCAGCCAATATCTCAGCTCAGTCCAAAGCGTCAAATAGTGACTCACAGGGCTCTTTACTACAAGTATACAAAAGATTTTTTCTAATAAGACATGTTGTGGTCTGATTTGTTCACAATATTTTACTTCCATTTTACGTCACAACAAAGAGTCTGATTTAACAACAGTGACTGGGGCAAAAATATCAAGATTTTGGCGAGTCCCTAAAGTACATTGAACTGTCTTGTTGATATGTTTATTCGATAAAGTGGCGTTCATTTGCTTTCTTTAGGTGGGAAAATCTCTCCCCAGTTGCTCCACAGGACACCTCACGCAAAGCTCTAGTCTTTGTTGGAAGAAGTCCAAGTACAGCATCAGTCTACATCCTACTTACACCATGACCCTGTGCATTCCCCTCTTTCCTTTTCAGTAAAGTCTTATTGGATAGACTGTCCTTCTGCCAACAGTCCTGGCTGACCGTTCTGGAGGCGGCTACACCTACTACAACCTTGGATGCACACATTTAAAAAAATAATCAATTCTAATATATTTACATATAGCCTCATGTTTACCTGACTTAGAACAATGTGTGAGTATATTGCACAGGCTTAGATATAGACATGAATATCATTGACCTTTGATTGATCTTTGTAGTAAATGTGACATAGCATTGTGTGAAAATTAGAAAGAGAAATTAATTTTGTATTATAATATATTGTAAATAAATGCACCTTTATTTAATCAGGCATCAGGCGTCGACTCCATTTTAATGAGTAAAAACGTATCTTTAGCAACTGAAAATTCTGATACACGCCCAGCAACACACGTGCTGCTTTGCTTTAGCTGGCACACGTTACAAACTTCATCTGTAAACTGGTGGCACGTCAACTTTGATTCGCAAAGCACTGACTGGATCTTGACAGAACACAGAGATGTACTCCAGCACCTTGGAGTTGAGCTTTTTCTCGCCTTCTTTGGCTCGTACGCGGTCTTTGTCCCATCTTTCCCTCTCCCCGTTCATCTGAGAGAAGAGGTTGAGCTGGATGGTGCGTAAAGTGGCGGCCAGGACGTGGAAAGCGCCCTGCATCATGTGGCAGAACGCGGAGCCCAGACTGAGCCCTGCGGCCATCAGGTTGGGCACTGTCTCGCACACCACACACACGCCCTCCAGGAAGTGCAGCGTGCCCTTCTTGACCAGAGGTTTGCCGTGGTGCACGTACTCCTGCGGGTGTGCCTTGTGGTGCTGCGCATGGTGGTACCAGTACCGTGCACAGTCGTAGAAGTGCGTGGCCGCCCTGCGCAGCGGGAGCAAGGCCAGGTACAGGTGACAAACGGCTTTGGTCAGAGCATGGAAGAGCAAGCGCAGCTCCAGCACCGCGTTACCTGGAGATAAGAGGGTCACACCGTCAGCTGTGTCGCGTTAAACCGCACCGAATGTCACCAGTCATTACGCACAGACAGCTTAGACTAGCTCTCACTCACTGAGGACACAACCTGCAAAAACTACACACAGGGATACCTGCAGTCAGAATGAACGTTATCTTGAACCAACAGTATAGAAACACATGTGTAACTAGTCATTTTATCTGCATTAATTAACCCACTTTATGTTGAATGATAACGGCAAAAAAAACGCCCAACTTGGCCCCCTCAGTTCTCTTTTACCTTGATTGAGAGCGATTCCACTCGTTAACCTGTTTACTTCAAGCTGAGTCTGGATATCCAGGGCCAAGCAGGTACCAAAGTGTTCAGTGATTGGTCAGAGTACTGCTGGAAAGCCATGGTAACCAAGTAAATTCCCCGGATATTTGGTTTTTGAGGGTAGGACCCAGTACCAGATACTATGTAATGGAAATGCAGCAAGTAGAGTAATTTTTCCACTGAACATGGCTGATGTGGTGGCGGTGGTGGTGTGATGGACCCTGTTCCATTTTCAAAATTTAGCACATGAACTTTTTTGGGACCGTGTGAAATTGTGAATTAACAAAACAAAACTAGAGCTGGTGAAAACGGGGCTTAAGCGTCAGAAAGGGTTGCCAATGTAGCCATCAAAAACCTATCTAAACTAATACATTGCATAACCTACTGGCTTGGGTTCAAAAACATAGACTGCATCCTCCTGAGGCCAGAGTCTCTTACCATCTATGAAGCAGACAACCCAGAGAAAGGCGATGCAGGCTGCCAGTAAAGTCCACCAATCCATGTGGTCTGTCCCGGGCTCAGGCGCCGAAAGAACCAAGGCAGTGAGCGCTGTGCCCATGTCCTGCATTAACACCGTTAATAGCCTCATGATTATCTCCCGTCTCCCCGCAGGTGTCGGACTAGTGACTAGTCAGACAAGTCAGACATCTTCAATAAACGAAAGTTAATCTGGGGTTTGTGCTTGAGCGTCTTAAAAGGCATCTTAATCCACCACAATGAAAACTGAGAAATTTAAGAAGGATTATATACTGTAATGGTAATTGATATAAAAGCTATCGAAAAAAATACATCCTCTAAACAATGATGTATTGAAACACGTGTGTGCGTGTGCGTAAAAGTCTTGATTTGGCATGCGTCACGCGGCGTCATGGTAACGCTGCTCCTGCGGTGCACCTGCCTCAGTCCCTCTGTATCAGCTCTTCACAAACTCCCACCACAAACTGCTTTTTCCCACTGTGGTGAAAGCTGTTTTAGACATGTCTCCCAGGAGAAGTGATGCAAACGCGTGCACCAGCTTCCCCCGGAGCCGCGTCATCTCTACAGTAAGTTAACAATATAGTCCTCATTACCCAACATCTGCACTAACGTTAGTAAGTAACGCTAGAGATGAACTAGACCGTCCACTTTCTGGACATTGTTCCTTTTGAAATATCTTTAAATTAGAAAAAATCTAAGTGAAATAGATATTTACTTAACTTTTTGCAATTTTAATGTTGTCGTTTGTCCAAGTAGTTAATTGGCTCTACATGCCAACTTTGATTACACACTAAGATAACCTGAGTGGTTATCTTGGTGTGTAATCCAAGTTGGCTGCTTTCTTTTCATAAATATTTTTGTGTGTATGATGCAGATAATGTATTTTGTTCACATCTTTTTGTAATAGTTTAGTTCACCTGATCCGCTCCAGTGACTAATGAATGAGACATGATCATTGCATTGTCTAAGCCTAAATATAAACAAATGTGTACAACTAACATATGTGAATGTGTTTTATTTAGATTGAACTCTTGACGCTTTGGGACGTGGCACAGAGTGACAGACCTGACAGTTTGACAGCTGAGACAACAGACCTGTGGGGCAGTCGTATTTGTCTCTATTGTCGACATGCTGTCACGTCCCGGCTTATGGATACAGGAGGCAGTTAGACGGAGTGTCAGGTTAGGGGCAGTCTCATTCATTAGTCACTGGAGCGGATCAGGTGAACTGAACTATTACCAAAACAAATGTGAACAATATACATACCCAAAAGTTATTAATGAATCAAAACAGTGAGTGGCTCTCTTATTAGTGTGTAATCAAAGTTGGCATGTAGAACCAATCTCTTTACACAGGCAGACATGCTTTATGTTGTGTAATAAGGAGATGGGCTCAGGTTTCTAGGCGAGAACGTGATCCGTCATGGCCTGGAGTGTTGGCCTTTGTGTCCCTTTAAGTTCAGCAGCACAATTGTGTCTGGGCTGCCTCATTCAGGATGGGATTTATACATTCTAGCCAAACAACTCAAGTCCTGATCTATGCATTTCAATGTTTAATGTCAAAGAATATATCATGCATTGCGGTCAGAAAGTCTTATGCAGCCTAGATTCTTCATATTTAAAACAGGACTAAGAGCGGATATGTACCCTTTCTTAATTCTAGCTAAACTTATTATCATTATTATCATCCTTTCAGAATTATAATGAAGGATCAAATGAAGCACATAAATCTCCAAGGTGCACACAGCCTGTCCGGGAGGAAAGACGCTCCTGTCCCAGCATTAGACGCCTCCAGGTGAGGAAGTCGTATCAATTCAGTAAATGAAGATATAGTTCCAAAGTGATTGATTTCTGCAATTCAACTTAAAATGTGAAACTAATTTATGATTACATGCAAAGTGACACATGCCAAGTCTTTGTTTGTATTTACTTTCCATTTATCTACATTACAGTCGTAAGTAAGTAATCTTTATCTATATACCGCATTTTTACAAACCAAGATCACCCAAAGCGCTTTACAACATTCCGAGTTCAGATATTGTTCCATTCTCTTCACAAACGGTGATGACGGAAGCGAGACACGCGGGTGCATCAAAGCCCCAACCAACACCATCCATTCACTCATTCATTACATTCATACCTATAGTACATGTTTTTAGTGGTAGGGGAAACCGGAGCACCTGGAGGAAACCTACACATACACGGGGAGAACATGCAAACTCCACTCAGAAAGGCCCTGTTTCGACCAGGAGTCAAACCCAGGACATTATAACGCATTAGCCACACATTGTAAGTTGAATTACAGAAGTATATGGATTCAATATTCAGATTTTCCCAGCTACAGGTATATTATATATTTTACAACATCTGTTAAAAAGTAAAAAGGAAATATTTCAGATGGAAAGACATCAGATGAAAGAAAACATGGAGCAACTATTGAACATGCAAACACGTTTTGTGAAGGTAAGATTTGTGAAGACTTATTGCTCGTAAAGACCATTTTCATTCGTCAACTGATTTTTTTTTCCGAATGCGGACAGGATCTGGAAGATGTTTTGAACCAGCACGACGTCGCAGAGCGGAGGAAACGGGAGCTGCTTCACAAACACTGGACTGAGCGTCTGTGGTTACCTCTGCAAAAACGACTGATCCAGCGCGTGGCGAGCTGTGGGGCGGCGGAGATCAAGAGACGACAAGGCCTTTACAGTCACTATCTGCAGCACTGCAACAGCAAGGTGTCCGGTTGGGATTCACGTTTCAATTCATTTCAATGCATTCTTGTAAATCCCTAAATCACGACAGAGAATCAAACAGTTCAAACCCAAGAAATGCAATGATAAAAAAATATACATTGGTCCATAAAGGGGCAGATGACCAGTGATAAATGTCCATAGATGTTTTAGCTAGGCCCAGACAAGGGTCCAGTTTACACACCCCATATTTCAGAGATTATTATTATTATTATTATGGATGGTCCACCTCTGCTGCTGTGATCCGTCCTGCTCCACCCAGAGGCTAATCCACCTCTGCTGCTGTGATCCGTCCTGCTCCACCCAGAGGCTACTCCACCTCTGCTGCTGTGATCCGTCCTGCTCCACCCAGAGGCTACTCCACCTCTGCTGCTGTGATCCGTCCTGCTCCACCCAGATTATGAAATTTGGACGTAAAATGTTGACAACAAAAACTGCTCAAATGAACCTGATTAGAAGTTTAGATTCCCCAGTATTGCCTCTTTAACATCTATGACAGCTTGGAGTCTGTTGAGGTAGTTGCGGATACGGCCCATTCTTCTTAGCTTCCAGTCCATGTAAATTCCTGGGCTGCCTTAAATGAACGGCACATTTGACCTCTCTACAGATTGGCTCAATTATGTTAGAATTGAGAATTAAAATGTGTTTTGTTGTACAATAAAAGGCTTCACACAATCACTTAAAATGAGTTGGGAGGAAAATACATTCATAATCTCCAACATATGGCCATAATAATGTCATCTTTGGTTTGGTAAGCAGATATCAGTCTTGGGGAAATGGCTGCAAGTTTGTTAAAAACTTTCAAACTTATTTTTCAGGGTCATGTTTTCCTAGACACGTACAACCCAAAGGAGTATGATCCATTCTTACATCATCTGAAAACGTCTCATCATCTAAAGGCAAGGATTTCACTTAACTACTTGTCTCATTATTATTCTACCGTGGTCTTGGTCAATATTATTCCTCATTCGTCCTTTTGAGATTTATGTCTACTTAGTGTGCACTTGTATATAGCAGTAATTTTAAGAAATCTATGATGCCTTTTATCTATTTTTACTCCTTTTACTCAACTTCTTTGCTCCTGAATTTCTCCCATGGGGATCAATGAAGTATCTATCTATCTATCTTGAGCCAAAGTAAATTCCTAGTTTGTGACTTCCAGATACTTACAATGGCAATTAAAAAAAAAAAAATCTAAATTCTGAAATGTCATAATTTCCGTGTCATTTTTATATGTATATGCACATTTTTTCCTTCCCAGTTGGCAGAAATTGAGGACAGACCTAAACAAGCTTGGAACTCCATTTGTCTTCATACAGGTAATAATAAAAACAATATGTGTGTTGATTTAACTTGCTGTTATATGGGCTTAAAAAAAAGACTTCTCTTCCCCTTAGAATCAAAAAATGACAGCAGACAGTTTGAGAAGCTACCTCCTCATCTCCAGTCCTCCCTGGTCTCTGGCAGCTCGGTGAGATCCTGGACACGACATGGCACTCCCTCCAGTTCCTCAGCTTCGTCATCTACAAAAACACTGACAGAACAGAGCGGCGATGATAAAATGGACCTGCCATCCATTTTACCACTCCAGTGATTCTGCGGGGAACTTACAAAGCAGCGGCCTGGATACATCTATCAGTACGTCATCTTCAAACGCAATCGGCTCCAGTGCAAAGTTGACCCAGAGTAGAAAGATGTCCATGGGAGTGACTGAGTTATAATAAAAAGTAGCAGCAAATTCTACCGTACATATTAACATGATTAGTACTCCCAGTTTGCGTGGAAAGAGAAAGACATTGTTGCCATTTTTCAGCTTTAATGGCTCTAGACAGTGTTTATATTTACAATGCAAAGTAGTGGGCAAAATTTCACAGCCTGACATTTGAAACAACGTCCTGTCGTGAAACTCTTCGTCATGGGGTAAAGTCAAAAAACAAAAATAACAGTAATGCTCTTTTCAAGACATGGTTTTAAGGCACACTGGGAAGACAAAGTTCTAATAGTAAAAGTGATCCACGAGCAGTCATGTTGGCGTGTAGGATTTCTTAAAAAACAAAGTCTGGGTCTGTGCCTATGTGGCGGGCTCGTACAGCTGCAGGTCCAGTTTGACCCACACTTCTCCGGTGGGAACCTCGTGCAGCAGGAGGCGTCGGTTAGCTGCTCCTTTGCTTTCCATCTCCTTCTTTATCGTGGCCACGGGGACTTCAGTGCGACCCAAAAAATCTGACACAGAAAGCATAATGTAAATGCTTTTTTTCCCGCAAGCATTATTCAAAGAGGACATACTGGACTTATATTTTCACATAGATATTGGTCCATAGGGAGTTGACCTAGTTCAACTACCCCTATAGACTTTGACGTATTTGACTTTGACATCCCTGAACTAAGGATGTCAGAAGGCCAAAACAAATTTGCAACAAGCTGAGGGCCGGATTATATTAAAACATATACACATTATTGCATATAACCTATTGAACCAAGACACAGTGTACTGTATTATATTATGTATTGATTAAATGAATAATCCAATATTTTTGTATGGCTCTGTCAGTAATTTCAAGTGAAAACATTTTTCAACAGGCTCACAGACAAAAAACAAACTTCCTTCAAAGAGAAAACACATGTCCTGAACATTAAATTAATAATCCATTATTGTCTGTGCGTGCCGGTTCTAAGCTGATAAAAAAAAAAGAAAAATCTGATATTTGGGGAAAATTATCATATGGGGTATCAATATACAACCTTCACGCGCAATGCATTCTGGGATGCAGCAGATCAAATGAATACCTATTATTGGAGGTTGGTAGTGATACTGACTTGAAATGCATACCTACTGTAGAAATTCGGATTCAGTGAAACCAAGGAGACTGACATTTTGGAAGTGCGACAGCTCCACCCCCTGGTGAGCAGGTGGAAAACTGTGTGTTGCTAAAACTCAACTAAGTCCAGCAGTGGTACTTCTGAGTAAAGAAGTGTCAAAAATATGGACGTGACATAGTTAGGTGACAAGAAATTAAGTCCTTGCAAGTCCATGATAAACCTGTATTCGTCCCACAGTGGGGAAATTTCAATAATCTTTTACATCTCCATGAGCTACTATATTTCTGGCTGATCGATAGAAAACCTTTGACTGACCGTCGGGGCAGAACTGGTCTTTCTCGAACACCGTGATGCAGAGGACGTCCTGGTACACGTCTTTGATGAAGAACTGGCAGTTGAAGTTCCATTTTGGGTTCAGCGTGTCGGTCACTGGGCGAGAGGTGTAGCACTGAGCCCCCATAGTCAGCTCACAGTATGGGTTACTCTTTCCTGAAGTGATGTAGAAAATAAACCGCGTGCAGTATATGGTATATTTACTTTGATGTTATTTTGAAAAGGACTTTACCGTTTGGCTTACAGGCCTTGAGCTCTTGAGCTTCAGTGACAGTGACCAGCAGTCGCCCAATACCACTGGACTTAAGAGATCGAGCTAGAAAAAGCAGAAATTCAAGTGTGGAGTAATGTGAGGAGCTACATCACACAAAGCTTTACCTTGATAAGCTTTCTCTCTTTTTTTCTTCTCAGTCTCAATAAAATTCTCAGAGGCTGCTTTGATTTTTTGGACCCATGCTGCCCTACAATAAAACAAACCAATATCCAAATGATCTGTAAATGATTCTATTCTTACATGTTTGTATATTGGATTCTTACCGCTCATTTAAAGTCTCGGTCTTAAGTGTGTAGACTCGATCAATGTGGGACACGTGAAACACAGGCTCATCGCTGGAAGGATCCGGAGGCATTTTCACCAAGACTTCATTCAAAAACAAAGGCTGAAACCATAAGGACATGATCATGACTGCTGTTTACATGCACTGGTCCTGTATGGTATCGTTACCGTTTTGTACATCTTCAGCTGGATACTTGTCTTGAGGCTGAAAAGCTTGTCTTGTCCCGATGATGAGAATGGTTTGGCACTGTGTGTGAGGAGGAGGAAGTCATTGAAGAGAAAAGCCCACAGCTCCCGGCTGCTCTTGGTTTTGTACAAGCGACCACTGTGCAGCAGCTTCCGGGGCCCCAGGCAGTTTGTCAGCGAGTTGAAGGCCAAGTGCTGAGAACAAGATACAAACAAACACTTCAATTTTTAAATAAAAACATTGGCACAAGTCACTTCTATGACTGGTTATAGAAAATATGTGCATCATATAATAGGTTGCAATAGGTCTTACATACAATGCTGTGTCCTGTAGCTTTAGCTTTACATTAACGTAACACGATTATAGATGCTCATTATACAAATTTGTTGCCTTTTTTGTTTTAAATGCTATATCGGTTTAACTGCAAGGAAGAGTCGTACAAACAATATCCCCTTAGCCAGCGTTACCTCTATGCATCCGTCACACTGCACATGACTCTGTATCCACTCCAGTTGGTCAGAGTTCTCCTTCTCTCTCACGCCTTCATTCACCTGTGAGCACAGCTCTTCAGCTCGCTCCAGTGCATCTCTCAAGGGGCCATGGTCTGCATGAGACTCAAGAGTGTGCTCCAAGATCTGGGAGGGACCAACACTTGAGTAAACAGTGTGAGTAAATGTGCTAAAGAACGGGTTTGCAGAGAACAATTTTCTTCTACTTACATTCTTTATGAGGAGTGGGTACCGAGTGATCCTCTGCATGGGCTTCAGCAGGAAACTGGAGAGGGGCATTCCTTTACACCGATAGTTTGTGGCGATCTTCTGCTCAGGGAAAACCAAGCAGATGAACCACGAATAGAACATGTTTGTCTACAATCCCGAGTACCTTGAGGAAGCCTTTAAAGTCTTGCTGGTTGTATGTCTTGCTCTGAAGCAGAGCAGCAGCATTGAGCTGACAGGAGCAGAAGTGAATGTATGGCTGTAGGTGGGTGAGCTCTGAGGCCAACAGGTCCCCGATCAACTGCACTGGCATGTTCTCTCCCCCCGTCTTTTTACGAACTCGCAGCGCACTGAAAATGTTACAAGCTAGCTTTACATTACATTACATACTAGCTTTATATTTATTAGAGAAATGTCATTGTAATGTAATCTATCGTTAAGAAATGGATCCCAGAGTGGGACATTAAAACCTGTAAAATGTTGTCCAAACAGCTCCAATGAATTGAGTCCTTGTGAAAAATTGACTCACTCCCACAACACATCAGGAAGACTCACCTCAGAACTTCATATCACTGCTCAAAACCCACCTTTAAAAAACTTCTACTGCTCCTTATTTTAGCTTTTCATATTTTGTTTTTTATTAACATGTGGGTTAGGGTTGGACACTCAGTGTCTCTGAGTGTCCAAAAAGTCCATAAGTCTGATGTATTATTATTATATACAATTGGGATGTATCCAGGGCATAGGTTGCAGTTATTTTGTGGGACATGGCATTAAAAGCTGTCCTTAGCAGACCAAATAACTTTTTGATGTTGTAATTATATGCATTAAACATTCCTGGAAAGCATATGTAGTGTTATGTAGTGCCTCTTTAAATCATAGACTGATGGTGACCTACTTGAGAAGTTTGGTATTGCACATGATGAGCTCTCTCCAGTTCACAAAGATGGCCGCCATCTCGTCCTCCGTCAAACGACCAGACTCGGACATGGGTTTGTGAAACACCTTCCACACAAACATCATGAACATCCCTCCAATAAAACTGCCTCGGAATATCTTTGTGACGTGTGTATTTACATCCAGCACCAGCTCCAGGTCCTCCACATAAGTCTCCTCAGTCTGGATGAGCTCGTGGATGTAGCCCTGCCTCTTTCGCTCCTGTGGGCTCATGGTGTCCAGGGTCATGAGGTCTGCACACCCTATGGCCCGCACGCACGCACAATGCACCGCAAACAAAGCAAAACATCACACACACAACTCAAGACATGTTCCAATCTCTTTATTGTTTATCTATGCATGGATTTACATTGGATGCACAGATGGGTGAGGCACATTGCAGTGTCGGTGCAGGGCATGAAGTTTAAGGTGGGAACAAAAGCTGATGCAGCAAAAATCAAAGCACCCTTTAGTGGAGAGGATTCCGAATGGTTGTAGGGCTGCACGATTTTGGCACAATATCTCAGAGCAACACTGCGATGCGATTTTCAATATTCTGTATGTTTACAGTAAACTTTTGTTGAGAAAGAAAATAAATTGTGAAAATATATCATAAATTATCAAAATTATGCGTGTAATAGGTAAGTGATTACCCATAAGATTCACGGCAAAATATGTAATGACCCACCACAGAGATAACACGTAGAAACTGGAGTTATTCTTAATTAAAAATACAGCAAACTTGATTTGCTGTATTTGAATTTACAAGCCGATTATCCAATCAGAGAGCAGATTGAGGCTCTCTTTTAGGTTGCCAGGTGGTTTGGTGAAATGTAGCTGGTTTTGGTTCGCAAATAATTAGCACCTCATATCCATTTAAATGAAAGTTTATGACTTGATCAGACCACTAATAATGCATATTTGATTTAAGTGTCTTTGAGTGTCCTGAAAAGGGCGAGATAAAACCAATGCATTATTATCATTATTATTATCATTATTCCCAAATTCAAGTGAAGTTATCTTCAGTCGCTTTTTTGTCTGTAAAGAACTGAAATAATTGCAGTGTTTGCGACTTGCCAATTTGCGGCCATGAAAATTGCGTTTTCAACTGGATTGTGATGAATCGTGCAGCCCTAAACAGTTGCATAGGTGCGATGAGTGAAGGTTATTGAGCAAAAGTGTGGAAGACCCAGAGACTGACAGAAGGTCAAGTATTTGAGGTTAAAACAAAACGGCTGGTGAATGCTACGAGTTTCGTAAGGTTGAATTTGCTGGTGACATCACAAAATGTGTGTTAATCCCTTTCAAGTATCCGTAAAATTAAGATTGCATCAGAAGAACAGGTTCATAGTAAAATAAAACACACAAAAATTCATGCAATGAATCAATGAGCAGCTTGTCATAGCTTAAAGCTTGAAGTTCTTGGTCCAGTTGACAATGTTAGTGCAATGGAATTAGAAAACTGATGGACGATAAGTTTGTTTTAAAAAACTAAATTATTCCACTTTTGTTACAGATTACACTGTGTACCCAAACTAACAATCTATACAACCATTGTACACGAAATCTCTTTCATGCTGTCATGCCAACACGACAAAGTTACACCAAAGTATTGGGCATTGGGCAGGCGACTGCTGGAGGGACAAGGTCCCAATGAGTTTCTGCATAAATTAGCTCAATTAAAGGTCTTCAACGATCCAGAAAGTCAGTTAAACATTTCCAAAACTGGAACATTTCTAACAAAGGCTCCTCTTATGACACTGAGCGTAGTGCTCTTACAACTAGACACAAAACTCCCTTTAACCACATTACCGTACAGCAAACAGGGCATCTGGCAACATGAATAGAATTGATTCAAGTATTTTTGTCATAGTTGTAGAATTTTTTTTTCTGACTGATGAATTACTAAATTAAAAATTATGAATGCCTGAAGTATAAATACAAATATTTCATTATATAATTAATATTTTGTGCAATATACCAGTCACAATTTTGTATTTCAAAAAAACCGACATGCTTTCATAGCCATGTGATATTTAATATTAACAATAAATATATATATATATATATATATATATATATATATAGAACAATTTTGCAACGTGTGAATAAGTTAACATCATTTCAATTAGCATTTAATTCTAAAATACTGCATTCTTCATTTATGACAAAATATTAATCTCTGGTTCTAAAACGTGTTAGTAAAAGAAACAAAGGTGGTTCAAATGTGGACCAGAAAGTGGAAAATTTAAGACAGAGAAAAGTTGAGAATGACGACAAACAGGGCGGCCTTAAACAAAAGAGGAGCGAAGAGTGGTGTGGTCCTCTTCACTCCACCAGGCGTCGCAACAGGAGGTGAGGAAGAGGAGGAAGAGGGAGAGAAGGAAGAGGGAAAGAGGCGCCATCTACAGTCCTACAGCGGAAACAGAACACAGATGCAGAAGAGGGTTTGAAGGGGAGGTGAGTGAGATGAAGGAGAAAGACACAATATATTAATAAAGATTTAAGGTTGGGGTTAACATGGAAACGCAGTATTAATGTATTTATGTGATTTCTCTGATTACAATGAAACAGAATGCATTTATTGTTGCATATAGTATGTTGACAAGAACACCCAATAGTATATTCACTATGGAATACATTTAAACACTAAAGTTACTTGTAGAGCAAGCGTTTTTTTTTTTTTTTTTTTTGACCAAACAGAGACTTCAATGCACTACTGCACTTTCCTGTAATTGTTCCTTTTCTTTCTTTTTCATTCATGCAGATTCTTGTAGCACTGTATCCTAAAGCAAATTTCCCTTGGGACAATAAAGTTTATCTCAAGAGGGTCTGAGGACAGTGATGGACATTTAAGAACATTTATGGACAGTGGTCATCCCGCTCCCGATGGACCAATGGCTCTTGTGTGTTTGTTATTATCGCATTTCCAGTGCTCCAACCATTTGATTCTCTGATCTGTTGTTGGTAACGACCATACAATATATATTGAATGATTAGAGATTTTAATTCTAAGCGTGCATTTGTAGATTTATATCACAAAACGGTCAGCAGCATGTAACAAAAAAAGTGAAATGAGTTCAACGTAGAAAACTTATTTCACTTGTTTTGCAAATAAGTAGTGCACCCCGGACTATCACCACCAAAACAAAATGATTGGTCGAAAAACATAGTTCAGTGAGAAATGTTCAACACAGTTAGATGATTTGTTAAGCCACCATTTGTGCAAACAGACAGTTGGTGTTAAAATAAGATATTTTAATGGCCCAGTCACCAACAAAATAGACTGAGCTATCAAAATCTTACTGATGATCACCAGTGATAACAGGCTGACACCTTACCATCAGTTTGTCCATGCTCTGACATGGAATCTAGTGAACCTGGTGAACCATCACATATTGTACAGTTAATCTATATTCAACTGACAATACAGTTTTAGATTTACAATTGAGAATAGAAGTGGACAAATTATAGATTGACTTACATTGTTGGCTGGGATCAGATTCTGTGGTCATCTTGATGTAATTTGTGGGTAGGAGGCCAATTACCCCTTTGGCCTCTCCTTTCCACCAGTCTGGGTTGGTCTTGTCCAGGATGCTGATCAGCTGACCCTTGGAGAAGCTCAGTTCATCCGGGTTAGCAGCGGTGTAGTCATACATGGCGATAACCTGACACACTGGACAGACAGAGACAAGTTCATTCGTGACCGCTTGTCATTTTAAAAGATTGTAACAAGTGTCTGTTACCGGGCAAAGGGGAGGGCGACAACTTGCTGCTGGAGGGACCTAAGAGTTTGACATGAGAGGAATGAAACCAGCCTCTCTGACGCCTCTTTCCACGAGCCTGTAAGGATGAAAGATTATGAAAAATGTATTATTAACTGACTTTTCTTCATTTTCAAACAAAACAACAAAAAACCTCACACACACACTTTGAGGAAAACTAAGAACACCAAATGCAACATTGAAACTGTCTGAAACAAAAACAAAACTGAAAGTAATAGGGACTAAAGTTTGTTGATTTGTCAGTTTCAAATTGTAAATGTCCTTTTTGACCAATAGAACCCATTGTCAAGTCCGAGCCAAGTCATTCAGAAGAAGGACTTTGGGAGAGCAGGGCTCCTGGCAAGACATAGATAGATTTATTTATTTTTATTTCAAACCTGCAGAACACAATCTCACATATCTTTATACTAATACATAAGGGCAGATAGAGCACCAGCCATCATCGGCCAAAAACAAGCCACCGATGGGCCCTCCCAGATCACATGGAATTAGGACTTGATGGTGAAAAGTCTACCTGGTGTTATGTTAGTCCTTGTAAAAAAACGTTCAAATGTATTTGTTGATGGTCCGGATTATGAAGGAACAAAGTAAAGTGTCATACACAGAGCTAGTTAAAATCTGCAGGTAAACTTGGAATGTCAGCCTTGCTGCATGGCTCTGAAAGCAACAGTACATGTCTGTCCCCAAAAATACAGTAAGAATACATTTAAGAGATTACATCCTTTAATACGCATGTACCATCTACCGTACTTCTAATTAATTTTATTTATGGACAGTTATGTGATTTCCAGTATTTAAGGATGACTGAACACTCATCATTGTTGTTCATGCGCACTCATATGGCAGAAACCTTATGTTAGTCACACAGCAGTCACCTGTGTGTCATTAGGACTGCTCATTAGGAAGACACAAAAAAATAACTGATCTAGATGACAAACCTGCAGTTCCCCAAGCCACCACCCAGTGGAGTTCTTGGCCTGTACAACAATCAGTTGTCCTGGAGACAGACAGAGCTGGTGCATCATGGGGGAAACATTGGCTGTGACGGCCTGAGCAATCTCTGTTGACAAAACTCAAATGTCAGGCTTGTGTTTCAGATAAAGCAGGTAAATGTCAAGGATTTAAAAGCATTAATTACTAAGTGATTATCATTCTTTTTACCTGGCTTTTTGTTAGGACCTCCAGGTTTAGATGACTAAAGTAAAACAAAAAAGCATTAGAATCATGGCAATCAAATTAATACAAACAAATATAATTTCCCTAAACTTTAATTGACAATAAAAAAAAAGCACCTCTGGCTCAACAGGCCGCACGTAGTTGGAAGGGAAAACACCAGTCTGGTCCCCGATGCATCCTCTCCACCACTCCCCCTCTCGCTCCGTCACCACAACAACATCGCCCTCAACAAAAGTCAAGTCCCCAACCTCTGGGCTTTCATATGTGTACAGGGCCACATATTCTGCAAAGAGCAAGATTACAAGTCTATAAAAGTCTCTCTGGACTTGGAGGTGGAAACGCATAGAACATAGAGATAGGAACTTTTTATTGTAATCTACTTACCATCTAGCTGAGTGTCAGAATCTAAGTCCGCACTAAAACACAGACAAGAGACTATTACCAACTATTCACTAATGTCAAAGTGATTTAATTGTCTTACTCTGTGCTGCCTGCTGACTCCAACACCACATAGCTCTTGGGGAACCATCCTTGTGTCCCGTTGAGCTGCCCGAGCCACCAGTCGTCCCTCTGCTGCAGCACGTTGATCAGGTCGCCCTGCGAGAAGGAGAGCAGCGATTTGATGACATCGCCTCCAGAAAAGTGCAGGTCCCGGTCTGACGAAGGTGACCATGAAGAAAGCGCACGGGCCGACAGCGGGAATGGGATCTGAGCATAAATATGGATTATACGTTGGGTGATATAATTGTGCAGACGTTAAATCTATAAAGAGCGTGATGTATTGGGGGCAGAGGCCTGTCCCCATAGAAAGTGTGGCACTCCCAGTCGAGGGTCTAAAAGTGAACTGTGTGTTTTATCGTGTGGGCAACAGCAGCAGCGAGTGTTCTCGAGCCAGACCTAGTTCCTCCGCTGCCAAAGTTCTGCTGTAGCCCAGTTTCACAGAAGAAAAATCGAATCGATTCGCGATCGTCCATGATTTATGAGCCATTTCCAGGAAGAATTCAGAAGAATGAAGCTTTAGCTAATCTAAAACTTACTTTCAATATGATATTGATAATGTTAAATGGAGCATTAGGTAGAGCATCTGCCCTCACAAACTGAAAACTAGGTTGTTCACTGCTCCCACCATTAAATTAAACTTCTTGTAGGGTAAGCGTATGAAACAGATTGATTGCATCCTAATGTTAAGTTCCTGGAGTGTGCCTCTCTTCTTTATATCAATATAGAATATCAATATTTCCCACTAATGATTAGTAGTTGGATGACTTTATTAGCTTTAATCTTTAAACTTTATTCAAACATGCTTGGGTCAATGTGTGAGGCCAACATTTTCAGGCTTTAAAAAGGAGTAAACATAGTCATTTAGTAGTGCTTCACCAAATCACCATGAATGTAATCATTCTGAATCATGGCTCCAAAAGCACAAATACTGCCATAGTATGTAAACGTATGAACAAAACTGTATTTTTAGGATATTGCAAATTAAAGCATACAGAATCTATATATTTATTTGTAGTTTTGTGAGGGATTTTTACCTGTAAAGCATCTGTTTGCGTGGGTACAATGCTGTCACATTCAACATCAATTTCTGGGATTCTGTGAATAATAAGCAAGACTAATTATAAACAGACCTCGCTGTACTTGACAAGGTGCTGCTGAGTTGTATTATTATTAGTGCTGTCCAACGATTAAAATATTTAATCGCGATTAATCGCATGAATTTCATAGTTAACTCGCGATTAATCGCAAATTAGTCACACATTTGCGTGCTGTGTGCAATTGCTTTTTTTATTGAAAACAATGTGTAGTGTTATATTACACACTAACATTTGATGCAAAATCATCAATAAATGGATGACAAAATAAATAATTGGTAACAAAAAGCCCCTTCAATGTGTGTGGGTGTGTGTGTGTGTGTATGTGTGGGTATAGACCATAGACTGTATAGAAACATCATGGTGTCATTATGATGATGATAAACAATCTGTAAATATTTTGTAAATTTGTTCATGTAAATACTCTATGCTGTTTCTCTGTTTACCTTCGGTATATCTATGACTGTATACTGTTTGCTTGTATTGCCTTTTTTTATTAACCCCCCCCCCATCTCCCACTTCATGCCCCCCCCCCCCCCCCCCTCCCCTCCTATGTGCCCTTCTGGGTTTCTTCTTTGGCCCCCTGTATCTCCAACTACATATTGTTTGTAATCTCTGTCTACAATGTATCTGAACTAGTCCTTTTCTTTGTTTCTATTATTTTTTCTGTATATGTGTTTGTCTGCAATAAAAAGTAAAAAAAAAAAAAAAAAAAAAAATTTTTTTTTTTTTATCGCGCGATAAAAAAAATGACGGCGTTAATATTGATTTGCGTTAACGCGTTAATAACGCGCTATTTTGGACAGCCCTAATTATTATATATTGAACGCTGCCACCTCTCGCTGTGGTAAATTACCCAGTGTTAAGTGGTTGCGGTAAACAGGAAGGCCGGCGCAGCGGTGAGGTGGGTCCGGTCTCTGTGGACGCCTCGTGTGGACCACATTTTTGTGCGTAACTCTGAGGGAACCAGCCCCGGTTTCCACGGTAACTCCCACACAACCAGCCAGGCTCTCCGACCGTCTGCTCCTCCACCTGCGTCAGAACGACACAAGCTCACGGTGAAGCAGAGGGAGGATAAACAGATCAAACAGGGAATTGGAAAATGTTAATCGTAAAAATGCAGAAAAAAAGTTAGGACTATGGGGGGAATATGCTGCACTCTTCCAAACAAGGTTATAAAAGGGAACGGTCTGAACTATTGTCTGATACTTACACATCAGCTAACTTACTTCAAAACATGTGATAGTACATCTATTTTGCATTAATAACAATATTCATATCATACTTTATTTTAGAAAGAGCTCACTGGATGTAAACTGAATGTTTTTGTTCTTTTTTTGATAAGTTTGAACATTGTACACTGACATATTCTAAATTATCTGCATGTTTCATTTTGACGGGAGAGAGAGGTTCTAAGCTGGGGTGCCAACTTTCAAACTGCAAAAAGTATGTAACTAGTAACTATTGAGTAAACTTGTGAGACATTTTATTACAAACATGTATTATTGGCCTCCGTCAGCTTTTTTAGACAGAACAATTAAAAAGAGAGGACCGCACTCACACTGAATGGATGAATGGATAATTTAATCATCCAATGTGGAATTTTCAGAATTGCACACAAATTACAGAACAAGCTACGTGAATATTATAGATGACACAACTTTAAACTTGTAGTCAAATAGTGACACACAGGGCTCTTAAAAGTTTGCAAAAGAGTAAGATGGCATATTTTTCACACATATTTGTTACTTTTACTCTTTCCGCTGGGACAACATTTTTCTATCTTTCTGACTGAAATATCTATTATATTTTTATCAAACAAGGGAACGGAAGGTGAGGGAACAGGAGGCGAAGGGAGATTAAAAAAAGAAAAAGTTAAATTAAATCAAATTTAAAAAACATGGAGGAAAAAAACGTATTCTTTATTTTAGAAAAGTTAGGTTTTAGGGTAAATACCTCGATAAGGCAGTCAGCTTCCACCCCCAGCTCCTCTGCGTTGCGAGCCACAAACGTATACAGTGCTTTGTAGGTGGTGAGTTTGGGCGGTGTCTGGGAGACCAACAATGCTTTCTGAAGTCTCTGCTGCTCTTCATTTCTTCTCCTCTGCTCCTCCTCCTCCCTCAGTCTCCTCTCCTCCTCCTCTCTCCTCTTCTCCTCCTCTCTCCTGCGTCTCTCCTCCTCCTGGGCTTTCTCTTGAGCTGCCCTGAGTCGCTCCTGGGCCTCCCTCTCCTCCTCCTCCCTCTGTCGGGCTCTCTGTTCCTCCTGCAGCCTCCTCTGACGCGCCTCCTCCTCTTCCCTTTGCCTTTGCTCCTGCTCGAGCCGCTCACGTTCTCGTCTCTCTTGTTCACGTCTTTCTTGTTCGCGCCTCTCGTGTTCGCGTCTCTCTTGCTCTCTCCTCTCTTGCTCCAGTCGCTCCTGCTCCAACTTTGCAAGTCTACAAAACAATTGAAATCCAAAGTAAACGTCTTTAGGATCACTTTCTTAGCTTTTCACAAATTAATAGAGTATTAGTTTGAACCGGAACAATTAAATCTGACAATTCTCATATTCTAGTCCCAATAAAAACTGTGCTAGGTCAGATGGATCAGTACATTTTATTCATAGTTTGAAAAGATAAGGGGGGAATGCAGCATCGTGCGGTGAGGGTGTTTTAATGCAGGGGTGGGGAGGGGGAACTCGTGCACTCAATGGCTTCCAGAAAAAAGAATGATGTGGATATTTTGTCATCAGCGAGGAAATATAAGCTTGGTCAGAGATACTCAGAATGATAGTTTTTTTTATAATAGACAAGACAATGAGCCCAATTACACTTCCAAATGTGCACAAAAATGGCCCTGACCTCTTTCTCATTGAACATTTGTGTTCAAAGCTGAAAAAGCAGGTCCGGACAAGAAACCCTCTAACCTGACTCAATCACACCAGTTCTGTCAGGAGGAGTGGGCCAAACCTCCATCTGAAGCTTGTGGAGAGCTGTGAGTAACATTTGGCCTAAGTTACTCACTTTAAAAGACAATTCTACCAAATATGAACCTAGCACAGAGAGCTCTGATTATTTAATGTAATATAATCTGAAATAAAATCATTATTTTCTCCTGATATTTTGACATTTAATTTTTTGTTTAAATAAAACACGTGACATTTTAATCTTTGCTTGAATTGAATATCTGGAATTATAAAAAACCTACATGAAAAGTATTATTGTTGAGGTGTATGTGAACCCAACTAAAGTAATTTTCATCATCTCTGTTGGTAAGAAAGACTTTAATCTAAATTAAAAATAAAGTACCTATACAATTATAAAAGCAAAATTCCTCTCCCACTTTGACAATTCTAATGATATTGAAACAAGTATAAAATATGCTTCCTTACATTCACATACTGTCGCTTTAAATACAACTTCTTAAAAATTAATCTCTAAATGATAAATTCATGTCATAAATATGCAATTGTTCTGCAGCGTTATCTTGCGGACTCGTTCAAAGTCACCCACAGGGAGACGCAAGCGCTGTGCAAACTCCCACTCACCGTGCAGCCTCCTCTTCCTCCCTCCTCCTCCTCTCCCTCTCCTCCTCTTCTTCCCTTCTCCTCCTCTCCCTCTCTTCGTCCTGCCTCCTCTGCAGCTCCCGGTGTTTCTCCTCTTTGACTCTGTGCAGGTCGGCCAGGACGGCCTGCTGCTTCACCTGCTTCTCCCTCAGCTCCTGATGCGGTGCACACGGTTACGTAACCCAGAAATAAAACAGTCCATGAATCAATGTCCGGCACAATCGTGGATGAGTATGAATAAATACACTGTGGATATTTGAGTGTGGCATTCACATGTTGGATTACAAGACAAAATAGAGCAGGCACGGCAATCAAAATTACACATGCAAGTTGCTGAGTTTATACATTTTCCCCTCTATTACAAAAATGATGCGGATTAAGCATTTTCCTGCTGCAAAAGCCTTAGGGCTATTTCTGTTTACACAACAAAATACAGAGTGGATCTATTTCCACAGAGATGCATGGAGGTGTGATGCTGCATACATTTTACAGTCAGATGCCTTGATCAAAACAAAGAAATGGGTAAATGATTGAGAGATGAAATGGCTGAAAGTTATGAGTGACGAGAGCTGATACAGAAGAGACAAACAGGAAGTGGGATAACCTTGATGAGGAAAAAGAGCTGGCTGAGACAGGCCAGGAGCGACAGAAGGCACCGTAGCACACAGTCATCCATATCCCCAAGCTGGTAGCGCCATCATGAAGATAACATGGAGTGAGCAGTCATGATGGAGGAAGTAGTGGGTTAAAAAGACAAGGCAAGAACAGAAGAATAGAAATCCAAGGATGCATAAGAAAGAGAACAAAAAGGAGTTTGTTAAAAAGCCACAATAGAACCGGTCTACAACGCAAGAGCGAGGAGGAGAGTGCAGAGTAGCGGTTATTAGTCTGAGATTAAATGGAGATCGTGAACACACTATGACATCATTCTTGACAGGTATTGAGATAGCTCGAGACCCTGGGATTAACAGAACAACTTTTTCTTATGTTTTCCTCACTAGAAACATGACAGAATTGAAAATAATCAATAGGCATTTTTTTTTATAGGTTTCCTTAATGTGACATCACCGAATTAAAAAAAGCCAATAGTTTAAAATTGTAGTGGAGGGCAGCTGAAAAATATGTCCTTACTACAGTTACTATATTAAGTCTCAAAAGTCAGATTTCTAGTCTTAGTTTAGAGCTAAATTCACGGTAATCCACATGAAACAAAAACATTCACAAAGTTCTATATCTTCTTTCCATATTCCATAAAAAGTTTTGTTTAGTGAATCTAATATCTAAACCCAATCTATTCATGATATGGCAAAACCTTTGGACATGGTATTTTTCAACATTTCTTTCAATTATTGCTTATAACACATAGAATTGAATTGGTACCTACTCTCCAAATGAATTCTTGAATATGAACGCAAACTATTGAAACTGCCCATAACCTGCGATTCCCATTATCTTGATGAATGTATAGTAAGAATTAGGCACTTATAATAAATCTTTTTGCTTTGGTCAACTGTGATACAATAGCGTAGAACCAATATATAGAGTCTGGATTAAGCTGTAACAGTTTAGAATGAGCTTTCTACATGATGATGCTCTTTACCTGCAGCTCTTTCTTGTACTGCTCCATCTCCTCCAGTTTACCGGTGGTCTCTCGCTCCAAGGCATTGAGCTGGTCCTTCAGGCGCCGGCAGCTCACGCCCTTTTCTGTCACAGTGTCGGTCAGATTCAGCAGTGTCCCCTCTGCAAAGGAAAAGCTCAAAGGGTCAGAATATGACAGGCCATTCATTACCTCAGAAACATATCAGCTCATGCAGTTTGCTTTGGTTTACACACCAGGGACCTTGTTGAGACTGATGGTCCTGAGCTTCTCCGTCAGTCGCTGTTGTTCAGGGACCAGCTGGGAAAGTTTCCTCTGCCAGTCCTAGAAATGAAAGTCAGGCGAAATAAGTTGTGTGACAAATGTTATTTTCAAACGATGAAAAAGAAAAACGTAATCTAATTCAACCTCAAACTGGATCTGCAGAGTGTTGATATCAGCAATACGTGCGTCTCTTTTCTGGTTGATCAGGTCCACCTCCGCTTTCTGAATCCTCCTTTTGCTTTGTGCATCTCGGAGGCGGTCAGAGATGTGTTTGTGCTTGTTTCCCTGGGAGATCATGACATCAGTGTCTGTTGTATGAAAACCCTGCAGTAGTATGATTACATGTCATCTTACCACAGCTTCAAGCTCCAGCTCCAGACACTTCTTCCGGGCTCTGAGGTTAGAGATCTCCTCCTGTTCTCCTTCTCGTCTTCTGCTCAGCTCCTCTTTTCTGTCACGCTCCCACTCCTCCCTCATGCGGCGCTCCAACTCATGTTTTGCTGCCTAAAAGATTACCACACACATGACAAGAGAGTCTATTGGGCTAAATAAAGTCTACTGTAGATGATGACATACATTTTTAAGTCAAAATTTATATTAAAAAAACCTTAGAACAAGGCTAATGAACTCTATCCTCACAAAGCAGGTTTTCAAGAATTACAAAAAGAAGAATACAAAAAAACACACACACAAAAAGAAGTTGGCTGGCTTCAACAACACAACTTTCAGACTCTCTATGACACTTTTCAGCTATAAAAGCAATTTATTTCATCTGTCACAAAATGCCTGGACTAATGTTGGTGACTCATGTACGTCACACAATAAAAGTGGGCGTCTAAAGAAAGTGGAGATGGTGGAATCAATGGTCTCTTGAAGGCAGTAGATGTGGAAATCTGCGTGGATCACTATACAATACATACACATTTCATTGGCTACACATAGGAGAAGGCAATAACAGCATCAGTAAAAGCTTTTGACAAATAACAGAAGATATATACTGAATGTCACTTCCTGGCTGCACGTCTCCGCTCACCTCTTTTCTCTCCAGTTCCCGGAGCCGCTCCTCCTCCCTCTGCCTCTCGATCTCCCGCTGTCTCTCCAGCCTGCGCTCCTCCTCCAGTCTCTGCCGGTGCTCCTGCTCTCGGGCTTCTCGCTCCCTTTGCTCCTGGGCTTCTCTCTCCTCTCGCTCTCGCCGCTCCTTCTCCTTCTTCTGCAGCTCCTCCAGTGCTAAACGACGCTTCTCCAACTCAGCACTTCCACGAGCAAAGTTCTCTTTCAGTTTGTCTTCATAGGACACTGGCAAGAACAAATGTAAGATGGTGCGAAGCTGAAGTAAATTACAGAAATAATGATAAGAAATACATACCACTGGGGTTTTTGTTCTTGGGCACAGGCTCATTCTCTATGTCTAATAAGCAGGGAGCTGTGTAGGGGCCATTTCCATTAACAAGCTCAATAAGCTTTGTTCCTCCGCTGAACACAATGGAGAGAGTGTTGCTTTGTAAACATAATGTCACTTTCAGTTACAATTTGTTTTCTTACCGGAAAGAAGGTGGAACTAGGTCTTGGGGCAGTGTCAAGGGAAGGGGGCGCCCCGTTTTAGCCATGTCCACCAGATGCATGGCCAGAATGAATTCATCTGCTCTCAACTGACCGTCTTTGTCCACATCAGCCAAAGTCCTATGTGAATGTTATGAATATGTTATCAAGCACTTTACAGCCTCGTGGATACAGAAGAAATTAAACAAATCCAGATTAGATCCCTACGTGGGTAAATATACAAATTTAAGTTTACATTAAAATGTCTTTGTGTCTGCCTTTCCTTGTAAATGGGTATGGTAGAGGAACATGTATACAATGGTAATAAGAAATGGCGTGGAGACAGGATGTGAAATTTCTATGTTATTTTTTTGTTACCTATTCTTGAAGCCACCTGGTTTTGATGCAATTGAAATTAAAACAATGATCAATCCATTCAAACTTGCTAAAATGCATCAGTAATTTATGCAAAATGATTATTACATTTTTTCATTTTCATTTCATTATTACATTTTTTCAGTTTATAAAAAAATTCATTTTTATAAAGTATTTCTTTATATTCACAATTTTGTACTGTTCAGCCATTACTAAAGTTTTAAGTATACCCCTTACCAATTGTAACATCCCTCAGGGTCCCAATGATTCACACTTTAATCCACAGAAAAATATGATATTTTTTCAATAATGGTGTTTAATTTCTCATTTCAAACTCTCCTAGAACACAGTAAAGCAAATTACAATTTCAAACCCTGGTCATATATCAACGAGTAAAAGAAAACATTTATTTTCAGAGGAAACGCTCCAGCAACTGAACTTCCTAAATCATCTTTATGGCACACGGGCTACCTGATAAATCTGGTAAAAAATACCCTAAAAATCCCTTTGTGCATAATGCAGTAGGTTAGAGCCCTTATCTCCGGGAGACTCGGGGTAAGCCGTTTGTATTTATATTCAGAGTTGACTACACACACCTTGTACTCACCAGATGGTAGCGAGCTGAGTTTGTGTCAAGTTGGAGGCTATTAGTGCATTTCTTACTTGAGGCCCTGGGGGGAAAAAAACAAATAATAGAGTCAATTATATTAGAAAGCCTTAAAAGAGAATGACCCCTAGTTAAGCCAGTCAAATGTCAAGGAGAGCGCTTGGAGCAGAAAGAGTCCATAATGTGAGAGGGGTGTCTACTCTGACAATCCAGGTTAGAGACGGTTCTGTTTGACTGTGCATACAACTGAAGGATTTCATCTCCATTTTTAATGCACTGCAAATATTTTTTTTTAAAATCCCTAGTAGTGATTTTAATGTTTTAATTTCTTGTGTGATTTTAATATTCTAATGTTTTGCTTGCTTTGCACTAGAATTTACCTCTTTTTTTGCCAAATGTAAATTTCTTTCTTATTATTATGTTCAAGATGGAGATTTTATACTTTTTCTTTGATGCTAGAGTGAGAGTTTTTGCCTTTATTTTAATTAGTATAGCTATTGTTCACTTATGTTGTGCTATCTGCTCCTGCATCCTACTGTTCTGTAACTTGTGATGCAACACTGAAATTTCCCCGCTGTGGGACAAATAAAGAATCTCTTAATATTATTACCTGTGTGATTTTTGATTGTGTTTTTAACTATTTTCTTTGGTATTTTGTTTTATGTGATGCTTTATGCCTTGTGTGATGTAGACTGAAGCTCTTTGTGGTGCCCTCGGTATGAAAGGGCGCTCTACAAATAAAATATTGATGAATAACTACATTTTCGAGAGACGTACCAGACAAGTATCCGCTCATGAGTTTGTCCAGTGTGTTGAACTGCTGCCGGTACTTGAGTCTTGAAGCCTGTGGAACGGCCCAGTCGCTCGCTCCCGTCTTTGGAGAGATACTGGCCAACGACGTAGTGGAGGAAGAATTCGAACTACGGAGACAGAAAACCGTTACACTGACACCTCCTCTATAAGGGAAACTGCACTTTTATAATTGATGAAGTAAGCATTATCATTATTTTACATTTGAAAGTACCACTAATTGCTTTGAGACTCCCTGATGTCATTCTTTGGCTCCTAATTAGTCTTGGAAGAGGTTGGCCAGCCTGTGTACAATGACTCTCCTTAAAAAACTCTTGCAAGCTCTGCTGATTGCCTATTCTGTTTTTACTTTGAGCAAGGCCTTGAAGCAAAGACAAAGAAAAAGCTTGTTAACAGTTTCAGAAGAATTTTAGGAATTAATTGCATGGAGCACCCTTCAAAAGAAATTTTAGCTGATGCATTTTGCTCCTCCTTTGCCTGAAGGCAAAAAAGGGGTGTCTGCCATGCAACTATGACCATATTAAAATCAAAATGACTCACGAGGAGCAGAACAATGGGGAGAAAACAAAGCATTTGAGATGCTATTACATTCACCTACATCGTGGTTGATAGTTAGCCCTCAATATTGATGTGATCCTATGCAACTACACCTAAGGTCAAGTCCTTTTGTATGCAAAGCGTAGACAAAAGTACGAAAACTGACACTGCTGCTATAATTTCCCTAAAGCGCACAAAATACCATGAGAAACACCAGAGACATGGGATACCTTCACCTAAACAACACATTTTGCACAAGTAAAAAACAGGTACAATTCAGACAATAATAAGTCGATGTGAAACCAATATACTGTATATATAGACTCATTACACACAATGTGACGTAGGCCAAGCCCTTATTTGTTATATGCATCTATACTCTTGCCAAATGCACAAATGTATTAATGTACCGTACTCAAAATGTAATAGACCACGTAGCTGTGCATTCAAACAACTGGGTCTTAAATGCATTATACGACAGAAATGTTTGACTATTCATACATTTTCAAATCCTGTCACTCATTTAAAGTCAATGTCAGTTACTTTTCCGAGATATACTTAAATCCTTGATACACAGGACGAGGACCCTTGCCATTGGTTCAACTATTATCCTCCAGAAAATCTTTCTGCGGTGATAATGCCAAAGAGAGGGACTGCATATATATTCTTGGAAAAATACTTTTAGAGAGTCTGCATGGTCAAAAATTACTATTTTATTAATGAAATACAATTGAAGTTGGCCACATCACCTTTAAAAGCACAGAGTTATAGATTTATTTGCAGAAAGCTCTGACCTGCTGGATCCCAAGTCCAGTAATGAGTTGGCTTTAGACAAACATTCGGTTGGAGAGAAGGCCATAGGTGAGGAGAAACCAGACAGAGGCAGCCCTGCAGAAACATGTACTATTTACAGTAATGTTCATGGTGACCATAATACAAAACATAAGGGTGTGAAGAGGAATGTTGTGTTAAGACAGGAATTCAAAGAACAAAGTGCATTTAGATTGTATATTACCAATAGATATCTTATCTCTCACATCTTACAACAGCTGCACATAACATGCTTGGCATAGAACACAAGTGTGAGTGACCAGTGTATGATTGTGCGTGTCAATATAGAAAATAAGATACTACCTTTTGGATTATTTACTTCCTTGTCTACAAGAGTTCGTAATAGGAGGAACGCTTGAGTAAACACTGAGGTTCAAACAGGAAAATAACATCTAAGTGCAGTGCACACGGATGCATCATATTTCACCGAAGAATAATCCTCTGTGAACGAACAGCTAAATCCAAGTAATGTACAGATGCTTCTCAATTCTAAAGTTGCAAAGCATTGTAGGTGTGGCAGATGCTTCACTCATTTCTAACTAAAGCAATCATATCTAATATAAGTCATTTACAAAAGTATTTATTCTATATAGCGCTTTTCACAAACCAGAGTCACAAAGCGCTTTATAAATGTTGAGGGCATTTGTCCTCTCACTCCACACAGAGATGCCAGACCTATTGTACAGTACAAGTATATAGTGGTAGGGGAAACCGGAGCACCCGGAGGACACTTACGCAGACATAGGGAGAACATGCAAATCCACACAGAAAGGTCTGGAGGCGAGTTACTGTGAGGCACAGGCACTAACCACCACGCCAGCGTGGCGTTATATCTAGGTTAGGATAATATAGTATTTTCTACTGTGCATAAAGGTCCATACATGTTTTATTTCTTTTAGAACTGTTCTACGTCATGGTGCTACGTCCCTTAGGACTTCGCTAGTGGGATATCACTCATGACCCCCAGGTCACACGCCAGAGAGATCAAAATAATTTGCTCCAATCACCAGCCACCCTCCTCTATAAATGCCCCTGCACAAAGCCGCACCCCCTCTTTCACTCTGGCGCCGTTTGAGATCTACCACAGTACTTACTTCATTCTGAGATGTCTTCCTTGTGCGTCCGAGTTCCCTTCGCCCTCCGGCGTCGGACGTCGTCGCTGGATCCAGACGGTGGAGGACTTCACCTCTGTGGGTGCCACCACTCGAGGGAGGAGGAGGATGCAACCCACGTTGTGCCCGCGGACGGACCCTTTCGTCCATTACGCGACACGTGAGTGGCCTAAGCCCCTAGCAGCCAAGAGGCCTGCTCTGGGGTACGACATGTACTGCAGCGGGCAGGACTGGTCCTGGACCGGTGGTGTCCCGGACATCGAGGAGTCAGTCCGCATGGCCCTGCAGCCCTCCGCATCCGTGTGGCCCGGCACCAGACCTCTCCTTCCCTCCGAGCGGAACAGGATGTCTTGGCGATGCTGGATTGACTAACAACATGGCATTCATCACGGGGGCCCTGGATATGTCGCTCTCTTCTGGTCAGGCGCTCAGTGGAGACCTCCTGTCACAGGCGAGGACCACCTCGGCGGCGACTCTGCGCATGTGCCAGACGCTAGCTGTGGATGATGGCCGCTCCATGGCAGCAGCCCAAGTCGGGGCCAGGCACCTTGGCTTGGGCTGGCTAATATCAGGGAGGCGGAGAGGAGGCAGCTGCTGGACCTGCCTATCTCCCAGACGTCCCTTTTCGGTCCGGACAAGCAGACCCTGGTGGCTAGACTGGAGACCGCAGCCAAGGACTCGGCTAGCCTAGCCCAGCACCTAGCGCCGAGGCGCAAGGCCTGCCCACCAGCGCAGAGCCGAGACAGAGAGCGTTCGCCCGGGAGGTTCCCTGGCCCATATCCACGCTCCATGACCTATGGTCCCCCCTCGACGAGGCCCCGGGTCCAGACAGACACACGGGAGGCTCGCGGGACCAACGCACCCACCGCCGACCTCCCTATGGCAGAGGAGGTCGGGGTGGGAAGCATTCTTTCAATAAAAGCCGACCGGCATTTCATCAGTACTCGCTGTCTGAGTCTCATTTGGGGGTATGTAACATGTCAAATGATCTGAATTCTGATGGTGTTACTTATCGAGCACATAACGTGGCTTCGCTAGGCCTGCAGCCCCCAGAGAAGGGCGTGCAGCGCAGAGCTCCGGTTCTCTGATCCATGCTATGCCCTCCCAGAGAGAGGTCAGGCGGAGGGATCTGGTGAGTAGTGGTGTGTGTGCTTCGGCCGAACGCGTGTTAGCATCTCTGAGCTACAAGGCTAACACGGGGTTTCCCACTCCAGGGGCTCGCCCCCCCCTCCATGAGGCAAGAGCCAGGGGGGGCACAGCAGCCGAGTCACGTGTGGTGAGCAGTCCCGTACTTATGACGTCGGGCCTGCAGAACACGTGACCGCCCCCAGCGCTCACGGTGTGACGCAGGGGCCCCCCCGGCCCTTTCAGCCACCCCCCCTCCCTGCTAGGAACACCAGGAGAGGGCGGGGCCGTGACGTCTCGTGTTCCAGCTCCCGTTCCGCCCCTCACAGACTTCTACAGCATCTGGAGGGAGCAGGGCCTACTGACAGATATTTGGCTGGAGAAAACTTTGCGCAGGGGTTACGCACTGCAATTTTTCCGAAAGCCACCACCATTCCGAGGCGTACGGGCAGCACGCTCTCAGGTACGGGGATCGATAGAGGCACTGCAAGCGGAGGTCGGCGGGACGGAGTGACTCTGGCCTGCGCCGTGTCTCACGTGGAGGTGTTCACGGACGCGTCGCTCGAAGGATGGGGCGGGGTCCTCGGCCAGAGTTCTGTAGGAGGCTGCTGGTCGGACTCAGCCCGTCACATCAACCTGCTGGAGATGGAGGCAGTGCACAGGGTACTGCTGCACTTTGCTCCTCAGCTGCAGGGGAGACACGTGATGGTGCGCTCAGACAACACCACAGTGGTCTCCTATCTGAACAGGCAGGGGGGCACCAGGTCCCCCGCTCTCCATCGCATGGCGACGGTGACGCTGCTGTGGGCGGCGTTTCACCTCCTGTCCTCAGGGCGCGCCACGTTCCGGGGGTCCGGAACGTGGGGGCCGACAGGATGTCCAGGGGGGGGCCCACTCCAGGACGAGTGGGGCCTGGCCCCACGGGTAGCTGCGGAGATCTGGCGGAGGTTCGGCCGTCCAGTGGTCGACCTTTTCGCCAGTGCAGGAAACGCATAGTGCCCGTCCTGGTTCGCCTCAAGGGCCGCGGACGAGCCGCCCTTAGACGTGGACGCTCTGGCTCATTACCCCTGGCCAGGGGGCCTGCTGTACGCTTTTCCCACCAGTGCGTCTCCTGCCGGTCCTGCTGCGGAGGATCGAACAAGAGAGGAGGTCGGTGATCCTGGTGGCGCCGGACAGTCCGCATGCCCGGTGGTTCCCCTTTCTGAGGGGCAGGGCGGTGATGGAGCCCTGGACCCTCCCGGACGAGCCGGGGCTCTAGTCCGGGGGGGGGAGGAGCCCTGTTTTCACGCCCGATAATCGGCCGCAGGCTTTGGGTTTGGAGGCTGAGAGGCGGAACCTCGTAGGCCTGGGTCTTCCCCCTGCGGTGGTGGAGACCACTCAGGGGGCGAGGGCGCCGTCCACTGTGAGGGCCTACGCCACGAGGTGGAGGCTCTTCAGCGACTGGTGCGGTTTTTGTTCCTGGGATCCCAGGCGTTGCCCGCTGGAGGGGGTCCTGGGATTCCTACAGGAGCTCTTTGACAAGGGGAGGGCTGTCGCCACCCTGGCGGTGTTCGCGGCAGCCATTACTTCGGGTCACGACGGATTCGGGGGGTTCACAGCCCGCTCTCATCCGCTGGTTAAACGTTTTCTGCGGGGGGCACGCAGGAGGAGGCCCCCGCTCCAGAGAACGCCCCCGGTTTGGGACCTCAGGGTGGTCCTTAGGGGGCTGTCGGGTCCGCCTTTTGAACCGGCGGCGGAGGCGAGTCCCGAGTGTGTCGCTTTAAGACGGCCCTCTTGTTGGCGTTGGCGTCTGCTAAGAGGGCGGGCGACTTGTGTGCGCTCTCTGTCCATGCGTCTTGCCTGTCCTTTGGAGAGGGCGACGGCATGGTGGTATGGTGGCCCAATCCGGCTTTGCTCCCCAAGGTCATCACGTCGGCCTTTAGGTCGAGAGTCATCAGGATTAGGGCTTTCTATCCGCCACCGCATGCCTCCCCCGAGGAGGAGCGGCGGCACCTTCTGTGTCCTGTCAGAATGCTGAGGCATTACCTGGCCATGACGTCGTCATTCAGGTTGGGTGGTCAGCTGTTTGTGTGTTTGGGCCCCAAGAACAGGGGCGCCCCGCTGTCGGCTCAGCGGCTGGCGCACTGGGTCGCCACGGCTGTGCGGCGGGCGTATCAGACGCAGGGTCTGGCCCTCCCGGTGGGTTTCAGGTCGCATTCCACGCGTGGGATGGCGGCCTCTACGGCCCTTCTCAGGGGGGCGTCGGTCGAGGACGACTGCCGTGCGGCTTCTTGGGCGTCGTCCTCCTCTTTCGTCCGGTCTTATCTTTGGATGTGTCGGACCGGTCGGTGGCCCATTCCGTGCTGAGTGCAGCGGACTGAGTTAGACCGTTAGGTCCCTCCTCTGAGGGGGCCTTCGGTTTACTTTCCGCCCTGGTTCAGGAGCTCTTGGGAGAGGCATCCTACAGGTGCGGTACATATATGTGTGTGTTTGGTCGGTCAGGTCCTGTGACTACGGATGACCTACATCTGTGTTACGTGGGGGTATCCTTGGTAGGAGTGGCCCTGTAACACGCATTTGTTTCTTCTGCCCTGAGTCCCCTCACTGTGTGAGGGCCTTGCTCGGGCGGAGCTCCAATCACCCTTCGCTGGCCTGCTGGGAGTACATGTTCCTACGGCCTCCGCGTTGTGTCCCACTAGCGAAGTCCTAAGGGACGTAGCACCATGACGTAGAATTAATAGTTACCTAATGTAACTTAAGTTCTACGAATAGGTGCGTAGTCCCTTAGCTACGAGCCCATCAGGCCAGCCCGGCTTGGCAGAGTTCAAGAGGGGGTGCGGCCTTGTGCAGGGGCATTTATAGAGGAGGGTGGCTGGTGATTGGAGCAAATTATTTTGATCTCTCTGGCGTGTGACCTGGGGGTCATGAGTGATATCCCACTAGCGAAGTCCTAAGGGACTACGAACCTATTCGTAGAACTTAAGTTACATTAGGTAACTATTAATTCTACCTTATCTTCTTATCTTAACTGCAACTTGACAGATTGAAAAGTTATGATAGAAAATAACTAAGTATTAAACTGCCTACCAAGTACACCTCCAGTCTATACTTTCACTGCTGAATATGAGCTTAGCGTCACGGTTGCCGTTAAGGCTGTTATTAACGCATTTAACTGACAGCACTAATTCATTGTGGTTCTAAAGCTGAACCGACCTGCTGTGTTGGACAGCGCTGGCGGAGTGAGGAGGCTGCCGTTGGTAAGTCTGGGGTGTCCCATGGGGATGAGGGGCAGGGTCATAGGCGTTGGAATCATGGGTTGAAGAGAGGGCATGGCAGGGTTAGCCGGGATGGGGGTTAGAATGTGCATAGAAGCCATAGGTGGCATGGGCGGCACACCGATGGACAGGTTTGGCATTGATCCCATTCCTGCAGGAACATTTAAACAACAAGACAGGCACGGGGACTGACGGGTTAATACATGTCAATTAGGGTTTTGTGAATCATGGACAAACGGTTGACACATAATAGAAAAAATAATTACCAAAACGTGCAGAGGAGGGAATAGTCGAGCCAGCATTGGACAGAGGGGTCTGCTTCATGATGATGGGGAGGGATGTGGGTAAGTTCCGCCCTTGAAGTAGGAGTTTTATGAGCTTCATTGCGATGGAGAACTCTAATCTGTCCATCTTTCCATCACTGTCAATGTCTGCTAGGTTCCTACACAAAAAATGTGTCAACAATACAATAAATATCAAAATAGAAATATCGAAAGGTTGGTAGTTTCAGTGTGGACTCATTAGGAGTTCTCAGATTCAGATTCATTCAGATTCATTTATTTCGCCATTTGCAGTATGTATACACCACATTGGAATACATTTGTAAAAGTTCCCCGTGTGCACAGGACAAGTACAGACACAAAACAACATTAAAAGACAAAAATAAAACAAATTTTAAAAACAGTAAACAAATGTCACAACAAATGTCACCGTGAAGTTGACCAACTTAAAACAGATCTATACGAGTGCAAAACATTAAAGTGCTCTATTCAAACTGTTAACAGCTCGTGGAAAAAAACTGTTAGCATGACGAGATGTCCTGCATCTCAGAGAACAGTATCTTCTGCCAGAGGGAAGAAGCTGGAACAAGGCTTTTCCTGGGTGGCCAGAAGAGTCTCTGATAATTCTCAGGGCACTGTTAAAAAGTCTGGATTGATAAAGAACCTCCAGAACAGGAAGCTCACAGCCCACGGTCCTCTTTGCAGAGCGGAGCACCTTGTTTAGAGCTCTCTTTTCTTTATCTGTGATGTTACCGAACCACACAGACACAGAACCAACAAGTAAACTCTCAATGGTGCAGCGATAAAAGTTCAGCAGAATCTTAGAGTTAGTGGTAAATTCTCTAAGTTTCCGCAGGAAGTAGAGACGCTGACGAGCTTTCTTTACGACTCGGTCAGTGTTTTTAACCCATTTCAGGTCATTAGACAGAGTTAGACCCAGAAACTTACACTCCTCTACAATCTGCACTTGGGAGTTATCGATTGCGACAGGCAAATGAGAACTATTGCGACTGAAATCAAAGACCAGTTCGCATGGGTCGTACCTCACGGTGGCAAGTGTATCACAGACGAAAAACAACATGGAACAGATAGTGCACACCAGAGCTCTTACTGAGGCGCCCTGACCCGGCGCCATCTTGCTCTCATACCTAAAGTTGTTCTTTAGGTATGATTTAAGAAGGTAAGAGTTCTTACCTTCCTAATTTCAATATGAGTGGCTTAAATATTATATATGCACAGTTAAAAACATTTCTATAGCCAGTTATGTTGCAAGTATTTCCAAAAAATCTAATTAGATTTAGATACAATAACATCTATAATAATACATTTTTCCACAGATCACCCATCACTCAACAACACAGCATTATGAACTTCCATTATGAAAAATAAGGTAGCCAAAATACTTAATAGCCCTCATGTTATGTACATAAACTAGAATAACATACTTAAAAACTATAGAATGGTGTTTTCCAATATCAGATCAACTATATAATCACTGTAACAATTAAAATGGAATGAACAACATTTGTTACATACAGTTTTGTACAAGTTTGTGTTTCTGGTCTCCAAGTTTTTAGCCTTGGAACAGAAATACAGAGGCGTATTATTCCCTGCTTAGACCCCGAACACAATTTACTAGGTGGGGCCGTCTATGAAGGAAGTCCACTCTCAACAGGAAGTGCTGAGCAAAGGACCAAACTCGACCAAACCCAAGACGGTAAAATAAGATAACTTTTATTCACCGCACAGAGAAGAATGTTTGGTGATGTAAGGCACAGGACAAGAACAGGAATATTGAAAGCGAGATTCTTAGAAATTGTAAGATTTTTGTTTTGTTTGAGGCTATACAAAATAATAGAATAATTAATTGTGTATTGAATTAATATAAGCTTTTTGCTTCATCCAATCCCTTTTCAAACCATGTACAGGTATTTTTTGTTGTTTGATATTATATTTTTCTGTGATTAACTGTTTGTATATCTGTGGCCTGTCCTGCTCGGCCCAGAGGCTGCACCACCTCTGCTGCTGTGACCTGAAATGTGGTTTCTTATTATTACTATTAGTTTAGCTTTTTAGAATGATCCATTTATTTGTTTTCTTTGTGTGGATGGATGTATTTTTGCAGATACTGGACACTTGAATTTCTTCTACGGAGATCAATAAAGTATCTATCTATCTATCTTGTGCATGTTTGAAGTAATAATATATCAAACAAATATAGATAAATAGCAATAAGGGTTAGACGCTATTGTTTATGGCTATGACTATTGAACATAGCAGCCTCGACAAGAGTAAGTTGCAGATAAAGTGATTGCAGTGAGTAGACTGTCATTGGCTATCGATAACTCCCAGGTACAGATTGTAGAGGAGTGCAAGTTTCTGGGTTTAACTCTGTCTAACGACCTGAAATGGGTCAAAACCACTGACCGGGTCGTTAAGAAAGCTCGTCAGCGTCTCTACTTTCTGCGTAAACTAAGAGAATTTACCACTAACTAAAAGATTCTGCTTAACTTTTATCGCTGCACCATTGAGAGTTTACTTGTTGGTTCTGTGTCTGTGTGGTTTGGAAACATCACAGATAAAGAAAAGAGAGCTTTAAACAAGGTGCTCCGCTCTGCGAAGAGGACCGTGGGCTGTGAGCTTCCTGTTCTGGAGGTTCTTTATAAATCCAGACTTTTAAACAAAGCTCTTAGAATTATCAACGACTCTTCTGGCCACCCTGGAAAAGCCATGTTCCAGCTTCTTCCCTCTGGCGGAAGATATCGTTCTCTGAGATGCAGGACATCTCGTTATGCTAAAAGTTGTTATCAGTTTGAACAGAGCACTTTAATGATCTTGCACTTGTATTGAAACGGTTTTAGTCGGTTGATTTCATAGTGACATTGTTTACTTTTTTATTTCTGTACTTTTAATGTTGTTTATGTCTGTACTTGTCTTTTGCTAACGTATTCCAATGTCCAATGTGGTTTTACTGCAAATGGCGGATAAATGAATCTGAATCTGAATCTAGACTGTGAACACATTGTGATACAAGTGTTACAAATTATTACTATTACTACAGTGCTGCTTATCATTACATCAGGCGAATGACACGTGTGCCGAGTCAGCAGTGCTCGTACCATATTTCAGCAAGAACTGAAGGAGGTAGGCCAGACTGAAGGAAAAACTTCCTGGCCTGTTCCCCTGGAGAATAAAAAAAATATATCAAAATTCAAAGACCATTTTTCTTTTTTTAACTTCATGAATAATATTTAAGGAAACCCGCTGGTGAATACAAAACGGTCTGTGTACCTGAGACAAAGCCAAGGACAGGAGCGAGGCTGTCGAACTGTTTGTCATGTTTGCCCCGTTCCTCCGGAGTGATGGCCCAAACGCCCGCTCCACCTACAAGGCCAAAAGACAAAAACATTCATGGCCTCCATATTTTCAAAAGACAAGAAACCAATACAGAAAACGAATGAAGAAATCTATAGAGCTAGCCTGGCCGTAGCCACCCGTAAACTCAGGGTAATTGTATTTTCCCTACAAAATGAAATTAGGACAAAGGAATGGTAAGACCAGGCTACTATAGAGAGGCTGTTGGCAAAGTCTTCACACTGAGGCCTCCCTGATCAAATGGAAACCCCTCAAAGGCATTATTATGACCCGGCTCAGCTTGAATGTAGGAAGTAACAATAAAAGCTGATAAAATGGTCACTAAAATCCTAATTTAGTTAAATGACAATGTATAGAGAAAACTGGAGTAGCAAAATAGGAAGGAATATTTACACAAACCAAAGTAAAGTAAGTAGCCTAAACCTTTCCACAATGTATCACAACTCAAAAACACACAAAACAAAGGTGGTGATATAATTAAAATCAGAATTATTTTATTGCCATTGACAGGAAGTCAAAAACTAGGAATTTGCTTTGCCATATGATGCAAACAAGATATAAAAAAGGAAAAACCGACATAACGGCATGCATGTAAACTCTTAATACAATTCTAATAAACAAGTACACACAATAGACCTTTAACAACAACTGCCTCGGCCTCTGACCAACCACCACCCAGGCATCGTGCTCAATCAGCTCCCAACGGGAAAAAACAAACCACACTAGAGCCCAGGACTCACAAGAGTGATATTCATAGCACTGAAAACGAGGAGAAACACACACAAACTAACAGAGTAAATAATTTGCTGATATACATGTATACATATATCCGGCTGAACACTGACGCAGGCAAAGTCTCAATCTTAATCTTGTTAGATCTAAGTGCTGCCTTTGACACTGTCGACCATGAGATCCTCTTACAGAGACTAGAGGACTGGGTTGGAGTCGCTGGCACCGCCCTAAGTTGGTTTAGGTCTTACCTTGAGGACAGGAAGTACTTTGTGAAGATTGGAAACTGTGTCTCAGATCATATGGCCCTGACCTGTGGAGTACCACAGGGGTCGATCCTGGGACCTCTTCTGTTCAATCTCTACATGCTGCCGTTAGGTCAGTTAATACGCAGAAACAAAGTGTCCTATCACAACTATGCAGACGACACTCAGATCTATGTCTCACTGACTGCAGGAGAACATGGACCAGTGGACTCACTCCTTCACTGTATCCAACAGATCAGTGAGTGGATGCAAAACAACTTCCTTCAGCTAAACGCAGACAAAACTGAAATGATTGTCTTTGGTCCCCCAGAAACAAAGAGAGAGCGTCATCTGTCACCTACAGTCTCTCTCCCTAAAACCTTCAAACAAGGTCAGAAATCTAGGGGTAGTACTGGACTCAGACTTAAATTTTAATAGCCACATCAAATCAGTAACATCAGCAGCTTTTTACCATCTAAAAAACATTGCCAGGATCAAAAACATAGTGTCTAAAGCAGACCTGGAGATTCTTATCCATGCATTTGTCTCCAGTAGGTTAGACTACTGCAATGGCCTGCTCACAGGTCTGTCCAAACAGGCTGTAAAACAGCTGCAGTACATTCAAAATGCAGCAGCTCGAGTCCTGACTAGAACCAGGAAGTACGACCACATTAGTCCAGTCCTCAGGTCTCTGCACTGGCTTCCTGTGGCTCAGAGAATAGACTTTAAAACAGCTCTGCTTGTGTACAAGTCTCTCCATGGCCTCGCACCAAAATATATTAGTGACATGTTAGTCCCATATGAACCGGCCCGGACTCTGAGGAGCACAGGGACTGGACTCCTGTTAGTGCCCAGAGTCAGAACTAAACATGGGGAGGCTGCTTTTCAGATTCATGCTGCTAAAATCTGGAACAGTCTTCCTGAAGATGTGAGACAGGCCTCCTCTCTGACAATGTTTAAAACCAGGTTAAAGACAGTTCTGTTTAACTGTGCATACAACTGAGGGATTTTATATTTTTATCTTTCTTTTTAATGTTCTGTGATCATTTAGGATTTTAATGCTTTCTTGTTTTGTTCAGCACTTTGAATTGCCTTGTGTATGAATTGTGCTATATAAATAAACTTGCCTTGCCTTACATATATACACATACATACATATACATACACACATGCAATATAATGATACAAAATGAGACCACAGCATTAGCTGGCAAAGTGTTGAGAAAACTATCCCTAAAAATCAGCAAAAGAAAAAAGTATTCAAATGAGACTCATGCAGCCTCAACTGACTGCTGATAATGATTAATGTATAAAATGTTCAGTCAGCTTGTTTCACTCTGCTTCACTCCAGCATATTAAAAGGTAAATCCAAGGTTGACCATGAATAAAATATTAACTCCAACTCGCTTCATGAGGGGCGTGAAACTCTTACTTAGCAAGGCAGAGAACAAAAATCTCATTAGAGCTGCTCCAATCCGTCATAGCGGAAATGCATTACATCAATCAAACTTAGTGTCTCAATTTCCCGATCATAACTTCACACTTCCAAAGCTGTTTGCAGAGGAAATTGGCTGCATGGTCATTTGAGCAGATGGGTGTTTCCATATGGTTATAATTACATTACAGATAAAGACAAAGACTTAGACAGATAATTCGTCTGAACTCCAGAAACACAGGAGTAGCTTTCTGCATACAGATGATAGCAAGTTTGTAAATGAAACTTCCATTATGGCTTGATACGGTTATGTGGAAGAATACTGCCTTAGGTGATGTCCAAAGAGACACTCCACACCTTTTTCTAGACACATATCATGGTACCACCAAAAGACACAATCATTTATATGAGGAAGGGCTTATTCAAATAAAGATACACATTTGATAAAAGCCATGTCCTTAAGTTTCCCTATAGCTGTATATTTTATATGGCTTCTTTAGGAGTTTATGCAACGGTATTCATTTCAAGAGGATATTTCGAACATGCTTTGATACAATGTGCTGTCACAACAAGACTTAGATTTCTCTGAGGGCAGTTATAATGAGTGTATATGTCCCCAAAATTATCCACCCAAGCTGTTGCTTATACACGGTCAGGAAATACCAGCTTGTCTTGATGGAACTTCCTCCTCCAGTCAAACCAAACAGTTGTCTGGTAATTATCCCAAATTAAGCAACATCTAATTTACCACAGGACGCTTAATACAATCCAAGTATAAACTCTGTAACTGCTACATAACATGAACCAATTTCAAATGCACATTTTTTTCTCTTTACAAGGCCCCACGAGGATGTACTGTAGTGCATATGTAAGTATATATTATTGGAAGGAAAATATAGCTATAACAATCACAGGGTAATTAATCTCTACATTGACAGGCCTCATTTAGAATCTATTGTAAGTAAGACAAGGGAGCTGATATTTAGCACAGCACCACAGGGAGGCTGTATGGCTGCATGGTCTATGCTGTGGTTAGGGAAAAGCACTGGAGAGGTTGGCCATTTCATGTTCTTATGTGGTTTGTCCACCCATCTATTGAGTATAGACATGAATTTAAATGTCTCACTGTGACATTGACATGAAATTGACCATAAGCAAAATTACAAACCATTTAACTTTTTTAGGAATACTATATGTCAATGTCACATGTAGCAGAAGTTCAGGCTGGAAGACTGCCCTCCGTTCGCCTGTGGGCGCAATCTTCACTCCAGTCCTCCTCCCACTACTATACATCTGACCTGAGAGTGTAGCAGTTACAACACAGTATACACCTGTGCCTTTAATAGTCTGAGTGCCTTGCTGCATCTTAGTATATGAGCTTAAGCTGCAACCCTCCTCCTCCCTATCACCTCATCATCGCCTTGTGGATACTGTGGAATTTTAACTAAATCATATTTCTATTTGAAATCCCTCCTGCCCATCATACATGCAATAGGCCTTTATCTGCCGGGGTCTAAGCGCAGAACCATATTACGTAAGTCAATAAAAATCCCTATTCTGCATGCCTGCAAATCAACCAACAGCAAACAATAGTTCATGCAATGTTATAAACATCTTTCTAATACATTCTTTGAGACTTTGAACCTTAGTTACTCATTTGTAAGAGGAAAATAAACAATGGCTCAGAATTAAACTTTTTTTTTAGATTAAACAAATAAAAAAAACAAGGTAGTTGGAAGGAGGTGCTACAGGTATTTCTTGTGCGCTACAGTCTCTGAGCTACATTTCCAGTACACAGCTGCTCCAGCACAGGTTCTATTATCCTCTTCATTATAATTACAAAAGCACGCTCCTTCCTATCCATTACCATTGTATTGTTAAAAACTATTGTAACAAATGCTCCTTTCTGGACGTTTGTTCTGGTATTTGGCTAGTTCCACTGCAAAATGATCATGTTGACAAAGAGCTAGAAGCAAAATACATTCTGTGAAGTCCAACAGAAGCAGAACTGTTTTATGATCAAAGCTCTGAGACAACACACGCATTCTTGTGCAATTGTATCAAGGACAAAGGAGCATACATAGCGTATCCCCAAATAAAACTGCTTGTAGTGTGATTTGCATATCATTATTATAGACAGGGTGGTACCCTGCACTATTGTTACAACAAACACATTGCCTTTCTGAGACAAAACACTCATTGTATAATACTAAACTACAAGCCAATTTAACTTTGTAGAGATTTTCAAACAATAGATGAATTTAGATTGGACCACATAAGCTCAACAAATGCATATCAGACGGCCGAGAAAGATTCTTTAAGTAAATTTATTGCAGTTCCTTTAGCATGAAATAAAAATAGAAATATATAACTATGCTATTAAATGATGATGTAGAACAAAATTGGATTTTTCAGCCTTGCCTTTAAAACCCAAATTGCACACACATAACTAAAATGTATCCATCTATCCACATCTATCTACAGTATCTGAAAAGAAAGAGTTTGTATTGACAGCTTGACCGTGTCCTTACCATTCATGGCTGCAGGTGGCGAGAGGAGATGGGAGTCTTTGCTCTTGCTTTAAGACATCTGCAACAAAAAAAATAGAAATAAGAGACATGAGCCGGAGCGGGACAGAGGAGAAAGAGGAGGAGGAGGAGGGGGGAGACTGAGCATGAAGAAAAGGAACAGAATAGGGATCAAGTGTGCACAGAGATATTGCAAAAATAAATATATAAACGCATGGTCCAGTTCACACTGAAAGAGGCTCTGAAAAAAGACTGGTGAAGGAACACTGAAGGGAGAGAGAAGTGGCACAGCTTTGATGGTTTGATGGTTATACACAGGCACTACAGAGGAAAATAGACTGCATTTATCAATGTCAACATGCTCAAAGTTAATCATGTTGAATATTATGTATTGAATATACTGTTATAGCTATAGGCCTGTCACAGTAAGTATAATATTGGCCGACGTTCAATAACTGATGGATTATTCGTTTTAGCTGTAGAGGTTTAAAAAATACTAAATATGAATATGAATTTTGCTGTTTATTTTCTTAGCCCATGTTTTTAATGAAGTGGACAAATCAAAAAATGTGTTGAACATGCATCACTGGCATAAAGCAGCTTCAATATAGTCTCTTATCAAATTATTTTCTGAATCAATATATTGTCTATTACATTATTTAAAATTAATAATAACCAAGATAAAATAAGGAACATGCTACTGCCTTTCATCTATCTTTAAAAGTATAGGACATATAGATATAGGCCGATAGTTCAGCTGATAACAGGCCAACATGAAGCATAGCAAACAGGGATGTTTAAATCTTAGCCTATAAATGGTAAATGAGATAAAAGACTAGATGTGGCAGTTTTTATTGAAAATAACCCTAAATCAGATCTTGACCAATTGAGGTCTGCTATAAATATTCCACAACATATTTGGAGGCAAATTTATGAACAAGGACAGCGACTTGTGCAGAGACAGTGAACGCAAGAGCAGATTTATAGGTGCTTTCACTGTCACAATGCTCCACTGGCAGAGACCAGCAGAGCGGCTCTGCAGGAGGTAATGAGACTAAATTGGAAAATGTGTTTCGACACATTTTACTTTAGAAATACTCACCTCGGGAAGATTTAAGAGGTTAAACATACAATCCCCGTGCAAAGAAATGGATACAATCATGAACAACAGGTCAGTAATAATTTGCAGTTTTTCCAGACTGATATGGTGAATATAGGGCTGGGGGTTTTTCAGAGCCTGTTGATATAATCGACATTGAAAACTATCGTTTCAAATTGAGGAAAATGGCAGCTGACTTGATGACTATGGTATCTGTAAAAAATCAGACTTCTACGGTTCTATCTGTTTGGCAGCAAATATCAACTAAGATCTGATTATGTTCTCAAAAGGGTGTCTAGAAGTGGTGATAATATTCATAATACCTTGTTGTTGACTTTCAGACTAATATGGAGGCTTTCACTATTAAACACTATCAAATAATTATCTTGGAAATGATTTGTCCAAGATCATTTTGCTTTGCTTATTTACTAAGAGTTGTATTGGCACTTAAATACAATAGAACCCTTGAACAGGAACTCAGCGAGTAAATAATAAGATGTACTATAAGGACCACTATTAGAATTGCACACATGCAGGCAAACACAATCAGGCCCATCACATCTGTCTCAAACAGACACTGCATTAACCCAACACAGAACTAAGAACAAAACCAGGCTTAAGAGGCTAAGTCAATTTTGTTAAGCCTCAATTTCTCACTCCATCATCCCCCATTGGTTCTTATTAAACCGCTTCCTTGAACATTACCGCTTCAATTTGGCGCTGTCCTACCAATCCAGCCACCGACCGGCGTCAGGTCAAAGCAATCTCCTCTCAACTTTACACAAAATAACCTTTTTTTTCCCTCTTGTCATTCCCCCCTTGCTCCTCTACGTCTCCATGTTTAGTATATGTCGCTCACGAGTACAAGGGCTGTCTGCGTTTGATCTTACATGACGACAGCGCACACTAGTCCTTCATCCTGTCCAGCTTTTCTGTTCACGTTACAAGATTGTTCCATCACTGGCATTGCTTTTTTGTTATCTCAATTCTCTTGGAGTAGGCAGAGCTTTTGGTGGCATAAATCATTTTCCCGTTCATGCCGACAGTGTCAATTACTTAAAACCAACGGAGCATTCAGAATAGGCTCCATTCATGGGAATATATAGGCCATAAGATAATTGGTGTAATATGGGCAAACTGAGAATGCCCAAACACAACCCACACAAAATGCAGCGTATCTTCAGACACCATAAATCTACTTGGAAAAGAGGCAGCAGTAATGGAGCAGAGCTGTCATTGAGTAAACACACAAGAATTACTGCTTTGGAGTCTACATGACAAGCGAGTTTATCTTCCCAATATAATAATGAATTCTATCACATGCCTGTATAGACTGAGTGACACCAGACTGACATTTTTAGATCCTCAGTGTAAAACGAAAGGTTATATATGGAATTTGCTGCAGCCTGGGAGCACACAATCTCATACAACAATCATGCACAGTGACATTTGATTAATTTAAAGCTGGGGTACCTGGGATCTAAACCAAAAAAAAGCAAACTTATCATATAGATCCTAGCTAGATTTAGATTCTATCATTACTTTTCATGCTGTTTTTGTTGTCAAATCTTTAGTTCAGAATTTTCAGACAAAATAGGGAAAACGAAAACTACCCTCATTCAGTCAATCAGCTCTAATCCAAAGTATAGTGACTCTAAAGGGGAATCCAGAATATAATTTTTTTCTAATGAAACAAAGACAGCATGTTGTGGTTTGTTCACATTTTAATTTTACAAGGCTCTCTATGTAGGGACAAACAACACGGATTAATAATGATTGCTTTAATGTGTAGATAACTCTGGATATGATAAAGTATGATTAAACAACCACTAAAAATTTTTCACCATCTTCTCAATTTGACCACAGAATGTAATGTTTACAGTGATTAAGAAGAGCCTCCTTCCAGCCTCCTGTACAAACAGCAGAGAGGCCGGCACGCTCCGCTCCTCCGCCCCTCCGCCCCTCCGCCCTTGTGCACAAACACTGCTTTACCCTCAGGAGTGTGACGTTGCAAAGAAGATACACATCTATGGTATTTGAGAGACTCAAACCAAACAGGACACATCCGGGATCACAATATTGTTCTAAGACTATAGGCTTCAATGCACTGTGACAGCCTATTTGCAACGCTCACAGTTTAGACTATAGTGGAATAAGTGCTACTGTTCTGAATACATATGACACTTGTATTATTTTACTTTGTAAATTTTTATTGGAGAGTTGAGGGGGTTCAGACTTGGAAGGAAGAGGTTTTTGTCAAAAATGAAGGCTGTCCTTTGTAAGTTCTAGAATAATTGTATTAAGGAATAACTTGACCTAAACATGCATTTATTAGACAAAGGAGAAAAGTAATGCATTTCAGCCACCTCTGATCTGAATGTTATAGTTCGACAACACAAACACATGCTTAGAGCATCCATTTCATATGGTTATAACTACTGTAGAGGTTGATGACCGTAGAAAAACAATAAACATATATTATTATTATAGATTTTTCTCGAATATGATATAGACTTTTGCCCAGACATGGGGAGAACGCTTCAACGTCACCTCCTCCTATCATTGTGAAGCAGAATTGTAGGCAACATGAGCTGGGATTAGACCGTCGTGACAGGTTAGCTTTACCCATGATGTGCAGCAATACTAATCCTGTATTAAATACAATAATGGACCGGTATATAAGCCAAACATTGTGAAAGGCTGATCCTGGGTCAGTTGCAGTATGATTCTTGTCTCTCTATGTCAGGGTTGGAATTGACGATGAAAATAATTAGTTGGAGGATATTTCTTGAGATTGATCAATTGGATGTCAAAAGGTCAGTGAATATTGGATTGTTTCATACATATAAAAAAAAGCTCAAGTGATGCTCCTGGAATACGTCTTAATATAAATGTTATTTGAGTCATGAAACCTCCTCAGGATGTTTAAATCTCAGTATGATTAAAAAAATGGTGAATCGATTACTGAGTTAGTAGACAACTTCAATAATCGAATCGTTGTGTTTAAATCGCTTAATCGCTTAAATCGATTAATCGCTTAAATCGATTAATCGCTTAAATCGATTAATCGCTACAGTCAATTTTAATCCACACGTCGATAATTGAAGCAAAGAAGAGTTGATTTTTTTTTTTGCGACAGCCCTAGTTCAGTGTGCTCTTTTTCATATGAACTCATTTGTCAGACCACCTGGTGAATACCGCTTGGCTCGTCACAGTTCATATAAACACATTTTCCCCTGTGTGACTTATTATGATGCATTGCAGTTTTAGTCTGGCAGCGCAGAGCAGTGAAAGGAGCTTTGACTGGCCTGCTGCTCTCTGACTGACACCTGTGTAGAGGGCTCGGATGTGGCCATCAATGCTTATGCCTGTGTGCACACTTCCCTCAGTCTGAGAGAGAAGGAGCCTGTTGTAGCAGCGGCGGCCCAAAAGCGCAAAGCTGCACCTCCGCATGAAAGGACATAGTGTGTTTCATGGGTCTTTCTTCTTCCTATTCACAAGTGCATGGATGGACGTGCACAGACCTTTTGCAGCAAAGAAAATGAGGACAACCGGAAGGATTAGTTACATAGTCATTTTACACCTTTTTGGGTCAGCCACTTCAAAGGGCTTCCCGACCTGTCCTATCACAATAAACTTGTGGTGGATGACTTACTGTATATTGCTATAAAATGTGATACATATAAAACAATTATATTGTTCCATGCTATCTAGATCAATCTTTAATTAAATTAAATAAATTTTATTTTTGTATAGCCCTACATCCCAGCAGCATGTTTTTGGTCAATTCAGCCCTAATGTTGCTCCTCTGAGCCCTGACACAATATCAATATTGAATCCAAGTAATAATATTGTTTTAAATTTCCCTAGCAAGTCAAGGCCAAACTTGCATGCAAAAGCCAGATCCTGTCAGACCTATGAAGCTCTATAGGGTAGGGCCTGTTAGCACTGTGATGGGAGACCTCTGGGAACACCAGGTGCCATATTGTTACGGCTGTGGCTGTAAAGCACCCAACTGTCATTGTGACCTTAAAGGTTAAGGTGCACTTTATTGATCCCCGTACGGCAATTCATCCTCTGCATTTGTCCCATCCTGATGCCACTAAGGCTTACGTCAGGAGCAGTGGTCGTCGTAGTAGAAAGCCTGAAAACCCATCTCCAGATATTGATGCTCGGCTTGGTCAGGAATACCGGAGCTGGAGGATTTAACCTAGTGTGCATGTTTTTAAGACATTTCACACCAGACTCATTCTAGGCAATGTGGGAGAAAGGTCGGCAGTGGTCGGAGAGACCAATGGCTTATACTAATTGCCTCGCTTATGTCAGTGTGACCCAGGGCAGTGGTGGCTACAATAGTAGTTTATCACCACTGTGTGTGGAGTGAAAGAATAATGACATGTGAAGCGTCTTTGAGTGTCCAAACAACGCTATATAAAACCAATGCATTATAACTATCATTATTAAGGCCTGAGCTCAATAATCATCGGAATAAAGGTATAATGACCCATATTTTCAGCTAATTGGAAGAAAATTACCCACTATTGTAATTAAAAGGACAAATAATATTGAACGTCACTATCCATCACTCACTGAATAATATAGTATTTTTTTTGCTACTTTTGCTCTGGAAGTCATTCTCGTGTCTTGGAATAATGCCAGGTTAACCTAAATCAGTCTTCTTGACAATGCTCACTTTAAAAGCCATAATAAAATCCATATTATGTAATAGTTCTTTGGCAGGTGCAGGCTATGTAACACTCGCCTGGGATAGGAGCAGCTGCCTGCGATTGCTCAACTTAGGAGGTGCTGGACTTTGCCACTTCAGCAGGCATGCTCCTCCAGCAGAAGCAGCATCACTGGAGTTTTGCACAAATACACACACTCAGATAGAAGACAGAGCAAGAAGAGGCCATTTCTATAATTAGTGTGCTGCGGTGACTGAAACAGCTTTGCAAACTCATGCAAGACTCAAAACAAACAAAGACATATCATTTTGAGTAGAGTGGTGGCCATATATGGTGGGTCTATTGCTTGGTTTGATAATATCCTAAAATGAATTAATTTATTTAGGCTGTAAAATCTTCTAGAAGTGGATAATGAATTGACAAACACAACCGAAAGAATGCAAACAAGAAGTGGGACTTTTTCATGTACATTGCACTCTACCAAGACTTTCTTTGTTTTCTTGCACTTTAGGTATAAGGTCAACAGTATTTAAGTGATAAACAATGAAAGAGGAAAGTCCACCAAAAATAACCCCAGTCATTTACAGCCAGAATATAACTGCATGCCAAATGATATACACAAAGTCCATCATTAGCTCATATGTCTTATAGAATTTCTACTGAACGGAAAAATTCTCTGAATTATCAAAAAAAAACTAACAAAAAAAACGAACAGCTTCTCACAGATCACCATGATGGCCCTGAACCTGACAGCTTATGGCAATACATATCCAGTGGGGATATTAACCTATATTCAGCATACACCAGAAAGAGTATCTATACATGTTATTTATTATAAGCTATTGATTAATGCATGTTTATGTTGAAAAATATTAGGAGGTAAACATTAACCAAAGTATGTACATTATTACTTGAGTAAATGTAACAAAGATACATAAATAAATAAATCTATTTTTAATATCGTTAATCAACAAGCTAGTATTCATGTGTTGCCTTTCTTGTTTCTGATACGAGACTAGGATAATAGATCCATGATGCAAACATATTTGAATACAAAAGATTACCTGGATGCGTCCAACAAGCAGGACCCTGAACACAACACTGCAGTAGATGCTATATCCATCTGATATATTAAACCAATGCAAGTCTACTATTGACGAAAAGCGTGTAGGCGATCCTAATATAACAGTTTTTAATAAGAATACGAGTGAAGGTGATGCTAATGTGTGTGTTTTTTACCTGTTGCGGTCGAAGCGTGCGGTCCTGCTGCTGCTGCTGCTGCTACATCCACATCCAGCTGACTGAGCACAGAGCAGACTCACACGGGGCTGACGGGCTCAATAGATTCAATCTGGGCGTCCCCTCCTCTGCTCCACCGTGGGCAAGCTGAGGAAGTCACGCAGCACTTCCGCCGAGATGAGACAAAATAAAACTGAACCCTGTTGTGGTAATATTTGACCTTCACTTGCGGCGTAAGAATAACTATTACAATAACAAACAAACAAACGCCTTGGTTTACAGAGGCGTTTCATGTTCAGTGTCTAAAGGATCTCCATTTTCCTCTTCGTTGTCTTTCAATAAAACATTAAACATCTCTGCAGACTCACTGGTTTGAATAATTTATTTTATTTTGAGAGAATTCGTCCCATGGGTTCCAAGCAAAGCGACATTTTCTTGTAGAGAGCACCACCTTGAGCTCAATGAGTTTATCACAATCATGAACAAAACAGATAAAGTGTCCAAAAACAGGTGGAGAGTTCAAAATAATTAATTTATTGAAAACGCGTTCTATTTTGCGTATAAACTCAAACACACAAAGCCCAATCGGTCTCAGATTTGACAAAACAAAATCAAATTGTTGAATGAGAACACAAATATTTTGGAGAAATTATTGTTATTGTTTGCATTTTATTAAAAGGTGTCTGGGCTACTATAGCACATGTTGCTGCAAATTCAGAATGTACAGCAAAGCTCTCAGAGACAATATTTCTGTGGATTCCATACGTTTAGAAGGCTCTGAATAACTGGTTGGGCAGATATCCCAGGTGAAGAAAAGAAGACTGTGCATCCCTCTCCAGAGATGCCAACTCCTGGACAGTTGGGGCAAGAACATCCACATGCCCCTTGTAATTACCCCCTAAAAGCACCACATTAGTGATTATAGTTAGGAAAAGGTTATTATATCAGACATGCTCAAATGATACAGTATCATTGTGTGATTTACCTCCCAATCCCCTGCGCTGGCCATAGCTGACCTTTCCGTCAAACTCGTCGACAGGCACTTTTATGTCTGGCTCACACTGAGTTATGGTGCATTTTAGATGCTCCTCGATGTCGGACAACAGCTGACAATACCAGAGAAAGATGTTACATTTCACAATATGTTGTGCATATGTACAGAGAAGTGTAACAGTGAAAGTCTCACCTCCTTCTCGTTGTACCAGATGGTGCAGCCTCCGTTTTCCTTGAGTTTTGTGTTGTTGCAGCCTCGTCCTCTGTTTGCACACACATGGTACCACACCTGCACGTGACCAAATGCACAATTACATCAGGCTATAGCCTAACATTTACCAAATAATAGGATATAATTCACATGCCTTCTCTTTTTCCATGGCAACAAGAGAAATAGCGAGTCCCATTCTATAGAAAAAAAATCAATGCAAAACTGGTTCAAGAACAACATAATTTATATTAGGTGATTAATGCAAAAACATGGCAGACCGTTCTGCTCTTCCAACTCTGCCGATACGATGCACGTAGTTCTGCTTCTCATCAGGTAGAGTCACGTTGATAACTACAAAACAATTGTATCAAGACATAAATATCCCTTCTAGAACACCTAGCATAAGGCTCACTCCACGCTACACTGTACAACGCGTCAAATTTGACCTCAAGCGGCAATAAAATAAATGTAAGAACCAAAAATAATAATTCTTTAATGCTATGTAGCTTATAAATGTACATAGGAAAATCTCAGATGGGCAGCTCAAAATAATTTGAAGAAAAATGATGCCTTCCAAAAAAATTGTATTGAACTTTGGGGACACAATTGTTACATTTAGGACATGTCATGTTGGAGGCTTTGTGAATGGAATACTTGACAGGACAGGGAAGACTATTTCATGGCTAATGGGTAGGGATATAACGATTATCAATCTCTAATTATAGATCAAATAAAACATACTATTCAAAAACTGCAGACAAACTGGGCGTTTTGGACGTAACACTTGGCGTCCACTGGTTGTTGCGTTCAAAACGTCTGGAGCGCTGTTAATAGTACGGGCGTGAACAAACAAGCTGGAATAAAACAAGAGCGGGTGCTGTGAATATTTGGCAAAAGTAGCCGCTGACATTTCGGGACTTTTTTGTGCCGTTGACCCATATGTAACACGTAAGTACAGTTTAGTGTGGACTGAGCCATAATCCTATTGTTTACCATAAGGAACTCCATGGATATCGATTCCTCTCGCGGCAACATCAGTGCAGATCAGCAGTCTCACTTCTTTCTTCTGAAATACATGAAATACATAATATCAACACATTTACTACAATGTTATAAAGATTGTATTTATTTTTTACCTTAAAGCTTTCCAAGTTACTTTTCCGGTCGTTTGGCTTGCGGTCACCATGAAGACACACACAAGAAAGCTGATGAGTTTTACTATGTGGCCCTAAAATGACATTTACACAATAAACTTCATGTCATTTTTGAATGTAGAAATTTAATCACGCAGAATACCTCCGCCCTGCTGGATAAAGTACTGCTCCATATTGTCACAGTCGATCTTTGTGCGACAGAAGATGATTGCCTGATCCATCTTGTGTTCTTTTATGGCTCTGACGGTGTACTCTCCCTTTAGGATTTTGATGGCTTCTGACCACATTTCTATAACATCACCATAGAGATTAGATTGACAAATACTTGCTGTAGTTTAATATCAGTGCTTTTTGTCAATGTCACCTGAAGAGTTTGCTCCAGGTCTAGTGTTATCTCTGGCGTGTACTTCATCAGTCTGTCATGACAAGAATGAAAGAGTCACAACACTACCAACAACCACAGTGGTTAAAACTGGGGAACCTGAACTATGCAATACTATTTTATACAATTGCCTTGGTTTGCATTATTTCAAGGCCTGACAATTCATGACAGATGGCAATGACAATTCAACTAAAACCATAATCTATCCAACAAAAAACATAAATCAAAAACGATGCCACGATTTACCTGGATGTGATTTTTGCCCAGCCGCTCCCAGAGGCGGTCAGCTTTGGGATTGACTGGAACCACAACATGGTGGACAGTCTCCGGCACAGAGTCTTCTCCTTTCAGATCGACCCAAGTGGGGAAGTGCATGATCCGCTCCGACAGCTTCTTCACATCGAACGAGTGCAACGTGGCGGAGCAGACTATCACCTGACAAAATCAAGACGGCTCAGACAATAGCCTCGATGTGACGCGTTAAAAAAACCATTCACAAGACGCACCTGCAGCCGCTTTCCGTCAGAAGTGACCTGAGGGATTTGTTTGTGAAGCCTGTTTATAAAGTCGGTGTATCCTGCAGAAAGAAGTCCATCCTAAAAAGTAAACACAAAAAGTTTGAGAACCAGTGTGAGAAGCTAAAGGAAAACTTCTGACATTTGCATTTTTAAGTAACCAAACAATTACATACACATTCATCCAGGACAAGGAATCTAACTTGGGCAAGAGAAAGTTTCCCTGTGGATATGAGGTCATCCAGTCGGCCCGGTGTCCCCACGACTATATCGATCTGGGAAATGAGGAAATGGTCATGTTTGAATTCATACATGAAAACTCGTAAGCCTGTGACGGTGTGTGGGCCAGAGCTGCAGTGTATAAAGCACTATAAAACCTGCGATGCCGAGCTGTGTGTAACTTGGATGAGAGGATATAGTGTGATATGGAAAACAAATAATAATAATAGCAGTCAATAAATAATTAATAAAATGATCCTAAATTTTGGACTACAGGCCGCGTCTTGTTTCCTGCATTTTGAAGGCAGGGGATTTATTTATTTTTCTGTGGCGGCAAAAACATTTTGCAGTAGACCAACAGAATTGATGAGTAGTTCAAAGAGGTCCAATAAAGCAGATTAAATCAAGTTTAAAAGTCCTCACTTATATCTTTGTGTAAATATCTAAAGTAATAAATCGTTTTTTGCTTTTCTTTACAGACATGAACAGGAAAAGAGATCAGTAGATGTTGCTCCTTATCTTTCTGCTTCACACTGGAAGATTTAGTACAGTTGTAGACACTTCTTACTCTTTTTACTCACAGTAAAAAGAAGACATGAATGTTTTTGAGCTACATTTTTCAATATTACAATGTGGGACAGGTGCGGCTTATAATCTGGTGTGGCTTGTACAAGTGCAAAATTCATGTTCTTTCTAAAAATTGGCGCCTGCGGCTTATAAATAGGTGTGGCTGAAAGTCCTGAAAATACGGACTATAAGTCGCATTTCCTGGATATGGGTTATATATAATAATGCATATTTAAAGCATTATTATATTGCCCTTTTTGCTATCTTGTTTGTCTAAAAATGTAGATCGTAAAATACTAAGAATATTGAACAGCTCCAAAGAAGCTAAATTCTTAAATGTTGCATAGTACATTGTAATGTGTGAATGCTTTCAATATTTTTTTATGTTACATACTCCTTGCTCCAATGCAGCCAACTGATCCTTGGCAGCCACGCCACCAATCACGAGTAATTCTCTGCAAAGAATGGATTATATATAAATGCTTTAATTTTTACTAGCGAGCCCTTTTGACAACTGGATTGTGTTTGAGTACCTGAGTTTCGGATTGTCCACAAATTTCTTAAATTGTTTCACAACGTTGAGAGTTTGCTCTGCCAATTCCTTCGATGGTTCGATGATAAGAGCTTTAGGTAAATTAGAGGATGTGCTCACCTGGGTCACTTGTGCACTTCCTAAACAAAATGTATGTTAGAATTTAAAATGTAATGTTTAAATGTTTAAAGTCTCATAACACATTTGTAGACAAAACTTACCTGTTTGAGATGACTTGACAACATGACCCTCTGGTGCTTGGTCCAATGCAACAAACCCACTCTTAGGTTTATGCTTGAACTCCTCATCTCCAAAGTTAAACTTTAGCTCTGCATTCTAAGAGAACTGGGTGTTATAACAATAATTCATATAAGACAAGATGCAATGTACAATTCAATCACCTTCAGAACACAGGAGGCAAAAAAAGCTTGGTTTTTTAGGTTTTGTGGAATATCAAATGCAACACCAAGATCATTGCCTGTATGAGTAGACAAAGAATAGTACACAGTTGAAAAAAAAGTCATCGTCCATGTGATGGTTTGGGAATGTTACTGCACCATTTTTGGAATAAGAAATTTGGCTATTCTCCAGATCCAAATAGCATCCAATGACATCATGCATGGTGAATTCCTGTACAAAAAAAAAAACATGAAAAAAAAAAAACATTTGCATTTAATTATCCATCCATTTTCTTCCTATGACATTTTTATATACCTCTCCATAGCTGTCAAACTGCTTATTATTAGATTTTTTTCCAGTTCCTCCAAATCCAAAACCATACTTGTCAGTTCCTTGGATTGAAGCGCATAGATGTCAATGAAGATATACACAATATGTGTATGCATTATACGTGGAAGCAAACATTTATGATAAAGTACACACCTAAGTCCAGAACAGCTTGAATAGTAGAAAAACCCACACGACACAGCCCTTGATCCTGACAAGTCATCTCATAGTAATACTTTCCTAGAGATGTGATGAAAGACACATTAGACATTCTCAGAAATTATAAAATTGATTTTTCTCAAATCAGTCCAGACCTTTGGTTACACCCCTGGTAGAGCGGCAGCCATGCCATTCTTTGAACTCCCTGCTCTGGCAGCAAAAACCATCTGGCCCGATAGCTGTAGAAAAGAATAATGCATATACATAAATAGATACAAGAAATGGGAAACCAGTAAAATAATTATATAAACGTACCAAAAGCAGAACTACGGTCATAGGGATTCATCTGCCATTTGTTGAAGACTGAAAAAGGACATGATATATATATGTATATCTTATATAAAATAAAAAACAGCAAAAAATGTGTCATAAAATAACCATTTTAATTAAAAGCATGTATGCAAACATGTTCGACATTCTTACCGGTTCCTCCAGTCTTTACCGAGGCGCGCCCCTTCTTTCCCTCTTGTTGATCCTTGAGGGTTTCATACACAATCTGGATTACGGGGATACTAAATGCCTGGAAAACAGGCATTTTAAGAATACTTAGTAACATATATGTAACTGAAATTAATACTTTATGAATGCATATGGTACATTCAAACACCTACCCCTGTTTTGCCACTACCAGTTTCGGCTGCCTAAAATAAAAAAATAAAATAAAAAAAAATAATACAATAAAAAAGAATCACACATGATCAAAGTCAGGTTGGACGTCTTTACGAAAGTCAAACACATATTTCCTACCAACCTACCATCAGTACATCGCCTCCACCAAGAATAAGTGGGATAGATTCTGCTTGAATGTCAGTAGGCAGTCTAGGAGATACGGAAATGACAGTAGGATGATCAAAAAATGTCAGGACGTTTTGAAAATCTAGTCTATTTAAAACTCCTAGCACAATCACTTACAGCCAGTCCATCTCCTCCACTGCCTGCGCAATTTCAGGCATAACTCCCATCTCTGGAAAAAGGTAGACTCGATTAAACGATTGTAACAATAGTCCGCCTTTCCAAGTTCAGTCTGCTACTGAAGTGACACTCAAATAAAAGGATTCCATAGCTAAAATATGTAATTCTTACCTGAAAACGCTGCCATGATTACTGACACAAGTGCAATTCAGCCGGAAGTAACGTGAGCGGGTTGGTGTTGCAGATTGGAAATACCGGACTGATGCACAAACTATACAAAATAGTTCCTAGAGATTAAAAGTATAAATATAATCTAAAAATGTCATGTATAATTGATTTGTAAGGTGCTGTGGCATTGCTCTGCTCCTAATTACAAAAACACTTTAAGCTATAAAGGGCTATATCGTGTTTCAAATATTTTTTTCCCAGAAGCACATTTGTTTACCTATTATATTTGTCCTATGCCCCCTGCCGTAGACATTTGACAGCTGGCACAAGTATGGCTGAAAATAGTTTGATTGAAAACGATGAAGAAAACATTTTATATGATTTACTGGTTACTACGGAATGGCCACCAGAAACGGACACCCAGGTCAGTTCTGCAGTTGTTTCAGCTAACATCTATGTGCAGTATACAATCTACTATTGATCAATGCTTGGAGAAAATGGCACTGAAAGTTAACTAGTTGCACGGGGTCAAGTGCTTAAAGCCACGTAGCGCACCACTACACAGATAACATATAACAATGATTATGTATTTATAGTATATTTGATCACAAACACAAATAGCTATTTCTTCTTGAGTCGCAAATATTAAGTATGTAGCATTAGCAATGTCTTGGGTTGGAAGTTTAGCTGTAGAGTTTGTAGATATTACTACTCAAGTTGTGCTCACATGTCTGTTTGCCATTACAGCAACGAGGGAACAGGGAATACAGCAGCTCGATCATTGCAAAAGCAGTGACCGGTAAGTTCAGATCTTTTTCACGTGTCACGACCAATAGACTCCAAAAGAGGGCAGCACCATATCAATAATGTATCCTGCTTGGTTTGTCTATGGTTGTAATGAAACACTATGTTGTATTTAGTAAATTTCTCAAATATATAATTCTGTGATGGAAACATTCAATTGTTTTTTACAGGTCCATTCCGTTTGATTCTACATTACTTGTTATACAGGTATCTATGATGTTATTTTAAAACCAAACCAAACTATGTATGTGATTCCTCAGATTTAATTTAACATATTATATATTTGACAAAGATGTTTCATGCCAGAGGACAGAATAGTATAGTGTGTAAATCTAAACGTATACTTTCTTATTCACGCTTTTATCACGTTAGTTAATACATTTGTAAATCTCTCTGGTAAGTAAAGTCAAAGTTAATGTCATGACATATTCTTTACTCTGTAAATTGATAAATTGATTGTGATTGTTCTGTTGTTCAGTATGAGCAGATGTAGCTCTTGTGTGCCTTTATATCCCTGTTCTGAACTATATTCAATATGTAAATTTCGATTGTAATTAGCTTTGGGGTGCGGTGCTAATAAGCTTTTGCTTCAGCCCACTCCTTTTATGCAGTATTAATACTGTTCAAATAAATAAATAAATAAATAATAAAAAATGACTATGCTAACTACATGTAACTTTTTTGTGAAATGTAGCCCGACAAGCTCCTTTCTCCCTCCTGGACTTGTTCGGTTGTCCAATAAGCAGATTAATTGGCTGCTGGTTTTATCAAGGTAAGAAAGGTCCTTAAGATAATGATAAACATTAATTTAATCAACAACATACATTTGGTTTCAATGTTCATTCCCATTTACACTGCACAAGCTTCAATTATCCCTATTACTATGTTTGTCCATGTCACAATTTTTCAGTATGTTCTATTTCTCTACAGTAATGGCAAGCTGTTGGCTGTGGTGCAGGACCAGTGTGTGGAGATAAGGTAATTGATGAACTCTAACCTTGTTATTCTGCATTAATGTCCAAAATAGCTTCTGTTTTTGTGTGTAATGGACTGCCAGAATAGGCGACAGTACCTCAGTTGGTAGAGCATTGGCCTTTAGGGCTGAAGGTCGTGGGTTCGATCCCACCTCAACACCTTCTCCACCGACTCCCACTGATGTCTGCTGTTGTTGTGTCCATGGGAAAGACACTTTTCCCCACTTTGCCTGAAGATAAGATAAGATATACTTTATTAATCTCACACAGGAGAAGCCCCTGCTGAAAGATCAAGGCTATGCTCACACTTACAGAGCTGCCGTCCTCCTGTGGACTCACCACCTGCAGGAGGATCAGTGAGGGACTGGTGCTATGAGACCACCCCAGAAATGAATTAAGGGGTAGAAAATGGATGGATGGATGGATGGATGGACTGCCAGAATATGATCCATTTCTCACACAAAGGAAATTCGTTACTGTATATACTGAGGGGCAACAGTGGCTCAGGTGGTAGAGCGAATGTCTACTCTCGTTGTTCCCCTGGGTAAGACTCGTAACCCCACTTTGCCTGAAGTCCCCGTTGAAAAACCAAGGCTGCATCTTTGATGGCAGAGAAGCCATCTTCCCCTAGACCAGGCATGTCAAAGTCAAATACATCAGAGGGCCAAAAAAAAATGTTTGCAACGCGCCGAGGGCCGGACTGGTTCAATGTTTCTCAACATCCAGAGGCAGTGCCGGTGACACCTGCTGGCTCGATAAAATATGCTCTAAAGCCAATCCTCATACTGTACATATTAGATGTAATAGACATCTGAGAACATGACAATAGTAAAAAAAAAAAAAAGCTCAAACTTGGTGACATGTAAAAGAGCAGTCTGGACCTCTTTTCGGGGCGTTTTTTGAATAAATCTGAAGAATGGATTATACTTTGGGAAATACAAGTGGATATTCTTCTTCAATGAACAGTTACGGAGAGAAAGAGACTAAGCAAGGATGGGGAAAGTCTAATTTGTTGGAGAAGCAGAAGACGAAAGGTAAAAAACAGACTGATTTATTTTGTGCCCATATTATGAGTTATATCTTTTTAATGCAAAGTCTGATATCGTTTACACTTACATATAAATATAGCTGAGAAAATAAGCTTTAAAATGATATATAGCTTGTGGCTTATGAAGTTCAAAATACATCTGCTACTACCAGCAGATGTATTTTTTTCCTCGTTTGCTCCCGCCGGCGGGGGCTAGCGAGCTTAAGGGGTCAATACATTGCCTCAATGGCAGGCAATGTCCCGGGGGCCATAGATAATTCATTCGCGGGCCGGATTTGGCCCGCGGGCCTTGACTTTGACACATGTGCCCTAGACCACCACCTGCAGGATTAGCAAGGGGCTGGTGCTAGGACTGGGTGGCAGCTCTGATTGCCACCCTCCCTGACCCAGAAATTGGTTAATACAAACGACAATCATTGCTCTTTATGTCCAATTTAAATGCCATGTAAGTAATACAAGTAATTTCACCCAAAGCGTTATGTAGAGCAAAATGAAATGACAAAAGCATGATATGCAATATAACCTGGCTCTCCATAGGTTAATATACATTTGGCCATGTTTCCTTCATTCATACTGTAAATAAAATGCTTGTATTAAAATAAACAACAACACGCATGCTGTGAAAAAGAGCAGTATTAGCTTTCTACATGCTGAGTAGCATTGTGGTTCCCTTTTGGCTTGTGTTTATTTTGATGGAAATTGTTCTTTTTTGCTGGAGTGTTGTTTAACAGTGGAGAGCTTTAGAGGCTTCCTTGATAGCATTAGTTGAAGAGAGTGGGTGTTCAGACAGCTCAAGGCCTTTTCCTCAGAGATCTGTTAAGTGTCTGTCTAAGCACAGCCTACTACCAAGGCTGCCTGATGCATAGGGCCACTTTGGCTCTGTCAGTGGCTGTAACTGCCCGCTCTGTAGTGACTCCAATAAGGCTGTGGTTGTTCACCATCACTCACTGCGTGTCCTCCACAGGTCTGTGAGGGACGACTTTGGCTCAGTCATTGGCAAGTGCCAGGGTAAGTAACCTCTCCCCTCTTATCTGTCACCACACTTTTGCACTCTTTTAGCCACTTTTGTGGAGGGAAATTACATTCTTCCAGCTGGATATGGTGATGAGCTCTGAGTACAGCTGCTACTCATCCAAATTGAAAGGCAGTGGTATTGTAGGCCTCCTTACCCTCTATGGGGACGTCCAACAATTACGATCCCCAAACAGCCCTCTATGCACCTGTTGATTTTCCTTTTTCTGTTGTGGTCAAGTTTCTTATAATGAACATGGTCACTGCTGCTTATTTAACAAAACAGCATAGCATTCCTTTCACTTGCATTGGCTCAAATTCAATTTACATTGAAAAATAAAAGCTATTCTGTAACCAATTATGTCATACTCACCATACTGGGCTTAAAAAAAACTTGTGATCATACATTCTGTGTAACTAATTATGATGTTTATATTTTGATGGTTCTTGTCAGGTGTTAGTCATGTCTGGATTTACAATCTGTCTCTGAATTTGACTTTAGCAAATGGCACGCGGGGAAACTGACTAAAAGCTTTGTTGTATGCGTTACTGTAGCTCTAATCAGCTTTTTCCGTGATGAGGCAAATGCTATGGTTGATGTTACTCTGCTCTAGTCCACTCCTTCCACAGTATACTGGGGTCGATTCCTGGGGCAGATCCCTGTGTAGGGTTTGCACATTCTTCCCATGCCGGCATAGGTTTTGTCCTTTTGTCCTAAAAACCTAGATAGTTCAGGGTGAATAAGTGTGTGTTTGTGAGGGGGACTTTAGGACTGTGGGACAACGGATGGAATTAAACCCAAGGCTACAATCCAGAGGTGTTTTCATTTTTATGTCCCATCCCAGCATAATAAGCCGCTTTTGGGTTCCCAGTTACCTTGCTGCCATCAAGCTGGTTTTATCTTCACTTTTCAGCTTTGTGTGTGTGTGTACATTGGCCATATAGGTTCAGATTGTAATTGTTATAGCTTTTTACACAGAGAAAATGAATAGGTTTCTTTTAATCTTTTTAAAATAACATTTATGTCAGATTTAGCTTCTACTATCTTCCATCTCCTGTCCCCAGATGATTACACAATATTATAACAAATATATGTTCACTTCACACACACGCTCGGCAATAACTTATTTTCATTATGTTCAGTAAAATCACCTTTTAGTAAGTGACAAATCAACACAATCACTGACTGCCATCTTTACTAATACAGAGAAACCTGAATTTCAACACAATTACTATAAGTTTTGTACCGTACCCTACCTCTCATCTGAACAGTATTTCTTCTGTAGCTGTCATTGTGGGCATTTGTTTCTTATAACTCATAGTGTCAATAACAGGTGACTAGAAGGCTGAATTTCTTTTCATTTTATTTTTTCCATTTCACTTTTACTTAATTTCACAGAGATTTGTCCAAATGGCTTTCCCTGTGATTCTTCTGTTAATGGCTCTTGCCTTAGTGTGAGATGGATATGAACATTGTACGTTTTTACCCGTATGTGTGGAAGTGTTTTTCTGTCTCTGCACCCTTCTTTTTCCTTCTATGGCTGATGCTTTCTCCGCTGTACATAATTCATAAGCGTTGAACTCTGATAAATGCATCCCTGAGCCTTTTAGATGGCAGGTTCTCGTCCAGTTCTCGGCTATAATTCAACCAAACATGTACCTCCTTTAGTACCAGGGTTGAAACAAACACAAGAGACCAATTTTAGAGCTCCTCTCGAAAGCTATCTATGTGGAAATGGAGCCCTCTCAGCCGCAAAGCAACAAACAGGATGCTATGCATTCTGGGAAGTTGAGAGGACACATTGAAAAAAATAAGAGATTCACTGTAGAAAGCTGCAAAAATGCATTAACATTAATGGAGGCATAACATTTCAAACACAAAGTTGGGACAGGTTTTTCGCATATATTTTATGTTGAAAAGTAAGGCATCAAAGAGAACCTTCATTTTGGATAAGTGTGGGGTAAAGCAGCAACAATGCCATTCTTCAAGTTTTATCTTAATGCATAAACTATAATACACCAATAGCTGGATAATCAATCAAACACATTTTGTCATAAAAAACTTACAGGACACTAATCAAAGGATAATTCCCTCAACAAAACAAACGGTAACTTAAAGATAGTGACTTACGTTTATCCACAGTGTTTGATGGTTCTCTCGTTTGCACTGTCCAAACGTGCTATGGACAGTTCCAAATAGAAAATGGCAATGAAACCCACTATCATCAAAACAGCCAGTTGTGGGGCTCACATAGAAAACACTATGTTGCGCCGAACCATTATTTAATCAAACCTCAGAGCACAGACGTATATTCAAGAGTATTATAAGCGGCATTAAAAAACGTAACCAATGTATTTATACAGTATATAACGTCAATTTAGTTTTTCAGTTTAAATGAAGGAAGAAACTAAAACATAAACTGACCAATACAACAATACTATTTTTCTTCAATATTCCCAGAAATACATTTTATTTGTTCAATGTAATGGTGATCTTATTGTTTTATTTATTGTAAAGAAAGGCTATTCACATGCTGCAATAAAAATCAAAAAGCATGCGTTTCAATGATTTTCCTCAGCTCATGGTCTCAAACGTGCAGTGAATCTCCCGCTTCTTGAGGTGCACTCAAATACTTGCCTTCTTTTAACATTCGGTGAGCTATATTACTCCTCTCAGTGGGTGCCTGAGTTCATCGTTCCAGCCTCCTCTCTTTCCCCCTGTTTCTCCTTTCTTTGTCTGACTTGCCTCCCACATCATCGCTTTGTTCTTCATTTAAAATTCCAGTCATACAATATCCAACGCCTCCGTTTCGTGCGCCGTATTGCCCACTAGGGGTTGCGGCAATGTTTGGCAGCCAAGAAATCCAATCCAATAAACGCCAATAGACGCTGTTATGTGATATCAACAAAAACATAACTTGCTTTTCATAACTTTACTGCTTGGTAGACGCAGCGCCAGTGGTGGGGTATTATGTTTCCTGCTGTGTGAATGCAGAAGTGACTTAAATATTTAGTTTGGTTTGTTCTTTGTTCCAACACTTAGTGGGTTTGTTGTACATGTTTTAAAGGGCTACATCATTCATAATGTTGTGATTTATGAAAAGGGGAAACGGTAGGAAAGCGGATTCTTGTGCGTGAGAGAAGTGTTGTGAGTGGATCCTTGAGAAAGTGGCAGCAGGCCGCAGTGTGCTTCATCACTAAGATATGGTTACAGTCGTCGCACTGCTGAGCCAGCACTGGGCTAAAACAGTAGCCTGTACTTCAATAAAAGCTGGATTTATGATCGCTGTGCTCCTTTTGCTCTGGCCTCGTTCACTCGCTCCTCGTTTTGTCTCCTTCACAGTCCATGCGTTTGTGCTCATCTTTGAAAAACAATCATTGAGAGGCATTATAGCAGCTTTACTCTGCAGATTAAATGGATGAGGTCCTTTTTAGAAATTCTTTGTGGATTTGTGTTGTTAGATCTTTTCTTTTCCCATCACAATTTTCTCATCTGGAGTGAAAGTGCTATGTACCAGCAAAAATACCATATCATAGGAATATTGTATACAGGTATATTAATAAATAAGTCACACATGATTAGTTGCATGTCGTTTGTCATAATTAGACCTGTTCATATTTACATTAGTTATAAATTATATTAGTTGACCAAATCAAATTCGCCAACCATTTCTATGTGATGATATGGGATGATATGATAAAAATGGCTTTAGATCTAAATATATACTCAGATTAAAATATAGACTCTTGATTGACATGATTATCAAAAATGATATATTAATTTATATATATTTAATTTAATTGCTAAATGTTTCAGTGATTGTTTTTTCAGTAGACACACATTTTGTGAAATACAGTTTGGGTCAGATATGTGATACTTTTAGAGAATTTGCCACGCACTCTAGTGTCAACCTATCAATCAACTGGGCAATGTCTTTACTGTAGCCAATACGAACGCTGCACTTCCCATTTCAAAGGAGTTGTTGCCTAACCCCAGACTGGCTTGTGTGTTTAAAATGCAGGGTTTTACTTGTTTTTCTTGTTTAAACAGTGCCCAAGGACCCGAGCCCCCAGTGGCGCCGCGTGGCCTGGAGCTATGACTGTACCCTGCTGGCCTACGCCGACAGCACGGGAACAGTGCGACTCTTCGACCTTATGGGCAGCGAGCTGTTCGTCATTCCTCCGGTAACTTCTCTCCTGCTCTCTAAATCTGCATGACAATTGTAAACACAGCACATCCTTTTTCCTAGTTGTCCAAGTGTCTGACGTCTATTGTGCTTAATTTGTCTAATACAATATAAACACAAATCCCGTTGTGCCTGCAGTATCACATCTCACATCGTGTTTTAATAAGTAGGCACGTCTTCAGCGTTGAAAATCAAACTTCTTGTTATTTCATCTTTGCTTTTTAAATTACTGGAAATAATTACAGACTATTCAATGTCTTCCTCGTGTTTCTCCAAGTACCGTTCAGACATTTGTAAGTGAAGACACAGCAGTCAAATTAATTGAATCTAAATAGCAGTTTTATTACGTGTCATTTCTGAAAATTGGTCCATGCCAGAGATGTGTACTTGGCAAGCCTGACCAGCGGAGAAAAACTCATTTATGCACTATATAGATTATGCATTTCATACTTCATACTCTGGATTATTCACTCCATTTCCCAACAATAGGAAACGTATAGGATGGGTAACAAAACTACTCCAAGAAAGAGATGAATTAAATGGAATTATTAAGCGGTTATATGAACAATAGCTGGATGTTTACCCATAAGACGCTCCTAAATCCAGGACACACTCTACACAATGATCTAGCTAACATTTTACTTTTATGGTTTTCTATTATTCATTTATGTGATTTTGATTTTAGTTGTCCTCAATCTCATATAAAGTATTAGGGCTCCACCTTTTCTCTGTTTCAAATTTCTGAAAAAACTCTGGCGTTTAAGAGATTAATTGAAGATTTACAAATGTATGTATTATGTGTTAAATTACGTTTACAATATGCAATTTCCTTGTTTTTTATTACTTCAATATGAAGTTCTATACGCTCTAAGTAAAGTTTTACACAGATATCTGAAATTCATCTTGAAAACATAAGACAGGCTTTTACTGACAATGTTCAAATCTAGGTGAAAAAAATCTGGATTACAATATTCACTCTTTATACTGTGAAATTAGAATTAATGATTTTTAATGCCGTGTATGATTTTGCTTCTTTTGTTACGCACTTTGTGCATGAACTGTGCTATAGAAATAAATGTTTCTTCCCCGTACATAATAGTACAGCGTCCCAGTGTCAGAAATGTACTGTACATTCCTTTAATACTGAAATACAATTTAAGTTGATGACATCCCTTTTAATGTATTTTAAACATGCTAGGAATTAATCTAAATACTATATTATGTGAGCAGTGCAGAGTTGGGGAAAAGGAGCCCTATATTCGAAAGGCAGTTGTAACTGGGCTCCAAATACCTCCCAAATTTCTCTTTCTCACGGAAAGTTAAAATCGAACTTGTAGACTCTGAAGATGACTGACACCGCCGCTGCTCCCGTACACCTTTGAATACGCGCTGTCAAAAACTATCCAGGCCCTTTGTCGCTTCTTATCACTCGTCTTTTGCACGTGTCATCCATTTTCTCTTTTCACAGCCATCAACCTCTGTTTAATTTTTCATTTTCTGCTCTCATCCTCTGCAGCCCTTTTCTCCTCAATCTGCCACTTTGGGTCAAGTCCCCCCTCCTCCCCCCACTGCTCTGTTTGAACCCATTATGATCATATTCCTGTGGTGTCCATCATGTCTTCCATCTCCCCTTTATCCGGCCTGTCATCCTCACGCCCCTGCCGCGCTTCTTCTTGTCTTTGCACCAGCTCTGATCTGTGTTTCTTCTTCAGAGCTTCGTGTCACTTTGCACAGCGTCTCGAGCCGCACATGCACTCCTCCTCTGCTGTACTCATTTTCTTGTTTGTCCCCGTTAAGTGCATCACTCTACAGACTTGCAGCTGGTGTTGGTAGTGAAAAAAAAAATCCAAACCAGACAGAAAAGTTTAAAATAAAGCTACTTAAAGCCATCCCTGTCACGTCTTGTCTTTCGTAGGTTTTTTAAAAATCTTTTATCCCTTCTCTTCATTAGCCTTGTTCTCACGTGTCTACTCTTGTACAAATTAAAAATCGATGCATTTTCATAACTCCTTTTCTCTTAGCTGCCTCCATTACATCTGTATTTCTCTTCACGTTCAGGAAGCGAGTTTTCCCGGCGATTTGAGCTGTGCTGTGGCAGACCTGATTTTCCCGGAGTACACCGGAAGTGCACAGTGGTCTGCTGAACTGCTGGTGATTACATACGGAGGGGGACTAAAGAGCTACTTAGTCAGGTACAATTTATCAAGCAACTACCAATATAGGGAAATTGTTTGATGAAATATGTAGAGTATCTAAAATTAACATCATACTTTTTGTGTTCTCTTGTTTCTTTATTCTCTAAAAATCTTTTTGCTACTTTCTGTTTTTTACAGACCTAGTAATTTCTGATTATCTAATCTGATGCTATATTATGTAAAATCTGCTTTTCTAGTTTATTAAAATGATAGTGATTCATAGAATAAGACTACATTTATATTACATTACTGTAAAGTCTCACTTAAATACACTCAAGACATTGCCTTTTATCTGCCAATACACTACACTTTTGAAAACACTAATAACAAATAAGCTCTTATGAGAGGCTAATATAATATCATTTTATATAATCAATACAGGAATATATTCTTCAATATATTTCCAAAACAATGTTTTCAAAGGCCCCTACTCAAGTCCAGTTTCAATATCTTATACATATTACTGTCACATGCAAATATTATTCTGTATGTACTGTATACTAATACCACAACTGCTACTTGATGATACTTTTCTTTTACAGTGACTAAGTTACAGAACACTCAGTATGTTGCATTACACATTTTTGTCATATGAAGGGTAAATACATTTGATTAAGTGCACAGAGTGCTTTAATAAACACATGCAGACAGGTGGCATGTCAGTTACTCATGGGACTGACATTTCCTATTTGAATCTGACTTTTTTTGTTTCGAACTGCACTATATCTCACACAATACATCCTGTGTGATTCTCGCTGTCGCGGAAAGCTTCCTTTCTTCTCGACACCTCTATAAAATGTGACTGTATGTGTGAGCAACATGGTTTGTTGTTAAAGTCAAAGGAGAAATGTCATAACAAACAAAAATGTGTTTTGCTTCTGTCTCCTAATGCGTACCTAACTCACATTCATATACAGTACATTTTTACAAAGCATATTATTTTCATTTATATTTTTTCTTCCTTGTCAGATGTAATTTTGTCTTGTCTATATTTTCAGTATGGAGACAGGCAGGTAGCAGACCTTCCACTCAAACATTACTTTGTGCAGTGAACTTTGAAGTCATTATGCTGTCACCTGTGATATGTGTGTTTGTTGAAATGGTTGAAACAGACTCCTCTTCACAAGATACAATAGCAAACCATGTAGTCTGCCTTGTAATACCAATTTAATTTAGGTAGTTCACCTGATTAAAATGCGTTAATCATTGACAAAAACTATTATGTGGCATTGTTAACTTGAGCACATGAGTAATGATGTGTTCATTATTTTGATGCCCCCTGTGTCATCTGAATGTTTTTACCTCATTTTTCAGCATTGGAACAAATCAGAACTTTCAAGAGAACCACAGCTTCAGTTTCTCTGGCCATTACTCCCACGGGATCACCTCAGCCATCTATCATCCGGCACATCGGTGAGTTTATTTGCAGTGTATAGAATCTGTTTTATTTACTATCTTGTCATTTTGTTTTGAATTATGTTTGGCTTCATCCACAAAAGAATTGGTTCCTGAACAAACAACAAATACTAAAATATTATTCTTCCCTGTACATGTCTCTTTCACACCCACTGGCGGGGCCCATTTAAATGACTGGAATCTATGGGAGTCAAAACCCAATGAAGTCTTGCAACTCGGTGTGCTACCATGACATTTAAAAATACCCAGTCAACAATAACCAACCTTCTCCAGCTCTGTTTTAATTAGTACAGTTGTGTTTCCAAACGCAACTGGACTAATTTTTATCAGAAATAAAAATACTAAAAAATATCGAAACCCATGTTCATTAAAAGTAATACTTTGTGTAAAAAGTAAATGAGGAAAAAAAACAACCTTTTGATTGGACATGCCATGATGTATTGTTGACAATTATATGATATTTATAATCACATTTTCATCATATTGCGATATTATTTATTGATCCTTTTTTTAATTAGGAATCTCCCACTGAGATTTCAGAATTTCTTCTGAACTAACACATGTAATAGGAATGAATGTAATGAGAGGATGAATGGGTTGTGCTGGGGCTTTAATGTGCCAGTGCCGGTGTCTCGCTTCTGTCATCACTGTGTGTGGAAAGAACGGAGAAGTTGTCGCTCTTTATTGTTTAACTAAAAAGGCCAGCCACAGAGACATTAAACCAGTAGAAAGAAATTAAAATAAATGAAGTGACTTTGATTACAATAACATCGTTTACACCCGTAAACAATGAAAACATCAATATGTGCTGTCTCTCTGACATTGACCGTGCACCCACTCACCATCACTGCTGGTGGTTGGATCTGAGCTTTATCTGGACTCTTTTATTTGATGCATATGCACAGTGGACACTGATGAAGAGAGTTGCAAACAGAGAAATATAAAAGCCTCAATGTATTATCTCTGCTGTACCAAGTGCGCCTCTAACCTCATCCTCGTTGATATTATTCTCTTGATTGTTGACCTTTATCATCAGTAGTTAAAGTTTTGAACTTTCATTATTTTGCAAGCGGAGGCAGTGGATTTTTCAGTTCATTTTTTTTGTAAAGCCCTTAATTACAACAGCAGTCGTCTCAGAGGACTTTACAAAGTAGTGGATTCTTCACCAACAGATCAGAGAATCAAATGGTTTGGACACAGGACATGCAATAATAACAAACACAAAGGACATACACAAGTGCTTGGAACCAGAGGCATTTTAGGTGAAAATTAGTTCTACATATCAAATTAAAGGTATTGATGAGCTCTATCTAGTTTTGCCAAAAAAACGTATCAGAAATCTCCCAGTATTGAATAAACCAACAAAACAACAAAGACTTAACACAAACGTTTTTAGCATTGTTTGGATCCAGAGTGGCGTATATCCACTTATGCCCCTCTGGCTCGGAACAGTACAAGAGCCTAGAGTATTTTTCAGAGCCAGAAGGGCATAAGTGTTTGGTGCCCCTGAACCGCACTAGCTAAAATGACTAACATGCATGCTGCACACATGGAACTGTCTGAGGCAGACAGACACATTTTGGTGAATATTATGAAGCAAACAGATGAATGTTGTGAAGAAGTGAAAGATAAGATTCACTCTGACAGTGGGCGGTGAGTGAACAGATAAGTGTATTAAAAAGTGAAATGTGTAATAAACTTAAACAGTTTGAAACGATTAAATTAAATGACTGTAAACATGTATTTTTAATCAAATGGAAAGTAATGAAGTTAGTGTTATTTACAAATCTTTTGACCAATCATTTCTGCACTGATCAGCAGATACGCCCTATTTTTCTTGTGTTTGTTGCCAAAAAGGCGCATTTAATGTTTTTGCCATATGTTCAATATTTAGCAAATTTTAAGAATATGTGTGCATGTGCCATAATATGTTCACTTAATTACTTACTCATATAAGTATGTTTGTGGTTGCAATGTTGTGGTTGAAGGTTTATAAATATAGTTGATTGAAGTGTGGTCAAAATGTTGTTTTGGCTTTCCTGTAAAGTTTGTCAAATGCCACTTACGCCCCTTCTGGTTCCTAGCCCTTATATTGTGATAGTGAGACTTAAAAATGCCCCTTATGGAAAGAGCTAAAGATTAATAAGATGTTCCTTGATTGAGCCTGGCTAATGGGCACAAATAAATCACTTTAATGCAAATGTGCCGGATTTCCCGATCACAGCCCGGGGTGTCCTTGACCCTCATGTGTAATTTCCTAAGGGGTTGATCAATTATGTCTAAACTTGCACCTGGGACCCTGGTGTTTCAGGATTCTTCCACGGATACGCTAAACAAAGCTGGTTCTGGCTCGTGGTGGTGCTCTGGGTTGGCAGTGCAATGGCTTTTGACAGCTGCTGTCAAGTGTTTGCCAAACTGATGGATGAGATAAAACTTTAATGATCCCTAAGTGAAAGTGGGTCAGCCATAGAGAGACTTGGAGTAATGTAGAGAAATCCAGGACTTAAGTTTGAACGCCAAAATATTTCACATTAAGGCCTGTTGTTGAAGTAGTGTCTCCTGTCTCCAACACACAGATAGGATAGACTAGACAGCAGTGTTGCCAGATGTGCTGTTAGATACTGTGTTATTTTTATTGCAAACAATGTCTTTATAAAATGATATAATAACATTTATTAACATTTCCTTCCTCATGGGCTTCATTTTTAACTGAACACAATTTAAACTAATTATAAACTAACTATGCTGATGAGCCTTTTTATTGTCCCTGATTTAAACTTTCTGGGAATTTGGCCAATCTACCAATATTGGATTGTTAATTGAAATGGCAACTCTGTTAATTAGTAAGTTTGAAATCTTTATCTATATAGATAGTCACAAAGCGCTCCTCTGACACCCTTAGTCCATCCATCAGTTACGATAAACCCAGTGAAAGACTCCAGCCACCTCCATTCTGTGCTTTTCGGTGAAATATTTGAGAATCAATAATTCCAATATTTATTCCATGTTAAGTAATAAGTAAACAAATGGAACCACAAAAAAAGATTCTTAAGCCATTCTGCGCATATTATATGTTTTAAGAATTACCTAAAACTATCTTTTTAGTTAACCCACCAACTGTCAGCCTCCGAGTTTCACATTTACCTCATATTTACTTCTTTTTGGATTGGATTTTAGGAAGAATAAAATTATTTCAAAATCAACGTTTAATATTTTTACTGGAGTCTGACTTTGCATTTTTCTCAGTATAATTCTGTTCAGCAGGGGCCAGTGTTGAGCTAGAACGGCCTGCCTCGGCCAAACCTCAGAGCTGCAGACCAAAGTTGCATTTTGGGTCTGTTTCACTGCAAAAACAGACCTCCGGGCCTCTGCGGCCACATCATGCTATGGTCTGCGTCTTAACTGAGCTTTTCCATTAATTCCAGGCCTATACTCTTCCAAATGATAAGTCACATTGTAATCCACTTTTGCTCTGAATAGTGCCTTTGCAACATGAATGCTCTCTATTAGCCTTGTGTGAACCCAAACTCTGAGATGACCCCACAATCACTTTCTTCCTTTGCTAATTTACTTATGCAAATCCCACCAAACGATAATGATTTTGTGTGTTTGAGGTTGCTGCTGGTCGGGGGCTGTGAGGCCGGAGATGAGAGCTCATCCAAAGCCTCGTGTTATGGCATCACGGCCTGGAGGGCCCTGTCTGGATCCCCACACTACAAACAAGTCACCAGCTATGAGGATGATGTCACCACTGTAAGAAAAGTCCATCTTGTATCATGCAAAAAAGAGAGAAATTCCGGCCAAATTACGACTTCATTTGGTCTTTTCTATTAGGAGCATGAAACATAATTATTTGCATTTTATATATAATGCAAATAATTATGTTTCGTGCTATATATATATATATATGTATATATATATATATATATATATATATAAATTAATTATAATTTATTTGCAGTTATTTTACTGTGATCCCAAATACAAACATCTTACACGGTCATTGACACTTACATAAATAAAGTAAAAGTGTATATTGGGGCACTCATTGTAATAAAAAGCGTGGCTACAGATACGGATAAGAATGTAATGGGGATCATCATCGTCATGTTCTGGGCAGTGTTTTATTTTTATTTTTATCCAAGATGTTTCAAATTCCACTCAAAAGTCTTTCTCAGTTGTGTTGTAACCCTTGGTTGTGTACTTTTTTCACAAGATTAAAAAGCATTTTCTTTTTTCATGATACATTGTTGTTTTCTACTTTTTTGACAGAATCCAAAGCGAGGATATTTCCGGATGCCAAGCTTCAGACTGTTTGCAAGACAAGGGGATGAAATGGTGCTTCTTTCTCTTCTCATCTTTGCTGCTTTTGAAGGACATCAGCACTTTTCTATATACCTGGTCTATTTTTGCCTATAGGACGGTGTTTTCCGCATGAGCCTGAGCCCCGATGGTACCCTGCTGGCGGTCATCCACTTCTCCGGTCGCCTCTCTCTCTGGGACGTCCCCTCGCTCCGACAGAGGGCCACATGGAGCCAGGACCAACAGGTTGAATACACCTCCTAGCTATTTGTCTTTTATGCTTGGCTTATTCCACTTTTGCAGATAGAAACTGGGTGCAATGCAGTTGTTCATCCTGCATCCCTACATTAGATGCTTGACTGACTGCATTAATGTGGTTTAGCTTTGGTGCAGACAATAAAATATGGCTTTAGAGGGACTTGCATTTGTTCATGCAGCATAGTGGCTCTGTGTAGTACTACGACACTGCTCTGAATGTTGAATGAACTTGGTGAGCAAGATGTCAAAAGTTTCACAAATGAGGTACTAATTTAGAAGAATTCCTATCTTCTGTATATCAGAACGAGTATAAAATCTTGTGGTGCACAAAGAACCAGTTGCAATATTTTGTGCTGTTGTCTTGAGTTATAAATCATGGCTTATTTTAACCCACAGCAAGTAGCTTTCAGGAGGTTTTTGTGGTTTGAATGTTAGGGACCTCAGCTGGTGTGGTATTTCCTTCTTTATTGAAAAGTTTGTAAATATATTACATACTGTGAATAAAAAAAAAAAAAAGAATTCCCATGATATCAAAATTAGTGTGGAATATCATGTCTATTCACGTTTGTTATCGAGTGTTGAATTCTAGTAGTGACAACACCAAACAATTTCTTATTTTTCCCCCAATTCCCTCTTTTTTTCCAATCCCTTTATCCTCCCATCCTTGCATCATCCCTGCAGCCAGGATTTGAGGAGATCAACCCAGAGTGGAAGACGTCACTGGAGAGAAGGAAGAAAATAAAAGGTAGGTTTTGCCCAGAGGGATGGACCATGTCGACTTTGTTGCTGACGCGGCACTGCAATACAATACAACCATCTCTGACATGTCTGGCACTCTGAATTAAACAGACTTTCGGATGTACACGCCTCAAACATTTTTTCCTCCCTCTTCAGTGTCCGCACTCCCTTTTAAGTCTCTATGCCGGTGCTTCTCCGCAGTCGTGCTATCCATTTTATGACAGTTTTGGGCCACTTCCAATGACAGCTGTGACAAGTCCCGTATTAAATAACCAGTTGTGAGTGTTATCTTGAGCAAGACATGTGATACATTTGTCCTTGCGTGTAAGCATGTGCTGATGGAGTGGGACCGCAAATCGGCAAAATGCTCCAAAGCAAAGCGCCAGATGAATTAGGCCAAATGGTGTAAAGCAAACAAGATGGCCACGACATATTGAATAATTGGTCATGTCTGTTTTGATGGGGAAGAATGTAATTATTATTATTTATTTTAGAATAATCCAGAGTAGAATAGATTGGGCCCCCTGTCTATGCGGCGAACATTTCACTTCTAAATAAATGGATTGGTTAGGTCTAAAACTAAAAGGCAAATATAACATTAAAATCTTCAATACTCCTTGTAAACCAAAAATATCACATTTAATTTAGATTTTTCAATTTAACTTTTCAAACCTGCAAATAGTATAATAACATTCAAGATGTTTGTTATGGTTCGTAGTTACTTTTGCGCAATTTCCCGATCTAACCCTGTTTATTGATTGATTTCATGACCACACCAAACTGCATGAGTTGTATTTTTTGTGAACATAGTTTTTTGTGCGTTTCAGATAAGGAGCAGTACTACCCACTGGAGGATGTGAGCTGGTGGAGTGATACTATCATGATTTTGGCCCGTTGCTCTGGTTCGGTCACGGTCTCTTCGGTCAGGACTCTTCGAAATCTTCTGGGAAAATCATGCGAGTGGTTCGAACCATCACCAAGACTTACTATGGCGTATAATGGGGGCTTTCTCAGTCTTGAGGTAAAACTATAAAAATACCTTTTCTATTTCATATCAGCTTAGTAGACAGCAAATCATATGGGACACACTTTGGAAGCATTTCTTGCCCTAGATCATCAGCTATTGTTATAATACTTGCGCACTATTGTTCAACTTCCTGAGGATTTTTTTTTTAACATGGACAGTTTTAAGAATATGAAATGATTTTGTCCAAAACTTATTTATCACAGTCTATTGAATTTGAGGGCAGTAGTTTCTATATTATCAACTCATTCAACACTTTCTTTTACAATTACAATAGTCATGATTTTATTCAATGCGCTTTTAATTTTACCATTGGCACAACGCATTCATGGTTGCCTTGACTCTGCTTGTTCCGTTGCTTTGAAAAGTGTGTGTGTATATTGTAATGTTCAACAAAAGCCTGTGATGATGAAATGTCTGCTCCCGAGCTGTCTCCCCTGTGAGAAACACTGATATCAAATCATCCTCTGCTTTCTTTCCAGCTTTCATTTCTGTATTTTTGTGTGTGTAATCTGATTGCAAAGAAAAAAAAATATTTTAAGCAGCCGGTTGCTAACATTTAGGAAAGGTTTCATGAAAAGCCACAATGCACAGTGGATGGTATTGTGTAGATTAGAATAACTTTGTGGGACCAAGGGGTTCGGGGTATGTTGTTTTCAGAGTCGCATGGGTTATTATGAAGGCTGCTTGATTGATAAAGGTGCTGAATGTTTTACAGGTGCTAAATGTTTCATAACCTCTGTTCTGGTGCAGTGTTTTGCTGGGGGGACTAACATTTGTCTGCCGCAAGCTCACACCTAAAGAGGCGTCAACACAAAATATGAGCCAACCTGGCGCTGCAGCTCAGAGTTGAAAAAAATACAAAAATCCCCCTTCATCCTATTCTAGATCTATTCTACAGGCAACTGAAGTGTAGGAAACTTTTCAGTCTTTTTGTCTGGAAGTGTGACCTTGGTATTGTGTTGGTACCCCTGCTGATGCAGCAATGTGTAAGCAAACTGCAGTCAGTAAGCAAAAGCAAGGCCCAAATCAGTATTCTGTTCAGTACCTTGTACTCATCTCTTCCCTCTGGCAACAGGTTAAATCTCAGCTTTACAATTTGATACTAGGCAAAGATGGTACTTGTGTGACCAAATAAACAGATGGGTTTTATAGGCATTAAAGTAATGTCGTCAGCTGTGGCTTGTAATTAAAGCCATACGTTTTCTGTATAACCTAAATGTGGATTTAGCCTTTTTATTTTATTTTTACCATGTTTCATCTTTTGGGCTTATTTTCCCCTCTTTTTGAATTTAAAGAATCATTCACATTTTCCATCCACTTACTTTGAATTCTTTATGTGAAGTAATTTGTGATTTCCCTTATTTGTTGAACCACCCAAACCTGTGTAGTTATTATGTCCTCCTCGCTCTGTGCCTCTGTCCTGTAGTGTGAAGTGAAGCTGGCACAGAAGCGTGGGCGCCTGGAGAGCAGCAAGAGTGCTGTGTCCAGTGAAGACGAGGACGCTGATGATGGAGGAGACTCTGACTCAGACGACGAAAGCTCGGCCAAGGCGCGGTACTTTGGCTATATTAAACAGGGCCTGTATTATGTGACAGAGATGGAGCGCTTCGCACCGCCACGCAAACGCCCACGCACTGTAATCAAGAACTACCGGCTGGTTAGCCTGAGGTCAACCACGCCAGAAGAACTGTACCAGCGCAAGGTAGGAGGCTGGTGATACACGGACGGTTAATGCACCACATGTTTGGTTCTTCAGTATGTAAGGACAAAGCAAGTACTGAGAAACTCCACACTTTTTCTGAGATGTCATGCAGAGAGGCCTGTTTGAGCTGAACACTTGGCCTTCAAACTAATTCAAATGAAATTAGTTGACCAACATTGACATTTACATCTGATTACTTGATGGCCAATAAGGGAAAAATAATATATACTTCAATACATAGTGCTTACTTGTTTTTTTAATTTTTTCTACATGCCACATTGTCACTGACTTCATTACTGTCTAATTTGTGTAATGCTTTTTTCGGACTAAATAAATCAGTCAGCTCAGTGAAGGGCTATTGTTCTGTTGGCTCTACTCCAGAAGTGCTGTGGTGTCGAAAATTAAACCAAGCAAGATGTTCAGTCTGCTTTAAGGCCATTTGTCTGTCCTAGGAGTTTCTCTGAAATGCTAATTGCTGCATTAGAAATATGGCTGCTGCTGCTTTCACATACAAATTGCAGAAAAGACAACAACATGCTCTGTCATAAAGCACTCAGGGAGCAATCACAGCTCCATGGTCCCAAGTTCTGGCACGGTTCATCTGTCATTTTTATGGCCCATCATCTCCAGCCTTCTTCATCATTGTCATCATCATTAGGCACCATTAGTCATCGCCAGTTGTAACAGTGGAGAGGTACACAGTAATACATCACTATTATCTTTTTGTACCACTTGGGGTACAGTAGCCATTTGTGCCATTCCTGCAGTTTTCCACTTCACTTGTTAATATGTACAGTATTCTGAAAGAATCAGGCCTTCCACGTACGCCAGCTCTGATCGTCTGAAAATTTTGAAGATTTTTTTTTTTTCATCACCCAAAATCACAACAGCCGTCTCAAAATGTTTGATTTGCCACCAGATTAGAAAAATAATGTTCATGGGTATTTGAGCAAATTGATGCATGTCATGGAGAATCTCCTGTCCCAAGGACCTCCTTCATCGGCAAGGGAAACTGGAAGAAAATGGATGGATTAATTTTTTTTCAACTTTATCCATTGCTGAGTTGCAGAGGCAGCAAGGCGTTCCAATCCCAAGCCAGCTGAGAGACATAGTCAATACAACGTGTACTGGGACTTTGCTGGGGCCTACTCACGGTGGAACATGCCCTCCCCAAGGAGTTGTTCCGGGAGGAATTTGAAACAAATGTCCAAGCCACCTTAACTAGCTCCTCTCAACATGGAGAATCAGCTGGTCTCCTCCAAGCTCCTCCTGTGTGATGGAGCTCCTCATCCTATCTCAAAGGGAGCACTCTGATTGATTCGGCAATCTCGCCGTTCCTATCATAACCCAAAGCTCATGACCATAGGTGAGTTTGGGAACTTGTATTGACCAATAAATTGAGAGCTTTGCCTTTCAACTCAGCTCCTTCTTCACCACAACGGTTTAATACAGCGAGCGCATCACTGCACGCTGCACCGATCCGCCTGTCAATCTCGCGCTTCATCCTTCCCCCACTCATAAACAAGACCCTGAAATACTTGAACTCCTCCTCTTGAGGAAGGCGCTCTCCACCCACCTGGAGAGGGAAATGCACCTTTTTTCAGTCGAGTATCATGGCCTTGGATTTGGAGGTACTAATCCTCTTCCCAGCCACTCCACACTTGGCTGCAGACTGTCCAGTGCATGCCGAAGGTCCTGGTTTGTTGGAGCCAACAGGACAACATTGTATGCAAAAAGCAGTGATGAAATCCTGTGGTTCCCAAACCGTACTCCCACTGGCTCCTGGTCCCATGATCCCGTTAGTATCCGATGTATAGTGCTGGTGCAGTGTAGGAGGGAGTAGGCTTAATGATAATTGGAACACACCCCCTGGTCTGTCACTCCATTGGGACTGTTCCCTATTGCCACGCAATAATGCAGAGCCTTGCCACGAGGAGGTTGCTGATGATTTCAGCAAGAGAGATGGAAGTATCCGTCCCAAGATCTTCAGCCTCTGCCTCCAAATCGGAGGACGTGACGGGGGGATTGAGGAGAACCTCAAAGTATTCCTTCCACTGCCCAGGTCAGCAGCTCTGCATCTGCTCTGGAAGCGAAGCGGTGTTGGCAAAGCGCTGATAAAAGTAAATATTAAGTGGAAATATGTTGTACATTTCACAATGTATCAGAATATTTCTGTTTATAAGACAAGTTTTTTTTCAAATCATACATTTATCACGTGTTTGTCTGAGAGTATAATGCGAAGAAACCACGCAGTCAAGACCTTGCATGAAACTCTGAACTGATGTGAAGAACTAAGCAGAAATGTTAAGACCTTCTTTGATCGTGCTTATCTCAATCAGCAAGACAATGTACAATAATTGGTTCCATAAAATCCCCATATTATTTATTTAGTTTTTTGTTTACGCCTACTTCTTAAATCAGACTTGCCAAATTGAGAGGGAACATTTTTAAATGATCTTGTATATATGCTTAGACAAAAGAGGTTTAAAAAAAAAAAAAATTCTTACAAATATAAAAGATCTGAACATTCAATTCACCACCAAGTACAGTACTTGAGGAATCCATTATTTCAACTATCACCCAGGATATGAATCTAATTTTGGTAATATTATTCTTACACTTCCCTGTATTTTTACAGATAGACAATGAAGAATATGGGGAGGCCTTATCTCTCGCCCATGCGTACAATCTGGACTCTGACCTTGTCTATCAGAGACAATGGAGAAAGAGTACTGTGAGCATCGCCTCCATTCAAGATTATCTGGTAAGACATTGAGCCAAAATTGAGAATTGTATGTCAGGAAATGAAAAGGATTTTATAAGAGGAGAGAGTATTGATATAGATAGAAAAATGCTATTATAGTCAAGGTGTTTTTCGCCGTATAGCTGCAGAAATAGAGTATTGCAGAGAGAGTGATGAAATCCCCCTTACTCTTATTTCACGCATCATTTTTACCAATTTGTTGCGAATTTTCACACTCTCCTCCGCCTAATTCTCCATCTTATTTTATCCCCATCATCCTGACTGAACTCGATCCATTTGCGCCGGCCTCAGAGCAAAATCCGAAAGCGTTCCTGGGTGCTGCACGAGTGTGTGGAGAGAGTCCCGGAAAACGTGGACGCAGCCAAAGAGCTACTCATGTACGGCCTCAAAGGAACCGACCTGGAGGCACTGGTGGCCATTGGGAACATGGTGGATGAAGGCAGGTGAGAAGAACTGAAACATGGTCTCAGCTAGTTGTAACAGTTTTCCAAAGTTTTAGAAAAGAAATGCATTATTTTACATTTTAGAGTCAAATGTAATCGTAATACACATGCTTGCTTTCAAACATTCAGAACCTAATGATGTTTGAGACCATGGACAGTAATGAGTTTCTGCAGTCTTTGCGTTTAACTTGCTGTGTCCCTTTGAATTGCATTTTCAACTTGTCTAATTCTTGATTATGTATTGTGTAAAAATGAATCAAATTCAAGCACAAGTTGGGTTCTGTGTTGTAGATTTATCATGCCAGGTGATGTTGACCTCGATGACATCCTGTATGACGACATGTCTGAGGATGAGGAGATGCGCATCAAAAAAGCGAAAGAAGACAAGAAAAAGCAAGAGCTGCTGGACAGAGTGGATTTCAGCAGGTAATGTGTTTCTCCTTTCAAATAATGAGACAAATGTATAAACGTGTAATGCTAATTCAAAACATTATAAACAGTAAACGTTTAAAACGTCTGGAGTTCGTGGAACAGCTGCAAAGAAGGCAGCCACATTTTACTGAGACTTCCCTTTTGCTTACCCATTTTATTTGGCTGGTCTGCCAACTATTACTTACTCTATGGAAAGCCTAAATATAGTCTTTATATCCCCACTGAGAATTGTAATGATGGACCAAGCTGCTACTGTTGCAGAAATGACAATGAGTGTATTTAACTTATAGATGAGGAGAAAATTGAGGCTAAGAGTGGTAGGTTTCATAGTGATAGTTTGATTAGGTTGCGGCCCCTTGGAGGGGATCATAAAGGCAGAGACATTAATGAGCACATGGGAGAGAGAACTGGGGAGCACAGTGGTACAGATTAGTGGGTAATCTGCAAAAGGTAATTTATGCCTTTGTTGTGGAGAGCCCTGGGAGAGACTAATGAAAAACCCTTTAGTGATCACTAATCACCTCTCATACACGCTCTCGCACTCAGCCACATGTGCATGGACAATTTCAGCTTGTTTTAATGCATTTGAATGACCATGGCATTCTCAACTGTAGCTGCTGCAAATTAACTTTTTATTCTAAAAGGGCTTGTTTAGCTCTAGTTGACATCGGGCATCTTTTGTAGATTAATTTAATGATCACGGATAATTCAAAATAATCTCTTCTCAACAACCTTCCAGAAACCTTTACATAGAAATGATCTTTTAGTATTCTCGTTTATATCTGTCCCAATGATTCCCATTTGTACAGTAGGCATGCTTAACAATTTGCGTCGGCAAACGCGTGGGTGCAGTGAAGCCCCTCTTCGATGGATCTTACCACGTTGCCTCGAGGCTGTGCGGACGAGTCTTGCGACAGATAATAATTCTCTTAATTTCTTTTTAACTGCTCCGCCATTACAGTAACACTTTCGTATCAATCATTTCTGCCATTCCGTCTCTGTGAGTAGATAAGAGCTGAATGTAACCAACTGCCATCCTCACCACTTCTGTCCTTTTCAATGGTCCAAGGGTGAGATTCTGTAATGTCTTTCTTTATCTCTTTAAATTGTGCACTTGCAACAACATTGTAAAGTCAGCCATGGCAATTGCTTTGTAGATATGAAAACACAAAACTTCAGGTTTGGAATAAGTTAAAAGTAATTGTCATGTGGTTGTCGTTTTAATATCACGTTTCATGAAGCCACAAAAAACTTGATAAATTCAGATTCAGGGGAAGTTTAGAAAAATGGAAAGATCAAGGAAATTCAGAAGATAGTTTGGATTCCAAAATACTTCCCTGATGAAAGTATGAAGCGGTGTAATTCTTCTTTGTCCAAGAGTGAGCCATCGCAGAACAGCTTTCAAAGTGGTTCAAAAGTTTTTCAGCATTCAGACATTTCAATACTCATCCTGTAGTCATTTTCTATATGGACAAATAAGATATGAAAACTTTTATTCATCCCACAGTGGGGAAATTAAACAAATATAAAAGTATTTTAAACTGTTGGAACATTTTCTATTTTATGTTTTGTGATGGTTTTTTTGGAGCCTTCAGGACCATGAGCAGCGCCAGTTTTGTGTTAACACTCTTGCAGCTCTGACTGCCACCCCCCCCAACCCAGAAATGGATTAAGGGGAAGAAAATGGATGGATGGACAATAGAAGACAATTTCATAGCCACCAAATGTCAATGTGCACAGTGGTAACAGCAGCTGTCATCTACAAACGCCTACTCGAACTTGCGGAAGGCTGAAATTTTGCTGAAATTCTGTAGTCCGTATAGCCAGCCATCGTCCAAACAGACAGAAACAAAAGACAATGACAAAACAAAGAAACAACAAAGGTCTACTGGGCCACAACAAAGGTTGTGGCCCAGTAGAATTTTCTCTATGATTTTGGTAAAGCTGTTTTTGTAGTTTAGTTTCTCCAATATAGTGGTCAGTGCACTCCTCTTCACCACTACGTATATTGGAGAAACAAAACAAACTCTACAATGTTGGCTGGCTGTACATCTCCACCTCAAGGCCACCAACCACACCGTGAACGACACAGAGGTTAAAATTCTGGCTTGAGACAAAAATTGGTTTGAGAGTGGGGTGAAAGAAGCCATTTTTGTGAGGAAACACAAACCATCCCTAAACAGAGGAGGCGGTTTAAGATTTGTTTTGCCTCGCATCTTTGACGACCTAACAATAGATAAGGTTAGTGACGTGCTATTGAGTTAGGATTGTTAGACCTGCACTCCACCCGAGCAATCTCAGCAGACAATAGGCTGTGACATGCTAATGAGGTAGGATCGTTAGCCCTAGTAGGATCATTATGCTGCGTTCAGACCGGATCATGCGCGTTGGCTTTTAATGCAAAGTCAATGGTGACGCGTGTTCGAGCGTCAAAACGCACGAGCGTCTTGGAATGCACACACGGACTGCTCAGTAGAGACGTACGGACTGCGCGGGAAAGTCGAAGGGGAGGAGCAGGAGCAGAAAATCAACAAAGCCGCTAGCTAAACTCTGTTAGCATCAAAGCCCGCCGGCTACTTCCGCCACTTCCAGCGCGCGCCAGGACTTCTGGTCTGGAGACCCCTGCGTCTGAAAACTAGAGAATGTGTGTCTGGTGAGTGAGGCTTCAGCGTTTCAGCATTGGCGGTCTGAAAGCAGCATTAGACCTGTTCCCAACCACATCTTAGCAGACCTTACATGTGTCAATGATTTAGCCTCAGGATCAGGGGTTGTCTAACCACACCCACAGGTTATAAATCTCCAACTCGCGGCTGAGCTTTCATTCCCTTGAGAAAGTTCTTTGGATTAAGGAGGAAAAACTGCTAACTGAAGTACAGATGATGGGTGAGAAACCTTGTACGACTGAGAGCTTACACCTGGGTGTTCATCTGAACCACAAATTGGACTGAACTCATAACACAGACGCCCTCTTCAAGAAAGGCCAGAGCCGGCATTACCTGCTCAGGAGGCTCAGGTCTTTTGGTGTGCAGGGGCACTAAAGGGCCTAAAGACAGAAGGTCTTTATGACTCTGTGGTGGCATCAGCCATCTTGTACGGTGGGGTCTGCTGGAACAGCAGCATCACAGAGAGGGACAGGAAGAAGCTGGACAAGGTCATCAGGAAGTCCAGCTCAGTCCTGGGCTGTTCCCTGGACACAGTGCAGCAGGTGGGGGACAGGAGGGTCCTGGACAATCTAACATCTATGCTGGACCATGACTGTCACCCCCTGCAGGACACTCTCTCTGCTCTGGAGAGCAGCTTCAGTGACAGACTTAATCACCCTCGATGTGTGAAGGAGAGGTTCCGCAGGTCTTTCCTTCCTACTGCTGTCAGACTGTACAACAAACAATAAGGACTAATGAACACTTCTAACTTGATTCCACGTGTCATTCTCACATCGTTGCCTTATCTTCTATCAGAATGTGCAATATACAGCTGCCAATATGCAGTTGTAAACATACTGCTGCTAATGTACAGTTGTAAACATACTGCTGATAATGTACAGTTGTAAACATACTACTGCTGCTAATGTACAGATGCTAACATATAACTACACTTTACTTGCACTAGAATACACATAACTTTATACTTTCCTCTTATTTTGTCAATGTTACATTTTTACATCTATTATATTTTCAAGATAGATTTTATACTTATTATTGATGCTAGAGTTAGATTGTTTTTATTTTGATTAGTATAGCTATTGTTCACTTAACGTGTGCCGTGTGCTCCTCTTTCCTACTGTTCTATAACCTGTGATGCAACACCGAAATATCTCCACTGTGGGACAAATAAAGGATCTCTTAATCTTAACAAAGAAACAGTTATGCACAGGTGCTGCAGGAATGAGGAAAAAAACAAAAACATCATATTATAATCATGTTACTATATATCATATTATTGTATATAATGTCATACATCATGTCATTATAACTAACACACAGTATTTCCATCAATTCATTTATTGTGATAGACATGAAAGTATAACACAGAATGTCTTTTAAAGTAATCTAAAAGCCAATAGGCCGCAACCACTGCCTGTAGCCGTATAAAAATAACCACTACCTCGAAGCAGTGGTTATCTGTTTCGTCTGTCACACTGCAGTTCACAATGTCTGTAGTGAGCTTTTAGTGTAATCCAAGTATTTTCTGTCAAGCTGATGCCTGTAGTGCAGAGCAGAAAGTATAATACCTGAAGAGCCAAGGACCTCTATAAGTGTGGCTGATATTCACACAAGCACGTGTGTTAATATTTTTTTTATAATGTTTTATCAAAGTTGACTAATTACTTATATCTTGTAAAAGTAATGGATGAACGAACAAAAACAACAAAGCATATCTTATGTGTTTGAGATTTTGCTTCAATCTACATCAAGTAAAACCGTTTGGGCCCTCCAATCAAACTGATCTAGATCCCTGTCCATCTTCCATCTTTAAACTATACTGTATTTGTACTTTTTTATTGGTTTAGTCCTATTAAGGTCCATGTTAATCCTCTGCATTAGACCTTGATTTTCCAATTTATTATCCCAATTTTGATTTAGTTCTGTGTTAGATTTCTTTGCTATGAGTCTATTGGTACATTTTGGTTCAGTATTGATTCAGAAAATGGGACTTCTGTTGGAATTCTTGTGTATTATTTCATCACTTAAATCTAAATTCTGATTGTGTTGTCATCATTGAAACAGATACTTTGTGTGACACCAAGTTGTGTAAAAAATAATGTAAAAGTGTATGTATTTTTTTGACCTAGAGGGCATTCCACTCCGACCCATTTGCTCTTCATAAAATATAGTTAAAAAGAGTTGTTAAGAATTGTTGTTGTGTAGTGTATGTCCTTGAAGTGTATAAAATGTGCTGATTTCTCTCCACACACACATATGCATACAAACGACATATGTGCGTTATGCGTGGCTGTTTTCTTAAACTTGTTGTTCTTTTGTGTTCATCCAGAGTGATTTCTTTCACTATATTCATTTTAACCATCAGTATTCATTGTGTTACCTATTTATATAAGCCAGGACCTCCTTGTCCTCCCATGTTTGTCCTAAGGGTCAATTGTGTTTCTTAGGCTGCACACGGTTTATTCTAGATCCCAGTGGAATTCTGAAACAAGATTTGCCATTCAATAGAATAGCGACCGGAATTGAATATTACAACGCATCCCTCCTGATAGTTGTTTTATCTAGCCGCTGTAAACCTATTATCATTTAGATTGTTGTTTTGAAGTTACTGATTTCTGTTGAATAGTTCAAGGTCAGATATGGTACAGACAGTGTCTTGAAAAATTATCCATACTGCATGCGGCCCATGTGTACATATGTCTCTATAAGCTTTGTAAATGGACTTAATTATTTTTGTGTAATTTCGCTTTGACTTCACAATTTCCACTTGTGTTGGTCTCTCACAAAAACATCATGGATTGAAACATCAAGTCCTAATGATCGTTACATGGCAGAAATGTGGAAAACTTCCTGTGGTGTGAATACTTTTTAAAGGCCCTCTATAGAAAGCATACTAAAATAAGTAAGTTTATCTATTTTCTGTGCAAACAATGATGTTTTATTCATGTCAACCCCCAATCATTTGTTATGTTTGGTTTCTTTTTAAATTGAAAGATTTAAACCAGCCTACCCCATATTTTATATTCTACCGTACTATATACTTTATCATTTATAATGTAATTATGTAAATTAGTATTACAAGCAATTTCTTTGTTTGAATAAAGCATACATTTAATCATGAGAAGTTAGAGAATTTCAGAAAACGTGTGAATATATTTTGTCACATTGGATATAGCTTGATACAATCATGAACGTAACTACCAATAATCTTGTTTTAGCACATCATATTTTACTATAACACCATTAAAGCCAGTCACTTATAATTCTTGCGACTCCTTTGATCACATGGAAAGACCTAAATAATGTGTGCCGAATAAATTATCTCTTACGAGTTTCGCAATTATTCAGCTGCAGATGGCACAAGATAAAAGGTGCAGAAATCTTCCTATCCAATGTACATGGGAGTGGGTACCCAGGTCTATGCAGTATACACTAGTATTTCATATTATTGTTGTTGGACAGTTTCAAGGAGAGTATTGGTATTTTTGAGATGCCTGAAAAAACAAATTATTCCAGGACATCAAAACCTGACACCAACTTCTCTGTTTTAAAAACTAATTTTCTTCCAAACATTTAATAAACCGTTTGTATTAAATCCTCGTGATGAAGCCATCACACAAGCCCCAAGTGGACGGCAAATGGGAAGAAAGCGCTTGCAAGAAAAGGGGAGAAAGCGCTTGCATAGCATCTTCTCTTATCTCCTCCTCCTCCCGGCCCCCTCCCTGTTCCAAACCCACTTCTCTTCACAGCAAAGCAATAATTACCACCAGTGCCAGTGCTAAGCCGGTACTCTTTGATGTGCCTGTGAGTATGTTGAGCCAGTGTTAATCTGTGGTTAGTCTGTGTAGTGGAACCCCGATAAAGCCTGATTGTGCACTCTGTAATGAGGGATTAAGGATTAAGGCCCCAGTCAAGGGTCAACTCTCAAGGTACCTCGCGTCTAGAATCACCTGTGCCTGGTATTTGTTTTGATTCTGATCCTTAAAGGTTGGGGATGTTCCCTGTTCTGTAGCACTCTGAGATTTCTCTGAAATGTGAAGTGCATTATAAATAAAATGTATTATTATTATTATTATTAAAGGTGTGTAGAGAAATATTTGAACCAATGAAAAGTGCTTGGTCAGAGCCCATGTTTGGCCTAGCTTACATCAGTCATGTACTCGGCACACTTCCGGCCACACATACACACAGTTGATTTCAGCAAAAATTGAAGCAGAAGCAAAAGGGAAAAAAGGTTCTGAAGGTCCCAGAAAGGCAATTAGGGTGGCCTGTGTTCAATTTGTTTTACAGAGAGTCAGGACTTTTGGAAAAAATGTTAAAGGACGATAAAGGTCCTCGGTTTCGACTTTCGCACATGAGGCCTTTCAGATGTTCTGATATCACCACGTAATCAATGGTCCAGAATCAATGTTGAAGCTGTTTGCCCAGGATCAATGTTTCATTGGGTCCAGGATCAACATTAACAATGATCCTGGACTCTCAACTACTTGTAAATGTGCACTTTTTATCCCTGTAGGGATGTTTCCTTTGATAACTTTACTTATCATAATATCAGGTCGTGCCGGCCTTTCTGAACGAAGTTTGCATGTTTCCCCGGTGTCTTTATTTTATTTTGTGACAATGTGTAGTTACATTAAAAACGATGGCTGCACCAGATTTAGCACCATGATACTTTCCATCTGTACAATACAATTATTTAACATACATATTAAAATACAGTTAAAAACTGACTCTGAAAGAGGGATTCTGTAATCTTATTGGGACTCTCTTGGTTAAGGTAAATGAAAATACATCCATAAATAATGATAACAATATTGTTGCTACTTTATGATTCAGAAACATCGATAACGAAATAATCCTTTTCAACTATCTTGTATGTGCGTTTGTCACATAATGTAAGTACAAACATAGACAAAATCCTTTTAAAATTGTTTGCGCTTCAAACTGTTGGCTGTAATTGATTGACTGCGGAACCTTCCGCAGTCAACCATTGGTTTTGTATTTCTTTATTCCGTCATTTTTTTTGACACGTTTCACAGCTTTCACATTTTCAACAATTTCCACAAGTTATACATCAAAACGTTCCACATGTTTGGGAGATTATTGCTATTACTTTTGGGACTTCAGCGATTTCCGGTTTTTCCGCAATCGGACAAAAATCTGCATTGAGAATTCTGCAATGCATTTTAATAGGCCCATGCATTTTAATAGGACTTCAGCTCTTTCAGACATTTCTACAGTTTCAAGGATTCAACAGTTTCAAGGATTCAACAGTTTCAAGGATTTCAGCAGTTTCAAGATTTCAAGAGTTTCAAGGACTTCAACAGTTTCAAGGACTTCAGCAGTTTCAAGGACTTCAGCAGTTTCAAGGACTTCAGCAGTTTCAAGGACTTCAGTGTAATCATGCAACTTAATAGGGATTTTTCCATGTAAACCAGTATAATGCAACTTAATAGGGTTTTTTTTCATGTAAACCAGTATAATGCAACTTAATAGGGTTTTTTTCATGTAAACCAGTATAATGCAACTTAATGGGGATTTTTCCATGTAAACCAGTATTATGCAACTTAATAGGGATTTTTCCATGTAAACCAGTATAATGCAACTTAATAGGGTTTTTTTCATGTTAACCAGTATAATGCAACTTAATAGGGTTTTTTTCATGTAAACCAGTATAATGCAACTTAATAGGGTTTTTTCATGTATAATGCAACCTAATAGGTTGCATTATACCACCAGACCAAGACCCAAACGAAGACTCAGACCACCACCAGATAATGACCACAGACCAGGTTTCCTTAGTTACAGGAACCAAATTGTTTCAGCGGTGAGGGGATTTTTCAGTTTCAAGGACACTTTCAATACATTCAGTAGTTTCAAGGATTTCAGCTGTTTAAGAATTTAACCAGTTTCAAGGATATCAGGAGGTTCAAGGATTTCAGGAGTTTCCACACTTTCAACAGTTTCCAGGTTTAAAAAAGTTTCAAGGATTTCAGGAGTTTCAATGTTTCAACAGTTTCAAGGATTTCAGGAGTTTAAAGGTTTCAACAATTTCAAGGACTTCAGGAGTTTCAAATATCTATCAAGTATTTTAACAGTTTCAAGGCTTTTTAAAGGATTTCAAGGATTTTTTTTAGCAGATTTCCACATTAGATCTGTTCCGCAGTCAATCGCAATGGCTTCAGCCATTGCAAGTTTCTAGTTCCGTATTGCAGTTTATTTATGACTATGATGAAATGACTTTGAAAATGGTTTGGATTCTCGAGGGCGGTCGCTCAGCTCATTGACAGCCTGCGTGCCATACATAACACCTGAAGGGCCCGTGTGGTCATAAGGTCTTGATTTGTGGTCCATAGAAAATGATTAGCAGGCTGCTGTGTGCATTGTTGTCCCCTGGCCCAGCCATTGTTATATACTGTTGGTCCCCATGGGCTCCTGGGGGAAGTCAGTTTGCTGTTAATTTAGAGCTGTGTGTAATCGTGCCATGTATTGACAAAAGTCCAATTTTGCTTTCAGAATTCGTCACTTCATTCTTTTCTTTGTGTTAGGCTGACCTTGGAGCAGAAGGAGCTGTGCAGAAGCCGTTTGAAGTTACTCTGCTACCTGGATCGCCTCGCCACATACGAGGTAACCCCCCTATGGCATTAACAAACAAGCTAATTGTATATACGTGAAATCTTGCACATAAGCTCCATAAAGAGCGGGCGAGAAAACTCTACAATAGTATCCGAAGTAAGCAACAATTTTGTACTTTGAAAAGTTAGAATCAAAAGTCAACTTACAATGTGAAACTAATAAATGACAATACCCCTAAAGTCAATTATACCAAGCCTTTATTTGTGTTGACAATTGGCTCACGGATTGTAAGTACCCCAAACAACAGAAAGCAGAATATTGTGAACATGGAATGGAAGCCATAATCATCAAATACTGTATGTCACTTGGCATTTGTAACTTTGCATGTAATGAGTCTACTGTATATCCTATCTTGGTTTCTCATGTTAGGTTGACTTACAGAAATATATCTTCTTTTGAATGATATTCACCGGCATTGTCTTTTATTCAAGGCTTTGGTGCTCAGAACCTATCCCACTCATTTGGCTATCAGTACTTGTGATTATGAAGAAGATTAAGCTACAGTACATTCACAATTTCTACGTTGTCATGATGAATGTTGTTGTAGTTTAATACTTAATACCACAAATAAGCCTTTAACTATCCACAGCACTTTACAGAAGTGCTAGTTTTAGTCTTTTATAGAATAGTCATGCATCTTCATGAAAGCTCTTGAAATTCTGTTGGAGCCTTGTAACAAAGAATGTAATTTAAATGTCATTAAGTTATTTTTGTTTATTCCATTTGCCTTGTAATTCACTCTCCTTTAATATTTAATCATCCCAAAGCTCCCATAGACATTTTCCACTTTCTTTCTCACGACACTCTCTTAACACCACTGATCTGCTCTAAAATATTAAACAATGGTAGGATTTATGAGGGAGAAAGTGGTATCTAAATTGAGAAAGTAATGGTTCGGTCATGAGCCACTCAAGAGATAGATTAGTGTTTTTGCTAATGGGTCGTATTGCGCCAGGGCCACTGCAGAACTGATTGATTCACAATCCAAGTGCAACTTTTACCACTGCATTACAGATTCCCCCCGTGTTAACAAAAACACCCATTCATAATAAATCACTGACAGCAGAGGACCTTACGTCTCCCCTTCGCCTGAGCGGAAAGATGAGATTTTGGAAAAGCTGCTAGATATTCAGACCCGCGCCGAATGACGTTCCCTCCTTTATTCGGACATTGTCATGGTAACTGCGGCTCTCGTCAAGTCTCCTCTCGCCCCAATCCATTTTCTCCAGCTGTCTATGAATATGATATTAAGGTTTTTATCATCCCGACTTTGGGCCTGGCCATGTCTGCATATGGCTCATTCAAAGTGCCATCTATCAGAGAGACACATCCAGTCCAGTTTTCTGTCTACATTACAACACATTTAGATGCCTAGACAGACACGGTGAGGGGGTTGACTTCTTTCCCTTGACACACAAATACCTCTAAGGCAAAAGACCAACCCATCATTCAGACTTTAGTACATGTTGCACTGCTTATAGTTCAATAGCATTTCTGTTGACTTGCCTCCTCTTCGTACATTTGCAGCCACAGCTAAGGCAAAGGCATCTTTTAGTTTGACTTCCCACGACAGCCGCCGTATTTTTATAGAAAGGATTACTTTGCTTCTTTTGCAAATTTCCTTTCATGAACTCAACACTTTCTTGTTCTTGTTTCAGGAGATTCTTGGCGGGCCCCATGCAGCTGAGGAGAAATATGACGCAGAGTTCTTCAAGAAATTCAGAAGTCAAAATATTGTATTGTCAGCAAGGGACTATGCTCGGGTAAACTGCCTTTCTAATTCAGGAACGCCCCAATGCCATACTTATTTCTCACATGTAGACCTACCTACATCATGTAACAAATGGTGAATTAGTTTAACAATTGATGTTAGTAAATCCACATCCTTCTGAAGTGCAGTTAAGGTGCATTTTGGGAGCTATTATCAAAATTTCTAAAGTTAATCACTTAAATGTCCTTATCTAGAAATCAATATATATTATCTATTTGTATTACTGATCAATCAGTCGATGCGTAAAGAGACAGTATGTAACATTTTAATTTCAAATTACATTACATATATCTTTTTACATTTGTCCCCAAACAACAGAACAAAATTCACAAACTCCGTATGTGTCGCATCAGCTGCATTTTCATAATGTAACTATGTATGACTACATTGTCCCTGTCAAATAAATGAATAAATAAAATAAATAAATAATAAATAATAAATAAAAAGGATTGCGCCATACATGAATTAAATGAAAGTAGATTACAAACATAAGTAGTCCTTCGTAACGCACAGAGTTTGTACCGTTTCGTACTGAACTCCTGCAGGTGGTTTGCATCAGTAATCAGTGAGTGGGAGCTACATGTGTCACAGCCAGGAAGATTCTGGCAACAAAAGTTAGATTGCAAATTTTATTATTTAATTAGACCACTAGGAGTGCATATTACGTCCTGTCTCTCTAAGAAAAGGTGCCATGGAGAGGATATTGCTTGTACCTATACTTTTAAACTTCTACATATATTTTATAGCAGTGTCTATAAAAAAAAAAACGTTTCTTACATTGGGCAGAATTTCCTCTCCACAGGGCGTGAGGGGGTCGGTCTGGTTCATTTGTTTATCTATTTCAATAGATATAAACTGACTTATGTGACTAGTGGACACACTAGCATGATGCATGATGTTATATGGGTTGTGAGGCGCTTTGCGTTGCCTTGTGTAGGAAAGGCGCTCTACAAATAAACGTTGATTGATTGATTGATTGACTCGTTTGGCAGTTTTACATCCGCTAATCCTGTATTTTTTCAAAACTTGTGAACCAGAATTTACCCAGTTAAGGTTAATCAGACCAGTGTGTGTGAAAGCGCTCTCATTCAGCCTGATGTCGTCTCTCTTCTCAGTTGATAAGTTCAATGCCATACTGTGGAACATTCAAGATGAAACGATTACATTTAGACAAGCAGAAAAAAGGCGTGGGGCACCAGTGATTCTCCATGCAATACTTCACTCTTCAAACTTACACTGAGTTTGAACTTTCTTGACCAATTAAAGTTGAAGATTTTGGTCTCTCAAAGCATTGATTTCTCCTCCCATAGGAGAGTAACGTGCAGGCTCTGGATATTCTCTTCACGTACCACGGAGCAGAGCTTCTTCAGCATCGTTTGGCCATTCTCTGTAACTTTCCCGAAACAACGTCTCCACATGAGTACATCATCCTGTTGCCTGAAGCCACGTAAGTTAAGATGAAGAAAACTTATATTCGTCCCACTGTGGGGAAATTTCAGGGTTGCATGACAAGTTTCAGACAGTAGGAATAAGCATTACACAGCACAGGATAAATGAATAATAATAATGAAATCTCTAACCCTAGCGTAAAAAAGTAGCAGTATAAAAATATCTATCGTTAGCATAACAAGGAAAGAAATCCCGCTCAAATCTGGCTCAGGGCGGCAGTAGCTCAGTTGGTAGAGCGTTGGCCTTTGAGCCAGAAGGTCGTGGGTTCAAGCCCCGCTCAAGAATTTCACCATCGACTCCCACTGACTACTGTCGTTGTGTCCTTGGCAAGACACCTAACCTCTGGGAACACCAGCCACAGTGGGGCGGCTGCGGCTGTAAAGTGCCAAACTGCCGTTGTGTCCTTAGGCAAGACACTTCACCCCCATTGCCTAGAATGAGTCTGGTGTGTGTATGGTGTGTATGGTGGTTGCCTCGCTTCTGTCAGTGTGCCCCAGGGCAGCTGTGGCTACAGTAGTAGTTTATCACCACCGTGTATGGAGTGAATGAATAATGGCATGTGAAGCGTCTTTGAGTGTCCAAAAAAGCGCTATATAAAACCGATGCATTATTAATTACTAAAATTGCCAACTTTCGCCTGATGAAGAAGCAAGATTTAAGTGCAGACTCTCTGAGATCTCAGTCTCAAATATGATGAAAGATTTGTTAATGAAGGAAATTCCACGAGTCAGTATTGATTATTAGCATATTAATACTGCGCTCTTGTAATTATATATTTGACCTCAATTGTCCTTTTTTTAAGTCGATGATTATGGTATGTTCTCCCTCCTCCATCAAAGAGATAATTATGAAAGTCTAAATACTAATAGCTCAATTAATTGAACTCAGAACTTAATTTGACGCAGTAAATACGATAAACACAAACTTCTTTTACTTGGATTTCTCTCTACTTCTTGTAGAATCAGCCTTCAGAATCTTTCTCCGAGTGCCTTGAAACTGGTTGAGAAAGAGTGAAACAAGTAACTGTAGTCTTAAAATGTCAGAGCTTTTGGGAAAACCTGGAAAAGGGCAAAGTGAAGAGTGAAGAGAGACTATATAACTCTGTATTTTTTCCCATAGTGAGGTTTAGGGTCAGAATACTACCTGTGAATGAAATATTGTTGCAAATGTACCTTATCAAGATGTAATTTTGGGAGCATTGTTAGACAGTCTATAAATGTTTAATTGGAACAAAAATTAGATATCATATAATACTGTATATTTTTTACAAATAAGGAAGGTCACTGTACGCTCTAAGACAATAATTTTGCTTAATTCTGGTGAGCTGTGATTCTGCTTGTCCTCATTCACCGTCAACCGTTTTCATTATTTGATTTCATCATTTGTTATTAGTAAATCAAACATTCTGTAAAGGTGATTATACATTAGAATAGAATAACTTGTCTTGCTCACACATTAGCATCACAGTTTGAGTACACAGACTCTTGGTTCTTCAAAGAGGAAATATTTAAGTGAATGTCAGTTTCAAAATGTAAAGAGTGAGTGTGAAATTGTGTGTGAAATTTCAAATCCTCGAGAACCCTCGTCATTGTTTTAACTATTCTCCATAAAATCTTACTGGTTGTGGTTATGCCAAGGGGAAGAAATATTTGAAATATAATGTTGAAAAATACTTACTGTACATAATAGTACAGTGTCCACTGATTATAAATATACTTGTAATATCCTTGTAATCCCTCCTCTGAAGCTAAGCAGTGCAGGGCCTGGCTAGTACTGTGATAGGAGACCTAGGGGAAACCAGGTGCCACAGTGGGGCGGCTGCGGCTGTAAAGTGCCAGACTGTGGTGTGTGTGTGTGTGTGTGTGAGACTAGCTGGTGGTAGTCGGAGAGGGGCAGATAGCACAGTTTCCTCGCTTCTGGCAGTGTGCCCCAGGGCAGGTGTGGCTACAGTAGCAGTTTATCATCACCGACTTTGGAGTGAATGAATAATGACATGTGAAGCATCTTTGTGTCCAAAAAAGCGCTAAATAATACTGATGCCTATTATTATTATTATTTTAGGAATTATATATTATATTCCAGTACATTTTCTGACACCACCTTTACTAAATATGCGGTTACTCCTACAACCAAACCATTGTTGGATGATTATGTACACATATGTCTACAGTTTACTAATACTACAAGAAATAAGTGCTAGTTTAAAAGCTCGCTCACTGTCTGAAGTTCTTGTGTGTGTGCCCACAAGTTCTTTTTTCAGCTTCATTTGATCCTCCTTTGCTCTGCTTTCGTCCTTTCATGTATTCAAATCTGCTGTCACATGTACAAAAATCACAGGAACATACTGAACGAGGCCCCCGAAGTCATGAGCATAAATAGTGTATAGAAATAATTATGAGCACACCCACCTATCCCCTCACGCTCTCCATCAGCACTGCCTTTTATTAGCCGTGTCTTGAGTTTGTATGGAGGTCAGGCGACTGCGGCGCTGCAGTGAGCATCCATCACAGAGCTGCTACTGCTGTGGGGCACTTTCCTATTTCCCCCGCTCCTCCGACCACGGCATGCGACACAGCTCCACTCCATTGCCATCTGTTGGAAAATAAGCCATAATCTTGCCTGAATGCACCCAGAAAACTTTCCCTCGTAATATCGATCAATACTGTCTTCCAGGCGACTTACAGATGCATGGAAAGACATGGGTATTGAAAGTTTAAAAGGATTAGGCAGTGGAAGTTAAACTAATGTGACACAGACACAATTTTGTGCCTCTTTGCCCTGTGGGGTTGAACAGAGAGAAATGTATCTAAGTTAAAATATTGAATAGGATGTTACGGATATTTTTCATTGTGCTATCAAGATTCTTTTTTATTTACTTTATTTCAACATTTGCACTGAAGGCCACATCATGTTTTCTTTGGATCTTTCTTATGAGTGTTTTGGCATTCACAGTAGCCATGGTTTTTTTCATGTTTTAGCTGCAAGTTATTTTACTGCCAAAAATGAACTCTTATTATTTTCTGTACACATTTGACATACTTTGAAATATGACTACTGCATTTATGAAGCATTAGGCTTTCAAAAGTGGACGCTGAAGACTTTTCATATTTGTCATTTCCTAAATGCACTAACTGATCTACTCTGTCCTTGTCATTGTCCTATTGAAGTCCTAGTTTTAATGGATGGACTTGCTTTGAGGATTTGCTAAATTCCTTTTTGGTTTCACTCACCAACATAAATCACACAGACAGTTATGTATATTGTGATTAAATACAATTTATAGCTGTGTAAAAATAACCCACAGTCTCCGATCTTGCAGTGCGCACTCAGCCTCCAACTACAATAAAATATATAGGTGATTTGATGCTTGTGGAATCTCCTTGGGTTTTTACAACTATGGTTCATATCTTGCAGTCTACAAATGAATGGATAACAAAGAGGATATGCATTAATCTTTAAAAAGGAAAGATGAGACTTTTCGTTTTGCCGCTGTCCCTTTTGTACTTAAAATTTTGAAAATTCTTGACAGTCTTGACATCCAAGGTTACTTTTATTCTTCTGTGTTTCCCATTTATAAACAGCTTGTCAAATTCGAGGAGGCCTGGAGGACGCTGAGCTAGTGCTAACTTGTAAAACATTACCCTTTTTTCTATGAATACACTCTCACAAGGCTCTTTTGACTTATTTATTATTTTGCTTTTGTTTTACACCTTTTTTCTTATTACAATCTGCTAGTTCCATTTCACATATGTTGCCCGCTCAGCTCTGCGGTTTATGGCGGTGTGCTGATTTATGCGCCACCGTTATACAGTCGGAGAGGGAAGGTGTTATGAAGCTAGTAAAAAATATCTTTACTGTTTTATACGGACTTGGGTTGAGTTTGTTTGCCTTTTGCAGGAGAGAATAAGTTCACAGACACTGCCAAGAACTCTGAGAATTTCGGAAAACTTACGAACTGTGAAAGGCTGAGGCAAAAGAACAAAAAGGCTTAGAGTAAATACCATACCCAAAATAACCTATCCTTTATTCTCAGATTTGATATAAGATTATGAATATATAATTAGAAGTACATTGCAAAATATGTTTCTACTGTATACTAATATTTCCGCATTTTCTATGGCCTATTTTTACACAACACGTGTTTGGTTTAAAGCAGGGGAGCCAGTATCTAACTTTGAAACAAAAAATTAACTATGTAATAAAATCCTAGTATCAAAAACGGGTTGGTTCTATTACTAGATACTATTACAGTTTTCGATCCCACCACGACCCATGTCATCTGCTCCCACTGATGTCTGCTGTCGTTGTGTCCCTGGGCAAGACACTTAACCCCATTTTGCCTGAAGTCCCCACTGAAAGATCAAGGCCGTATCTTTGTTGAAGGAGCAGCCATCTTCCTGTGGACCCACCACCTGTAGGAGGATCAGCGAGGGAGTGGTGCACTGGGTGGCAGCTCTGATTGCCACCCCCCTGACCCAGAAATGGATAATAAAGGGTTGAAAATGAATGAATGAATGAATGAAGCTTAAGATTAGATATTTCAGTGCCAGCCTTCACTCAGCCAATCAGCTTGTAGTGTGTAAATAACAGGACTCTTTCTGTTGGGACAAACAAAATGTACCTATGAAAAAAAAAAAACGTAGGTACAAACGTAGCTGCATTACAAAAAAGAGGGATACACTTAGATTTGTTGCTTTTTTTTTTTCCAGAATGGAGGAGAGTGGGGATTTGGCATTGATTCCCTGGGACGAGCGAAGACACAGAGAAATGGACTGGTGTGAAGCCGACGAATGCAGGTAATACCAGTTATACCTGCGTTGCTTTAGTCACTTTCTAATTGTACACAAAATAACTTTATTGCACATACAATACTCGATTTTTACTTTTTTAACATGCACATTTCCTGTTGTTTGCACACCCTGAGTTATCTTTTGTATGACTTGTCAAATTTGTGTCTCCATTGTGAGATTCATAACGTTTTATCTTATCTTATCTCATGTAAATAATAACCATGTTTTTAAAAAGCATCAGGCAATAGGAAATAATCTAGAATTCATTAACAAGATGACACATGCTGTGGAGTGCGGTGGGTACAACAGTTATTGCTGCAGACAATGTCGGGACAAAGCCTGGCTCACCGAAGCACAGCAACAATAGACGCTTGTGTGATCGCCAACTGTTGCCATTTGCTCACAGTCTCATGGAAATTCAGCTTTATTCACGGTTTTATTTTGCAAATTTATAATACTGTTTTGCCAGATGACAGGTTATTATTCCCTGTTAGTTTGTATTGGAAGAATGCCTGTGTGTTGTGTAAACTAGAAATACTGCATCGTTTCATTGTTTTGATGGAAATATTGAATGTGTATCCGGTCTACAGGCCAATCATGAGATACATGTATACTATGGGCATCAAACCATTTAGCAGTGATTTGTGTGATTTTTAATTATGATCAATTGTGTAATACATTAGTTTATTTTATCAAAATAGCAATTTAATTTGATATTGTTACACACAAAAAATTGTGGATGCCTGTAACTTTTCTTCCCTAAATAAAGACATGAACATGCATCATTTAAAGCCACACTCCACTAATAATATAGTTCAGAAATGTCTAGGGTCAGGAGGCAAAATGTAACCGTTTGTGGCCCTCAAACTGAATTGACCCAGATTAGACTGAAAATATCTTTTTGCACCAAACTAACCTAATATTGGCCTTCTGGTTCTGAATCAAATTGTAGCTTTACTTTCCTCTAAGTGTTTCAATGGTAAAAGTTTGCTCAATTCCTACAGCTGGATCCCTGGGCTCCACACTTGACACGCTGCCCTAGTACATTTAAGAAGGCTGGATCAAATACAGCGAATACAGCTTTTCTACAGGGACAACAAAGTATATCTTAACCTTCCCGCTTGACTTTGTTTGGTCCCACAGAGCCGTTTTGGACCAACACTTGTTTGACGATGACGACTTCTTGTACGAGGATTCCCATGAGCTCCTGAGGTTTCACTCCGCTGCTCCGTCCATCCAGCTGCTTACCGACTGGTACCAAACCCGCGCCAAAGACATTGAATTCAACTCCAGACAGGTAACAGCGTCATTTCATGTAACCTACAGCACATGCTTATTGGCTGGTGGGCTTTGTTGTGCCTTGATGGATAAAAGGCAAAGAACTCCACATGACATTTCCACTGGATTTCAGTCTCATTTGCAGTGGCACCTCCCATAGTTTACCAATGCACCGTTAATACAGGGCCAACGCTGCTTTTTAATTTATAGCAATTATTTTACACACATGCAAATCACTTGAGGGAGAGAAATTGGACTGGTTAACTCAAGTGGAATAAATAAGTTGGTTTACTCACTCTATTCGCCTCATATGGTCAATCAATATTTAATGTTTTTCCATCAATGTGTGTGCTTTGAGATGTTGTTTGGTGTGCCTTTGGAAATTATCCATCCATCCATTTTCTTCCCCTTAATCCATTTCTGGGTCGGGGGGGTGGCCAGAGCTGCACCCAGTACACAGAGCACCAGCCCTTATCAGAGCACCAGCCTTAGAAATTATCCAATATCACCTAATTTGTCAAAATATTAGGAGAATATTAGAAAGACCTTTTTACGCTTGTTTGATTTTCTATATAATATACTTTGATTAGAATGACTTTGTATTTTTGATCAAGGCTGCAGTGCTCAATTTTTTTAATCAGTTTTAGCTGGTGGCGTGCCATGTGATTTGTTTTCAATAGAAAAGGTGTACCACGGGTTAATTAAGGATCGGGAAACACTGATTTGTCCAGTATTAGTACATCTGCATTTGCAAATACATTAACTCAAACTAGATTAAATACATTTAATTGTACAAATACATAGAGCTGATATTATTATTATTTTTCTAACTGGGTAACTGCTTTAATATTAATACAAAGGGAACTTATTCTTTTTGGCATATATTTGTATTTTCTTTGTTGGATCAAGGTTTACAATTAAAAAACATGACAACCAGAATTAACGTCTCAATTACATTTTTCTTATTTTTTTTACAACGAGACAGATGTGGTAAAGAATTAGCCATCAGTCTGTGTGGACAGAGAATAATTGCCTTTATGGTGCTTTTTGGACGAGCAGAGCGTAAACAAGTGACAAACACAATTGGTCGCGTGGAGGAGCTGGTGCCAGTCCCCATCAGTCAAGGTCACTTTGATCCTATCTACTGCAGTGATTATCACACTTACCATATGGGCTTGTAATGAAGAGTAACCACTGCTTCTGTCACTGTAACTGAAAAATAGGAGCTGATTGCACTTGTTTAGTAAAGTAATGGGATGTAGCACTAGCTGCCCACATCTCCGCCCACTTCATCCAAGCGTTTTATACTGACTTTTCTCAGCAATGGATCACAGTTGTCACCGATTTCCTTTTGTCTTGGCGGAAAGGGTCTAACTGAAGTGAACTCAAAGCTTTTCCGACTCATTTCTCCATTCCAAGAGATTGAAGCAGGAGTCGTTTAGGGTCCACTGCTCATTTTTCAAGACAACCGGCTACAGTGCAGATGATAAAAAACAGAAAAATAGAATGAAATTGCAGAAAATTACGCTGATAGCATTTTAATTAGAGCTTCTTCTCATCATGAACATGTTGCAACACAAAACTAATTGAAGCATTTTCATCGCATTAAGGGTGATTACTTTAAAAAAACAATGCAAATAGGGTTTGGTACATTCTTCCCAGACTGATGACATTATTTCTAGGGATGTACCGTTACCGATAGTGGTGCCGGGTCGATGCCATAGGCTTGTACTCGTACTCAAACCATAGGGTTAGGGCAACCGAGATCACCAAAGACGCAAGCCATCGGCACGCAAACTAGCGGCACGCAAGCTAGCAGCACGCAATCTATGTTACATTGTGTAAGGCAAAACTGTCACGAGGTGGTTGCAAAACTAACACGTATAACACCAGCAAATTGATCATACATCTGAATACTCACCACCGAGCAGAGTTCAGCTAGCTCCTTTGCTAGCACCGGAGCTATTTCTTTGTACCATTTGTATGAGTGGAATATGACGGTGGCTCTTATTGTTGACTGTTTAACAATTAAACATTTTAGCAATTGTTTTGAGCATTTCCCTATTGTTGAAATGAGAAATAAAACATCTAAATTCCAGTTGTGTTAGTTTTATGAATTCCCAGGGATAACACAACGCAGGACTTGGTATTCGGTATCGGCCAGTACTCAAATGAACTCGTACTCTTATTGGTTTGGAAAAAAGTGGTATCGGTGCATCCCTAATTATTTCCCTCCCTTTATTCAAATTAATACGAAGAACATATAGTCTCTAGCTGAAGTGTTTTTGTACGAACCCTTACTTACAGCCAGATCAATAGAGTCTGCTCTCTTGAGTCTAATTGCACAGCCTCTGACTCAAGGTAATTCTGGAGGTTTTCTCTTCTTTGCTTGTGTAGCTGTAGCATACAGTAATGTATTCACTAGTGAACAATTTAAGTAGCAAAGCATGACAAGGTTGTTGCCAAAGTGATTGTGTCCAAGGCTGGCGTTACGCTAACTGCTCCACCACTGGGCTCTCCCCTTGTCTAAAAGGTGAAGAGAAAGCAATCATCACTATAGGGAGCAGTAGCTTCTACCATTGATCGCAGAGCATCCACAGGTAGCAAGGCATCGATTGGCCGGGGCTAGTGCCATCGTATAGGTGGGCGGATATTGACCACTTGCTCTTCTGGTTGGAAATCTATTGATCAAAGTTCAGAGAGCTCAAATCTCACATGTTTTATGTCGTCCAGACAAACAATTAAATATTAGTAATGGATTTTCAACGGTTGTAATGATCTCGAATTTCAATGATATAGACTTCATTATTTTATCTAAAGTATCTAGACCTTGTCTGAAACAAGCCAGTCATTAATTTACTTCATGATTTCTGTAATACATATATCTCTAAATGAAGTATAACCTAAAGCAGTACCAGAGTTTGAGAATCACGTCAATTGTAATGGGCAGTCAGTGTAACTGCAATGAATATATGTCCGGTTGCTTCCGGATGCGACTACGTATAAAAGCAATCATGTCATTCTGCGCCAGCAACAAACTGTCTCTGCATCTTGTTGTGAAGGAAATTAATGTTGTATACGTTGCAAAAGACTGTTGTGTATTTGTATAGGACCCTGACATTGTCTAAACTCAGCACATTGTCCTCAGAAATGTCAGCAAGGACAGAACTGGTTGTTTCCTGGATTTGGCTGCACAGTTTGTAGACTATACTAAACAACATATTTTCTTTTTGCATTAAATTATACTACATTAGGTTATTATGGTGAAATTAGATTATTATTGTCTGGCATAATCAGAAACAAAAACGATTGGTTTAAATTTGCATCATCTTCTATCTCCAATACAATATATTTAGTTTGAATTCACATCTAACAGTATTTATCATTGAAGTGATACACTTGTTCTCAGGTGGATTGTGCCCTGTCTTTTGTGCGCCTGGGAAAAGAGCGTGAGATCCCGGGGTTGGAGAGCCTGTGTGATGACCTGGTCACCATGGAGACACTGGTGTACGAGACGTCCTGTGAAAAAGGTTTGACACTTAAAGACCTGCAGCAGCTCAGCGACATCGACAAGCTCCGTCTGCTCATGAAGAACGTGAGTGTGATTACATTACTTAAGCCATCAGCCCTGCGCACCAGCCAGCTTGAACAGTAATTATTACACGATGGTTTTCTCAAGTGTTAAATATGGTATGAAGACATGACAGTGGCTCACTTCCTGATTAGAGCTGTCAGACATGGTTAGACAAAGTGACTAACATCCGGTGTATTGGCTTTTATCCATGTTCAACACACGTTCGATGAGGTGCATGATCGATCTCCATATATACACATAATCCAAATATATAGTTATGGTTATTATAATTAGCTCAGTCAAGGGGTCATGTTTTCACAAGGGATTGCTTTGCATGTCTGTCTGTTGACAAAATGACTCAAATCCATGGATGGATTTCTTACAACCTTTTCAGTAAGAGACTACTAGTGCTTTTCTAGTTTTGTTATTTAATAAGAATAACTTGTATCAATATATCTATTTTTTACATCCATAACTAAGTTGAGGATTGGCAACACAGGTTCAGCTGTGATCCAGGTGCAAGACAATAAAATAGTGTATACGTTTTTGCATTCATCATTGATTCTGCAACTTCAAGCTAAAAAAAGTGATTGGTTGAAGCAAACATGTTCTACTCGTATTTGTTTTTGTGATTTTTTTTCAAGCTCAACTATTGCTGTGCTCTTGTTAGCCTGAGCTTTCAGAGAGAGCGAACAGTGTTGTGTAAAAGGTGCTGTAGTGACTTGTCCCTGTGGAGTACACAATATGAGCTGTATTTTGTGGCTAATAGTGGCTAGCATACACCTGTCCGCCACTGCTACATTCTCCGTACATGCAGGCAGCCAAACACTGTTGACTGCACCAACACTGGCTATTTGACTCTCGCTCCCTTTGGGCCCCGTCTCTGTTTGAGAGTGTTTACCAAACTCTTCGTGGGCAAATTTTCCCTCTGCCTGCCTCTGATCTATTTCATAATCACAGACATATAATGGGAAAGTAAAATGCTGGTGTGTATATATGTGTGTGGGTGGAAAAAAAGGTTTGCGTTAAGAAACCTGGATGTTTACTTGCAAGAAATCCATGACTCAATGGTGCACTGCCCTGGTTGAACCTGTCAACATCATATTGCAGAACAGGCAGCCCACCCAGAGCTGCTATTATACAGTAGTTCAGAGAGTTTTAAGTACATGGTTTGAGTACAGCTAAGATTACCGTCATTATTTTGAAACCTTACATGCTGAGAGGAGGTTTCTAAGAGAATTATATATTTAATGTAATGAACATTGTGTTTCATAAAGTAGTTTTAGTTCTCCAGGGGCATCACTTGAGCTTTGTTTTGATTAAATGTATTCCACAAACTCCACATTCACTGGCTGTATGGAATTGAGACAACTAATCTGTTAATCAAAACAATAAAAAATCCTTTTCACAATAATTGTTAATTACCTGCCTGATTTTTTTATTTTCCAAACCTTATGGGCATAAACAATTCAAGCTTTTAATCTGTATTTCTTCCTCCAAATGTTTCATCAAGCATCGACTGAAAATCTATTAGTGAGAAGATCCTCGCAGATTATTGGCAGTTTGAAATGAATGTCTCTCAATTAGGTGAAAAACTGTGATTAATCACCTTGTCCCATTCCATTAGCAAAGGGCTATTCAAAGTCTTAAAATGTAATCAAACCCTTGCAAAGGATCTGAACAAGTACCGCTGGAGTTGTTCATCATAATCATGTTTCTCTTTCAGTCGAATCTGGAGCGTTATAAGAAGGATTGTTTCCAGTGGATGGTACCGTTTCTTCACCGCTGCGAGGGCAAGACGGAGGGCGCCTCAAAGTCTCTTCTCCGGGAATACGTGGTCAGCTTGTCCCAGCACGACCTCACACTGCCCCTTATCGTCTTCCAGAACTCAAAGCCTGACGTACGTACACAAGCTACCACCTGAACGAAGGGGCAATATGTCAAGCCATTTTCTCTCTGCCAAGGCCGATTGCTTTTCTCTCGGATTGTAAATGTTTTGTTTATGACCTCTAGCGGGACAAAGCTATGTCAAAGTGAAAGCTGTAGTCTTAGGCAGTGTGTAAGTCATGGCCTGTGTGTGTCTCCCCCCAGTCCACACAGAAGATTGTCGGAGATCCAGACCAGCTGATGCAGGTGGCGCTAGAGTCTATCTACAGCTGCGAGAGGGAAGACCAGCTCAGCCTGTGCTATGACATCCTGGAGTGTCTGCCACAGCGCGGTTACGGGTAAAAAAGACACACAATGCTGCACCATTTCTTTTACTTGGACCGTTTCAGAAGAAAATATGTTGACGTTTTATTTCAGAAATAAATGAAATGCAGAAAACAACAGGGTATATAAATGGTAAAGCATGTCTCTGTTAGGGTTGTCAAAAGTATGGAAACTCAGGTATTAATTAATACTAGAACAAGAGTCAAAACTAGTTATTCATTTCAGAAAGCCAAAGGGAAAGCAGGCTGAGCAGAGATGCCCAGACTTCCCAATGCCTTTTAGTGAAAAAAAAGTCATGAACAGGTCAAAATCTGAGAAACTTTGAGCTTTTTTGAAGGAATTCTCCCAACCAGTGAAAAGTATTAAGGCATTACAAAGTACTATTCTATTAATATGTGGTATTGCAATAGTTTAACTTCTTACTTTTATACTGCCTTCTAGCAATGTCAGTTTTGGTTGTTTCCACATGAAATTATTCTTCACAAATACAACAAAACAAAATACTTACATACGTAGTGTAATAAAACTCAATTACCATAATAGCCAGCTGTACAATTATTTACTCTAAAATAACATTACACACAGACGGATGTCATATTTGTAGTAAACGTTATTATAAGAAGTTAAAAAAATAGTATGATGCTATCTGTCTTGCTCCGTTGTCCTTTCCCTTGAATAGCCACCTACATGTCAATGCTCTTTTTGCTTCACGACAACTATCCCTCGTCTGTTTTAAGTCAATCAATTTGAATATTTTTTATTGATGAATTTAAATTATTTTCTGTTCGGAATACTTAATCTTGAATCCACAAATGTTCTGTATTAAATCATCTTGAGTGGTTGCTGCTTAGCCCATGGTTTTTGAGGTAATAATCAATACAATGAAATACATCGGCATGTTTTTTACAGCGTTTCAATTTTCATCGACAATCTCGATACTGGTTATGTTGTTTCTTATACGTCAGCGTCTCTACTTTTTGCGTAAACTTATAGAATTTACCACTAACTCTAAGATTCTGCTTAACTTTTATCGCTGCACCATTGAGAGTTTACTTGTTGGTTCTGTGTCTGTGTGGTTTGGAAACATCACAGATAAAGAAAAGAGAGCTTTAAACAAGGTGCTCCGCTCTGCAAAGAGGACCGTGGGCTGTGAGCTTCCTGTTCTGGAGGTTCTTTATAAATCCAGACTTTTAAACAAAGCTCTCAGGATTGTCAATGACTCTTCTGGCCACCCTGGGAAAGCCATGTTCCAGCTTCTTCCCTCTGGCAGAAGATATCGCTCTCTGAGATGCAGGACATCTCGTTACGCTAAAAGTTTTTATCCACAAGCTGTTATCAGTGTGAACAGAGCACTTTAAGGATTTGCACTTGTTTTGAAACTGTTTTAGTCAATAGATTTCACAGTGACATTTGTTTACTGTTTTATTTGTTTTATTTTTGTCTTTTAATGTTGTTTTATGTCTGTATTTGTCTGTGCACACTGGAGACTTTTGCTAATGTATTCCAATGTGGTGTTTTTACTGCAAATGGCAAATAAACTGAATCTGAATCTGAATCTGACAATATATCTAAGCTTGGATTTTAGATAATGAAAACTGTTGATATGGATATTGTTATGATATTGTTATCAATACTTTTAGCATTAATTCACACATCAATCTCACATCAACCTTTTTTGACTTTAGACAGAATCCTGTTTATTCTTTTTGAAAACATATTTACGTCACGAAAGATTTTAGTTGTCGGAATCCATTCAAAATCCTCAAACTGTTGGTATGACCCAAAGCTCTAATATAGCAAAGTATTATAACTAGAATCTTTCAGTTACAGTAAAGTAGGACCATTATGTTAATCTGAAAACTGTAATTTGAATATAAAATGTGTACATACTGTATTAACTGGGATGATTCAGCTCGATGAGGAAACTATTGCCTGGTATAATGCCTTTTAGCTCTGTTCATGAAGCGGGTATAATGTTTATTTCCAAGTCACTGCGTTTCTCCATTTCACCCATCTTCTCACATTACACTTTGAGCTTCCTCTTCTTTGCCATTTGGATTAGCTGTTCCGCGAGCTCTGCTGCGGTGTGTGCACTGCCTTCAAACTTTCACTTTCCTCCCAGGAGTGATCCCTCTGACTTACTTAGCTCCAACGTTGCCACCCCAAAGCCAAATGTATTACAATTCAGAGCTGGGAAAGAAACCATAACTGTAGTTTCAACTTTTTTTTTCCAAGATGGCTTAATTAGGTCCTAATCTTCTCAGAATAATGTCATGTGTATCCACCCAGAGTGGGGAATACTAAAACGGGCAAAAGGATTAGTTTGTGGAAGGATCGAATAAGGAAGAAATTGGTATAAAAAAGGTGGGGATAGAAGAGCACCAGTGAATATTAAGTGATGGAGATACAGGCTCTTTCTCACACACAAAAAGAGTGGAAGCTGTTTCATCAGGGTCAGTGTTCCTATGGGGACTCTCCGGGACGACCCAGAATCCATTGCCTGAAGGCACAAAATCACTGGGTTTTATTCTTAGTGGGAGCACAGTGCTAACTCTATTGCAGTGTGCACCATACAGACGGGGCAGTCGTGTGAGAGCAGAGCTGAGCAGTGTCTTGCACCATCCGTGTGTCAGTCTGTCAAAATAACTTGTCAGAAATACATCACTCTACTATGTAGCTGTTTGTTTCATGTGACATTTTTGATATTTTATTGCTTCTACAGCTACAAGTTCAACAATTTTACAATACAGCGCTATATCTATAATCTTTAGCCAAAACCTTTTACTTACAGCTGTTACAGGTGGATTATGAATAATTTAGCAATCAGAAATTAATTTCTTGAATCCTACGCAGTCTTAAACATCTATTGATGAGGCTTATTGAATCTACCAGAACTAAAATGCAGAATGAAATGGAAATGTTAAAATAAATGTATTGATAAAACAACCGACATTGTTTCAACTCATCCTTACACAAACTTAACTCATCCCCATGATAATATTCAGGAAAGGCAGCATTTGTTACAACTAATATATTCATTAAACAAATAATATATACATTATTATATCATGATTATTCTTTGTGTGTTTCAGACCACAGACGGATATCACTTCATCCCTTCACGACCAGGTGGACCAACTGGAGAAACACCTCAGGTACTTTGGCCTATTGCTTGTTGCCTCCAAGAATGATTCCTCTGCTGCTCATGGGAACTACACAATGTGTTCGATTAATCATTGAATCAAATTCATGTATATTTATATGCTAATGCATTTATAAAATGCATTAGCAGATTATAACTCAATCCGCCTCGTAGCTTTAATCATCCTCTCAGCCCTATTGAAGACTGACTCCGCCTCATCCTTCATCTATACGTCGCGGCTCTGCCTGTTGTCTTGTTAAATTGCTCAGAAGCTCCCTTCAGTTCAGTGATTAGTGCTGCACTGCTGGGAAGAGTTTGTGGCAATGCTTATTACTTTCCTCCCCCATTAGTGTCCTGATGGAAAACATTGGAGAAAAGAAACGACATTGATGTGCCTTAGAAATGCACTAAAGCTAACTCAATATCCTACGACCCCAGGGTGTCCCTTGATAGCCAATAGCCTCCAGCAGGGTGTTATAGAGATAGGTGGAAAGGTGTGGAGCTATAATTTAGTAGGAACATAAGGATGGTCACATGGCTGGTCTTGAAAAAACATGTAAAAGTTAGGTCAGCTATACAAGAAATTATGAAATCTCATGAGTTCATGACATAATGGTTTTCTATATTTTATTGAAAGAATGAAAGGAAACCAAACATCAATTAAAGTGAATCAATGTCAGTTACTTTTCAAATTGACATGAGGGAGTCAACCTGCAGCTTCCTGATTGGACGAAATAGATTCAAATCATTGAGGCCTCTCGTCGTTGGTTTAACAATTTCTAAAAAAGATAAATCAGTAAAAAAAAATACTGTAGGGTTATATGAAGTTCTGATTAAACTGTAACTGTTGTAAATCTTTAACATATGCAAACACATCCTAAGGCACGTGTACATATTTCCTAAAGTTCTATGCTCAGGCAATGTCAGTCGCCCCAAGTCAAGTCTCTAAATGCAAAGTGAAATGTTTTCTTCATGCTATTTCCACATCACGTGTAAAGGGGAACATGCAGACACTCCCATGTGTTCACGCCCAGGCAGCCTACGTTTGTTGACTGGGGGTTTGTTGTCTTCCGCCCGTCGCTCTCACGCTCCTGTTTTCTATGTTAATGAGCTGCAGCAGAGAGCGAACATCTGTAGTGGCACAACCCTTTTGAGACTCAAGTTGCAATGTTAATCCTCCACCAGCGCGCACACAGACCTCTCCGTCATGAGAGACGGCACACATTTGCGAGCACCTAAACAAGCTGGCACACACAAGCACTACTGCTATAGGGGCGGGCGGTTTATTATTATTATTATTTATTATTATGTAGTGCATTGTAGTATGTACTGTATATTTCTGACCATGGGGGGCTGTACCTCTATTTACAGTATTATTTTTTAACAATATTAGCTTCACGGTCTTCCTGTAACACAATATGAAAAACACATGGCCCCTATGAAATGAATACATACAGTAATTACACTAAGGGTAATAAACTTGGAAAATTAGAAAAATTGTTCAAAACACCATTGTCTTCTGAAATTCAACTTATGAACTTATACGCTAAAGTGAGATCTATCAACATACCTGTATTGGTTTTAATGTTGATGATTGGCTTACAATTAATTGGCTTACATTTAATTACAACTAATCTCAGAATTTTCTTATTTTTTTTTATGGACCGTAATCATTAACATTCGAACTAACAAAGGCTTGGACTATGTTTCTTTGCATGTAATGAGTCTATATCATATTTTACAGTTATAGACTGTTATTATACATATTCTACATTTCACCTTTATATCAAAATATCAATGCTTGTTCATGATGAAATATGTCTGTATTAGTGTGGTGGAGGTCCTAGAGAAACACAATCTGCAGAAGCCCATCTCATTTGTACGCAACAGTCAGTCCAGCGAAGAGGAAGCTCACCAACTCATGGTCAAGTTGTGTCGGCACACCGGGCGCAAGTATGTAAACAAATATAAACATAGTCTCTGCTAATTAAGATCTTAATCACTCTAACTAATTATGCTCGCCTGATTCAGGAAACCTCCGGTGAGTGAAACCGTGTGGATGGGGCTGTTACAAGACCTGCTTGATATGCAACGAAATGTCTACACCTGTCTGAAGCCGGAGACTTGTCACCAGGTATTTCAACAGAACAGTTCAATTCAATAAATTTTTTCATTTCTCCAAATCATTAAAGTTGCTATCTCAGAGAACTTTACAAGCCGTCGACTCGCCAACACAGATCAAAGAATCAAAGAGTTCAAACACAGCAAATACGATGATTTAAAAAGCATATGGAACCATTTGTCCGTAAGGGGCAGATTACCAATGTCATAACAAAAAGCCATAATCCTTTTTTACTCTAAAAACCAACAATACATCTGTTTTCTGGGTTCAATCAGCTTTATTTAGGGCAGTCGTATAACATAAAAATCCTAGTAATAAAAATAGTAGTAATATTGGTGTCTTGTAACATTAGATCACCTGAAAGGGAGTGGATAGCATTCTTGCCGCTCAGCAAGAAGGTTCTGAGTTCGAATCCCGGTCGGAACAGGGCCTTTCTGAGTGGAGTTTGCATGTTCTCCCCGTGTCTGCGTAGGTTTCCTCTGGGTACTCCGGTTTCCCCAACCACTAAAAACATGTGCAATAGTTTTGGGTGAATGAATGAGTGTGTGTTTGTGAGTGCGAATGTGGGACAACAGATGCAAATTACAATCCAGAGTGATGTGTTCATTACTGTTCATGTACTGTCCAAACCAAATTAACAATAAACAAACAAGAATTCTAGAAATGTTGGTCAAACAAATGTCATGAATATTAATGTGTATCTAATGTATTCAATGCCTGGAGGTATAACAACACAAAATTAGGATGTGCCTCGCCTTGGTATTTATGAGCGAGTGCTGGACCACAGAGCTATTGACGTCTCTATTCAATTAAGTTGTTTAATCCCAAGCTTTGTGCTTAGTTACTTATTCCTTTTAAATACATTGCGCGTGTGTGTGTCTGTGTGTGTGTGTGTGTGTTGCTCCAGGTCTTTGTGGAGTCCCTGCTGTGTTCCAGCCTGGTGGAGAACGTGCGCCTGGCGGGACAGCTCATGCACTGCTCTAAGGTATATTAAATAAGTCTTCTTCAGAGAGAGCCTCCTCCGGCTCTCAGTCTCGAAAGTCCTTAAAATTAATCCAACACACTCTCTGATCTTCTCCGACTGTAGGTGAACCAGGATGTTCCTGTGAGTTTGTCTTTCCGGGGAAAAGGCTATGCCAAGAAAGTCCCGTATAACAATAGCGTGGAACTGGTTTTAGCTGCAGCGCGAGAATACTTCAACTCGTCCACAACGCTGACGGACCCCTGCATGCATCTCGCCAGGTGGGAATCTCCTCCAGAAAGTTTGGTCTGTGAAAATAATTGGCTCTTTATACGGCACAATAAAAGTATTAGTGGGGTTGTTAGTTACAATAATAAATCTATTCCCTACTTGCATATCACCCATAATGCTTTAGCCCTGGGAGTATAGTGAGCATACGGCTGTTTATGATGGATTCTTCACTGTGTTCATCAGACTTCATCAAAGCACTCAGAGCATACACGTGTTTTGTCTGTTCGAGCAAAGTTCCTTGTTGGAATTTGCAACAGATCTTTCAGTGTTCTGTAAAAATTTAGTTCTGGGTTGTGTGCTCTGTTTGTAGTAGTTTTGTCCTATTATTTAGCAGTAACTATCAAGGAAAAGGCACAAATTTGCCAATCATCTGAATTATAGGACCACAGCTAACCCTGTGAGGTGCAAATCATTTTGGTATTGTGCAAGTAGTCCCTTTTGTAATTTGAATTTTGTGATTGAAAATGTCGAATTAAAATTCAGATTTTTTTTTACTTTCATTTCCATTCAATTCAAAAGTATTTGTTGCAAATTTAATACAACTTCTCTCAATGTTCTTCATAAATTTACAAGTCAAAATGATTAGTGTTAATATGAATTGTTTCATTTGATTTGTTCAGTACATGCAAGACACATAAATGAGTGATTAGCAAATAAGCAATTAAACAACATTCTCACATAAATGGGAGAGTGTCCATAATTTAGGTCCATCACATAGGTAATAACACTTTTACATATAAGCAGTAGTGACGCTGCAAAGTATTTTCTGTTTCCTTATACATGGTCAATAAATTGATAATGTAAATATTCCTTTTTTGTTTGGATAACTCTTTTTGGTTTAGTTCATTACAGTGTGGGTGGATGCAGACTTTTATTGCCTGCATAATTGAGCTAAAGGCGTAATAATATCAGTTTGTTTCATTTCCCTGAACACATACTAACAGGCGGCATGCTTTATATGCGTCGAGCACTGTGGCTATTTCCGATCTCCGAGGGGTGCCTGTGGGTGTGTAACCTCCCCTTCTGTTCCGAGTGGGGGAATGGGGCTGTAATTGGGCCGTTATTCTTTTATAGTAACTAACATGAACTCACTGCCTCCATAGACCTGGACATTTTAATCCATCGAGACTCTGGTGTTAGTTTTTGGAGCCATGGGTTAGATGGACCAGAAAGTTGGTCTGGATGTGTGCCTTTTGCTTTGAAATGAATGGTCCATAATCTCCACATACAGTGCAGCAAAGTGTCCTCTAGACTAAAATAACTGTCCCACAGACATACATGTGCTGAAGGCTACACACACTGGGACAGCAGCAGAGATGGCAGCGTGAATGGATGGTTGGGTCAGTGGTATCACACAGGAGTGGACACCATGATGAAGGAGGCTCCTAAAATAACAAGGGAATCCCAACTACTATTGTTGCGTACAAAGACATGGAATACAACCGTGCAATTATAGCAGTGTTTGGATATTTTTAAAAATCCATGCATGTATTTTTTTGACAATAATACTTTATGCATCTGAGTAACAGATGTCTAAAGCTAAGATTTATTTATTGAATAACCAAAGTAAGTCTGTTGGATGAAAAAAATAAAATTCCTTTTAATTTTTACCCCATCCTTTGCCTAAAAAGTTTTTAACTGAAGATGCTAGATGCTGGATAGTTGTTAGATTTAGGCATTTATTTTGTAAGACTACATTGGAGTTTGCCCTCTGCATTAACCCACATCCTTCAATTTTACTCAATCCCAAAATGTAATTGGTTATAAAATCTTTAATACAGTCAACAATACTTTTTTACTGCCATTTTTAGCTTCTAGTAAGTAACTAATCTTTATTACTGTGTGTGTTCAGCACCTCTCCTAGACAGAGTCACAAAGCGCTTTACACAGGGATAGGAGCGGGGTCGCCAGGATGCACATGCTGGCAGTCTTCTGTTTCAATCCCAGCAAAGCCAAACGAGAATGTCCAAACCCATATTCAATCGAAGTAATCATTTGTTCAAAATATTTCCATAATGTGAACAACTAAATACACACAAATGCCCAAGAGGAGCTCTCCTTTTCTTCTTTAAAATAAAACTTTTCCCATCAATATCCATACAAAGCGATTATGAAATTTCCTTGACAAATGTCCTAATTGCTAACTAGGGCATCAGCATGAGCCCCTACCCCAAGTTTATTTTCTTTAAAGTAGCAATATGTAAGATTTTCAAGTCAAGTCAGCATTAAATGACCCTAATCTGTCAAAAGACATGTCATAAAACATGCTCTTTTCCATTTCTTCTTAAACTGATAACAGTAGTTCAGCCGAGATATTCGAATTCGAATCTTGTTATTGTTTTCATTTCGATGTCCCGCCCTCCACTTTTTCACCAATCAGAAAGTCCGTGATCCGGGTTGCCAGAACTCACTGTGTCCAGCTATTCTCACTGGTAAAGTACCATGTTGCCATAAGACTAAAAAATGTCTCCTTGTGATTCTTAGAACATTAATGACAAAACAAGAATAAAATGAGGAATTCTATCAGGGCCTTTGTGAAAAAGATTTTGGTTATAGATTTGTTGTTTCAGTTATTCAGTTATTATGGTCCCAGCTGGACTCGTCTGCATATCTGGCAACCTGAGTCAGGGAGAGTGGGAGAGGTTCCAGTACCACTTTTGGCCAGATTTTCACATACCTCTCCTTTAAAAATGATTTGAAGTAAATAAACCTTAGAAAACCCATTTCAGTCAATCCCTAATTTTATGGCAATCACTAATTTAATGGCACATGTTATAGGGGGTAACCAGAACACCTTGAGGAAAACCCACCCAGACAGGCAGAGAAAAATGCAAGCTCCACACAGAAAGGCCCAGGCTAACATGCTATCAAGTCCACAACCTACTACCACTCAGTCATTGTGCTGCTGAATAAACGAGAAACATTGTTTTTGAGGTCGTATCCACCTGCCCTTGTAGAAAACCGTTCCACACATTGTTCAAACTTATTTCCTGTTTTTCCCCCGTGGCTCTGATAGAAGCCTGCAGACACTTCACTGCTTAAGTACATAATCAACATTGCCTCCTCCGCTCTCTTGTTCTCAATGAGTCACATTTCACCGGGACAAACCTCTTGTTCCTGGCAAGAACACCATAACTCTACTCAAAGCAAGAAGCTGCTAGAGCACTGTTTTACCCAGCATGCCATTTTCAAACAGCTTTTTCTTGAAGATTTTTCTGTGACTTGGATTACACAGAGTTCTGCCTTTTGAACCACTATCTCAGTTCACAAACTCGAAAAAACTTCACATTTAGTCAACAGGATTTTGTCTAAAAATCCCCTCAAAGCTGTTGTTGTTGGTCTTATTTGTAAATTAATAACTCTTCCAAAATGTGTTTCATCGTCTAATTGGATACATGGAAAATCCCAGAAAATATGAGTTACATTTTGAGCAGAGGACACGAGCACGTAATCCGATTAGATTAATGAGTGTGGATTTTAGCAAAAGGAAACTTGCTGCAGATCCATCAAACAAGTCTAGACTTTGTAAATAAATCCATTTTACTTTGAAATAACGCTAGACAATATTGGGATAATTTTAATAATATTTTGTATGTGTCCTTTTCTCTCAAATATAGCCTTATCGTTTCTGTTTTTAATGAGTGCCTAATTTAGTTCCTTATGCTTTGTGTCCTTTTCCAAACATCTCAAGTCGATTTAAGTGTTGATTTAAGATTTGTTGTCATTTTAGATGTCTATTGAGCACTGAAGATATAACTATAAAAGATGTCTAGTTTGAGATTATAAGAACATAATTATGCATTTGAAGGATGTTATCATAGACATAAAAATAGATTGACAATGCTAACCCCCTAGCTCAATGAAACCCAGCAGGGAAGTGCTCATGGACGAGGTTTTGCTCCAACTCAGGCTCTTCTAGACTTGGATTGAAAAGTTAACTCACGGCCCAGTCACAGTTTGCGTCACACTCATCATTTTGGGCTTTACAAACGCATGGTATAGATTTCTCTTCAATCCTGCTGTTTATATTGTGATATCCAGATATGAGGCCAAACTACTGACTGATAAAGAGCCTTCTTGTCGCTGAATTCTGCTTTAGGTAGCAAGTGGGGACAGACCGGTGTCGCTCCTGCATGATCAGCAATTTATAACTCGCCGATGGCTCAAATAATTTGTTCGGGCTTGCTCTAATTGGCCACATCTGCATTGAGGCAAACACTGTGGATCAGCACTCAGTCAGGCCTATTACACAGTCTATGCATATTCTGTACAGGAGAGAACTCTGCAAACAAATCATACCAAAGTGTTCTTGTTCAGTTTGTAGCTTTATGGTAGCTTCGCTTGTCCACAGGGCCTGTCTCCAGCTGATCACAGACTGCCCCGCGGACATTCAGGAGGAGCTGGACCTCATCACTGCCCTTGGCCAACTGCAGGACTTCAGTGTTAACATCCTGCCCCTTCAAGGTACAAGGACACCCACTCCCAAATGAACTCTAAATCTCCATTCTTGAAAAGCAGTTTATTTTTGAAGCATTTACGGCATTGTATTGACCACAGAAATGCAAGATCATATCCCACAACAGCATTTACAGCTAGTTAAGAAACATACTACTTATTTTGTATATTTTTGTGTGCTCTTACTGCTGTCCTGTATGTGCACTGCAACATTGAAATTTCCCTACTGTGGGACGAATAAAGGATCTCTTATCTTATATTATCTTAATTCATTAAGACATGTTGTGTGTTTGTCATTTACAAGAATATTCATTTTCCTTAAGCACTCAAGCTGCCAGCCGTTCCAGTGTGTGTCAAGTCTCTCTCACTTTACTATAAAAACTACAGTGTAGACAAATCTAGGGATATTTATGAATGAAATGCTGAGCCAACAATATCAGCGTGAGGGATTAATTACTATTGAAGAGTGTAAAATGCTTTTGTAATGTAAGTGTATCTTTTCTATTGGTGTTTCTACGCCTGACTCATCAGTTTTCCCCACTTGCTTTCTTGGCTCCGTATCAGTACATAGCGACTTTACTTCTGTATGAATTGTCTTCTTTTGAGAAAATTGTGAGGCCAGAATAAACCAGCTTGGCCCCTTATCAACTTACCTTTAACCCCAGGTGTTTCTTTCCCCCATGGCCCTGTTCTGTTCCCCCTTTTGCCCTCGTCAAAATGAGCTGAGCTGTACACCATGTTTTTCTCTCTCTTTGTTCGCTTGGGTCACATTGCTCCTTCTGCAGCTTTTACTACTGACCCACAAAAAAGCCATCTATAGGGCTCAAAGGTTCCAATATCGGCTTGTCTCATGGAAATGATATTGTTTTGGATTTCTTTAAAATCTTATTTTTTTATACTGCAGGAAAAAAATGCAAAACAAAAGCTGAAAATTGCTTATCATGAGCTTTAGTTGCCTTTGTCCCTTCGCACATCATTTTAATTTCCTCAAGGATACATTTTATACTGAGCAGTGATTGGTGGTTTAACACTATTTTGAGCATTGTAAAGCGCTTTGAGTGACCTTGGTCTGTAAAATGCGCTATATAAATAAACATTACTTACTTACTTACTATTTGGTCTATCTTCTGATGAAAATTGTGTACGATGTTTAGGCCCACAGATAAACAGCCACAGGTATAAAACGCAAAGAAGGTAATCCATCTTCTGCAACACTCCACTGAGCCTTAGGCAAAACTTCACACGCACCACCTTTTCCCAGAATTCCCTGCAGGCCTCGCCCAAACTGATGCCAAGCAGTTAAGATCCTCAAAGGAACTGTTTGGAACGCAGGGGGCTGTTGAGGCACTAAATGCACAATTTCTGCCAGTCTCAGAAAAGGAAATGGAAATGAGTTTGAGACAGTTTTTAGATTTGGAAAACAAGTTTACACAGATAATGAGTATAACTTTGTGTCAACCCCTTTCGTGTTTGCAATATTTCGGGTTATGGTTGAACTTGCCTGATACAATCCTAAATGGCAGAAATGTGTTCAGCATATAGTACATCCAAGACATTTAAATAAAAGTGTGTTTCTCTCATGTGTCTGACAAAGACAAGTCTTGGAAGATAATATATCAAGCAAAAGTCAAACTCAGAGTAATGTTGACTAAGCTGAAATGACCATAGCTCATTATTAATGCATCAAGTCATATTCATGAATTAAACTATACAAATTGGTTTTCTCTGATAGGATGTACAAATAGGACTGTGCCAGTCAAAAGGCAGCTCTGCCAAGAACAGTGCATCAGCGCCAGACAGTCTTACTGGCATTCTGCTACTGTTATGGCATCAGGAACATTTTGAACCCATTTCTCTTGTTTAATGTACCAGAGAGACATATGCTGACGTTACAGATTAGCTGAGGCAAGCTTTGTTTATTTAAAATATTTAAAGAGTGCTGACAGAATGTCTTGCACTGCTTTGCTAGTCTTCTCCAATGTTACTGTAGGTATTTCAACAATTTATTAAGGCACAGTAAATTCTCCTGACAACTATAAATGTGACTACTAGTTTCCAAGATCCATCGAACAGCAGTCTGGGATGACTAATGGGAAAGGATAACAATGATAACAATGAAAAATATCTAATTTAATCCACCTTTTCTCTTTTCATAGTACGTCTGCGTTCTGATCGTCTGTCTCTCATAAAGGAGTGCATCGGCCAGTGTTCCAAGGCGTACAGGCAGTCCGCCACGCTGCTCAATCTGGCCAGTCTTCTCCGAGTGGCAGGTATTAACACTCTACTAAGCACACCCTTGTCTCTACACATGACATTTTGTTCTTTTGAAAAATGTCTTTGAGATTAACATCAGATGAGGCTGATTCTAGTCCGGTGGCAGTAGTGTGACAAAGCCCCTGAGATGAAGCGAGAAGGGCCGCCCCCACACAAGCCGCAGAATTGAACCAGGGATTATCAAGTGACGTGTCGTACTCTGGAGGGAAATTTATCTTCATGAGAGCTGCTAAAGCTCAAAGCAAAAATCTATACTTAAAGAGCGACTTAACACCTGTGCCCAGCCTTACTCCGCCCACATGAAGATTTGAAAATTTTCTCTAAAAAGGGCGTTGCCTGGAGGACCAAGGGACAAGAAGGGGGGCTTAGATTTGGGCGTGGTCTGGGCTGTGATTGACAGCTGTGAAAAACAGACAGTTGTCATTGCTGATTAAAGCAATAGTTTACAGACCAGAAAGTCTAATTCCACCCTTGTTTACACAGTAAGATAATTGTAAAGCTACACACCTGAACCTAATCACACTCAATAATCTCAGAATGACTCATGTAATTTAATTTTAATCCGCTAGATGGCGCCAGAATACTCCAAACTGCAGCTGGGGCGTGTGTGAGAATTGAATGGGTTCACATCACTGGCTCTGACAGACTGACGTCACACAAAACAACTGATGTCATAGAGAACTTCAGAGTCAATGGAGAGGCCAGAACCAAATTCAAATGTAGTACCCCCAAAAAGGTAGAGAGGGCACCACACAGCGTTTTTTGGCTCAAAAGTGATATTTTATCTAATTTGAACTAAAATGTCAAAAAAATGACCAGGATATGTAGATAGCACTACAATAAACATACTTATGCAGTTTATGAGTTAAAAAAAGTTGATTTGGTGTTTAGTCGCTCTTTAAATGCACACATTCACTCCGGACTCAGAGTCAGCAGCGGCATATGGAATTTTCTTTAGTCTAAAAACCCCTCCCATCTTTGTCCTTGTCTGACATGGGTCTTTATGATCACTATTAGAGTTCTGTATAATTCCTTGTACAGTGGAAACATTGCTTATGTTTTCAAGACCTTATGTCATCTTTTGTCACGTGTTGCAACGATTTAAAAGGTGTGTTTATTCATTTCACATATTTGCATTGTTAATTGGTTCTTCTAAATGTCATTGATCTTCAAATAATATTCCAGGAATTGAAAAGCTTTTTTGGGACCACAGTGGTTCAGTTGGCAGAGCTTTTGAGCCTGAAGGTCGTGGGTTCGATCTCCCCATGAGACCTTCTCAACAGACTCCCTCTGATGCTTGCTGTTGTTGTGTCCTAGGGTAAGACAACTTGCCCGTTGTCCCTACTTGAAAGATTGCTGTGTCTTCACTGACAGAGCAACAATCCTCCTGTGGACCAACCACCTGCAGGAGGATCAGTGAGGGGGCAGCTCTGGCTGACCACCCCCTGACCCAGAAATGGATTAAGCGGTTGAAAATGGATGGATGGATGGATGAATAGCTTTTGTTTGTCTGTTAGATAGGCCATGCCCTGCTTGCCTGGTTTCATTAAATCTCAGGTCAGTCGGGTTCTGGTTAGTACTTGAATGGGAAACTGCGGTTTACACCTGACAAAACACCCACATTAATTGGGCTGGCAGCCATGGCTCCATCACTCTACCCGAGGGCAGCTGTGGCGCTTACTTGAGTATCCATAAACGTGATGGATAAATCAAATTTAATATTGCTATTAGTACATTACATAGTATGCGCTTGTGGCATTTCCATTGGACCCCAGTGCCTCTCCTCCCCTGTCTCCTAAACTCTGCCTTTTCTCTCTTCTCTTTGGTGCGAGGAAGCCCACTAACTAACCCGGTGGCATTTCTCCTTCTTCTTCTGCCACTCACATCCCGCCAGCAGGCAACTCCGTACCGTGTGTGGCTTCAGAAAGGGGAGACAGTGGGAGATGAGAGATGGAATAAACACATTTTTAAATAAATAAATGCAGGCGGGAGGCTTTTGAAGGGTGCATTGCTCTGGGACATGTGCTGAATATTTGATGTTACCCGCTCCTAAGGCTTTGGTTCTTTAATAATGGGCTGGGAAATTATTTTTTGACCAATTGATCCATTATTACAAAATAGGAATGAAGACACTATGTCTTGTGTTGTCTTTCACAGCTTACACATTTTAGCTTAGCGTTTCTGGTTGTCTTTTCTCATCCTCCATCATTGTTCCATCAAGGTAATGTTGCCAATAATATTCCTTCCAAGTGACGACAGCAGCCGACATGCAGCTGATATGATACAGTTTTGTGACAGCATTAAATGTTTGACCTAGATGCCCTCCTTTTATCATATACACCCAAAATAATCTGTTGTGTTTGTTCATCTTATTCTGGATGCGTTTGTCCACATGTACGTGTTCTGAAGGCATTCAGTTTGATCCAGCGCTTTCATATCAAAGGTTGGTTGCTCAAAATGTTGCCGGGAAGTACGGGCCGCAATCTACTAACATGTATTAACAATGCGTTAGTATGTGATGGAAGCAACACATTTGGTAAAGTTATTGGCAAAGACACAAAGAGAAGCCCTATGGCAGCCTTCAAATGAACTGCTCAGAAGCTGCAATTCAACTCTCAAAATATGTGAGTGACAGTAGGTTCAGCACGGGAAAGTCTTTTTTTAGCACTGCCCTTCACAGTAAGGAAGAAGGGGAGGGCCAGATATTTTGTACTTTCATTGTCTAACAGAAGGTCTAACAGAAGGTCCTGGGTTCGAATCCCGGTTGCACCAGGGCCTTTCTGAGTGGAGTTTGTGTGTTCCCCCCGTGTCTGCATGTTCTCCCCGTGTCTGCGTAGGTTTCCTCCGGGTGCTCAGTTTTCCCCTACCACTAGAAATATGTACAATAGGTCTGGCATGCGCCTCCTGTACTGGCGACTCCCGCTCCCATCTTTGTGTGGAGTGAGAGGACAAATGCTCAAAAAAAGATTCTGGTCTGTGAAAGGCGGTATATAAATAAAGATTACTTACTTAACACAACCCTTCTTACAATGGAATGTCATGTCCGATTCAAGGTTCTCCAGTATTGCCTTTTCCTAAGTTGATCGGCTGCTGTTATTTTTTTTCACTTTAATTTTGATGTCTGTATTTTCTGGTTTGGAAAGGTCTTCCTGTTTCTTCTATGCTTGTATTGCCAATATACTATATGTTTTTGTTTTAATAATTGCACTCATCTCTGTGGTTATCCAGGGGATGACGAGGCCACGAGGAAAGGACAGGTCCTGACTCTGTTGGCAGAGCAGGCTCTTCAGAGTCTGGACTTCAAGGCTTCCTACATCCACTGCCGCGATCTCATGTCTGCAGGTACAAAGCACATATAAAAGGCAGACAAGAAGAATAAATAAACTGCATTGCACAGTGTTGCATCATGTTAAAATATTTCACATTTAATTTGGGACAAAGACAACACACACAAAACACATGTATCTGTCAGTTTTTAAAAATGACACAGGTTTAAAACTGAACCTGAAGAATACAGTATGTCTTTGTAGAAGATACTTCAAACCTATAAATTAAATGTTTTAAAAGTGCCTCGGACCTTTTCCTCTGTTTCCCACATGGATCCCACAGATCCTTGCAGAGCACCTGACCCCTCACGTTTTCCCTATATTTTTGAATCACCACATGTGCTCATTCCTCGTTTCCTCTTACATGTATGTTAAATATCTAGTTCACAAAGCTTGGACTTTGCATTACACGTTCATTATAATTGAGGTGTTGACGGATAAAACCCTTTTGCTTTTCCAGAAATAGGTTTAATTCATGCAAATACATTGTGACGTGTAATTCAATGATGTCATACAGTAAGATCAGATAAGATCTAATCTTTGGTCTCCGGGCCTGAAGGTCGTGGGTTCGGACCCACCACGGGACCTACTCCAACTGCTCCAACTGCTGTCGTTGTGTCCTTGGGCAAGACACCACATTGCCTGAAACTCCCGCTGAACAACCAAGGCTGTGGCAACACTGATGTAGCAGCCATCTTCCTGTGGACTCACCACAGGAAGATGGATGAGGATCAGCGAGGGACTGGTGCTACGAGTATTCGTTGGCAGCTCTCCTTGCCACCCCGCTGACCCAGAAATGGACTAATAAAGGGGCAGAAATAAATGAATGAAAGATCAGATAAACTTTATTGATCTCACAATGGAGAAATATATTGAGTATACCTCTTTATCATTAAGAGTCTGCTTCAGTCCACTCACCACACATGCGCTCTCCTCATTTGTGCTTTTACTCAGCGCCTTTAATTGTTTTGGTTGATGGTTTTCTTATGGTCGCCCTGGGGTTAGTAGCATCTTTGTCGAGAAATAGATGGTTTGAAAGGAACCATTTCCATCCTGACTTTCTAACTAGTAAATCTGTCTTGGAAATTCTCCTGGAGAGGTTTTTATCTGATCATTGAGCTGCTACTGAGTTGACCATATTTGAATGCACCCCACATTCTACATGCACTGCTCTGTAACAGAGCAGACGGAGGCAGAAGGTGTCAAGGTGAGAATCTCATCTGATTACACATTGTGTGTGTGTGGCACTCAACTCTGACTGTGGCGAAGCTGGAACAATGCTGATCCATTATTTTGATGCTCTGGGCTGATGTTTTCTTCAAGGCAAAACCGCTTTTCACAAACATGTATTAATATCTTCTGAAGGTTAGACGTATCCTCTCCCAGGATTAGGTTCTTATCTTTTTTTGTGCCAAGTCAAATGATATCCAAATAAAATGTTTGTGGCACGCAGGTAGTGTTTGACAGCTCCGTCTGTGGTTGTTGCAGGTTATAGTGCGGCGTGGGACGTGTGCAGTCAGCTTGGGCAGTGTGAGGATTATGGAGACCTACAGGCCCGGCAAGAGCTGTTAGCTTTTTCACTCACACACTGTCCAGCGGATAATATACACGGGCTGCTGGCTGCCTCTAGTGATCTGCAAACACAGGTAGGAATATGAAATATGGCATCTTCATATTATGTGCTTTCAATGTGTCAGGAGTAATACATTTGTCATTTAATTGTAATTGCATGCAACATTATGTGGGGGCGCAACACTTACTGCAGCGTTATGGGTTTGTCAGTGTAACATATGGTTATGTAAATCACTTCTACATATATCATATTTTGCACCATTTACAAAAGGGGTCAATATAGAGAAAAGAGAGAAAAGAAAATCTATTATCATGGAGATTGTTCATCCGTGTAGAAAACGGATGAGAAAATGACCAGTGGGCAATTTAGAAACGTAAAATACAAAACTTGTACGTATAAAATGTTTGCAGAACTAGATCTAGTACATTTTACTGCGACATCCATGCAGCACACAGCAGGTGATGACAACTTGCTCAGTGTCACACTTAACGAAAATAACCTGTGTATTATCACATGCATTAATCTTAGCTGTTTACATCGCTTCCGTCATCACCGTGTGTGGAATGATTGGAACAATATCTGAACTCTGAACATTGTACAGCGCTTTGGGTGACCTTGGTCTGTAAAATGCGCTATATAAATAAACATTACTTACTCACTTACTTACATTTCCAGTACTAAATGTACTCCATTTCCAATTTGTTTGTGAAATCAGAAAAGATTAGTATTGTAAAGTTTTGGTTTTTGGCATTACATCTATGGACATTTACATATTTGACTAAACCCACAAACAAAAGAGTTTATGTTTTGCACTGTCAGAACATTCTTTTTTATGACAGCATTTGCGAATATTTCCAGTTTATAATATAAAAGCCTGTCCGTGTAAATACAGTGTTATTGCAATTTTGGCTCAACTCTTATGTCCAATTTCACGCTGCCACTGAACAAGCAACTGGCCTTTACTATAAACACAATAACAGCCATTTTTTTTGAAGGGAGAAAATTATGTTTTCATAAAGTGCCGAAATCTCTGCCCATTTGGCTTTTGGCATTGGCTTTTACCGGGTTCCCTGATACAGTTTGACAGGTCAAGAATAAACCTACAGATACAAATGTCTTGGATTGTATTTTTGTGTTGTGCAGGTGCTGTATCAAGCAGTTAACTATCAAATGGAGCCGGCGAGCAGTCAGCCTGGTGACGAGCTGGACTCTGCCAAAGTATGTGTAATATATAACATTGTATTTGCTTTGAATTATTATTATTTTGGTCGGTTTTTTGTCTGTGCTTGTGTTTTCCCTCTCTCCATATTTAATGAGTAGTATATGGCGTTAAGGTTCCTCAGCTCCTTGGAGATTATTTACAGCGCTTCCTGTACAGCACTGCCAGCTTTATGATTGCCTTGAGTGGGCGTTAATGTTTCATGACTTTGCATTGTGTATGGATGGGCTCTTATTGGGAGCTGTCTCTTGTCATTTTATCGCTGTATTGACGGCTCCACAGGTCTCCCATCATGTTGACTACGTGGGAATGCTTCTCCGGACTTGTATTTATCTGTTTGAGTGCACACAAATATCTTGTGTGTGTGTGTGTGCGTGCGTGTGTTCAGGCTGCTTTCATTGCCCGACCCTGGGCCCCTCTTCACATCAAAAATTAATGAAAGGCACTAAACGATTTGGCGCTAACCCATTGCCCCTGAACGAGTGATGACATGTTTTTCATATTACCATGGAAACTGCTAACACATAACTATCAATCTTTGATATTTTGGTTTTTTTGTAGCAGGAAGGATTTACAAGTTGTCTCATAGGTAATAATTAGAGCATAACAAGCAAACATGCATGTTGTAGAGGGATTCTTGTTAAAATATAACAATAGCATAAAATGAGTGATCGTATGTGTTCTGGCTTTGACTATGCCAGCAGACCATTAAACCAAAGCAAATGGGGATGGTAATGTAATAGAGTTGTACTCTAAAAATTAAATTCTTATGCATCATTGGATAATTATGGATTTATGCAATGACCCATATTTAAGTAACAAAATCATTGCCATTTGTCTTTCAAAGGCTTATACAGTAGTCTAAATTGTGCATGCTGTATTTCCTGGATGCGGTGCACAAACAAACATGGAAGCATTCCCAACAACAGCAAACCTTGCTCTTATTAAAGTGCTCCTACACAAGTATCTAATCAAAATCAAACTGTAAAACTGTTGCTGTAAATCACAGCAACAGTCTGACCCTGTTGAAACGAGAAATACCTCTCCTGCATGACTGTTCTTTTTGCTATAGCATTACCAAAAAAGTCTTCGGAAATACACTTACTTGAAAAATTAAACCATCAGAGCAAACCTTTTGAATATGTGACCAAGGAATGACAGAAACTGATAATGCAGAGGGTGGACACAAGTCCAAAGAAAATTGTTTTGCTATTTTGCTCTTTGCATTTCTCTTCATTTACTAAACACGTTATAAGTGCAGCATATATATACTGTATTGATTCTTTAATTTTTATTGTCCACTCTTTTCATCATACCTCTCATTTCCAGGTCAGTGCACCGACCTCAGAATCTCCTTTGGAGAAGGCAGGTTTACTGCACAGAACTACAGCCAAAACAATGGAGGTGCTTACCACAACAGGGCTGACCACAAAGGCGGTGCTGACCGCCGTCAGTGACCATCGTTGGTGGAAGGAATCCATCAATTATCTGAGGCCGTTACAAGTAAGATTTACACTTTTACCCCACATTTATGTATGCCTACTGAGGGTTACTAATGACACATATATAAGCTTTTATTTCACCATGTTTGCCCTCCCTGATTGAGGGGAGTTTTAATGGCCAAGACAAACACTTTGAAAAAGATGGTGAAATCTCAGGGGGTTTCCTTGGAAAAGTCAACCAAAAAAAGTGTAATTATTCTAGCAGAATTTTTAAATGTCAAGCTGCAGAAATCCCTTATAGGAGTGAATACATAGGAGTGTTTATTGCCACCAGCTTTGTTCTATCAAGATGACGTGTCCTCATATAAAACTAGGGGCTTAAAACACTGGTATTTCCGTTTTCATGTTTTGTTTTTTATTTGAATTAGGATCTCCATTAGTGTCAAACAAAGAAGATTGATTCATAATAACAGCACACAATGAATACAAAAATGAAGGCTTAGTTTAAATGAATGATCATTTCACATTCATTTTGTCTGATAATTATATCTTGGGCAGTATATTCCAGAGAGAAATGGCTCTGTAAACACAAGACCTTTTCAAGACATTAGTCCTTGCTTTTAACTACTGAAGTGTATGCTAGCTGACTCGCTCAACATCCGTACAGACCATTTTAGCACATTTGCACATGCTCTCATATCTCTAACACATTCTCCGCTTTGATAGTCTTCCTCTAAAAACAACCAATCAAGAGCCCATCCCCTGCATAATTAATCTTGGTTCATGTTGAATATTTTAACATCTTATAGTTTGCCGGCGGCGGCTGGTGTTGGTGGTCGCGGTGAGTGATGGCGCATGGGGTCTTGTCGGAGATTGCGCTGGTAAAGGCCTGGTAGCGCTGGAGTTACGAGCCAGCGTCTGGTCGTAGAGACAGACAAAGAGAGATGACAGGCTGCGGGCATGTTGTGAAAGTTTAATGATGTTTTGATGGCTCCGTAGGGTCAGGGTGCAGGAGCCACGCGTCGGGAAGGGGCGTGTGAGAACTCCAACCTGCAGCGGCAAGGCTGTAGTCCCTTTTATCAAGATCTCATTGATGATGCCCATGTTGATCTGGTAAGTAGCTGCGTATCAGGACTCCTAATTTGAGCTTCCATTTACCATGCTGCAGACATTATTTCTGCAAGTTACACAAGGACACCTTTTGAAATTACAGAGGAAAGAGCCTGCGTAGGTTCATGACACTAGATATTTAATTATGTTTGCCTTTCTTTACAAAAAAACACTGAAACTGACTACAGTTTGACATCAGGCTTCATAGATAAAACATAAAAGCAATTTCAAATGGCTTAACAGAAATAACAGTGTATCTAACTATTGTCAATATACTGGATGCTTGTGTAGATTATATTTACACAAACCAACCAAACTCAACATATTTGTAACATTAGATATACTTCAATCTCAAGAACATCACACTCACTCCTGTTAATTGTTATATTGTGAGGCAACATCCTGTCCCTGCGAGTGTCACAAAAACCATTTTGACAAATGTTAGACATCTCCCTTATTTATTGCTATCATCACTTTCATACTTCACTGAAGCTCAATTGGAAGCATGTAAACCATTAGAGGCTTGTAAACCTATCTATGTCCATATGCATTGTTTGGTTTACATTTATAGTATATTTCAGTGAACATGATTAGCAGAAATGAAAGTTAAAAATGCTCATGGAATCCACAAACGTCCTCTTCACACTTGCTCCATAAAAAGACAGCAGTCTTAAGCATGTTTCTATGAGTCCTCATCACGCCATACGCTCTTTATACCAAACAATTACGGAAAGTCTATCCCAAGTTTTGAGATGCATTACTTACAGTATTTCAAATCTAGAAACACATCCTTGGGCTATTTCCTATACGGAAGCTAGTTAAGATTAGGAGCAACATTATTTTTGGCACAAAGGATTTAAACGCACCAGTGTAGATTGCCAGAATGCATGACGACCATCAAGATCCATCTATAACAGGTCCAGAGTTCTTAACCTCGTCTTTCCTGGTCGTTTCAACCAGAAACTAAACTCATACTACATTTTGGAACAACTTGTCTGTGGTTTTATGTGGATAAAAGGGAGTGAAAAGCAAAGGTTTGGCGCATGGAAGATTTAGAACTGATCTTTGTTTGTGACAGACAGACTGGCAGATGAGGCCGGACAAGAATGAGACAAGGATAGAATAGGATTCAAAATGAATACATCAAAGGGACAGATTTTGTTACATTTTAGAAATGAGAAAATGTACAAATTTAGAAATTGGCCCAATTATTAATATGTATATGCATGAAATCAATGTGTCTAATGTACGTTTTATATAGCACTTTTTGGACACTAAAACCCCTTCACATGTCAATGTTCTTTCACTCCAAACACGGTGGTGATAAACTACTACTGTAGCCACAGATGCCCTGGGGCACACTGACAGAAGTGAGGCAACCAGTTTGTAACATCGGCCCCTCCGACCACCACCAAACATTTACACACGCACCAGATTCATTGTAGGAAATGTTGGTGGGTGAAGTGTCTTGCCTAAGGACACAACTACAATTTGGCACTTTATTGCCACTGCTGCCCCACTGTGGTTCCCAGAGGTCTCCCATTACAGTACCAACCAGGCCCTAACCTGCTTAGCTTCAGAGGTCTAACGGGATCTGGTCTGGAATTTAAACAAACAAACAAAGGAATTTCGCCAATTTGAGATTATTTAAGGGGACCTTTATTTGACCTTTATGTCTTCAGAGTGCGCACACTGGGCTGTGGCTGGACACAAATCATACAGTCTGCAAAAAGAGTGGAGGCACGGAGAAACAGGGGAGCAATACATCTCTCCTCATGACATTTTAATAGGCCACTCCAAATCCTCCTCTCAGCTCCCTCTCAGGCATTCATCCCCTCTCCATCATCCATCTACCAATAACAGCTCAAGACGTCCATCTTCCAACCAGCTGATCAATGCCATGGGTTTTTACTTGAACAGTTTGTATGAAAAGAAAGAGATCCTGATGGTAGGACAAATTTGACATGACAGGATGATGTACTGTGCTGAAATGGACAGGAAGTGGAAGTCTTCACAGCTTTGGGGCCACTGCCTCATCTCCGTGTCAATTCTTTTTTTGGAAATCCCCTTAGTGCTGTGATAATTTTTACTCAAAGGCAGTATCGTTTTGTCTTGATTTGTATTGTTTTTCTTCCTGTAGAGTCAAGATGTCTATTCATCATACAAAGATGTGTTGGAGGAGGACTTTGCTGAAGTTTTGCTCCGAACGGGAAAACTGGCTGAGGCAAAGACTGAAGGGCAGACGTTGTTCCCTGCCACAGAAGGTAAACTATACCCTTGCATAGAATAGGATATTGGATGCACTGGAAAATGAAATGTATCAATTCGCTTTTAAACCAACTATAGCAAACAAAACACACAAAAACAAAAGTCAATTGCAATTGATTTTAGAATTGTACACTTCATCAATAAAACATCACTGCCAGTTTGTTACAATTATTTACATCTTCGAGGCATCTGCTGCTCAATCTGAATGTTGGCGGACTGTTCCATGCTGAAATTCATACAAACATTTGTGTGTGTATGTGTATGTGTGGCGGTCTTAATAATTGTTTTACAAAACTCAGCTGCCAATAAACTGTTACAATCACAATGTTGATATAAAAACTGTATTATTTGGTCCCATAGAGGCAACACACTGTTTGGCTCACTCACAACAGAGGCTGAGGTTTGAAGCAATTTCAAGTAAAGCCAATCATTAGCATTCTTTTCTATTGTATTGTATTATCAGTCATTATACTAAAGTTGTACCGCAGTAAAGCCACTGTGAATGCCCTAAAGAGCACATTTGAGAAACACTGGTTCTCACTACAGATTAACAATAGGAGAGTGAGTCGTCCAAACTTAATGTATGCAGCTAATCTTTTAAACTTCTTGTATCTAATTAAAACTTTGCTCCGTCTTTGTAATGCTCAACTGTTTGCTCGCAGTCCCTATCAGCTCTCTGCCTCAGCCCTTGTGCCTCCCCCATTCATCTCGCAAAGCCGCGCCATATGCGGTGAACTGGGGGACACGGCGAGGAAAATGGCTCATATTGATTAATTAATGTAGGCCCGCGCTTCCCATGGCAACGTTAAATAATGGCACATCACCGCAGAGATAACTGAGAGATAGCGTGAAGTCAAAACATCAAGGCTGCGCCGCGTGATAGATCACAACTACGCTCAAAAATCAATGCCACTACAAAAATAATACGTGTTGTGGGTGCGTTTAAAACATGCACTCTTGGAATACCAATGCAGCTGCTGCCGTTACAAAACAGTCACCTTCTCAGAGCTGCACGTCAAGGCAACGTATCTGGTTTGCTTACTTTTATTTATAGTATTTTTTTACGTCTCTTGTTGAAAATAAAACACATTCTGGTCAAGGACTTTAGTAAGTAATTCTACTGATGTTTTAATTATTTTGTGTTATGGCTAAGGTAATTATTGGTGACACAACATTGATGACTCATTGTGGATTTAAGGGTCCTTGCACATCTCAAATTCCTGCTTATGAATAGCACTGCAGGCTTTAGTATTGGCCACATGGTTACCGGACCATAATAAGTTGTTTTTTCACCTTGGCTACACAGGTGAAATAGCAATAAGTCAGTGTCTCAACAGGCTGCCTGCTAACTATGTACCCAATTTACGGTAGCTGATACAGGCCTGACATCATGATTGTATGTGTGGACGCCATTCCCGTTAGCTTTATCACTCCACTGTTTTCAAGCAGAAACACGGCACACTTTTAAGTTGGGGGTTATCTATTCTGTGTGTGTTTACCCCTCTGGTAATTCCTGTCCTGATGCTATCGGTAGCTTTAGAGAGGCATATAATCAGCTCATTGAGGTGTAGCTCATTGAAACCCACAGGGTGCAGGGAGAACAGAGAAGGTGGGCATTGCTTAAGACTACTATTATGGCAACTTGTGCATCTCTATTCACATATATGCTCAATTCATTATGGCAACAGTGATATGAAAGGTGGTGCAATGAAACTATAATCAATATAGTTGCTCTTTCGACTACTACAGAGTGCTGATTTCCAACGAACATCACACAACCCAATTTTTAAACCACATTCAGATATGAATTGACGTGCACACATATATACACATGACCAAAGATGATGTTCTTTTATGTCTTTGGGCAATTAAATTAAATTAAAAGGCAATACAAATAAATCTATAAATAACGATTTGTTACACATTACAGCAGTGCAGCATAAAAGCATTGGGTCTAAAACTAAAAATAATTATTAAAGCAAATCAATAGTACTACATCGAATTACTAGTATGCACTGCAGCTAAACAGTCATGTTTTCAACATAGCACTGAACATGCTCAGTCAGGATAGAGGCCTGTCTCACAATTTCAGGATGACTGCTCCATATTTTGGGTACATGATTCTGAAATGTTGACTCTAGGGGGATGGATGTGATGAAATAAAAACTAATTTCATGTATTCATTTCATAAACTAATGGCATGTTTGCACACAGAAATAAAACATGTCTGCTTGTCCTGTATATTTTCTTGATCATGAAGCGATCCTTTGGTATTACTCTATACTTCTGTAGCCTCTTTATCATGTATTTACCAATATGCTGACACCCACATTACCCATGTGCGTTTTGTCCTCCCCTGCAGTGGGCCACCTCATCTCTGCAGTGCACACGCTCCACTTTTCCCTGTCCGCTCTGCTTAAGCTCAGGCTCTCATCACCCGCAGAGCCTTTTGTTCTCCGTGGGTCCATGAGTACAAAGTGATTGTGTCGGCAGCCGCATCTACACACTGACCTCTGTTTCCTCACTCAGCTTGGACCCTCGATTAAATATGCTTAGTGTTGGAATAGGAAGTACAATGTGAGATGCAGGGGCCTAACATAACATATGTTTAATTGTATTAACCCTAAACAATTTAATCCAGTAACACAGTTTAAAGATAACAATATCATCCAAATCCATTAAGTTAATGAGAATTTGAGGTTTCAACAGGGAAACAAAATCAAAACATTTGATCATTCAATAGAAAAGGCATCCTGGATTTCTGTCAAATTCTATCTACACCAGATATAATATTATTTGGGCCTCTGCCTTGCTAACCTGAAGTAGTCAACTTCAGCTCAGTCAGTATACACATGTATACCTCATTATGACTTTATTTGTATATAATTGGTAACCACCATAAGACCTACTTCACGACCCCCACTGATGACTGCTGCCGTTGTGTCTTTGGGCAAGACACTTAACCCCACTCTGCCTGAAGCCCCAGCTGAAAGATCTCAGCTCCTGTGGACTCACCACCTGCAGGAGGATCAGTGAGGGGCTGGTGCTCTGTGTACTTGGTGCAGCTCTGACTGCCACCCCCCGCCCCAGAAATACACTGGTATATGGTGCACAGGGCTGTGACTTTAGAAGACTTATCTCGAAAGTCGAAAGTTTGTTTTGACTCATTTTGACACGTTCCTTTCTTTCCTGTGGTGAACAGCCAACAGGGGTCCGAACAACACACCGACCTTTCCCACTGTTGTCCCTGGTCAACCTGCTATTTCAATAAACAGGTCTGCAGTGCATTTAATTTCCAAGCCAAGGTGCTGGAAAATTGTGTCAACATCCTAACATTTATGTATCTGAATACCTTATGTATAACTGACCAAGCTGGTTATAATGCAGCTTTACAGATATTAGTAAAACAAATGTTTGTAGTTGACAATCCTGTCCATGTCAAAGCTCTAATTAGATATGATTGCCTAAGATGCTAATGTAGCTGATCAGATGGCCATTTGTCATTCAGCCAACTTCAGCTCTGTCATAGATCTTTATAAAGCTCGGAAAAGCTTGAATCTAGTCAAATGTTGGCCCCTGGTTAACTAAAGTGGCCCTCTTACTAAAACGTTTGGACACCTTTGATCTACATAGAGGTAGGAAGCAGTTGTCTCTTCTTAATGGCCCTTTCTCTTCAGTGGGCAGGAGTAACAACCACAAGGAACATGGAAGCAAAACAAACTTTAAACCTCCTCTGATAATATGTTAGGGGTTCATAGATATAAAAAGTTTTCACTATCAAAGGTCAATACTTTTGGTGTGAGATATTATATCCAAACCTCTATAATGAAAAAAATATGAAGTGACAATCCAAGGCACGTTAGATACAAATTTTAATGAGATGAGCAAGACTCCTTTTTGTATCCAAAGTAAGCAAAATATAATGGGTATCCACATCACAGAGCTATAAACTCATTTTGCATTCAGTGGTGTGACTTTGACTTGCAAGTGGACTTAAATAAAGTCTGGACCTCTGTATGAAGAGCTCTTATTAAGAGTAGCCTTGGCCTTTCAATATTAATACACACACACACCCACACACACCCACACACTGCTGACATTTATTGCATAAACTCTCAAAGACATGTGCTCATAATGGCCGACTGAGGAGATGGACAAACCACAGGGGAATTATAATGACACTTCTTGCCGTTGCCATACCTTTTCTTCTACTTTTCTAACCCTCTCTCCCTCTGCATTTGTCTGATCTGTGGAGAGGTAAACACATATGTATTCATGCAACGTATGTACTCTGCAAAAGTGTTGTTTTTCTTCCTTTGTGTCTTGGTTAAAGTCTCTTCTTCCCTCTTTCTAGTTCTGCTGCAGCTGGCCAACAATGCATTTCCCAGGGACATGATGCTGGCTCTGTCCTACTTACTGGCCTTGCCTCAGGTATTCACACACATCCTTGAAGATGGGTTTCCGTGGTATTTTCAGAATTTACAGTAATAACAATACACCTGTAGAGGACTACAGAAGTATATGAATATTACGCTTGGCACATAATTTTACCCTTTTAACATAACAACAACAAATGTGAACTTTTGATTAGTGGACCGTCCAACACATTCCTCAAGAGTATAACTATATACTGTTTGTGGATATGAACACTGAAGACTGAAGAACACCGCTGACCTCACATGTCATTGTGAGGTCAGAAGTGTTCCTCGTGAATTGACAACCTTGTGAAGTCCTCCGAGACGGGCTGTACAAAAAACATTGAATTGAGTGGGCCATATGGGACCACATGTGTCCACTGTACTTTGACTTCACACTTATCCCATATCCTCATGCAGCTAATATGTACAGTAGTAATCTTGTGATGGTGATGATGTATTGTGGATGGTGATGATGATGTATTACAGAGTTATATGTAGCTTTCACATTTAAGTAAATATTTTTGCATACAAGTTACTACTTATTTGTGCATACGTTTATAATCAAAATATAACTTTATTTTATTCTTCATGTATAGCTATATCCACTTATTTTCTTTTGTATGTGCTCCTCATTCCTATTCCTACTATCATATTTAAGTATTTAAGTAACTGTCAGGACATACCATCTTGTGATAGGATGACGTAGAATTTCAAGTTTTAGTTATTGTAAAGACAAAATATGAAAGTTAAAATCTGGTAATATATTTTTTGAAAACTTCTCAGACATGCAACAAGGGATTCCAAGTACAGGCCATTCACCTGCGAAAGGTTTATGAGACACAGTTGATAATACAGCAGGGGGGAATATGGCTATATAAAACATGGCACAGAAAATGAAGCATTTTCACTGGCACCTTTTTGATGAGCTATTGTGATGGACCATTTCATGACAGCGTCAAATCAAAGACACATTGTGAGAACTATCACTCCCATGCAGGACAATTGATTTCTCTCGTAGTGCCTGTCCTGATTGTTCTCAGCTTTAAAGGACACACAAGTTCAGCTTTACCTACAGACAAATTCATTTGGTGCACATGTTGAGTGCACCAAATGAATGATTCCAAAGTTGATAATAGTTGTTTACATAATAGCTCGTCAAAACTAATTCCCGTCTTCAGTTAAATAATTTGTTAAAGCAGTGTGAAAATATTCCAAGTTATCTAGTCTGTGCAAAATAGAGAAAAGTCCATCTCCAAGTAAAAGTAATGATCCAATAGAAGAAGCCGCTGAGTTTTTGTATTGGTCCAGGAGAGCCTGTTAACTCCAGTTGTTTTATTAGGCTGGCACTAACAAGCCACCTTCCTGGTTAACAGCCACATGTAGAAATGCACACGGTTTAATTGATTGCGCTCTTTCAGGTGCTGGATGCCAACAAGTGTTTTGAAAAGCAGTGCCGCTCGGCCTTGTCACTCCAGCTGGCTGCATACTATTACTCACTGCAGATTTACTCACGCCTTGCACCATGTTTCAAGGACAAGAATCACACTTTGTATCAGGTAAGAGAAATTTACAGCATTATCAAATGTGATGTTAGGTATGTTTTGCATTTTAGGTATGTCCTTGTAGTTCTGTTTAGACCCAGTACAAACATAAATTCTCAACAACAAAAACACAGTTAGGGCTGTTGTCACGCAAGTTAGCCAGTTATACTTTTGTGCAGTTTTTTCATTGTACTCATATTTTACAGTTTTATAATGGTGAATGTTTCTGTTATATTGTAAGTGGTTGGTTGTAGAGTGGGTGCTGCAATATATTGTTAGACTCTGCCATTGTATTAAAGGGATATTGCGTGTGATATCAGGCGTCAACGTTGAGAGGCCCACAGGCATTTTGCATTCACATATGAATAGAGCTGGCCTTTCATGGGGGGCAGCAGCCTGAAGTCAGACTATGAGAAGTCTGACTTCAGGCTGCTGCAATGTGTTTTATCATATAATCAGTAACCCTAAAACTTTGGACAGTGGACAATAACATAAATGCACACACCGCATGTGAACGCGCCTGTCCCCAAACATTAAACATTTATCCAACAAGCAGCCTTACATCTGTGACCTCTGCAGAGATGAGCTGCATCCAAAATTGTGTCTGAAAAAATGCATTTCAGATCACTAAAATTATGCTAGGTTCTCGCGGTACAAGATTGCAACCACCAGAATTTGTATCCAGTGGTAATATCATATCCATCTTCTCTCCTCCTCTACTAAAGTTAAAATGCCAGTGAATAGCCTTTTCAGCAGTTTTTCAGAATCACTTATTTCCATTCCATTCTCTCTAGACATCAAACTGAAAGTGAAACAAGAGTGTGTAAGTCCATGTGAGTTTTAAACATATATATTGAATTATCTTCAGCACAATGCACCGTTTCATGAGGCCATGTGACTTCCCTCCTATGTCTGTGGTTATTTAATTGAATCTGCCCTGGCCCTGCCCAGTGTCGCTCGCTTCAGCAGCTCGATACTTCTCACTTTGAGAGTGTGAAAACGTGCAAACTGGGCAGAGCCGTGCAGAGTTTAGCCCATGTGTAAACGGCAAGAAAACTATGCTTAGGTTATTTAATATTTTAAAAAGACAAAAATTTAAAGAGGCCAGATGTGGTCAGATCTGCTGGACTGACCGCGCCCCTCACCGCACTGGTGGCTTGTGCACACTGGGGTTACCTTGCACAGTTTTACCAATGTGGCTTTACTGCAAATGGCAAAAAAATTACTTCAAAAAGATTCTTGAATCTTAAATGTTTTGTTTCTGGAGAAGTGAGTCTGGAGAAGTGAGTCTGAAGTGTGAGCGGTCAGTCTGACAGATGGGTTTGATCTTTCGGACTGACCGCATCCGGTAACAACTGCTAATAAGAGACAGGTCACAACATGACGTGCCACTCTGATGTGTGCCAAGAAATTATCCATCCATCCATCCATTATCTTCCGCTTTATCCGTTGCCGGGTCGCGGGGGCAGCAGTCTAAGCAGAGACGCCCAGACTTCCCTATCCACACACACTTCCTCCAGCTCGTCCGGGGGGACCCCAAGGCGTTCCCAGGCCAGCTGAGAGACATAGTCCCTCCAGCGTGTCCTGGGTCTTCCGCGGGGCCTCCTCCCGATGGGACGTGCCCGGAACACCTCCCCAGGGAGGCGTCCAGGAAGCATCCGGAACAGATGCCCGAGCCACCTCAACTGGTTCCTCTCGACGTGGAGAAGCAGCGGTTCTACTCCGAGCTCCTCCCGTGTGACTGAGCTCCTCACCCTATCTCTAAGGGAGCGCCCAGCCACTCTGCGGAGGAAGCTCATTTCGACCGCTTGTATCCGCAATCTCGTTCTTTCGGTCATTACCCAAAGCTCATGACCATAGGTGAGGGAGGGAACGAAGATTGACCGGTAAATCGAGAGCTTTGCCTTTCGGCTCAGCTCCCTCTTCACCACAACGGTCCGATACAGCGACCGCATAACTGCGCACGCTGCACCGATCCGCCTGTCAATCTCACGCTCCATTCTTCCCTCACTCGTGAACAAGACCCCGAGATACTTGAACTCCTCCACTTGAGGAAGGACCTCTCCACCCACCTGCAGAGGGCAAGGCACCTTTTTCCGGTCGAGCACCATGGCCTCGGATTTGGAGGTGCTGATTCTCATCCCAGCCGCTTCACACTCGGCTGCAAACCGTCCCAGTGCATGCTGCAGGTCCTGGTTCGTTGGAGCCAACAGGACAACATCGTCCGCAAACAGCAGAGATGAAATCCTGTGGTCTCCGAACCGGACCCCCTCCGACCCCTGGCTGCGCCTAGATATTCTGTCCATAAATACAGTGAACAGAACCGGTGACAAAGGGCAGCCCTGTCGGAGGCCAGCATTCACCGGGAACAGGTCTGACTTACTGCCGGCAATGCGAACACAGCTCTGGCTCCGGTCATACAGGGATCGGATGGCCCTCAACAGAGGACCTCCGACCCCGTACTCCCGGAGAACCCCCCAAAGGACACCCCGGGGAACACAGTCGAACGCCTTCTCCAAATCCACAAAGCACATGTGGACAGGTTGGGCGAACTCCCATGAACCCTCGAGTATCCGATGGAGAGTATAGAGCTGGTCCAGTGTTCCGCGACCGGGACGAAAACCACACTGCTCCTCCTGGATCCGAGATTCGACCATCGGCCGTAACCTCCTCTCCAGTACCTTGGAGTAGATCTTACCGGGGAGGCTGAGGAGTGTGATCCCACGATAATTGGAACACACCCTCCGGTCCCCCTTCTTGTAGAGAGGGACCACCACCCCGGTCTGCCACTCCATTGGCACTGCCCCCGATCGCCACGCGATGTTGCAGAGACTTGTCAGCCAAGACAGTCCTACAACATCCAGAGACTTTAGATAATCAGGGCGGATCTCATCCACACCCGGAGCCTTGCCACCATGGAGGCTACCAACCACCTTGGTGACCTCAGCCAGGGAGATGGATGTACCCGCCCCAACATCCTCAGCCTCTGCCTCTGTAACAGAGGACGTGACGGGGGGATTGAGGAGAACCTCAAAGTATTCCTTCCACCGCCCGACAATATCCCCAGTCGAGGTCAGCAGCTCTCCACCCGCACCGTACATGGTGTTGGCAAAGAACTGCTTCCCCCTCCTGAGGCGCCGGATGGTTTGCCAGAATCTCTTCGAGGCCGACCGATAGTCATGCTCCATGGACTCTCCGAACTCCTCCCAGTCCCGGGTTTTTGCCTCTGCAACAGCCCGGGCCGCGGCACGCTTGGCCTGCCGGTACTGGACAGCTGTCTCAGGAGTCCCCCGAACCATCATGGCTCGATAGGACTCCTTCTTCAGCCTGACAGCATCCCTTACTGCCGGTGTCCACCACCGGGTTCGGGGGTTGCCGCCGGGACCAGCACCAGAGACCTTGCGACCACAGCTACGAGCCGCCGCATCGGTGATTGAGGCAGAGAACATGGTCCACTCGGACTCCATGTCCCCCTCCTCCGCCGGGACCTGGGAGAAGCTCTCCCGGAGGTGTGAGTTGAAAGTCCGTCTGACAGGGGGCTCAGCGAGACGTTCCCAGCAGACCCTCACTATACGCTTGGGTCTGCCAGGTCTGACCGGCTTCTTCCCCTGCCAGCGGATCCAACTCACGACCAGGTGATGATCGGTTGACAGCTCCGCCCCTCTCTTTACCCGAGTGTCCGAGACACGCGGTCGAAGGTCAGATGATACGACAACAAAGTCGATCATCGACCTCCGGCCTAGGGTGTCCTGGTGCCACGTGCACTGGTGGACGCCCTTGTGCTCGAACATGGTGTTCGTGATGGACAAACCGCGACTGGCACAGAAGTCCAACAACTGAGCACCGCTCGGGTTCAAATCAGGGGGGCCGCTGCCAAGAAATTAATTTGAGATTATTATTATTTGTGTGGTCTGTATCGCAAAGTCTCACTAGAAAAAAAAAAAAAACTCTTGCATTCTATAGCCAGCTTTAGGGACATTATGGATTTTAGAATATTTGAGATTTAAAACAACACTCCTGCACATAGTAGCGGCAGCAGATGTTTCCATAACAATATGTGAACAACAGCTCAGGATGTGCCGATGCGAGCTGTTCACACCCCCCTCACTCAATTTGTTTTCTTTTTTTATCATTCCCAATGCAGGTTTTAGCTGCAAACTGCTAACGACTCAGAGAGATTCAGCCTGGGTAGAGTTTTTTGGTAGCTTCAGGCGTAGGCTTGGAAAAGGATTTTTTTTACCCAAACTCTTACACCGTGTACCTTTTAAGCAGACTTTATTACAGATCAGAAAATCAACTGCACCACGTTAATATTATATTCCTATCATGCCAAACATTTTATGGTGTTTCATGGGAGATATAAACTTTTCCCTAAGTTTTTGAAAGGACTCTTTACAAGTTTGTTGCCCCTGAGACTCCACATATTCTGTTTAGGCAACAGAGCCGTAAACTGTTCTTGTCAGCCATGGTTTAAATCTTCTTTGGAGCCCCTGCAGGAATAGAGCAAACCAAATTAGGTGGCTGGATTGCTTTTGACAGGTTCAAACAGGCATGCTGAACCAGGGCCTGTTTTGGTCACAAAGTAAAAGAAAATGTGGCTCGAACAAGTCAAATGTGTGTTCATTACTGATTCATCAAAAAAGCTCAAGGCAGCTGGAAGAGAATGTTGGCCTCAGTATTATATAATGGGGGACTATGACTCCAAGTGGCTCTCTTCTAGATATTGCTTTATCCAATTAGCTTTCAGCACAGTGGAACATGAAGGACAGATTCAAGTTATTAGGATCTTTGAACCAAAGAGATTTGTATTGATTGTGGTTAATGATGAATGAACACAGCAGTGGGCAAGAGTCTGACGGTAAACAACTTGACATTGTGAACTTTGATTGATCACAATTTGAATGACTTGCTTTTTTGTTTTTTATCAATGCAAATGAAATTCTTGTCAGTTTTCAATAGGAATTTCCCGAACATATGCCCAATAGGTCATTGTTTTCCATTAAGCCGCACTACAT